TTCGAATCAAATTCATAATTCCAACCACGAAGAAGCCCGGATTGACAGTCGCGTGGCGAAGCATCAAGTCCGCGACGACTTCGTTCGCTTTATCCTGCTCCCCGCTCTGTTCACCGAGCACCAGAAAGATGTAGATCTGCAGGTAGCAAGAGCGTTTGCGGCGTTGAAAGTTGGCCAAGATGATCGTCCTCTTGCGGACCAAGTCCTCACGCACGACGAGGGGAGCAAACTGGACAGGATCGAGCGCAAAATCGTGATCCTGCTCCGTTCCTGGCGCGCCGAGGTGCGTCGGCATTTGTCTGCACGGTGGAGAAAAGCGACTTCAGAAACGATGCTGGGGTACCTCGCCGGTGTGCTTCGACATTTGAACGTCGGGACGACCAGCTCCAAAAGACGGGAAATTCAGAACAGTTTCTTCGCAGCTCTGGGGGCTGCAAACCTGCAGGAGGCGGCCATCGGCTTCCTGGAGTATCACGCAACCGATTTGAGGACGAAAAGCCGAAAGACAGAAGGTCGGGGCGATCTTCGTGATCCCGCGGGGGCACCACGAAATAAAATCCTTGAGGAATTCGAGCCTGGAATGAAGAACGCGCGAGCGTACGCAAAAGCGCTTGCAGACCGTTTGAGTCCGCACGCGGGAATTTTTGGTGCGCATTTTGGCAGGCGACTGGTGGAAAGCGCGAACAACGTCGTCACCGAGGTTGTCAACCTCACAGTTCCACCTGCAACACCAGCACTTGGCGACAGTACACCACCAGCAGCTTATTTTCCGGCCTCTCGACCAGCAGGAGCACCAGGACATCCTGATTCTGGAGACGAGAGCGATGATCTCATTGACTACAGCCAGGTCACGCGCACCTTCTTTTTTTTTCGTGGGGAAAAAAATTTCGAGCTCAACATCACGCTGGCACTGCAGCGCCCGAGCACTGGCTTGGAGTTCCTCCCTTTGGGCCTGGAAAAGGTCAGCAGTCTGGGGAAAGCGTTGGGCGACGGTGAGATTGAGCTGATACTGAGAAGTGAGGCGGCCGAAGCACGACCTGCTGAAGACGAAGACGAGGACGCAGATGGAGCGCTTTACTATGGTCGTGTTCCGAGCGGGGCCGGCATCTTTACCGGCGACGGCAGAGCAGCAGCTCCACCCCCCGGTCAAGCGGGCAAAGCAGAAAAAGCAGGAGAAGATCAGGATGCTTCTGTTGACCTCCCGCTGGCGCAGTTTATTCGGGACTTGTTGGCGGTGACGGGGGAAAAACAGGCGGCTTTTCGGGACCAGAAGAAACTGAATTTGTGCCCGGAAGCGGCGAAACTTGCCTTGCTCCGGGATGTGACCAAAGACATTTTCGCGGACGACGGCGAAGCCCTATTTTTGAGCTACACGTCGCAGATCAACGAGGACCCCTTGCTCTCTTCTTGGTTGGTACAACCTAAGCCGCGCGTAGAATCACGCGCGCCGGAGTCTGACTGCAAACAGAATCTGAAAACGTTTCAAGAGCTGCTGAAGCAGAAAGTCAGTCGGTCCACTGCAACTTCTACTAGTGCTGGACCACGGGGCGCCGGAGGGCCACGACGAGCTTCACCTGCTACGCAGGCTTTGAAACCTCAGAAAGAAGCCACATCGGTGATCGTGGAAAAAATGTCGGGGCTGTCGATCACGGAAGGCCAGGGCCGCGGCCGCGGCGACGGGTCCTTTTGCAGCAGTAGAAAGCCAGAAGTTTCTCTGTACTGTCAGCAGGTGCCGCACGTTATTTTTGAAGACGGAAGCGGCGTCACCAAGGCCGATTTCGACCCCTACACAATTCCGCTCAAGTCTTCTCTTTCCAGTGATGGTTTTGCGTTGGGTTGTTCCCAGAATCTGCAGTTCATCAGTGCTGGTGCACACCAAGTAGATGAACACCCAGGAGGTGGTCGTGGTGCCGCGTCGGGTCAACAGCAACGAACACAAGTCCTTGAGGAGCACAAGTGGTACGAAATGCAGCTCCCGCGGATGATCGTTGATCAGGTCTCTGCTCGTCCCACCAGCGGTCGTGCCTTTTCAAGCGGCAGAGCTGCACCTGATCGTGTAGTTGCCGACGAAGTAGATACAACAACTTCTACAGCTGCGCTGTCGGCCTTTGTCGTCGGTCCGAAACTGCAGAAAATCGACGGCCGCACCTTACTCGACGCGACCCTTTCCGACACATTTGTCGCCGCCTTTCGCAAGGTGGAAGGGGTACCGAGTGGGTGGATACGGGAACGGAGGAAAGAGTACGATCAGCGACGGGCTGCGTACAGCGACTGGATGCAGAAAAGCTTACCGGCGTACGTCGGTTCGGTGGAAAAAATGTTGACCGAGCGGGCGACAGTTCCGGGCTTTGAAAAGTTTTCGAAAGAAGTTGTAAACCCGGCAGAACAAGATCTAGATCAGCAAAGCGTCGATGTCGCCGCTGTTCCCCGCGGGGGCCCAGTGACGTTGAGATCATTTCAGGATCAGCAAGAACAATCGTCGATTCACTTACCGAGAATTTCGGAGCAACCGCCACAGGCTATTGGAAATGATGAAGGGAGAGATGACGCGTGGGCACCAACGCGTCGCCAAGTTCTACCTGCGTACTATTTTGACGATGATCAATTTACGGCCTCAGAACAGCAGAAAACTTCCTTAATCCTGCCCCACGGGCTCGATTCCTTCCAGAAAAAGCTGTTGATCGACCAGGCCAACAAGGTTGCCGACGCGGAGGGGACGCTTCTGGACCCAGCCGCTTTTCGGAAGAAGGAGGAGAGTGCTGATGCGTACCTGGAGCAGACCCTGGGCATCGCGGCGCACAGGGAGAAACAAGAACACGAAAGGACCGCGCGGACCCATGCGGTGTTGGAGTTTCTGGAGGGCTACGTTTTTGGCACGGCATTATACGACAACTGGATTGCGCTCGAGGCGTTTCAGTGCGGTATGGGAGTAAACCTCTTTGATCTGAACGACGTTGCAAGGAGAAGTACAACAACTGGGACGAGCGCAGAGCCATCTCGATCAAGATCTCGATCAAGATCAAGCGCAAGCCATCTTGGGCAAGATCAAGCTCTACTACGTGGAGAAGGACGTCCTCAGGACGAAGGTTCCTCTTACGGGCCCCCGCATCTCCTGTCTCCGCATGAAGTGAAGCAACTAATCGACTACAACACGTTGACGTTGACGTCAACATCTGAACCAGGACAGGATCACGAACGTTTTATTTCAAGCCCAGCTTCCTACCGCTTAATCCCGCTGCCGGTGCTCGAGAAACTAGCAAAGAAGGGAAGCGCGCCGCACTGTCGGAAGTGGGCGCAGACCCAACTTGCAGACTGGCGGGTGAAACAGGAATTGGGAAAATTTAAACAGCCGCCTGCTGAAGGAGTGCTTGGGGCTGCTGCTTTGCCAACAAATCAGTTGTACGCTGTATTAAAGTTGTCTTCAACAACATCGAGTGCTGCAGACAGTAGTGGACTAACCGCTGGTGCCGTTGGACTTGGTCCTGCAATCAACAGCAGCAAACGCCTTCTGCAGAAACTGTTTGGTCACGCAGTTCTGCCACCGGCGGGCTATGCGAGGACGGCGAAGCACAACATCAAAAGTCCCACGAGCGATGGTCTACTTCCTCCGTCGGCTGGAGCGGGAGGGGGACCATTGGGGCATGATGAACAAGCTGCAATACAAATGCCCGCGAAGCAGGTCGCACAAGACATACAGGCAGGTCGCACAAGGAGCAGGTCGGGAAGCAGGAGCAGGTCGGCAAGGAGCAGGTCGGCAAGTAGCAGGTCGGCACGGAGCAGTTCGGCAAGGAGCAGTTCGGCTTCGGCAAGAAGGAGCAGGTCTGCAATAGAAATGCAAGCGAAGCAGGTCGGCAAGGAGCAGGTCGCACAAGACACACAGGAGGCGTCGCTTGCGTCCTCGTCCTCTCGTCGGCTGCCAGATTTGATTCAAACTTTTGTCTCGAAGCACCTCTTTGCCGTCACGTTCGGTGGTTCCTACTTGCAGGACACCGACGTCGTCCCGGTTGGGAGTACGGCAACGAGCGGCGCGCAAGGATGGTGGCGCGTGTTCGGCGCGAAAAGTGTCTTTCTGAGTGCGCGAAGGCTGGCGGGGCGGGGTGCAGCTACGAGTTGTAGAACAACGGCGACGAGAGGACCTAGAGGGCGTGCAGGTCCTGGTGTAGTTGCGCATCAATTCTACCAAGCTGCACCAGCCGAAGATGCTTTTGACGTCGATAGTGGTTTCTCATCCTCAGCCGCGTGTTCCGGCTCCGAATTTTCATCGTCACGGCCGCGGGGAGGTGTAGCAGCACTCAGTCGGAAATTATCCGGCGGCTTGTTGAGATCAGGCGGTCCTTCTTCATCCGCCGTCGAGGACGGCAGCTCCACCTGTGCGGAAAGTCGTGGAAGTTTATTTTCCGACGATGACCAAGTCGCAGCTGGATCTTCTTGTTCCCAAGACGACTATTTCCCCTTGCAAGAGATCGCTCGGGAGGAAGGGTCCGACATCGATGTGACGGTCTATGTGAACGACACGTCCAGGTTTGGTGGCGGCATGCAGCACATCACCCCCGTGGTGCACAGCCTGCTCACCTATCCACAGTAAATTTCCCGTACACGTACACCTGCGGTCTCTGCATGACAAAAATTGGCTTCCATCCTAGTCTAGCATGACAAGGTTTACGCTTTAAATTGGTAAAATTTGTGATGCATCTTGTACATGTACGGGAAATTTGTATTGCATATCACCCAACGGGCGCAGTTCAACCGCGAACTTGCGGCAGAACAGCAAGATTCCATGGTGGTGGCGAACCCGGGAAAATTGGTGCTGCCCCACTCGCAGATCGAAAACGTGATCATGAAGCCAAGTGCGTTTGTTGGACTTCGACACAGCCACTCTTCTAAAATTTCTGCCCGACTGGACATCAAATTGGCGCCCAAGCGACTGTGCGACCTGATGCTGGACGTATTGGCATCAAACGCGAAAGGTAAGAGAGGAGTCTCCACTTCCGCGACCAGCACCGTAGAGGAAGCTAAAAAGGTCCAGAAACAGCACTTTCTCTCCCGGATGCAGTTTTGCAGTGAGCGCCTCTCCGGGGACGGCAAGCTAAAACGAATTTTGGACACTTTGGACCCACACGTCCGCGCTTTTGTCCGGGAAGCGAAGCGCTGGTTCCAGCAGCGGAAGCGGGAGATCGGGGGCTTCAAACAGCAGGGATTGAACGGGATCTCTATCACTCTGCTCGCGTTATTTTTTCTCAAACACGGTTCGGGCTACCGCAGCGACCCGATCATGCGAAACGCGCTGCTGGCTCCCGGTAGCAAGATGAGAAAAGCGGCACACAAACTGCGGAAAGAGGCTGGAATCGACATGGCAAGCAGAGGACTTCATCTGCAAAGTGAACCACTGCCCGCCGCTCGCAATCCTGAACTTCTCGTAGAAGTGAGCCAGCAGCTGGCGGAAGACCGCGGCAGAGAGGAGAAATTTTTGCAGTCTCTGTTCGTCCTGCGCATGCTGGTTGATTTTCTCTCCTTTCTCGTGCGCATCTACGAGGTCGTTGGCATTATGTCTACGAACGACTCGAACAAGCACCTGCAAGGTACAACCGGAGTTGCAGCGGGCGCACGTGCAGCGGAGGCGGAGGTCGCGCATATGGCTATAATCACTCAACTGCAGATTCGGTGTGAGGAAGTTCTTGCGGGTGTAGATAAAGATGCCAGTCCGGAAGACAAGCTCTGGGGCTTCGATTGCGTCAGCAACTACGACGAGGAGCTGTTTTCTTCCGCACTGGTGAGCAAAACCGGAGCTGCTCCTGGGACACCGCTACTCCACCAAACCAGAACGCCAGGAGCGCCGCACGAATCACGAATACTAGTACACGACTGCGAAAAAAAATCATCCCTTCCAACGCACGGCCCGCTGCCCGACAGCTTTACGGGAAAACTTCGGCCGCAGAGCCCACTGCTGTATCTCGCCAACCCCGGCGACACGTTGTCCGAGGCGTTCTCGCTCGTCGTGGGCAGTTTGGTGCGTGTGAAATCTTTTTCGAAAGAGGATTTGGAGAACAAAATCGTAGATCCAGCGGAACAGAACAAGGCAGCTACTGCGGAACAAGTGGAACCGCACCATGACCATGATGTTGACCACCGGATTAAAGATTTGTTCAAAGCCTCTGTCGCTGGACGCGCGGTGAGTCTTCCGACCTACAGCACTGTGCAGGATGAGAAGGGTGCGACATTACCAGCTGGACCACCACGAGGACCTCCAAAGGGCAGTGCTACTGAGGCGAAAGCTCTCTTACCGGAAGGCGCCGTCGGTGAAGTGATTCGTATCGAGCTGCAGCACGACACCTTGCGCGACTCCAAGGGCAAATCTCTGTTTTTGAAGGACCATCTCCCTGTGACGGATTTGGACGCTGTGCAGGCTGTGTATGTGCGATTCGCGCTTCCAAACGACGACCACCAGGGCACGGCCCGCGTTGAGAATATTAAATCCGTAACGATCCGTCTTCACCCACATGAGCTGGTTTACCCCTTCTTGCACGGAAAAAAAACGGGCGTCTCGTTGGGCATGGCTCCCGCAGGACAAGCTTCGCCAAAAGTTGGAGTTGTAGAGGATGGCGACGATCTTTTTCCGCAAGAGGAGACTAGAAGTTTCGTCGGCGTGAAGGTTTCTCTCGTGAATCCCTTCAAAAAGCAGTGCGAAACATTCTACACCTGGTCCATTACCCCGCCGCACAAGCTGTTTCAGAATTCCGTCGCGAATCTCCAGGGAAAGTTGGTCCGACTGGTGGGAAGGACCTTCCAGCCCGACGAGGCGCACCAGCAGTTCTATTTTCTGGACGAAAGCGACATCGCCCGAGGTAGTACGATAATCTCATCGGAAGCAGAAGTACCGCAACAAAAATTATCGTCGCCGCCCGTTCTCGGCACGGTCCCAATCGACCAAGCTAGAAGGCAGACGCAGAAAAAGCGGCAGTTGAATGCGTTCTCCAACGCTGTCTCTGGTTTTTACGACGGTTTAGTACAGCGGGGGCCCACTTTACCGCAATCGCAAGACCGCAATGCCGGCTTGCGCAGTTTCTTTCAGACCTCGCCAGAAGTGAGTCAGTCTACTCATTTTGAGGCGGCGGGAGCAGACACCTCCGCCGTTGCAGGCGCGAAGAAGGTGATGCGGGAAATCAAAAGATTGCGAGAGCGAGAAGTAGGTAGAGATGCAGCAACAACCAGTGGCTCGCATCAGCATAAGATAAATGACCTCTCTACTACTACTCGCGGCTCTCCAGCACCGACCGCGCCTCTCAGCAAGGTCATTACTCTTTCCAACGACCGTTCCTCCGATGAGCGACAAGGTACTATCCCTGGTGTCATTACCGGCTACGTTCTGACCGAGTGCCTTGTCCGTGTGGACCATCTGCCTGAAGTGACGGATAGGACCAGCACAGCGAAAACACGACAAGAACCTCCAGCTGCACTTGGCGAGCAGCTGCGCGACCTTGCTCAGGGAAAGGTAGACAGAAGGCCAGCATCAACAAAGCCGCCTCGTCTTCAGCGGTTCGAAGTGCTGAAAACCAACACAGCGCGATCGCTCTCCTCGGGGAAAATGCAAAGAATGTACGTCGAGTCGCTCTGGACCATCGCAAATTACCTGTACAAGGAGCTGATGCCTTTTTTGACGACAAAAACGGATGTTGCTGAGGCTGACCCGAAGAAGCCCGAAGGAGGTGGAGGTCGCTCGGCCGTACCACGGCCCCCGGTCGCGGGCGCGCCTGCCGCGGAAGAGCGGCGATTCCACCGTGCCCAAGCCCTCGAGCAAAACCGGAGAGAGTTCGCGGCAATTTTGGCTGAGAGTGAGCCAAAATTTGACTGTTCTCAGTCTACCCATGGAACAAGAACCTCCGCGGAGGCCAGTGCGACTCCTACCTCGGTTGCCTCTCAACTACATGACGCGGTTGAAACCATGAACGCCCGGGTGTTTTACCTGCTACACAAGCGAGTGAAAGACCAGTTTGTCATCGATACGTACCGAAATCTGGTCCACGATGGAACGGCGTACCTGACCCGAAACTATTTGAAAGTCGAAGCCGACCTGCGGGAATTACGGGCAAGCCCGGGCTTGTATCTGGAACGGATGCTGAAAACAGAGTGGCTGCGAGCACTTGCGAGAAAAAAGAGAACTTGTACTTCCGAAGATTTTTGTGAAGCTGCAAGCAAAACACGTACGCGACCCAGCGTGCTGCCGAGCCATCCTTACAGCCCCGAAATTGTAGAGCCAAACCACATGGCACCTATTGTCGTCGGCATGGCCTTCTACCGGCAAGGCTTGTTTCTGATGGAGGACGGTATTTTGGCATCCTTGGAAGCGCTTTTCTGGCTCCCGATTGCACGGAGAAGGTCGGTTTGCTCTCTGCTGCAAGACAAAGACTGCTTCTGGTTAACGCCCGACGAGGCGGAAATTTTGAGGCTGGCCCGGTCGGCACGACAGATGGGATCACAGTTGGGAGATGTGACAGTGCCGTCGGATGAACGAAAAAAATGTGATAGTACGTCGAAGCTATCGCTGTAGTAAGAAAAAGAATAAGAAACTACGACGGGGAGGAGTCCTTTTTTTACACCAATTTTTTATGAAGTTTCTATGTATAATTGAAGAAGCAGAAGCACTGCTCGCTGGAATAAATCATAATGATGCATCTAGATTTTTATTTGCAGATTCATTTCTGAAATAAACGAAAAGGAAAAGACGGCTTAGCGACCAAATTGATGAAGCACGACGTCGACAGCCATACTACACGTTTTGACACTTTGAGTTTGATCACTTTGCAAAGAAGCTAATACTCTCCAAGTAATGTTGCTGGAGCGTAGAACGCATAGAAACTAACCCGATTGTACTAGTCAACATAATTTTATTTTCACCTATTGCAGGCGCAGGGAGTTGGACATGCAACGTGGATGCGTCAGTGAATTGCAGTACATGCAACGGGATGCAGGTGCAAATGTAGCACGTGCACAGGCTTAGAAAGTAGCGTCAGTGCAGCTGCTCATTTCATTACAGTAGTGTTGCTGCTAGTGACAGTGAGCCCAGTTTCCTTCATAAAGGTCGTGCTGGAAGTAGAGTGACGTCGCATGAACACAATCGAACCTTCACAGTGTGAACAGCGTACAGTGTTGTACAAGTAAGATTTACACGAAATTGAGGAGCAACACGAAAAATGCAGCGGGACCCGAACGGCCACTGCAGTAGCGGCATCCTTGGTGGAAACATTGTCCTGTACTGTTGTTCTCGGAAAGCCGCTAATCCTTTTGCTGTTCTGTAGCTGGTTCTCTTTATCTTTTCGTGTGACGAAAAACACGATCAAATAAACTACCGATCAGACTCGTTGGTCCAGTATTTTTTTCCGATCGACATCGACGCAAGCAGGCTCTTTCGTAAGTATAACATCACAAGCAGTTCTTCTTTAGATTTGAAAATATCGTTGGCGTTGCAGGACGATGAGTCGCGAGACACATCATCAGATCTAGATACTTGCAGCTTGTTGCCCCCGTCGAAGCCCGTCTACAAACACTGGCACAATTCCGGACCACAAACCACATGGATGAAGCACCAGGTGATCACCCCCACTGCTTTACTAGTTCTTTTTTCAACAACATATAAGTTGACCGATTCTAGTCTTCATCTGACTGAAATAAAAAAAAAAGAACATCAATACTTGAAAAAGCAATCCCAGCAGAATGGCCTGCTCTGCCACCTTTGACGCCCCAGAACCCGAACCCTCTGCCGTAAACACCGAAAACCACTTTTCCTTTGTGCAAGTCCAGAATGACAGGCTCACGGTGGAATACATCGGAAAGGGCAGCCACTCCGACGTCGGGTCGGTGCAGGCAAATCGATGCTGTCCCACCAACAGGCTGCTCTACTACTTCGAGGTTTGTATTATTGATAACTTTTAAAGCGACGGTGAATTTTTGCTGCGCGTCAGCCAATATGTCGCGCCGGCCATAGGTTGAAGTAAGTAACTTGGTTCAACATCGCCGATTCCATTTTTGCCGCGTGATGTGAAGGCAGATTCTTATGGTCGTTTGATGACCTCCTCCACCTGCAGGGGAATATATGTATGAAGCATTCTGATTGCTTTATCACTATCAGGTCGAAATTCTTGCGCTTGGTGAGCGTGGGTCTATCGGCGTTGGTCTTTCCGGATCGGATTTCTTGCTGAACCGGCAACCGGGCACCGAGCCCATGTCTTTTGGCTACCGAGGCGACGAAGGCCAAAAATTTCTCTGTTCGAACCAGCCCGAAGCCTACGGCCCGACGTTCCAAGCCGGTGACACGATTGGGTGCGGAGTGAATTGGCTCGACGGGACGTTGTTCTTCACCAGAAACGGCACGCATTTAGGCGTAGCGGCGAGCGGGTCCAACTTTTTTCCCGCATTTTTTTCTACTCCGGCGAGTGGAAGTCGAAGTGGTGGGCAGCAGCACACGACAAGCAGCCACGGGGGGCATCATGGCGCAACTGCCCCTGCTGGCGGGCATAATCACGGCACAACGAGCAGTACGAGTAGAAATGCGTCTTCGAGTTCGAACAACACTGGCGGCTTGCTGAACGTCAGCAATACAACGGGGGGCGGTGGTGGGATCACTTCCGCCAGAGGGGCTTCTTCCAACTTCGAAGACTTTTACATCTACCGCGGCTCGGAAATCAGTGGCAACTGCGGCACCGCAAATACTGCGTGGAAACACTATGCGACGCCACATGGGGCGCCGTCGGGACGGAGGGTGGTAAGAGTTTGCACTGCGTAGATCGTGCAGCTGATGAAAGTCGTAAAGTCATGCTTGCAAGAACATGGGGAGCAGAAGATTTATGTGCCTGATCAAAGTTTTTCTGTGGTACAACTACGAGAGTGACAGACAAAGACACAGAATTGATGTCGAATGAAAGGAAAATCCAATTATCAACTGAAAGGTTCCTCGCCCGAAGCTGTTCCCGACCGTGGGACTGCACTGCCCGGGGGAGCGGATCCGCTTTCGCTTCCAGCCGCCTTTTGCGTACGACATTGCGCAGCAAAGGAAAACCATCGTGGATGAGGAAAGAATGCGGATATTGAAGGTGGACTTGCCGTATCAACACGGATTGCTGCTGAACGACGAGGTTGCAGCTGGTGGATCTCTCGTGCCACAGGTGGGTAACGGTAATAACCAAGCTGAAGCTCCGTCTTCTAATACTACTTCAAAACCAACTCCAACCATGTCAAGTTCGTCTAGTAGTACATCAGCTGCCCTGTCCCCGCCGATTCCGCTCTGCGCCAAACTTGTTCACAACTACCTTTTATTCGGCGGGTTCGCGAAAACGTTGGCGCACGTGCAAGTGGACGAACGAGATAGTTCCGTTTGGAGGATGAAAAACAAAGGCAACACCAGCACAAGTGTGCTGACCGGCTCATCGGCCTCTTTCTCCTCCACCTCAGTTCCAGCTCGCGCCAAAAATGCTGAAAATCCAGCAGCGCCAACCGACCCAGAAACCGTCGACGAGCTGTTGCTCCAGGCGTCCCTGCCCTGGCGGTCTCTGGTCAGGGAAAACATCGTGAAGGGCAATGTGCGCGAGGCGATGGACATTTTGAAAGCGAACTATCCGAACTTCTTCGAACTGGACTCTGATTTGCCGTTTAACACGACTGCTGACGCTGCAGATGATGGTTTAGAGGGAGATAAAGAGCGAAGCGATGTTGACTCGTCAGACGATGGAGGTCCTGGGGAGGACGATGATGATGATGGCGGTACGGGAGCAGATGCACAAGAAGCTCAAGCTCAAGCTGTGGAAGGAGACGAGGAAGAACAGGGCGCCGACGAGGAGGAGAAGGGGGCAACAAAGACCTCAAAAAAAGCAACTGCGAGAAAGCGATCCGCGTCTGAAGAGCCGCCTCCTAGAAAACGAAAGAAAGGTGGGGCTGCGGAAGGGCAGTTGCGGTAAGATTTTTCAATTTATTTCGGCTACAGCACAACTCCGAGACTGACGAGTCGTGATGGCTTGTATTGCATATCTATGCGGTATGGTGTACAAGTGCAACTCACCAAAAAGCTTCACTCACAAACTAACACCTACACCACTCAGCCTTCTTCCCCAAGCCCTACTGTACACGCAGGCTTTTCTCGAGCTCTGGCGAGACGGCAAAGTCGCCGAGGCGGTAACGTTCCTCCGCACAGAGGTGGCGCAGCTTCGCTCCAAGATCGTCGCGGCGTTGCACGAGGATTATTCATCTGGACAAGAAGATGGAACTGGTGACATTCCAACATCAGAATCCCTTCTCGCCTTCCCCCTCGACATCTCTTCGACCGGCAACTTTTCCGTTGACTCCTGTTTCGAAGACGCCTGCGCCGTGGTCGCGTACAAGAGCGCCGCCGCGATGCCGCCCCGGGTGAAAGCGATGTTCCACTCTTCGAGAAGAATGCTCACCGCGGATTTGGTCAACGCTCGGTGTGTGGAGCTGGCGTTGAGCAAGGCGCGCAGGGAAAGACGGAAGTTTGCGCTGGCGGCGATTTTTCAACCAAGGCAGGTGTTGAGTGCGGTGGGGGACGAGGACAACGATGAGGGCCCGAAAAACCACGCTAGTGAATGTTGTTCAGGTGCACAAATAAACGCAAAAGACAAAAATGACGAAAGAGAAATTGATCTAGACGAGTTGGAGGACGCGCCACGGGAAGGTCGTGGCGATGATCGTGGAACGTACGGCCCAGCAAGGAAGAAGTCTTCATCATCTTCGCCGCAGCACAAGATGAACTCTGCAGCATCGCCTTCCGCGACGTCCGGCGACCAAAAGGCGCGAAGCACTGCGATACCGCTTGACATCGCGCATTGGGCCTCGAATCACTGGAGCGCCCTGCACATTCTGCTTCGCCACCTGGTGCTATTGCGGCAAGATTTGCGCCCATTGAACCGAGGGCCGGTGCCTTCGGTGCGGGCGCTTTGTCTTGGAGGCTGAGGAGAGACGTGTATTGTCGCAGTTTGTCTGGTGTTGATCTTGATGATGCTTCACTGACGACAGAAATGGAAGACACTTGTACAGGAGCAGCTGGCTGCTTTGTCGAGGGCGTTCTTGCCCAGCACCGCAGTACGTGCGTGAGTCCGAAAAAACCGAGGATGTTGGCTACTCGTTGACGAACTTGAAAAGTGAAAGGCTTGAATTTACGACCTGTTTTGTTCAATTTTTCCCGCGTCCGTGCAGCCAGTCCGCCTGCGCTGGCGCTCCTCTTTGGTGTGCGTGCGATTTTGTGTTCTTGCGGAACGTGTAGCGGCGAACGCAAGAAGCATGCTTCAGTAGACCAGGCTTGGCCGCGTTGGCGTTATGTATTCTATCGCTCGAACTGAAAGCGCTTGCGCGGCGCGTTCCTGCAACCCGGCGCGGCCATGAAACCAAGGGCGCGCACCTGGGAGCCCCCGGGCGGAGGTGTGCCAAGTTCGCCGAATGGCAGGCGGCGACCCGGGCCAAGGACTTGCGGCGGGACATTCTGGGAGGTTTGCAAGCTGCCAACTCTTTACGCCGCCCGCCGACGCCGGGCGGCCTTGGTGTGGGCGGCCGGGTTATAGATTGCTGGAAGAACTCGGCGGGGAACTCGGGCAGTATTCACCCGCGCCGCTGCCGCCGCCGCTTCGCGTCGGGCCCTGGCGCTGCCGCGATCATCGGGGGGCATTCTGCAGGGAGGCGGCGCGCCCCGCAGGACGGGGGGCCCTTCTCTGGTGGCGCCCCGTGACGCAAGCGGCAGCCCGGCAAAAGGTGGCCAACCAGCCAACCGGCCCGCCGGGATCAAAGGTTGCCAACCACCCAGCCATCCGGCAGCGCAGGCGCCTGCGCGCCCAAAGGGACGCAATCAAGGCCGGCGGGGGTAGCGAGGCAGCGGGGGCGAGAAACGGAAAGGGGGGCCCGCGCGCCGCTCCAGTGGCCCTCCATCCTTGCAAGCTTCCCCGCTCTTTGCGCTGGGCCCCCGGCCCGGCAGGCGCTTGGGATTGATTCCACCCCCGCGCCGGGCTTTGGGGTGGCGCCCGCGCCGGCCGGGGGCCCCCCGCCCGCCCGCCCCCCGAACCAAGCCCGGGCCCGCCTGGCCTCTCCCTGGCGCCCGGCCGCGCGGGGGGGCGGCCCGCAGCGGTGCCATTCTGGGAGTTTCACCAATGGAGGAGCCGCAGAAAGATGAAGGACCGGCCGCCGGTCCCTGCGCTGGTGGGTTCTGGCCCCACCCACATCGCCGTGGAGATGTCCGAGGCAAATGCATTCAGATTTTTTGCGGGCGACGCGCAACGTCCCGCACGCGATCCGAGACGCAGTGCTTGGCAAATGGGTGCAGCTTTTTGGCTGCCGGGGTTGTGTCGTGCAAGCGTCCACGGCGTAGCTTTGATTCAAAAATAGGTCGGGAGGGCCCTGAGCCGTTTGAGGACGTCGCCGGAGCAGTCTATTGCCCGACTCTGGTTTGGTCGCTTGATGAAGGTGGGCGATCCCAACCTGAACCAAGGGGAGGAAGGTTGGTGGCCTCCTGCAAGATTGCTGGCATGAATGCCCGCCGGGGTGTCGCGGTTTGGGCGAGTTCACCCGGAGGACCCCCGAGCGACGCGGTGCGCAACCATTGGAGGAAGGGCCGCGGGCAAACTCCCGGGATCCGACCCGGTCCAGGTGCGATCTCCGCAATTTTTCGACTGCAGCATCATCGCCAGCTACGCGCTCGCCCCGTACCTACGTGGGGAGGGGTCTGCCCGCAAGATTTCTGGCAAGGTGTCGACGAGTCCGCGTCCCCGTCCGGCCTTATGGCGCGCAAGCCTTTCGGGGCCATTGCGGGAAGGGGGTGAGCCAACGAGGCGGGGCGCAACCCGTTCGCCGCTTTGGGTTACAGCGTGCGGATGCACCCTGGCGCTGCTGCCGGCCGCCGCGGTGTTCGCGCGCGGGCGCGGCAGCCGCCCCCGCCGGGCGGCCCGGCCCGCCGTTCTGCCGGCCGCCAAAGAGAGCAGGAGCCCGGCAGGGCACGCGACTGCCCTGCCGCCCGCTGGCCGGCCGCCCGGCGCGCACCGCAGCTCGCTAGGGATAATCAGTGGCGCGCGTGGCCACCCCCCACGCCCGGGCCGGCGGGCCGGTGTGTCATTCTGTGCCGCGGGCCCTGCGTTGTTTCTGAAGAGCCCCGCTGTTGTTGTGGCGTGGGAACGCTCCCGCGGCCAAGCCCCTGTCGTGGCCCGGACCTGTAGGAAGGCCGCGCCGGCGGCGGCCTTCGGACGGTGGGTGGGCCGGTCCGGTCCGGTGAGTGCGCAGAGTTGGTTCGGCGGAGATTTTTCAATGGGGCCTGCCGCCGCGGCCCCGCGTTGTCATATCCTTTCTTTTTATGTTGATGCTCACATATTGCAGCGCAGACGACGCACGGCGCTGGAGTTTTCTTTCGCTTCCTGTTCACTGTTCCTGCCGAGGGTCTGCAATAAATGCTTGAACCCAGCAGCAGAGCAAGTTCCGCGAAGCCCACACTATTTTAGTCGGTCCATCTATTACTCAGCATCAAGAAGCCCGTTGCAAATTAAACAATAAATGAAAGCATGTAGGAGCAGGAAAGACAAAGGGCGCGGCTGTCGGGCACGAGCAGCGGCCATTTCTTTTTTAGATTGAAACCCGGTCTGCCTAACGATAACTAAGTAGGAGCTGAGGTTCTTCTTTACGCTACTCGTCCGGCATAGTCATGGCCATTGACTGGCTCTCCCCGTTGGCCGCCAAGCTCCTCGTTGAGCTGCCTGATAACGCGTCCTCTTCGAGTAGCAGCCCAACTGTCGAAGATGTCTCGAACCAGTACCGCAGCTTGTGCCATGAAATGTTCGGGAGTACCACCAACACGACGGACACCAACGCCGGCCACAACATCTTCTGGAAGCTCACTTCGAGGGGAGCACCAGCAAGAACGTCATCAAAGGGTAGTACATCGACGTCGCAGGTCCAAGCCTCCGCCGACAGCCTTGGCAAACTGTTGTTCTACTGGCGCGAAAATTTTCTCGCGCTCCCGAGCGAAAACCGAGACCGGCTCTTCTGGGCGTTGCTCCGGTACCACAACCCCCTGTTCACCCGCTCGTTGGAGGTCTGGGGCTACTCTGCCGAGAATCTCGGCGTGCTCGGCGACCGCCTGGCCGCAGATTTCCGGTTGGCGGTCTTCCACCCGCGCAAGCTGCTACAGTCTCCGCAGGCGGAAAGCAGCCTGAAAATTCTCGGCTCTTTGGTCCCCGTGCATCTGGTCTTCCGGCTGTTGCGGAAATTCCAAGCGATCCAAACCTGCGTGTCCCACGAAGAGATCCGGGAGGTTTTGGCGGAGGGGTTTGACGAGTTGGATAAAGAGCCTGTAGCTTCGGCGAATTCGGAAGAAGAAAAAGAGGAGGCTTCTTCAATTCTTTCAGACTACCTGTACACCTATCAATCCGTCTTGAGTACAACTTCCAGCGCGAGCGCGGAAGACGCGAAGATAAGTCCCGAGGAAGCTGGAGGAGGAAAATGTCACGACAACAAACCACCAGACGACGAGCAGCGCTTTTTCGCCCGCGTCGTCCTCCGCACCCCGGACATCTTCTTTCACTATTGGACCGAACTCTGTGTTGGTCACCGCCCAACCGTGGTTAGTCCAGACCACTCCGGCCTGCACTGCGGGTTTCGAACCTGTCTGGGGTTGACGGTGTTGTCCGCGCACCCGGAAAACGCGTGTAGATTGTTGACAGGGGTCGCGTCAATTACATCAGCTTCTTCCTCTTCGGCGGCTGCAAGTAGCGACGCACAGAAGTCCTCGGCGGCACCAGAAACTGGTGCAGAAGTGGATGCATCCAGCCAGAATCGCCTGACAAGCTGGAACCGGTTCGCGCCGCTTTTTCCGGCGTCTTGTGTGGCCGGAGCGCTAGCCGGAATTCAGCTGGTGGACTGTCGAACGGGGTCGGAGCTGGCAGCCAGCTTAGTGGTCGAGAAAGAAAGACAGTAAGTACATCTTAATCTGAGGACTGGGTCGCTTTCGCTTACAATTTCCTAGGTCATGATCCTCGTTGCATGGTTTTTGTCACTCATGCTTGTTTCGCTGCAGATAGGCATACGTAGGAAACGAAAAAGGAGTGCGCTTGTTGTTGTTGTGTCTTGTGAAACAAAACTTTGATCCTACATCATCGCGATTATTCCATCAGACCTTCTCCTGACGACTGGTTTGCGTCGGACGGCAGCAGCGACGAGGAGGACGAGGAAGGAACGGATTCCGCCACATCAGACCTTCCATCTGGACAAAGAACCAAGGGCGGCCGCAACCTCACCGTGCCCGCGAACAGTCGCATCCTGGGCAGTTTGGAAATCGCGGCTTCGACCCAACTCGAAGACCTCCGCTCCCTGGCCGCAACCTTGGAATCGCATCGGGGAAAATTTCTTTGCCTGTTCGGGCAGAACCAGCCCGGAGTGATCGTGAACTTGTCGCGGGAGCTCGGGTTTCCCTACGTTTTGTCACTGGAGGGGGATTTTGCGGAGATCTGCAAGGCCTTGGCAAAAATCGACAAAGAGGACGATTATTTGTTGATGCCACAAAATAACGTCGACGGACACGCAAGTGGCCAGATGAATGGCACGACGACCAAAAACTGGTCTACGTGGCTCACGAACGCGGCGACGAATCTGGACAACGCGTTGCTGTCGATGGACGCAAAGGTGCAAAGTGCGTCGAGGCAGTTTGAGAAGAAGGCGAACGTGATTTTGGATCAGGGACAGAAGAAAATGGACGAGCTGTACAAGAAGAATTTCGACTTTCAACCGGAGGACAGGGCGGGGGTCGTGGAAGATTCTTCACGACCTGGTGAGGTGGAAGAACAAGGCGCGGCAGGTGTGGCAGAGCCTGGCGTTAATAGTTGTACCATTGCTGCTGCGTCCTCGTCCTCCGCCTCGAGTAGTAGTGCAAGTCCAGCAGCACCAGCGCCACCTCCACCCCCTCCACCAGACGACGACTCCGCGTCACACACTTCGAGCTCTGCCGGCAGCTCTTCTGCGGCCACAGCGAACAAAATCCTTGAAACCGGATCGTCGCTGTTTTCCAGTTTCAAAGGCCACTTGAAAAAGGCCCAGGACCAGATGCAGACGCACCTGGCAAATGCGAGTGCTGCGAACGGGAATATGAAACTCGGGGAAATAAATAAATCTGCGCCATCCGGAGCAGCGGGGGACCAGACAAGTGGAACATCAAAGGGACCGCCACCCCCACCGCCCCCTGCTCCACCAAGCAGCTCCACTGCCAGTGCAGCTCCCACAACCTCCTCCGCGGCGACGACCGAAGACGACAGAAGTGTGAAAACGACCTCCAACGAAGCGTCGTCGTCCTCCCCCGGGGACGAAATCTACTCGACGAGCGACATGTTCAGCGGGTTGCAGGGGGCTGCACAGGGGCTGTACAAGTCGTATGTGACCACGTCGGAAAACAGGGCAGGTGGAACTGAAACTGCGGCAGCACCTGGGCTGGGGGACGGCTTAGCAGGAGTGGATCCAGATACAGGAGTTTTTGGCGGAGCGACAAAAGACGGCGACCAACAAGACCAAGGTGCGTCAAACTTACTCCAGGAGGCCATTGCCAACGTGAAAAACAAGGTCCCGCTGGTTGTATCGTCGTCGTCCGCGGAAAGTGCTTCCTTTTCGAAACCGCCGCCACCACCCGGAGGAGGCAGCTCTACTTCCGAACGGAACGAAGGGAAGCCTGGGGGGATGATGGCTTCGCTGAAAAAATCCTTGTTGCAGCAACAAAGCAAGATGAATGGGACTACTACGGACCAAGCTAAACATGCGAAGAAGAAATCGTCTTCCAAAGACCTTCTCGACGACGACACCTTCGCGATTGAGTCGTCAGAGGAAGAATCTAGTGCGGACGAAGCAGAAACGAAACCTGGCGCAGCTGCTGGTGTCAACGATTTACACAAGACGAGCAACAGTGCCGCTCCGTCGGCCCACTCGGCAGCGGTGGCAGCGACGAGTTCATCTTCAGCAGGCGGCGATAGAAACAAGGTCGATGGCGACCTGCTCTCTGCAAGTTCGCCTACTTCCTCAAGTCTTCAAGCAGGAGCTCCACGCCAGCAACCTTCGCCCGCACCGCCCCCGCCGAGGGAAATCGGCGTGGAGCAGCTAGCCGGGTTTAGGAAGGGGGATTTGATTCCGAAGCAGGACCTCGACAAATTACTTCGGTCCTCCCTCGCAAATTCCTTTGAGGTGACAAAATTCCGGAGGCCAGCTGGGGGCATTGGGCTCGGGGGAGGAGCAGCAGTTGCTGCTGTTCCGGCAGCACCACCACCTGTAGCGGCAGAGCAAGTGCAAGGAACCTCCTCGAGCTCTTCAAAGACCTCGTCCTGGTGGGAGCGAGCGAAGAAAAACATTCAGGAGTCCACGAAAGCGGCCACGCAAGTCGCTTCCGGAATGATTGCGGGCGACGCCCTGGCGTTTCACGAGCGACGGCAGAGGCTGCTGATCCTCACACTGAACTACATGCTCCTCGTGTCCGAAAAGGAGGGAGGGGCTGCACTAGAGGCACATGATCCAACACAGACCTCTAGTACTTCGGGAGTTGTACTAGAGTCAACTTCTACAACCCCGCCGCGGCGCTACATGGTCGTGCATTCATGTCGTCGGATAAACACGATCCGGCGGTTATCCTTCGAAGAAGAGAGGCCGAAGAGGTTACAGGTCGAATACAAAAACAAAGCGATCATCAACATCTACCACATCGAGGAGAGTGACAGGTTCATGAAAGTTCTGCAGTCCCAACTGATGGCCCTGAACATTGGCATGAAGAATGTCGGAAGTGGAAGCACATAATGAGTGTGAAGGAGCTGAAAAAGAACTATCTGCGGGTGCATATGACAGACACGAACGACAAAAATAGTTTTTCAAAAGAAACAAAAGACTAGACGCGAGGTTCGAGGAACCAGTACCGTGCTGTCATAGGTAGATGGAAGTGCAGGTGCAACCGTTTCTTCGAAGTTTTTGAAATTGATGTTCCGGCGTCAATGTCATCTTCGTAAACTTCGTAATCGTTTTGTTTTCAAAGTGTGCACATGTCTTCATCAATTAACGAGTTAGAGTGATGTTTTCGAGGGGCGGCGTCCGCCGCGTGCTGTTTCTCTCTGTTCTCTGATGAGAGGAGAGAAGGATTCGTGTTTCTCGTAAGTGATCACAGTTGCTGTGTGTGAAGAATGAATACTCGTTCTTTGGGCGGTAGTTGTTTGCGCGGAACAGACTCTTCGACAAAAACGCTTTACTTTTCGCCAACTTCGTTTCACAATTGGGGCAGTGTAGTACTTAGCCGCTCATTTCAGACCGCGAGAGCGATACGTCTTGTAAAAGGAAAAGCTGTTTTAGTTTTGGTTCGCGGACCGGAACTTAAAATTAGGGACCGCGCCCAAGGAGCTGGAGTGTCGGTCGTGCGGTTGTCACAACTCTCGCAGCGCCTTCGGTGCTAGGACGACGCGCTTCACCGCTGAAACCGATTCGAAAGACCGGCGCCGCCGCCGAGAGGGTAAACCTCAAGATCGACGGACATCAACAGTAGGCAGCCTCAACTGGTGCCTCCTTGCCTCATCGTCATCTTGGGGAACAAAGCGAGCTCCTTGTCTGCAGTCGTGGAGCAACGCGGAAGCCATTACACACGAAGTGCTGCGCGTTGAGAATAAAGCCGCAAGATAGCGTAGCAGGAGCAGTGCCGTGTAGTTCTCCTAGCGATTAGTTGTATCATTACATCGACGTCGCGCTTCTATTGCTCCTAGACAGCTTCCACCTCTACACTCCCGAGGTAGAGTTGATCAACGTCTTCCTGCAGCTGCTTTTTCGAGGCGACACCCACCCCGTGGAATCCGCCCAACATGGCGACTATGCTGGGGGACTACCCGTTCCCAAAGCGCCAGGACACCATGTTCCTTGACACAATACATCCAAAAGACGTGCCGCTGGGCCATGTCTACCCGCAAAAGGAGGAAGATTTCTCCTTGAAGACCGACGACATATTCAAGGCGCAGCCCTACTTCCACACCCACAACTTCAGAAATATGAGAAAACCGGAATGGGGTATAGTTCATACGGTTTTATATGTTTCCTTTGCTTTACAAGTTAGGTGTAGATGATGTATGAAGGTACTAGAGCTTTGCAGAAGAATGACAAGTTGATGCAGGATCACGTACTACAGGAGCGCGAATCATTTCTATGTCTAAAAAAATCGCATCACAGACCACGGCATGCGAGCAACGACCTGTTACCCAAATCCACTACGAAGACCGCGAGATTTGTCACTCACGGTTTACGACATCGAAGGCGCGAGACCCGCAAAAACACAGGTTTGCGTTCTTGCGCATTCATGCAGCACGACAGGAAATTTCTCTCTTACCGGAATCGCATGCGAAATCGCATGACAACTATCAAAAATTGTTGTTGATTTTTCCTGAATAAAAATGATGCAAAACCTCACAGATCTTCAAGGGCCAGAGGCACGTAGACCCATTAGCACCGGTGTACCAACTCCCTTCTTGTCAAATGCAGAAACCGCTTTCGCCAAGTATAATCCGCTCAGGCGTTACAATCTCAAGCGTTACAATAGAGTCTGAGATTTGTCTTGCATGATGAGCATGATCCAGCCAACTCTCATAGGGTTGCGCATGACAAGTTCCGGAGCTCCAAACCCCACTACATTCTGTCGAAATTTGTATTGCGAAAGGTGGAACGCTGTGCGAGTCTGTCATGCCCATCATGCAACACAACTTCCAGATTCTATTGTAACGTTTGAGATTGTAACGTTTGAGCAGGTCATACCAAGGAGATTTAGCGGGAGACATACCAACGACATTTCGGACATCGAGTACACTGCCCGTGATTTTCTTGGTTTTATTGCTATTTGGTATTCGTATTTGTGATGCTCGTGCTCCAGCTCCTGCTGCTGCTGCTGCTGCATGAAAAGACGTACTTAGGTCGCACCCAGACTGTGCATGGCAAAAAATTTTGAAGAAACCCACTTATACTAACTCAGGTTGACCAGCAGCAAAATCATCATGCCCGACCGCAATTACGTCAGGGATCCGAACGACGCGAGTGACATAGAGTACACCTGTCCCAACTACAAGGGCCGGGTAATTCTCCCGTCTAGGACGAACAGCCATCTATGAAATGCAAAAGTACTATCGCACTCGTACAAGTATCGCAATCGTGCATGGATATGAAAGACGATTTGTCAAAAATGATAAACCTGCTTTCTAGAAGTACCTGAATTCGCATGAGAAATTCCAAATCTATGTATTATTGACAAAATGTGTCATGGATGCGGTAGCTCGTACTAGGTAGTGCGATCATGATACTTTCGCAATGCATACCATCCGGACCCGCACAACTCGCTCGCGATTGGTGACATTAACGGCCCGAAAAGGAATATGAAAGCCTCAGGTTGGAAATCCTCAAAGTGGAGATAATTTGTAATGCAAAAAAACGACTCCAGTTGAAGCGCCATTTGTAGTCGGCGCATGACAAATTTCCCGGGCACTCAAAACGTGTCTGTCATGCTAGTTGGGCAAAGAGCTGCCCTTCTTTCGTGCTAATCAGCAGCCCAAGTCTGAACCCCTAGAAGCACAATAGTCGGCCTCCATGGCGTTCTCTGCAATACAGTCTTTTTGGTGTCGCATTTCATGCATCACAAATCATTTCCACTTTGAGAATTTCCATTCTGAGGCTTTCATAAGGAAAATTCCGTTTCGGGAAACGAACCCGGTGGACCCCGAGTATTACGTCTCCCAGGCCACCACCACATATGCATTGCAAAAGTATCGTACGAGTATAAGTTGCATTACAAATTATGCTGATTCACCCTGAGAAAGAGATTTGTCATGCATAAACGCAATTACTACGAGTGCGATACTTTTGCACAGGATACCACAAGCCTGTACGCAAATTGGAACGAGGAAACAGGTAATCGTTATTGGTGATGTCGCGAAGACTAGATTTGCTTTTGTGATGCGTAGTGGCGGTAACGACGTGCTGCGCAACGTGCATCATAAGTAAATATGTTGTTGTTGTATGAGATGAACTACGATTTTGGAGGACTGACTACTGCAACACAAGGTCTCTACCACCCACAAGCGCGGCCGAGAACAATAGGAGTCGTTCCGGGAAGCAAACCGAGGAAACTACAGTGGAGCAACAGCGAGCCACAATTGAGCTTAGTCAAGGAGGATATTGCAGGTATTCGTATTGAATTTGACAAAGCAAGGTAGTAGGTCCTGGTAATGCACTGCCACAAGTCTCGTCTGGGTCTTTCGTCGTTGTCATGCCGTTCTTGCCAAAGCCACCTAGCAGAGAAATGTATGATAAACGAATTCTCTTCTAAGGTGCGAACTCGCAGAGGTGGTGCGGCGAGCGACCCATTCACGTCTATGACGATATGACGACAAAACCGCCCATCTTCTTCCACGACCCATTTGACATCCCGGGGGCACAGGTAACCATGGGACTTGTTGTGCAGGAAGTTGTGATTGCGTGGTTCTTCATTCATTCTTCGTGCAAGGCGAAAAATTGCATAAAGGTTCCCTTTTGTTTTGCATCAAAGTTCGGTCGACGGTTCTGAAACAAAGCGAAAGCTGGACTCTCTCGAATAATATCGAACAAAACGGGACTTAACACACAGGTAAGCAGTTTGAAAAAGGGTTTGGTCACGAGCCGGTTCACGAATCCCATCACACCCGCCTACACGCTCCTCGACGGAAAGAAGGACGTCCTGCCAAAATACGTCCCAAGACAGTCCGCGGACGCTAGGCTTCCCGCGACCGGGACCTCCGCACCGTTATCTGCCACAGCAGCCTCCGCGTTGCCGACGCCGCAGGGGAAAAGTGCGAGCTTTTCGGCGGACAAGGAAAACATGCCCCCGATGCCCATGCCGGGGAACAACACCAATGTGAACTCGCAGACCATGAAAATGCCTATGCCCCCCGCTTCGGGCGGAACCGCGGCACAGCAACTGGGGCAGTTTGTGGACGGTTGAGATCATATGAAATTAGAGAACGGTACTAGGAATGCAGTATCTGTACGGAAGGAACTACTGCGAAAGCGAAATGTTTCTCAATTAATAGTATAGTGAGATTTATTCAAAATGAACTTTTTACAGTTTCATCCTGTAATTGTGCAAAAACTTCTATCAAAATGACCTGACCACTGGTGTCACCTGTGAATGTAAATTACCTTTCAAACAATCGCCAATGACCCGTAAAAAGAACTATTCGCTAGAAGCTCAATTCGTATTTCAGAAGCTTTGAATGATATCCGGTGAAGTTGTTGTGCTACATCGAAGAAACGAACCGACTGTCGAATTCGGGATACACCCCTCCAGAACTCCTTAATTTTACACCAAAACTAAAGCTATGTGTGTGCTGCAGACGTCGTTGTGACGTAATGCGGGCATGATCGGGGCGTCCGTTTCACTTGTAGCAGCAGTCCCGAGCAGCAGTCGTGATTACATTGTAGAATCAGACGAGAACTGAACTGTAGCTAAACCTTTGCACCGAACAAATGAACAGCGAATGATATTTGTTATGCTAGCTTGATAAGATACGGAACTACCACTACATGCCTCGTAGTTTATCTCCTGACCTGTTGCCTCCTCCTGTATCACACCACTGAAAATTCCTACTTTCACCGTGCTGTGACAGTGGCGCTCGCGCACTGCATAAAATACCCTTCATCTACTTAACTCGAACTCCTCCTCCTGTGTCTCCGAGGTTTGTTTGCCGTCCCGCCTGACAGCCTGAAAACTATCCCTGAACCTCCTGCTGGTGAACTCTAAAATAGAAAGATACTAAACTACGGCAGTGTTGCTCACTCCGTACCGGGTCCCGTGCGAGCAACCGTAGCCAGCGGAGTGGAGAGGGAAACCACTGCTCAGACGTTACCGGAGAAATTTGGTAACGATTGGATCCCGGGAGCGCACCCACAGAACTTGCCCATGGACCTGTGAAGAACACGACGGCAGCGATCTCCGATCATTCTCGTCATCACTCCGATCTGAAGTTGCTCTTGTGATCTTTATGAGTTTACGGCTAAGATTATGCGTTCAAAAAAAAAAAAAAAGAAAGATACTAGACTAAGCCTGCCGCCCACCGTGCTAGGCGCGGCTATCCTGGTGCGCAGATCTAAAGTTGAACCTGATGTGATTCTGTTCGAGTTCTTCGTAAGTTTTCGGTATGTCCTTTCACCGTGGTACTCTTGTTCGGTAGCTTGTGTAAGCACCCCGCTCCGGGATGTTAATCGGTTATCTTACGACCGTTGTTGACAATGCTCTTGCGTTTCGGTTCGGTTTGTGAGTGGAAAATTGATTTTCATCTTCCTCGGTCTCATCGTTCTGTTGCAAGATGATTGTTTTCTGTGCTGGCTGTAGAGCACCATCTTCATCTATCTTCGGTATATGAGCTGCAGGATGACCCATTAGCTGTCGCCAACATGTTGTTGATCATTTCTGCCTTCGAAGTCAAATCCAGTTCCAGACCTCCTACAATAGGCTTCTTATGACTAGCATGATAGATTTTGCTTTACTAACCTCCTCCTTTTTACGCACCACCCCCTAAAGCACTTCGTGCGCTTCTTGTACTGCGTTTTGAAAGTCAAGCTAGCACCACCTTCTCACCGTGCCTCGCAATTTTGCTGTATGACAGACCCCCCGACCATCAAGAAAAATGAAGCGCAAGCACTTTACCGCTGACGTGATCCGACCTCAGATTCCCGTCGGCACCCAGGGCGCCAACGACTACTACAGCAGCGGACCGCTTCCGACCGGCGCCGCCCAGTGCGTCACGTTTGAGCAAGATTTCAACGAGGGTTGTTTGCTCACGACTGGGAAACAGCAGTGCAACGTCTTCAGCGACTGCGGCAACGTGGAGCAATTGCGGGCCGGAGTGAACAACCTGAACGTGAACGACGGGAGGAACGCCAACAACAACCACGGCCCCCGCACACAATTTTTACAAATTGCCGACCGTGCCGGCCCGAATTCGCATAAGATTTGGGAGCGAAAATTGCCTCCCAGTCACGACTCGCGGTTCCACCCCTGTGACCAGGACCGGCTGGCGCAGTTGCTGAAAGACCCTTTTCGCACTACGCCAGAGCTGGAGACGTACAAGCGCAGGAAGGAGTCGGAACAAAGTGTTGGACCATTGTCCTGGCAAGCGCAAATCGTGAATAAGACCAATCGGCGGTATTTCTCGGTTCCAACTGAGAAACTGTTCGAGCAAAAGTTCGTGGAGGAGTTCAACACGGAAGATCGCGGCATCGTCCCAGCGAAGCAATACAGAGTGAATTTGGTGAAGCGCGACTGGTATAGTACTTCGAATTCCGGAGACGAGAAAAAAGCAGCATCTTCCCATTTCATCTACTCGTCGAACTATCCACCGGATCCGGTTGTGCCGCCGGTGAGATACGGACTGGGTTTGGTGCCGCCTGAGGCTGAAGTGAGAAGCAAGTTAAGTTTGGGGGGGTGAAAGAAGAACAACACCAATACATATCCAAATTGAAGAAACAGAAGGAAGAAAGGAAGGGCGAGAATAAACTACATCAAGAACAATGTTTGTTTGTACAGGACAGAGTCCGCAGTTTTCGCACAGACCTCCCCTCGTCCCTGTGCGGGAACGAAAATTTAAGAAGGAAGAAAATCAAAATTTACAAGGGGAGGTCAACAATACAGCAGAAGTAAGCCACACAAGGAAAATCCACCTCGCAGAAATCAAAAGAAAGACACGCGCGAAGAAGTTGGCTGTGAAAATAATGCAGAGAGCAACTCACAAGTTCTCCAGTCGTCCCCACTGGATGGTGAAAGACGGCGTCGTTTTGAAACCTGATTTGCTGGCTTCTCAACAACCCGAGTGGTCCTCGCAGGGAGGTTTATTACCTCGTAAAGAGCAAAGACCTGCTCAACCAGCCCTCCGACTTTGGCTGAAGCCGAAGAGCAAAGACGGCAAGACAGAGGAGCAGATCGACTTTCCAATGACCATTCAGGGAAAAAATCTCACGAAGGCGATTCTGCAAGCAGAAGAAAACCCCGACATCTACCTCGCCGCAGCGGACTACGTGAATGCGTTTTTGCTGAATGTAGGACCTCCTGGTGGAGGTGCGTTAAAAATTACAGCTGTACAGCAAATCGACGGCGACGATATCGATTCCATCGTTGAAGATCAAGGCCGTTGGCACGGGAACGGCCACCAGAGGTTTGCGGAAGAGGTTTTGCTACCTTTACCCGGGAAGTTGAAAAAGCCGGATTATTTCGGGGTAAAGGAAGACGAAGGCGTCGATACCGCTTCAGTTGATGACGAGGAGGAGGAGGGAAGCGACGATGACGAGCAGGAGGAGGATCCTGACGAAGACTCGCCCGCCGAGCCCAGTAACGAGGACAACGACGAGGATGATGACGCAGCAGGATCGAATCGTCCAGATGACCGACTTTGTTCTCCCGACATCGCCATTTTCGGCAGTCTAGACCCCCAGGTCGCCGGTAGAGAGATCGCGGTGAAAAACGGTGAGGAGAAAGCGCTGCAGGACTGTGCGTCAGAGCTTGTGTTGCAGGTGAGGCTAGAAGCAGGGCGGCAGATCATGATAGAAGCCGGTGGAGGTCCTCTTCGTCTTGATGGCTCATCCGCAGTTGGACCATCTTCTGCGCAGAACCAGTATTTGCAGTGTGTGGAGTCCTCGGAAGACGATGGCGCACAGTTCGTGGAAGAACAGATCCTATTGACCAACGAGTGGCAGTCCTTCACCGGACGATCTGTATCTCAACCGGATGCGATTGCGACTGCACGGGATGAACTTCCTACCGAGCCGCCTTTAATTTTGCCGCTATGGAATCTAGAAGACGAGCTGAATTACAACGTTCACGGCCGACCTGGGTCCGGTCGCTGGAGCCGAAAAAGCAACAGCACTCTTTTTAAAGCCGCGTCAGAGGGAGCAAATGCAAAGGCAAACACCAGCACGAGAAAACCTCCACAAAGGCCTGCCGACGTCGGTCTGATTCCTCCTGACGGCAAAATACCGGCTGAACAGTTTCGAACCGAGGAAAGGGAGAGACAAAAAGCGGCAAGAGCAGCTGCTGCTGCCGCGGAAAAAGGACTGGCTGAAAAAAAGCACAATAGTGCGACGGACGGTACTGAGGAGGAAGAGGAAGAGCCGGCTGATGACGGCGTTGACGAAGTAGACGAATCTGCAAGTGGGGGTGAAGATGCTGATGAAGACCAGGGCGACAACGACGAAAACGAGCTTGCAAGCGACGAAAATTTAGAGAATGAACAGGAGACAGAGGTGGAATTTGAATTTTTTAGAACTTGAGGTTTTCCCTGTGATGTTCTTTCTCGTCCCATACATCACTTCATGTTTTTGATTGTTCTTAAACCTACAGTTCAAAGATTCCCGATCCAACAGAAAATAATCGAACCTTTTCCCTCTCTTTTGGTCGTTTTTGAATTTGAAGATGTTTTTTAAGCGGTAGATCCCGAAATTGACTGAACCGCAGTTGAGCAACAGGGGCACATATTTTTATACCCAAAGAAAGAGGACGTACTGTTTCGCAAGGCTACTCTAGATCCAAGCACGACAAGACGTGTATTTGTCTCATACCCATGATTTGTTTTTCACAAATGTTAGCTGCGTTTCGAAGATTTAGATCTGCTCATGTGCTGTGCTCCAGGATCTAAATCTGAATCTAAACGGCGCAGCCAGCGAGGGTCGCATTGTTATCAACGATGTTCTCCTGCCACTGTGATCGCGCACGGACTGTTGACCACTGCTCAGCAGTAGGCTTGATACGGATCAACCGGAAGATGAAGATTCTTCAGTTCTTCGGAATCCTCTAAATCTGTCGACAAAACAAACCTGACGAGATAAGAATCAAAATGATCCAGTGAACGCACGATGCTCCTGCTTCGCGATGTGATCCACTAAGCGATCCGCTCTTTGTTTCCATAATTTTCGCACGATAAGTAAACGAAAACGCTTTTCTTTTTTTTGTCTAATCTCCTTTTCAAACCACCACCATCCAGGGAACAACTTGAGTTAGTTACGGGTCGTGCTTCACAAGATGGGGCATAAGTCCAACCCGTACAAGAAGGCCCGCTCGGCCTTTCGCTGGAAGGTATGACAGATTTTGATAATAATGTTGTTTGTCATGCATAAACCAGCTTAGGCAGCTGCAAAACTTCTTTTTGTAAAACTCAGTTGATAGGTTGGTTCCTGTTTGTCCAGTAGAATTCTAAAGGCGAATTTATCTGTCTTGCAAAACCCCAATCCAAACTTCGAATCACAATACAGTGGAAGAAGAAGCGCACGCGCCGTTTGCAGAAGAAGAGGAGGAAGATGCGTCAGCGCTCCAAGTAAGCGGCTTACCGGTTTGGGATGCAGATCGGGCTTGGATAATTTCCAGACCTGTCCTGGCTCTGCACCGCAAGCACCCGGTCGTGGACTGATTGAGCAGGAAGCTCCTCCTTCTGTGCCTTCTTGTGACTAACTCCAAGTGACAACAAAAAGAAAAAACTTTAGAACTGCGACAAGTTTCACTGTAGTAGCTCTAAAAAAAAAAACAAGAAAGCGGCAGCTTTGAGTACCTGCGGGCATCGAGCGAATCTCGTTTGCTGGTTTCCGAGCTTCGCCAGTGATGTTCGACGAAGTTGTTGTAGGAAGGAAATCGTTCTTGGTTCAAATACACACAGTGTTTTTTGCTGCAGATCATCCAACTCAAATCTAGAAATCTAAAATTCCATGTCTTGATCAACTGGTATTACAGGATGATCTCGCGAAAAACGATCTTAAGTGCAAACAGCTCAGGAGGTAGAAACAGCTAGCAGTACTACCATACCTTTCATCGTCGATATGTTCGCACAGTCGGTCCGCTTCTAAAGCCGCGATCTTGACGTAGTTCCGATGTGCTGGAAAGAACCCTGCTCGATCTTCCAAAAGGATAGATTTGAAGATAAAGAAGCAGAACGTCGCTGGAGTTCCTTAAATCTGAAAAATCACGGGTGAGATCCTCCGGCTGAGAACTTGTTCGGACACAAGAATCATGATCTCCACGCCGTGCAAGTACTGTCAATTCCGAAGTTGAGGGTCTATTCCTGCCTTCCAAATGAAAATCTAAATCCGCTGTTTCCATCCTTGACCTTTCCCCAAAAACCTCCATGGCAACTGTGTGTGTGATCGATTTGTACTATTTGCTACATTATCATCGTGAATTTGCTACGTTATCATTTTCGCTTGTTATGCTACTTCTCACGATTAAAAATCGAACAACCATGGCTCATAACTTCGTCCGGTCTGTCCAATCACAGGGTTAAAGGCCGCTGCGGGAAGTCCTCGTCTACCATGGGGCATAAGTCGAACCCCTACAAGAAAGCGCGCTCCGCGTTCCGCTGGAAGGTAAAATCGTGTTTCTTTTTTGTTTGTCCGTAAAAACGCCTCAGTAGCAAAAGCAAAGCTGCACTTTCATCGCATCACCGCCATGATTATAGATACGTAGCTGCTTATCCCCCGTTGTAAAGATGACATTTGTTTTGCAAAATTCACTGTGCGAAATACTATTGTCAAAATTGAAATTGAAATATCATCACAGTGGAAGAAGAAGCGCACGCGCCGTTTGCAGAAGAAGAGGAGGAAGATGCGTCAGCGCTCCAAGTAAACGACCTGCAAGCGCGGAGGTAGACTGTTCGTCACAAAGACAGCTTGTCATGCTGTGGCTTTTGGTACACAGGTGATCGAACACAAAATGTTGACGTGTAGACTGAGTTGAGAACAAGCTTCCCAAGGTGAAACCACTTCAATTTTTTATGTTGAAGTCGGATAGCAGCGAATTCGAAGACCGGTACCTGGCAGTGCCGCGGGGCGCATGCTCATGCCAATTATCTCTTGCTTGTTCATTTTTTATGAATCACCAGGAGGTGGTCCAACGTCAGTTAAGCGTCCTGACTACTTGTATTAGAAATTAAGCACTAGATTATAGGGAGCGATACTGAGATGAGAGTGAGAGGCCGGACGACGAGTAGGCGAGCGATGCCGATGCGTCATGCACAGGAAGTCACCGACACCGCTGTTGACCTGATGCCATACAATAAATGCGGTCCTGCCCCCTGGGGTTGGCCTCGTCCCTTTTACTGCAGCATGTGGTGATTGATGTCGCCGATTGATTTCGAGATGAAAATACACCAAAATCCACGTACGATCGCCAGAGCTTCAAAAAAAGCAAAACGCAAATTTTGAAAATATGTGTTTTGCTCAATAGATTCGGTCTGACGAGATGAAATTCAATGCAGCCCTCCCTTCTTGTTGATGCGTTCCTTCCTGCCTCTTTGTATAGCTCAAATTTACAACAACTGCCGTTGTATTTGCGGATCCATTTGTTGACCAGGTGAGTGAGGCATGGTGTTAGCGGAAGCTTGAGAATCAGACCCTGCGTTATTTCAGGTGCAGGTTTTTACGGATCTTGTGAATAGCCTGTTTTTCTCTCTTCATCGACCAAATCATGACTCGTCCGGAAGAGCCCTCCAAGGAAGTGAAGAAACTTCAAGAGCGAGCGCGGGGGAGACAGGACTTCAATTACAATGGGCGGAAAATTTACTCCTGGGACCAAACGATCGACGAGATCAACGTCTACATAGACCCGCCACCAGGAGTTACCAAGCACGACCTGGACATAAGTAAGCACCCTTGATGTTGGTCTTGTTTTGTGTTGTACTATGACATTTAGGTGGTATTATTCCATTTTTCAGTGCAGCTGACAACATGTGAACAAGAGAAAATCTTGAATTCAACCGGTCAAGTACAACCCCGCTACTTTATCAGGTATCGCCCCCCGACACGTGAAGATCGGTCTCTGCGGCAACCCGCCTTTTATACAAGAGGACCTCTACTCTGTTTGCGACACGGGCTGCAGCTTCTGGATGATTGAGGACGGGGAGCTCCACCTGCAGCTTGGGAAAGTGCACAAAGCCGAAACCTGGCAGTCGGTATTCGCCAGACACGGGAAGCTGGACGCCTACACCGAGCAAGAAGTGCAGAAAAAACTGATGCTGGAGCGGTTTCAGGAAGAGCACCCGGGTTTTGACTTCTCCGGCGCGGATTTTTCCGGGTCTGCACCCGACGCCAGGGCATTTATGGGAGGGGTGAAGTACACGTGAGATTGACATAGGAACATCGGATTGACTAGCAGGAGCAGAGGTGAATTTCTTGCCTGTGGTCTCGTCCGATGTATGACAGCGATGTTTTCTTTTCAACGCGACCAAACTAGTTTTTGGGTCGTGTAAAAATATCATATGAACAACACGAGCGATAGCGAACGAACAAGCGACAGCATCACAATACTTCAAGCGACATTCGTTGTACCCCGAGCGAACTTTTCTGAATTCTTCTCGGCTAAAAAATGCGCAATCGCGACAAACGTGAACCCAAGCGGGGCGAGCAGCTTCAGGAGCTTTTTTATGTGGAAGGAACAAATCTGAATCTTCATCTTGATCCTTAGTGGTTGTTTAAAGCCCTTGCGATGAAGATGAAGGAGGAGATGTTGTTCTGGAGCAATTTTAGCTCACAAAGCTTTGTATGCCGTCGTGTGCAGGACCAAATTGAAATTGGTGGCATCCATACAGGTTCTTTGAGTTGGTGCGAACATCAGCTGAAAGACGATGTTGACTGGGGAGTTTTATACTTTTGAGAGTTGCGTGAATGTGCCTGTTGAGTAGAATGAATCTAGAGAAGAACGAGATAAAAGTGACGCAAAGTAGCAGACGCATCGGCCAGCCAAGCGTCTTGATAATTTCCAGCGTTTCATTTGGTTTGCCAAGTTACTGTTGATGATGATCTGGTATCGTGAAACTGTGCTCACATTTCGAGAACGCATTCTAGTTTTGGTAATCTTGGGTACTTCAATGATAAGAAGGGGATGACACGCCCCGCCCATACCTCGACCACAGTTCCGGCAGAGAACAAGATGCGAACTTTTCCCGGCTCTGTTTCGCTGCGTGCCTGTCGGGTCGAAGTTTCGAACGAAGCTTCTGTTCCAGGAAGTGACGCACGGTTGGGGACCGCGACAGGTGGACCAGCGCAGCTGCCTTCTACAATATCGCTCTCCGTCGAGCGCCCGCAGGTGCAAGTCATCTCGCAGTCACCCGGAAGAGAGCACGCGTGTTTGCCAGAATTCAACAGTCTGACCCCCGGCGGCACCCGCACTCCGTCAGCTTCGTCAAGGCCAGCAGCATCCACCCGCTTTACCGATCAGGATGCGTACCGGCGAAAATGTGCGCAAAGAGTCGCGCAGAATCGAAAAAGGATACTGCAGCAGAAGGAGTTGGGTGGAGCTCCTGGAGGTGGTGGCAACACCAAGCGACATAATAACCCAACATTCCCGGTACTATCGAATCTGCGTCCTGGCGGTTCTTCTACTCCCGCAGATGCAGTGCGAGCGAACTTTCACCCGGCAGAACGATTTACAACTAGCATGGCGGGCGCAACACCAACAGTGGATTGTTCGCACGGCGAGAAATCCATTCCGGTCTTCAACCACGTCGAGCACCCGCGGGGGATGGAAAGGTCTTTGCTTCCCGTTCGCGTCAGCATCAGCACACCAAAAGAACACGACCAAGGCAGGCCGTCCGGACGAGTCCGGGTGAGCGACTCAGTCGGAGGTGGCGCCAGACTGCGAAGTAAATCCGTCGACCTGTCATCCGCTGGCCCAGCCAGAACAAGAATGATTTCGATGTTGACACCAAAACTTTCGCTCTCAACGTCTTCTGGGCGAAGTGCAAGGCCGGGCGATGCGCATGCGTACTCGGGCACTGCCGCTAGTTGTACTAGATCAACATCGTTAACACCGGCAGGTGGGAATATGAAAGGCACCAAAGGTAGTTTATTTTTCAGGAGACTTGCAGGCACAGCAACGTGCCCGCCCCCGGGAATGGGGAAAGCGCCCCTGTTAAACGGCAGTGGTCAGACGTCCTCGAGATCACAATCCTCCACGCCGCAACAAGGACGCCAACAAAAGAATATTTTCGTCTCGCCCAATAGAGCTCCTGCAAGAACATCATGCGGAATTGGATTTACAGAGGAGGAGCAAAAGTCGAATGAGAGCACGGTAGTTGTTTTCAACCTCGCACCATCGTCGTTGCCCCGGTCCAAAGACACAGTCACCACGTCCGCCTCATCTGTCCACGACGGAACATTTCCACAGAGTTCGCCCGAAGGCGGCTCGCCTGTGATGCAACAGAGAGCTGCTGTTGCGTCTCCTTCAGTTTCCCCGCCGTTCTCAAGTAGCGAACAGAGGGCGAGCAGCAGTCCAAAGGTAGCGGCGCTTGCGCCACCGGGGGGTGCCACGAGAACTTCATCATGTTCGTCTGCGTCCGCGTCGCCCAAGATTCCAGCAGCTGCCAGTAGTGCTCTGGAAGGACGAGCTCACCCGCAGCAACTTTTCCGTGGCTCGATTTCCACCTGTTCCGAGATGTCGGTGCGAATGTCGTTTTCGGATTACGTGAAAAAATTTGGAAGCCCGACGACTTCGTACAACGGAAAAGTCAATGATTCTACCGCCTCTCCGATAACTACTGCAGCTGGAAGTGGAAATAAAGGAAGTACAAATAACGAGGCTTATCTACGAACCGCAGGCTCCTCTTCGTCCTCGCGCTCCTCGCCTGGAACTGCTGCGATAGCAAGCGTTGGCATTCCGCTCTTCACGAACAGCCAGATCGAGCAGGCTGCAAGGAAGCAGGCTGCGGCAGAGTCGCAGGAGCGACCACGACCGGACCAGCGACCGTTGCGTAGTGCGTTGAAGAAAACGCCTGGGGTAGCTGCAAAAGCTGCGAGGTTAACTACTGCAGGTGCTGATGAAACTCCGGCGGGCAAGATGACAGGCGGGGGCAAAAACAGTAGAAGCGGTACTATTCTCACGCCGGGGGGTGGAAAAGGGAGTACTAGGGTCGTCACTGGTGTAGTAGGACCGAAACCTACAACGACCAAGAAAGGCGGAATCAGAACTACCGCTGCACGAACAGGATCGACGACGCCAGCACAATTATATGCAAGAAAAAAACTGTGTGAGTGTAACTCTGTAATGCAGAACATGCAACAGAGTTACACGCGTCATGCCAGACAGCCACGAAGTCCTCTTTTCCTGTGTGTTTTCCCTTACAATCCACGCATGACAGGTTTTCTCTGTCATGTAGAGCAAATTTGTAATGCTGTCAGCCAAAGAAAGTTACACTAACACAGTTTTTTTCTTGGATAAATTACGCCCCGCATCTACTGCGACAGGAGGCTGCGTTCGAACTACGGCTGCCACGCAGGCGAATCTGGTGCAGCGGAACAATTGTGAGACGAGCAGCAAGGGTGCAATTTCATCTTTCAGGCCTCCGGCGCGGGCGAGGGAAGTGACGTTCGCCACTAGAAGTTGCACGACCCCAACGAAGGAAAAAAGGATCAGGTTTGCAGCCGCGCAGGAAAATGTGTTCAGCAGCCCGAGTAGCGGAAAAGAAAAAAAAACTAGCGTGGCGGGGGCAAAAATAAATGCTGGCACTAAAGTAATCTCATCCCCAGTCGCACTTGCACCCGTGAAACCGGAGCACCACGCTATCGCCGCTTCGCAACTGAAATCGATCTTGAGCTACAGCCTTGCCGAAGAAGCTTCGTCCCCGCAGCTGCCCCAGGAAACCAGCACTGCGAAAGGGACAGAAGAGGAACGCGCACAGAGGCTCACTGGAGGAATGTTACATGTACCTCTCAGTACATTTATTTCCATTTCGCTAGTCGTGTGGTCATGGTCTGCGATGATCTTGATCTTCTCATTAGTCGACCACAAAAACGTTGGAGAGGAGCCAGGACTCAAATTCATTTTTCTCGGAGATGATCAATGAGAATGATATGATTGAATGATCTTGAAAAACACATCAAAACTCACCAGGTCTTCGTGCAGATGTCTCTCCAGCGGCAACTGAAGCCGACCAGTTTATGCCCGTGTGTTCCGTTACCTTCTGGAAACGACTACACGGCTTGGATTCACAACATGGCGGACACCGCGAACAAACACGCCCGGAATTGCCCGTTTTACCGCAATCCAGCCCGTTTGCAGGGAATCGTGCGGGACCTGATTCAAGATTTGCGGTCGCAGTAAGGTGACTAAGGCGAGCGGACGTTGGGGATTTCGAAAGGGAAGGGCGCCTGGCATTGAGTTGGATGCAGAGTTTGTCACATCTTCTATGCTCTTTCACATGGTGATCGTCAAGCGCTAGTATATGCTTTTGGAGCGCAGATAGGCGAAGAAATGGGTAACGCAGGCAGTCCCAAACTAGATTTCTTTTCTTGAACCTTAAAGGATTTTGGTTGTATGTGTACATTCGATTTTTGAGTTCTTTGATTACAATATCGGCGGGGTCAAGCACTCGTGTGATGAGGATCATTCAGGTGCTTAGTTGATTACTTTTTCTTTCGACTTCCACGTGTTATTCATTGTGCACACACTGTACCAAATTTCGTTGAAGACAGAGGCTGCCGCGCAACTGGAACTGAGTGCCCAAAGTTGGCCCGACTGTCTCCTCTAATTAGAACAGAAGTTGAAGTTAAACAAACACAAAGGAATATCATATCAAGAGAAGGGCGACTCTCTCGTACGCTAAGTAAGGCGCCTCTTCCATTAGTCGGAGTTAAGTGAATGCAGCAGGAGAAGCTGCAGTCGCAGTGTCAGCGGTCATTCCGTTCTTGTTTTTCCGAAAAAATACACAATAAGCATGGGGATGATGTGCTGCTCGAGATGAATTTTTATACGGTTTTAATGCCACCGAGCGATGACAGCATAGATCCGACTACAACGTCCATTGACACTGAGCGACGCCGGCGGAGGAGAGATAAAAAGAAAAGACAAGGCTTTCATTGCTGCAGCAGCTCATGATCATGTAGGATTGTGAGTTGTAGCTGCTGCATTTTTCCTGAGTGTTTGCATTCATAAAAACGACCACGCAATAGAGTTGAAGATGAAAGCAAACGCTTAGGATTAGGAAAAGTGAAGGACGATGAATACTAGCAATAGTTCGTGACTCGGCCGCATCAAACGAGTTGGTGTACAAAAATGACAATGATCTTGCGCCAGACCCAGAGATTGGGGCGCAGCTTCGCGGACGAAGAGCACAGCGGCGGCGGCAACCAGCAACAAGCGGAGCACCAACAGAATGAAAAGCAACGACTCCAGAAACATTCTCATTCACGGATAGCTTTTGCCTCGTCGACCTGTTCGCTGCAGCAGTATCGCCGAGCAAGAAGACCACGAGGAAAAATGCGGCGGCAGCTGACCGTAGTTTCCACCGCGCTGCTGCAGCTCCTTCTCCTCGTTTGTGACTACAGACTTTTTAACATCTTGAACAGTTCTGAGGACCACTACGTGAAGACTCTCTACTCCGTCAGGCACGGGATGCTGCTCAACGAAATTCTTACGACCACCCAGAATAACATCAGCGTCGTGTCTTTATTCACGCGAAACGAAGAAACGAACACAGTGTCTACTTCAAGGGCATCAACTATCGCAGTGAACGCAATCACCTTGTCCTCCTCGACCAGCGCTAACCCAGCAGCTGTTGACAGCGCCACTGTAGTGAACACGGACGACAACATCAGGAACGCGATAGGTCTCGATGAGCCGCCGGCTGGAGTAGCAGATGAAGTAACACTACCAGTACCAGAGCAAAAATCTAGCGAAATCGGTGTTGTTCGAGATGGTGTTTATAATCTCGGCGATGAACAACAACAAGAGAGAAACCAAAACCAAATATTACCACGAGCTGCAGAAGACGAGTCCACAGCTTCCCTCTCATCAACTGGGAGCCGCGATCTCGCTGACAAAGACCCCGAAAACGACCTCCGAACCAGTACGAAAACCCTCCGCTTGGATTTGGTGGAGAAGAACAACCTTCTGGATCTCGGGGGAAACATCAAAAGCGAAAACTGGTTTGACGAACGGGACAAGAAGCTAGAAAAGAAAAATCAAGAAGAACTGAAGCGGAGAACGAGAAAAAGGGGGAAAAACGATCTCTGGGACGTGAAGTTTTCGGAGGTGGAGAAGAAAGTTTTAGCGGGAGCGTTTGCAGACGCGGAGGCGGAGGAGCGAATGGGAAATGAAAATGCTAATACAGCAGGTGGAAGAAAGACAAATTCAAATACCGCATCAACCAGCAGAAGTGAAAACTCTTTGTCTCTGTCCACTTCGGAGTCCGCACTGTCCCAGCCGAACGTTGCTACGCAGAATGCAGTCGCGCATACCAACGAAATGTACACGCACGAGCTCAGAGGGTATTGACATGCTTTGTGGTTGGATGGATTTTTTATTCTTTCTTTACTGCAGTCGCAGCGCCAGTATTCCGCATAGATTCAGATGGCGAACAAGAACGAGAAAAAACAAATTGTTTTGAAACCGTACAACGCGTAACAGAAATAAAAAGATCATCTACAACCTCACAGCTACACCATCAAGAGAACGGGGACGGGGTCAGGCCTCGATAACGCGGCCATGGTGCGGGCCTATCCGAATGAAGTTTTTGAATGGTTGGGTTGTTGTAAAGGTAGACGACAAAGATCGCGCTCGGCGTCATAATCATAAAACTAAAAGGTTACGGTTCAGTTTGTATGTATCCTATCTATCCAGTGGAGCACTCAACTAGCACGCGCATGTTGAAATAAATGAGCAAGCGCATGATGCTCTTCAACATGTTGATCATTCAATCCGGCGCAAGATGAACACTCAACAAACTTTTTTTCCTTGCATCCATCCCAGCTTTACTACTCGCAAACTTTCGGTTGCCAAGGGCAGCAAGAGTTTGCCATCGAAAAAGGCACGTTTGACGGCGTGAGCGACCTGTGCGGCTGCCAGTGCCCGGCTGGCGTCACGGGTACGGTGTGTCCCTGCGGCACGGTGCGGGACTGCGCTTGGTTGTGCGAGAACAGCGAAAACTGCAACGCGTTCATCACTCTGGGGAGTGCGGACCAGAGCCCAGCCAAGCATGCCAACACGACGAAGCTCCGGAGCACGGGGGGATCGAACACCACGACCTATCCGATTCCGGAGGACATCAACGTGGGCGGCTGCGTGCTGCTGCGGTACGAAGACCACACGGATGAATTCGATTTTCAGCAGATGCTCCAGGTGCACCAGCTGGGCGGGTACCCGAAAATCTGCGACCCCTACGACAAGCCCGGGGAGTGGGCGTGCTTGTTCAGTAGAAATGTTTTCTTTTGATGCTTTTGTACCTGAACTTGATGCGTCACAATAGACGAGCTGAAATGATGAATCTTCACGAGTGCAGCTGCTTTCCTCGGGCTGCATAAGCAGAACGAACCAAGCTTCGTGTGTTGAAGGTGATTTCATCCACTACGCAAAAATATTACCACACCAAAAACAAACAGAGCTGTATTCCGTCGAGACCTACCACGACGCGCTCTACAACCAAAGGTGCGGTAAGCACGGCAGCGCGCCCATCGTCACCCCCGGTCAGTGCGATATCGCGGGCCTGCGTATGAAGCTGTTTACGGGGAAAAATGACGTCACGAACCTGGCCGACGACATTCACCTGAACATGACGATGGTCTACGCGGAGGACTACCTGGAATTTTGCTCCGTTTTGGGCGATAAGGACGCGCCCCCGGAAGAGAGCCACATGATTTTTAACCCGCACTTCAAGTGGCCGGGCTCGAATGTCTTCTCCACGAATTTCGGATCCCGGCTGGTCTGCTACGACAACGACTACCAAATCGAATTTCTCGTGGTGCTATGCAATACAAATTTTCTGCACATGTACAAAATGCATCGCAATGAATTTCACCAACTTAGAAGAAGAAATGTGTCACGCTGGTGCTAAAGAGGTTTGAAGGAAAACATTGTCATGCGGAAGGTAATTGTGCCTGTGCGTGTACGGGAACTTTCCTGTGGATAGGTGCCACCGGTCACGACGACCACCACCACGACGACCACCACCACCACTACGACCACCACAACCACGACACTGGTCGTGCAGCCGATGCTGGATCAGCTGGTCAAGGAACGTGACCACTTGACCGCTTCCAGTGACTACGGCTTCAATTTCACGAGCAGCAACCACTCCATGACCCCCGGCCGGAATTTTTACATGCACCCGATCCCCCCGAGTCCAAACTCCTACAACAACATCACCTACCGCGAAGCGGTCACGAAAAAGCTGCACAAGCCGGTGCCCGTGCCCGCCGACGTGCTGTTGGCACTTACGAAGCACAAGATGAAACGCGAAGCGGAGCAAGACGGCTACGAGTTCGATGACGAAGCGGCGGACGAATCTTTAGGCCTGGAGGACCTGCCAGCTCCGGAGGAGGACAAACAGGATCAGCAACCGGATGTTGAGATGACGACTGCAACAAGAAGAACTACAGCTGCTGCAACAGACGAAGGCACTAGCGCAGTAGAGCCAGCCGCGCCCTCCTCCTCCCTTATGGAAAGTGAACGACAAACCACGACGAGAATAAAAGCGACTTCAGCGGCATCCACCGGGAAAAGTAAAAAGCGACAAAAGAAGATGAAAGTCCGCCAGAAGAAAGAAATGTCAAGAAGTGCGAAGGCCCGGGCCTACCAGAACGCGATTGATGCGTTCAATCAGCAGATGCATCGTATGGGAGTGTCAAAATCGAAATCGTCAAAGTTGAAATGATTTGCCATGCATAAAATGGATGCCAGTTGGAACCCAGTTTCCAAGTAGTGCATGACAAATTTTGGCGGTCCTTAAATCCAGTTTGTCACGCTGTTTAGGCAAAGACGGCTGATCTTCTCATGCTACTTTAGCAGCTCGAGCTCTAACCCCAACCAGGCTTACAATCGACCTCACTTGCCTGCTCTGCAACGCACGCGCCTCGCGTCATGCATTTTATGCATGACAAACTATTTAAACTTTGACGATTTCAATCCTGACAGCACTTCCATACATCGCATTCTGGAAGTCGACGGAAAAATCAGGCATCCGGGGAAGCGGGAAAAGCTGTTTGGATAAACGCGGATGTTCGTTGGTGTTGACCACGGTGATGTACATGTATTTTCAAAATCGGCTCCATGTCGTTCTCAAGTTGTCTCTTCTCTCTGCTCTCTTCTACTTTGCCGAGCAATTTTAATACCGGTGGAATTCGTATTAATGCCTTTTGCGCCGTCGGCTCGTGCAGGGCGACTACAACTGGAGTAAAGTAAGGAGGGATGCTGGACGAATGAGAAAGTAGTGGTGACAAAAAATACGAACAAGCACTTTGTACGATGAAGATCATCAATATGTTGATGTCCTCGTCGATGTCGAGTCAACATTGCTCGTGGAAGCAAGGAGACCACTGACGTACGATTCGAGGATTGATGGAAAAGCTGAATGATAGGAAAACGGCTGTAAGATTTTTGTTTCGCATTCGCTTGTAATGTTGAAGCACGCTCCGAAAAACAAAATCGATTTTCAAATGCATCAATTGTACCTACTAGCATGTGTGAAATGTATTTCACACAAAACAGATGCACGCTAGTAGCAGTGTCAATCGCTTTTGTGTTCACTTTTTTTTTTGGTAACGCCATTTCCAAAATCGTTCCGTATAGAAAACGAGCACACCCTCGTGAATGCGACAATTCTTGCGGTCTTTGCAGCCCGCACGCATAATCGCATTTTTTGGTTTGCAAATGCAGGTTTTTGTCCGGTAGGTTCAGACGAGTTTTTTCTTCGATCAGAGGAAGCAGATCGTGATTCGATAAGTTGTTACGCTAATGAAGATCAAAATACGATGTTATCACGCACACCAGATAGACTGGACGCAGCATATCACTGCAAAAGGAGTTTCTTTTTCTTGTAGTGATTCGCTGATGTGGATGAAAATGCCGTGAGGATTGTAAAACGAGGAAGTAGGACGACCACGACGGCCGCGTCGATCAAAAAAAATTATTGATCTTACCATTCCCGCCCCCTCGCTTAAACTTCTAGAGCGAATCTCAAGTCTAATGTTGTCATAAATGACGGTGATAGGCATAGGCATGGGGTGGGAGTGCAACTGCTTTATGGTTGCATAGTTCCCAACGAAGGTTGCAGCACCAAGCACGAAAATAAAACAAGTTTTTCACAATGTTGCTAACCACTAACCGCCGTGCCGTAGTGTCTCTGAGGATTGCATCGGCAATCTGGAGGTCTTCAAACACGGCTTATTTCCTGTGGCTGCTGATGTTGGGTCTTCTCCAGCATTCGGTTTCGTCGATGAGAGACCTACAAACGACGACAACCTCCGTCGACCACGACCCATTCTGTTGGACGGGGAATGAGCCGAACCCGAATGCTGCGGCTGATCATGCACCTGCGTCGACAGAGACAGTGCCCGCATCGACAGAAGAAGGTTCTACTAGCAAGGCACCCTTACCGCTCCTGGACGGCTTCACGCCCCACCGCCACGCCAACCGGTACAGCCGGCTGTACTGGACGAAGGAGCTGAAACTCCACCCGGAAAAAAACATCATCGTCCTCGACGTCGATAATGTGCTCGCTGACAGCATCTCTCGCATGCGCAAAGCGCGGAGATGGGAAGAAATTTATATGCAAGAGGACAACAGAGTTAGAGAAGATCAAAATTTTCCTTCGGCTGGTAGAAGTGTTTCGGCAACTGTTCTTGATACTATGCAAAAATACGACCGCTTCAACCCGGAGGAGTTTTTTAAAGACCCAGCTATTCACAACGCTGCAAAAGCGTTCCAGGCATTCTCGAGGCATCTGGGGAAGCAGAACGTCCAGATTTTGACGGCGAGAGGACAATTGGACAAGAAGTACGAGTGTAAATTCGTTCATTTCATTGAACGTCCGCCTGGCGAGTTTCAATCCGCATCCGCTGAAGATGTTGTACCGGCACAACCAGCAGCGCAGACTAGAATCCGCTGTGAGCGACGGGCGACGCCCCTCGAACAAGTTCAGGACACACGACAAGGCGGAAACGACGAGGAAGAAACCGGTGGTTCTCTTGGTGACCGTGTGGTGGACCAGGCACTGGTGTTACAGCTGTGGTTGAGGGAAAACGGATTTCTGGATTTCGAAGAAGAACTTGGAGGCGATGACGTGGCCTCTCTAGCGGAAACTACAGCAGCACAAACACAATCACTGCGAGTATCGGATTCACATCATGTTCCACCGTCGATCAAGATTGTCGACCACGCCGCGGATAAGAAGGACTACTTGAAAAGATTATGCAATGTCGAAAAATCTTGCCTACTCATCGACGATTTCAGGATCAATTGGGAAGAGTACGGGCAGGAGGAAGGAGTTGTTGAACAAGGTCATCAAGGCGAAGTAGAAGCTGGCGAACGTGGTCGCACTCCTTACAGGTGGACATCAACGATTGCAAGTATCTTCACCGGCACCCACGTGAACAAAAAACTGATCTACGAGCTGCAACAAGACATTCCGAATCTGCACTCCGAAATTTTCGACGATGGGAGCTACGGAGGGGTGAAAAACGACTGGTGTATGATTATGGAAAGGTATTTGATTGGAGTAGATGTTGGGGAGCAGACACGTTTACCAGACGGTGGGGATGAAAAATTATCTGCCGATCATCTGCACGAAACCATTGTAGCAGACGGAGAAGATGACCGCCGCGTGGGTCTGCCTAGTACGAGCATGAAAGCAGCAAGAACACTAGGCTCCTGCAACGGTATCGATGTTGAAGTAGATTTGTGTCGACCGGATGTACACTTGTTGAGGCTATGTTTTCGTTTTAGTGATTGTTTGTGTACAACCAGTTCGTGTAAAAATCGTTTGATTCTACATAGTATTCATCAAAACAAAGCCCAGCTGACGTTGCCGCGATTCGGAGACGAGCGGAGAAGGTCAATGGCCTGTTTGATACCAGCACGACACCGACAGCTGAAAGTTCACATGGCATCCAGCTAAAAGTCGCGAGTCTGCAAATGCCAGCTCTTGATGTTGGGACGTCGATATCCACATCAAAGACGCCTGCAGCTCTTTCTGTGCAAGAGGGTACTGATGCTGATCCTACCGGGAAGAGGACCACCACCAGCAAGACTGTGCTGCCAGTGTCGTCGACGTTCCCGGAACAAGAAATAAACATCCCCACCTTTGCAGTCGTCTCTTCCTTCTTCGAGCCGGACGTGTTGTCCAGCTTGTTTTACGAGGGTGACGAAAGTTTCCGGTACGTGGAGGAACTTTTCCAAGGTCTCGCCACCCGCGTGTACGACCTGAGCCGGGCGGACCTGATCTGGGTTCAGTACCAGCGCTGCGGCCCGCATTTGAGTGTCTGGAAAGATTTGGAGGGGTTTTTCAAAGACCAAAAGATCAAGGAATCCGCCGTGATCTCCACGATCCCGGGCAGTTGCGAGGACCACTACTCGAAGGACCGGCTCTGTCACCACTACCGGCAATTCGCCACGCCGGCGGAGATGCTAGGAGATGAAACAACGAGTGGGCGGGCAGCGAACTACAGTGGAGGATCGCTATCGCTTTCCACCAGCCCAGCAGTAACTGCAGCGACTCGCCGTCTAAACCGCCAAGTTTTTTCATCTTCATCCGCGGAAACATCAACCCAGAGAACCACGTCGAATTTCGGCGGCCTGATTCCCTGCTGGGTGCTCGATTCCGAGGAAAGCTGGCTGGAGCTGATGGATTACATCAGCCAACACAAACACAAATGGTTCATCTTGAAGGAGCCGCGCTCGGCCGGCGCGAGCGGAACGGTCCTCGCGTCCGGGGAAGAGTTGAGAAGCGAGAGTTGGCAGGGGAAGATGCGGAGCTGGTTCTCCAGCCGGGCGAGGGAGTATGCGCAGCAAGAAGTGGCGAGCGCAATACAAATCGCAAACGCGGACGTCATCACGGTGCAGGAGTACTTCACGGATCCGTTTTTGGTGGAAGATCCGGGCAACAACGAGCAGATCTTGCGGAAGGACAAACTGCTGTGGAGTGTGCTGTCCGCGACGAAAAATCGGGACGAGGCGGGTAGTTTTCGCAGGGAACAAGACAGGGACAGACGAAAACAGCTGCGGAGGCCCGCTGCTACTACAGGATCATCTCCCAGTCTTCTCATCGAAAACAACGAGATGTTGAACCATGCTGAGGACGACATCAGTAGCCACGGCGAGCATACGAGCCATGCTACGCCTTCTCCTGCTCTAAAGCTCCACAAAGCCGATCTTCGCCTGTATGTAATCGTCCGTACCGACCCCCTCCGTATCTACATCCACCAGGACGGCTGGCTCTGGGTCGCGCAAAAACAGTGGCTGCACCCCAAGGAGGAAGTCGGGAAGAAGCCGGACTTCGACGCGTTCCGGCACACAACCAACCGCGGCGGGCTCACCCCACAGCCCGACGGGCTTCTCGGAGAAGCCTTTCTCCAGTCCGCGAATTCGACGAAGGCGATGCTGCAGCGCCGGTTGTTCAAGTGGCGCCGCGGGCGAAGGAGCAGCATCAAGGACTTTGTCGCGAGGCACAATGTGGACGGGAGCTTGATTTTGCGGAAATCATCTGGTGCCGACGAAACGCCGCACCATTCTGATGTTGATGATGCCCCACCGCCAGGCGATGGTCGTACTACCGCAGTTCCGCTAGCAGAGAAATGGCCCGAGGTTTGGGCAATGATCAAACAGAACACAGCGCGGTCGATTCTCACTTACATCCGGAAAGAGGAATGCATCGGAGGGGAACACATCGACCAAAGATTTCTGGTAGAGGACGGGGCTACCGCTATTTCAGCACGACCGCTGGCGACCTCATTGCCAAGCCCGGCCGGCAGCACCGGGAGCGAAGGCATTGGTAGCGCGACCAAGTCGAAGCCCTCAACAAAAGCGTCTGGTGCCGACGCTTCTCATATGAACCTGGACGAGGACGAAGCGGCGTTTCTGGATGAAGAAGGAGAAAACTACGCAAATAAGCACCACGGTGTGTCCTCCTCGGCGCACGAAACCAGCATTGCTTCCGGGGAACAAATGGAACAAGTACAAGGACGACTAGCACCAGCAGGACACGGTCAACCGCAAATAAAGCAAGAGAAACCCGACCGCCCGAATCCTTGCGGCCGGTACTTCAGTTTCTACGCCGTGGACGTGTTTCTTTCACAAGACCTGCAGCAAGCGCACGTGATGGAGATCAACAACGACCCGAGTTTGCTGGCGTACGGAGAACTGAAAGTGCGAGGGAGTCGTGGGGGTAGAAATGCTGCCAATGCCAAAGGCAAAAAGCACACCATAGACCTCGACGACGAGAACACTCGGCGAGATTTCGCCAAGCACAAAATGTACCACGCGGTGTACCGGGATGCGGTGCAGTTGGTGATGAGCGGCCATAGAAGTAAAAAAGACCGCCAGGTGGAGCCTCTCATCGTCGCAGAATACAATACCAGAGGCGGCTACGACCTCGCGTTTCCGCCCGAAGACGGAGATTTCCACACCGCCGGGTTTGGCTGGTTTTTCGACCGGTACTTGAGTCTGCAGCCAAGATGGAACGTAGACGGGACGGTCAATGTTGGAAGAGATGGGAAGTGTGTGGCGGGTGTGGCAGCTGTTTCCTCTCTGCAGAAGGAGTCTGAAGCAGCCGGAAATCCTGTCAGCTTCAGTTCCTGTCTACAGTCTGTGTCTGCGAAGCTACGACAGCGGGGTGATAAGTTCGAGAAGAATATGAATATTAAGATGCTCCCTGTAGTAGACCAGCTGTACGCGGAGACGACTGTGTGTACCTACGAGCCGTTGTGGGCCCATGTGAGACAGCACAAGAAAGCTACTGGTTTTGCAAGGATCGCTGCAACTTCAGTCACTAACAGTGAAGTAGACCACCCTGTCGCCACGGCAATGCGAGAGGGAACTGAACAAGAAGAACACGACCGCAGCGAGAACACCAGCAAAAACCCAGCCTTCCTCGACTACACGGACCTTCTTTCCCCTCCTGCAGAAGCGAAGACCTTGTTTCAAAACACCCACATCCTGATTTTCGGGCAGTCGGGCGAAGTGAAGCAAAATCAGCCGGTCGTCTACAAGCAGAAGACGAAGAGATTTGAGATCAGAACCTTCGCCACCGCCGCGTCCCGTGCCAACCGGAGAATGGGCAGTTTCGAGAAGGCGGCGCGGGAGAGACTCCCCTACCAAATTTCGCTTCTGCGGCTTTTCCCGCCCGAGAACGTCCATATTTTCACAAAACTGCCGAAGAGCATCGAAAACGACGTCCGCTTCGCTTGGCACCGGAACCACACGAGCGAGAGGGGCTTCGGCCACTGGTACTGGCGCCCGCTGCTGGTAAAACATTGCTTGCACAAGTTTGTGCCGAAGGGCAAGGGCGTTTTGCTCTACATCGACGCGGGGATGGAGGTTCGGGCGTCGAAAATGGCCCGCCGGAAGTGGGAACTGATGGTGCGCATGATGCATTTCGGGGTGGTGGGGAGCAGCAGCGGGTCGTATCATGCGGAAGGTCAGCTCGGTGATTCTCTAGCATCCGGTGCTCTTCTTGACGGCGGCGGAGGCGAGGCTGTACGAGCATTCAGTGCAAACGACCTGGAATTCGACGTCCTGTCGCGCTCGCGCCACCTCGAGCATTCACTATCGTTTGGTGCTGGAGATGGTGTTGATCACGGAGCTTTCAATGTGTCTGCCAGCTACGCGGCCTGGTACAGAAGGGTAAATTCGGCCCAGCTGGAAAGACAACTTCGCGAACATACTACAAGCAGCAGGAGAGAAGTAGACCGAGTCTGGACCACAAAGAAGAAGAAAACCGTTAACAATCATTCACTGAAACCTGTCGACGTGACTGTTTTTGGATCCCACTACCGAGAGCGCATGTTCACCCGCGGCCCGGTTTTTCGCGAATTTTTTCCAGAGCCTATTCCAGTCCTCCACAAGAGCTATCCAACAAAAGCAATAGGTGCGCAAGCGCAACAAGAAAACAACTACACAAAAACCCCCCAGCACTACGTCACCGCTAACCACGGTGTGTTTGGCAACTCCGACCACATCGCGGGTACCACTTTCGCGGTTCGACACTCAGAAGCCGGGTTGCTCTGGTTGGACAACCTCGGGAAGTTGCAATCCAAGCCCCACTTGATCGGCTACGACTCCAGTTTTCCGCCACGGACCAGGGACGTGCGGCTGCGCAACGGGCACGACTACCGCGAAACGAAGGTGCAGGGGGTGATGTCGCTGTTGGTCAAGGTGAACTCGCCCGAGTACCCAACCTGCAAACATCCCGAGACGCAGCTGGGAAATTTGACCCGAGGGGTGCGGTTTTTCGAAAATCGGGATCCGATCAGATTCGAGGAGGAGCATGCCGATGTTGGTTTTCAAGTAGCCCAAGCCTCATCTATCGGATTACCCGAAGTCGCTTCCGTGCGCGCGCTTTCCCAAACGTCGCCGTACCGGATGACAAAGGACTACTTCCAGGCGGGGAAAAGTGCAAGCCACCCGCGGATCCAGATCCTCCCTACCGCGATTTTTGAGGGCTTCAACGGCGGTCAAATCCTCGCCGCGACTCGGAACCAGGTGCACTTACAGTACGCCTACGCCCCGAGACGACAGGCCGCACTGATGAAGCAGAAGATGCTGTGGCGCTTGTCGGGGTTCTTACCAAAATTAATCACGCCTTCGCAGGAGATGCAAGAGGCCTGCGCGCAACTGGATCACGAAAGTCTGCAGGAGCAAAACGCAAGGAAATACAGGGGGGAAGCCGAAGACGAAAAAGCTTCGGTTGGTGGAGATGCAGCTAGTGCCGCTTCCGCTGGGACTTCAACAAAGTTGGACCATGAAGATCGGTCTCATGACCAGGCCCAGCACGACGAAAATGAAGCTGCAGGAGCGGCGCAGCAGCACATTAATGACCCTACTTCCGGAACAAGAAACAATGAGGAGGTCGCGACGACCGGCCCTTTTGTCACTTCCCCTGTTTCCGAGTGGCGCGACCCCGTGCAACTGGAGCGTTACGCGCGCCGCTGCCACTTCCGTCTGCACGGGTATTTTCTGAACGACGACCCGATCACCACGGGCGAGCGGGAGACCGGGATCCGCACACGCTTCCGCTACAACGTAGATCAGACGCTGCGGTTGGAACGAGCGCCGGCGCCGGTCGTGCCTGAAGTCGTGGTAGAAAGCGGTACAACTGGAGGCGATGGAGACGATGTACCGTCTATCGCATATCCTGGCGACCAGCAACCGTGCTGCGAATGGTGTCCGTTCCGGGAGTTAAAGCTGTTTCCGGAGCAGGATTACACACCGGTGGAGGAGTTGGACTTTGGTTGCGGATTTTTCTCGGAAATCCGCTTTCCCTTAAGTCTAAAGTTGGCCGTCACCGAGTTTTTGAAGAGGACGGCGTTTATCTCTAGCTACGGCTCCTCGGCTCTTGCAGCTACTAGGACAGCAGGAGCCTCCACGCAACAAGGTACAGCAAAAATTCCGCGCGTAGACTTCGCCGCCGAAGATTTTCCAGTGCCCGGTTTGGTGGTTCGGACGCTTCGCTTCCTCGTGACGCAGTACAAGCAGATCCAGGTGCAGATTATCCCGCTGATGGCGGCGCATATTGCGGTTGGGCGTACGAAAGCCGGTCGACGTGAGGGGACAAATAATACAAACGCCAAGGGCGACGAAACCTCTTCTGGATCCAGGACAGTGACGGGCAGTAGTAAGGAAAGCTCCCCTACAGGAAGGCGAAGACGGCCGTTAAGGGTATCTGACCTGATAGCGCTGCGAACCGGTAAAGGAGACACGGATCACGCGGAGCGAGTTTTGCGGGGACCGTTCCGGATAATCGACAGCGGTGAGATCGTAGTTTCGAAGTTAGAAAACGCGAAGAGCCCTGGTGACCACGCTCCGTCACCGCTAAATGACGATCGCAAGAACCACAACGAAGCCGCTTACCACCTCGCCGATGCACAAGCCGTAGTGCGTGACTGTCTGTGCGTGTCGCTGCATTTGCAGAACCAGGACCTGCATGATGATCTACAGGACCTCGCTGCCGCTCCAACAAGAGATCTAGAGCGATCTACAGCAGGCACAACAGCGACGCCTTCCTCTTCGTCGTGTGCCAAAACATCAGAACAAACCACCGCCACCCTCTGCGCCGAGGTACTCGCCTCTGTCTTTCACTGGGCGGACGCGCACGTGTACCTGTGGAAACGGGAGATGGCGACCCGGGCGTACCAATACGAGGATCGGTTCCAGAAGTACTGGGACTCGCGCGGCCGGTGGTTGTACCACTCTGAAACGATGCCGGAGGCACTGCGGCTGGATCCGGAAGATTTGGGCGGTATACCAAACTCGGAACATGTTATGAACGGACAGAGTTAGCTTAATTCCGAATTTGCTAGCGATAAAAATAGCTAGGTTTAACTATATATCTCCGAATCCCGATTTTTTGCATGGCAGTTCCGTCCCGTCAAATTTTGCTTTTTTCCGCCTTTCTTCCTTCCATCGTCGCCAAGGTTCGGTTAGTTCGGGCCTCGATAGCAAGAGAAGAAATTGCTCTGTGATCACTGCGTTTTGTGTTTGTTCGTCTTGGAGTACAAATAGAATTCGAAGCGTGTCCGCCTGTCGAAGGGTATAGAAACCGTCTGAAGTACAGGCAGACTGAAGGCCAGATGTATTTTGTGGTCCGTGGCTGCTGCGAAGATCTTGACCATTTGGATGGCGATTGCTGCTTGGTTCGCACAGTGCAACACAGCAAAAATGAGACGCAGGCTGCATAGATCCGCAAGCAGTTCTTCAGTTCGAAGCGCGGGCAGTGGATCAGCTCGATCCCAAAAAGAAAAATCAAAATTGGCTTTTCCATTTCTCTTGCCCGATCACAAACACCATGGTGCCAGAGTGCTACAGAATCGAATGCAGTCAGAACGTTGAGACTTTTTGTTTTCCATTTCCTTTGTAGCGCATCGCAAAAAATAAAAACAAAAAAAGAGACAAAGCTGAAGCTGCAGAATATGTTGCTGCTTTGCTCCGTCAGCCTTTATGGATGTAGTGCTACAGCTACTAGTAGAACTACTATTTTGAGTTCCGCTCTCGCATTCGCTCTTAGGTGTTCGGTATCGTTATCGTTTACAAGAGTTAAGCTGCAAGTCGAAGTTGATATGAGTGTCCGCGTAGCCGTGTAGCTGTAGGGGTGGGCCGGAGCGTGTGCGTGATGATCTAGAGAAGCAGCAATGCAGTCGCTCGATGAAGTTGTAGTGGTAGTTCTAGTCGTCGTAGTTGTGTTGCTAGTTGTAGTGCCGGGCTGTCGTATTTATCGTGGGTCGTAGTCGTACACACACACACGCATCCTGCGCAGTATTTTTCATCGTTCGGGCCGTTTACGTTTTGCTTTTCCTTTTTCGTTTTGCTTCTGGTAGATCTAGACGTAGATTAAGAATCTTCCGTCAAGGTATACGAGAGCAACCTCTTGCTCTTTGATTTTGTCTTTGCGTGTGTGAAGAGAAAAAGAAAAAGGAAAAAGTAAAAGGAGATGATCGGCGCGCACTTTGAGGCTTCTTGAAATTGGTCGTCGTCGCTGGGTCGTCATCGTTGTTGTGATCGTTCGCTGCTGGTGGGCATGCGGGTAGCCCGGCCTGGTGTTATTGTAGAAGAAGTATTAGTAAGTATTCAGATTCACGTTCACCCTCCCAACAAATACAAAATCTAAATCGTATTCAAATGATAGATAACAAATGCAGAAGTCAAAGGCAATGCAAATCGAAATCATAATCAACAACGAATACGCATAAGGTAAAACTAACAGCAGCCTTTAGCTCCTACTTAAACACCGATGAAACTGGAAGACAAAAAGCTGTAGCTGTGGTCTACTCCGTTTTGATTTTTTTTCCTCTATGAAAGCAACTACGCGCGCTGCACTTGTTTCACTAGTTTCCATCAGCCACGAAATCGCAACTACATCATCACCATCAGAGCAAAAGCAAAAAACAGTCTTACCGCTTCACTTTTGTGGCTGGTTGTGTAGTTTTTGTTTCTCGGATGGCGGCAGTGTCAGCAAGTCAGTGCGTGGCTACGCCCGCACGTAGTTCGCCTCGTTGAGGCCGTGTTGAGGTTTCTCTTTCTGCCTGGTTCGTCGGGCCTCATCCGGACGCAGTTTGCTCTCTTCGAAAAGTCCAGACGTGATACTGATTTCGGGATGCCGCCAGCAGCTGACGCTAATTCGCGGACTGGATGGCTTGGCGAGCAAATCGGCGTGTCGGGCAGACAGTGCAACAAGCTGCAGAAGTTTCTCCAGTTCTACCACGATCCGGAAAAGAGTAAAGATAACGGCGTCGTTTTGAAACGTAAAACAAGAGTCAAGAACTCCTGCTCTGTGCCATCATCGGACGTTCTCCGGAAGCGGTTCTCCTCGTACAAGGCAGAACATCTTAACCAGGGCGAAGAAGCTTGGCGGGAGTTTGTCAGGGAGCAGTGCTTGCGGTTTCGTGCGCCGTTCAGCTCGACGGACGCGTCCGCGCGTAACATCGCAGTAAAATCGAATCCGGATGAACAGCAAGTGGCTGTCGAAGCTCCAGAGGATGTTGGCGAGGCGGCAGGTAGTAGCAGTGCGGTTGTGCCTCCTAGCTCCGTCGATATGGCGATGAACCCCTTGAAATACTTCAACAACAGCGCGACTTCAGGTGGCAACTTCCAGCACCTAAAGGAAAACCGGAAGCAGGAGTACAAGTGGTTTGCATTGGGCAAGAGCTTAGGCGGAACCGCAAAGGCGCGAAACAAGACATACAAAGTCGCCACCAATGCCAGCCTGTATTCCCGGTTCAAAAAGATAACGCAGGGGGAGCGGGCACTTCGGCTGAATCATCACGCAAATGCGGCTAGTTCGAAGCTCTGTGGTGATCTGCCACGCCGCAAAAAGAAAAAAACCGTCGTCATCCACCGCACCGTCGAGGTCTCCGAATCTGAAGCAGAGGACGAGGAGGATGATCTACTGGAAGATGAGAACCAGGCAGCTCCGGTTGCCGGAAATAAGAACGTGCGGCCGAGTGGACGGGTGCTGGTCAGGAGGGAAGTTGCAGAAGAAGTGGAGGTAACGGACGAGGAGCTCTCCGGGGCTGATGACGTAAAAATGCAGCTTCCAGGCGGCGCTGAATATGATCCGGACTTCGATCTGGAAGCTGACGCCTTGCACCAATCTCGCAGCCGGTTGTTCGGGGATGACGTCAAAGTAGCGGCCGGTGGCATATCCAAGGAGCAGGCGAAGTCCATCGCAACAAACGACGACAAAAACAAAAACCGCGAAGCTGACCAGGAGAGGAAAGAGGCAGTTCGGGCGGAGCTCAGGTTCTTCGACGCCGGAAGGATTGGTGCCCGCGCACGGTTGATGGCGTTTCTAGAATCAGCCGGCATCTCTTCCGGCGGTACTGCGAATGGCGCCGACGCTTCTTCATCGTCGAATGCAACTAACCTGAAAACCAACGGCAGCAGCAAGACGAAAAATGATAACAACCTGATCGGAGTTGGAGCCGCTTCTGCTAGTTCTAATGGATTACTACGGGCGAGCCATGAGCGCGTTTTTCTTTCCGGAGAGCAACAGCATTCCGTCGGGGCGGGAGCGGAGATCGACAGTCAGCGCCTCACTTTTTCCGAGTTGTTAAAGTATCAGCAGTCCAAGTCCAACTCCATGGCGGCTGCAGAGCAAAGCACTCGAGCCAACGCTGCGGATTCGTCTGTCCTCAACCTCGCGGCAGATGGTGACGAGTTTGATTTTCCGGCTGAGTTTCTCCCCGGCCCGTCGACGGGTTCGAGTAGCGGGTCGAGCAGCAGTAGTGGCAGCGCGAGTAGTTGTGTCGCCCCAGCACCACGCGGCGTGCGCGCATCCAAATCCACGCTGCTCAAACAGGTTCCGAAGAGCAGCTCCGTCCTGAAAAACAAAACCTTCGAAAAAAAGTTTGGAAATGTGGTAGCGGGGAAGAAGAGCAGCAAGTTGGAAACGAAGCCGGAGACGCTACTGCCATCCTTGAGCGGTGCCTACGATGTTTTTGTTTTACGTTGAAGTTCGAAATCACATCTCGTTTCCACCTGAAAAAGCAAAACCAAAATCAAAGCCTCTAAGTCTAAAAGAAAAGCATAAGCTAGTAGTAGTACTAGTAGAACTAGAAGTAGCATTAGAAGTAGAAGATATGACCTTAGACGGGCTGCAGTTTTGTTTTTTGTTTTTCGAGGTCGAGGGCTAGGTCGCCGTCTGCTTCTCCGCGAAGCTGCGCCTCATCATCAAATCCGAAAACGAAAAACAAACACTCCAGATGAAGAGCAAGATCTTGGCCGAGCGGACACGCAGGAGCTAGCGGCGTCCGCTTCTGCAGCTGATGGCAATGCACAGCTCGACGCTTTTTCGGACTTCGGCTTCAGCAACTACGTGAAGAAAAACGACTTCCCATCTACTGCGGGTGAAGGAGATGTTGTTGACGCAAAAACGGGCAATCTGCTGCAGTCCGGGCACCGGTACGGGCCTGGGGTGAAGGAGGATTTGGGGTGGAAGGAAACAAGGCCGAAGGTGGGGATACGCATATCCCCGGACGCGACCCCATATGATGAAATCAAGGCCTTGAACTGCTGGGCCACGCTCTACAAAAGCGACTGGGCTGATCCCCTCGTCGTTTACTGCCACGATGCCGTCCTTCCTACCATATCCACCGGCTCCGGCCATGAGACCTTCCTCCAAGATCTCTACGAGTCCGCGTGGAGTATCGGCTTCCCGCTTCCCGGGATGTGGTCGCGATTGTGTCGCGCCGGCAACAAGATGTTGAAAATGCGGCCGTCGCTCATCGTCACCTCCGACTCCGCCTCCGACGTAAAAAAAGCAGTCAGGTGTTGGTCCCAGTATGCGGCCGGTCAGCGGTACTTCGACCCGGCGGAGCGGGACGATGAGCCGTGGCGGAATGTCACCTGGTTGCAGTGCCAGCTCCACTTGGCGCACATAGTGGCAGCAACTATGGTGACCTTGATCGGATCACTTCTGCGACTGGATTTCCGCCGAACAATAACGGCGGTCTCCAAGACGGTCAATCTCTGGATCGCTCCGCGGCGGGTAGCGAACGACCGGAAGAACTCGGCGCGGGGGCAAAAAACCGATGCGCAGTTGTTGCGGGAGCTGTACACTGTCGACGACGCAACGCAGGCCCGCTTGAACGGCATGACGTCGGTGGAGCAGGAGCAATTCCACAATGAACGCATCGCGCAGAGCGCACTTCTTCTCGCGAAGAAGAAGCTGCTGGAGACCAAGATGCGGGAGTCGCAGTCGGCCGTGAAGCGTGTAACCGGTTTTGTTCGGACGCGCTGGCTCTCGGTGGGCAAGTGCATCAGGGGGTTGTGGCAGCAGCAGGAGTTGATCACCAAGAAAGTGCTGGACAAAAGTGATGAGAAGCTGCAGAAAAAAAACCGCAAATTCTTGTCCCGGGCCCAGGCTGCTCTCCAGAAGCCTTTGTGGTGGGGCGGGCTTCGCGTTCTGAGCCTCGTCTTGACGGAGATAGATCGCGTTGCCGGTGTGGTGATGCACAGCTGCTCCAAAGAACTGGACGGCGCCAGCATCCCCACATTTGTTGATAGTTTGCCACGGTGCCACCAAGTCGACCTGTTTTCGCGTGTTACGGATTTCCTCTTCACCATTGGCGGCATGACGATTCGCGGTCTCTCCACCGAGGGCCTGGCTCCGGTTGCCGCGATAATGTTCTGGGCCATGGTGCAGGAGCTTAACCTCCGACACTCCCCACTACGCGCATGGCCATACAGATTGGCGTTTCTTTTCTCCAGCAACCGGGAGGAGCGGATGAAGACTATTGCTGATCTGTTGGCGGCGTGCGAAACCGAGAAGCAGCGGGTGCTGATGCCACAGGAGGCACTGGAGTGTTGGAAGTTGTTCCGCCTGGAGTTGCAGATGGTGTTGGAAAATCTGCGGAAGGGCGTCGACATCGGGTGGAGCAAACCATTCTGCAGGAACTTGTGCCCCGTCATCAGGGGCTTTCTCGCCAGCAGTCAGATCGCCGAAAGTTTGAACTCCACGACGTCGTGGGTGAAGCGTGAGGCCGGCGGTCTCATCGGCATCTTGTTGGGATCCGCGCGCACGTTCTGCAGACGGGGAGCTGGTCGAGATCTTATGCAATGAAAAATGAAAACAAAAACATGAGCATCGCACTTGTGCCTCTAGTTGTGTATGTACAACTCGCGGCCGTAGCAATAACAGAGGCAACTGCAATTCCAACTGCACCCAGCAACAGCATCTTCTTGCGAAAGGTGAGCGCTGGCACGTGCGCGAACGGCGCCCACAAATGCCTATCCCAATGAGTATCATTTGTCATGCTGAAAACGCAGCATGAGTATCGTTTGTCATGCTGAAAAAGTTTGTCATTATCATTTGTCATGCTGAAAAAGTTTGTAATGCGACCCCTCGACTTAGAGTCTCTACTTGATTTCACTAGTGCGATGCTCATGGTTTTATTTTTTGAAATGTATAGATCTGGACTTCGAGCAATTCCTCTTCATCTACGATAACTGCCTGTCACTCAGTGCAACCCTGAAGATCCGGAAGGGGCTGCGGGAGATGGGCATCTACTCTGATCCGCTGGTGTCGGATCGCAGCGACTTCTTGCTGCAAAACCGGGTCCGGCCAGATGAGAATCCGCGTCGTGTAGTCGCGGAGCTGTTTGATTTTCTTGCCCGGCCCGACTGTCCGGATCCACCACCTCTCGTCGGGGGTGATAAGGCGAGGGGGGGCGGCGGGCGTACAAACTTCGGTGGTCACCCACTCAACATGAAGTGCTTCGACTTTCGGGCTACTGACATCATCGGCATTCCCGTGTACAACCGCGATAACTCCGCCGCGAAGCGCATGCAGTACTACTTCATCATGAAGAAAACCAAACAGGACGCCCTTCTGGCCGAGGTTACAGAAATCGAGGACGGGGAAATGGAGCCTGGTCATCGGGTCCGTATGTCGATCGATTTGGACTGCAATCTATCCGGTGTTGAAAAATGTTTATCTGGTAGTAGTAGCACCAGTTCCAAGTTCAGTTTGTCATGCGTGTCATCCTAAGTATTTGCATTTGCGTTTGCCGTGCAAAGCGGTCAGGCGGACGGCCCGGGGCGGGGATGGTGACTAAATTCGCGCTATAATCCGGCTAAATTTTTCCGCAGGCCGCGCAGCTTTTCGGCCCCACATCGATGGGCCGCGCGCCTTTGCTCGGCCTGCACCCGCCTCGTGCGTGGGGCGGCCGGGCGCCGGGGGCGTTCCGCGGCTTCGCGCGAGGCCCTTTGTGCTCGTTTTTCGGCGGCGCTCCCCGTGGCGCCGCCCTCGGCCGATTTAAAATTTAAAAATTCGGAGTGGTTTCCATCCGAATTTTTAAATTTTGCAAAGGCCGGGCCGCGCCCCTGCCAGCTTCGCGGCCCCGCGCCACCGCCCGCCGGGCGAGTTCGCCGCGCTGCCGGACCCGCGGATCCGGAATTCGGGGAAGCTAAATCGGAAGGATAAATCTTCGCGATTTTCCGCAGAAATTTGGCTAACCGGCCGCCTAAAAGGCGGCTAAAAGTGCGCTAACTTCCCCGCTAAATATGTCGCTAAATATGTCGCTAAATATCGCGCTAAATGTGTTGCTAAATCCGACCACAGGGAAATCCCACTGGATTTGGATCTCCGGACCAAATTTAGAAGATTCCCGGTCGGAATTTAGAACAGATTTAAAACGATATTTAGAAACATATTTAGACACATATTTAGACACATATTTAGAAGCATTTCAGGCGGATTTCAGCCGCGCCTTCCACCCGCGATCCGATCGTGTGTGGAAGGTCCAGCTGACTCTCCGGGGGCGAAGGGCAAGGCGTTCTTCCGTCGCGTGTGGGACGTAAGCTCCGCGCGCAAGCTTGGGTAGGTCGGCGGGCGCTGACTTGAAGTTGCCCGGCCGCTCCCGGCAAACAAGGTCCGCAGCAAGGTTCCAAGCCCCCCGGGCGCGATGGCCGGGTGGCCGCGCCGCACGGCCCGGGCCGGGCGAAGGCCCCGGCGCCCGCTCTGCGGCGCTTGGCAGAACGGGGGCGGCGGTTGTTTTCCCGCGGGCTTTTTCTGCTTTGCCTCTTGGGCAGTTTCCTGTCTTTGGGGCCAAACAATTTAGCGGGAAAATAGAACAAATTTAGCGCTTTACACCGCCCCGCCTCGTCCGCCTGAAAGCGGGCCTCTCATGCAGGACAGATTGCGACTTCTTTTGGTCATGCAAGACAGACTCCTATTTGTGTCTGTCTTCGTCATGTTGTGCTTGTAGGTGTGAACAGCCTCTCACGCAAGACAGATTTCTATTTGTCACGTGGCTAGTCCTCGTGAACAGAAACAGATACAGACTTTCGCTTTTATTTGTGATGTCTAACAGCCCCGCAAGAAAAAGAATCAAGCAGCAATAAACTGTGATGCGCGACCTGTCGCGATGCCATGTAGAGCGCAGTAGTCTTTCACACTGCAGACCGGATAGGATAAAGCTTGAAACTGATGTAGGAGCAGGAACTGTTGCTATCTACTACCGCGATCATTTTGCCTGGCGTACTGCTGTTGGTTTTCCGATGCAATTAATGCGCGGCTCGAGGAGCAGCCGGCAAAGTATGCTAAAAACCAAAGAAATAAAAAAGAGGCGCAGCTTCGACCCGTCGTCTTGAACGGCGCGACGCAGTTGAAGTACTACCACATTGACACGGCGGCACGGCAGAAATTTTTCCACATGAAGCCGTCGTCGGAGCTTCGGAGCGACTTCTACTACCTGCACCGGGTCGACGATCGCGGTACGCCCGACACCGTAGAACTACATGCGAACTACAAGCCCCCAAAAACCCACCCTGCTCATGATCGCATCGTCGGAAAATACGTGGCAATGCCGTGGACCAGCGTCAGCATGTCGAAAGACATGGAGGGAGAACAAAAGCTGGCAAAGCGGGAGAAGCGGCTGCTGCGGAGCGCGCGCCTGGACTCGCCGACGAGGCGATCCCGCGAGGAGAAGTGGGGGAAGGTGTCGCAAGAAGTGCGGATGCCGGAAGTAGCCGCGAACGGCTTGCAGGGCAGGGTTTACGGTATCTGGCAGATCGAACAGAAACAGTGGTGGGGATACCTCGAAAACGCAGCTCCCTTCGACCGCAGAAACACGAATCAGGCGAGCAACAACGCGGCGCCAGGAGTAGCAGCTGCAGCCGACATTCAGCCACCAGAACTGACGGGCGCGGGCGCGGGTGCGCATGCGAGTGCGGGTGGGCGCGCACATGCGGGCGCGGGCGGGCACGCACATGCGGGTGCGGGCGGGCGCGAGCATGCGCACGCGGACGTACAGGCGCGCGCACGTGTGGGCGCAGACACGCGCGGGCACGCAGGCGGGCGTGCGCATGCAAGCGCGGGCACAGACGCGGGCGTGCAGGCGCAGGCGAGCGCACCCGCGGGCGCGGGCGCGGACGCACGAGCGGGCGCACGCGCAGGTACGGGCGCACAGGAGCGTGTGCGGGTGCAGCGCGCGGGAGAAGATGGAAATAATGCGCAGATGGGCGTGCGCGATGAGCAGGAGGCTTCTGATCACGAAGATTCCAAAGCGGAGGGCGCGGACGAAAGCGGACCACAAGAAGGAAGTAAGAAAGGGAAAACCATCGTGAAGAAGAAGTACTTCGTGGCGAAGACAAGACAGGAGTTCGTGAAAAGGATGGTGCAGTTTGAACAAGGAAAAGACGCTGCTCCGGCGGATGCCTCCCCGGAAGAAGAAGTAGCCGCGAGCGCGTCGCTTGCGCAATACGTGAAGGAAAACAAACAATTCGAGAAGAGGCAGAAGGGCTTGGACATAGAAGTCGAAACCGATGAGGAGAGTACTTTTGAAGCTTCCGACGACTCTTCTGACTTCGCCTCCTCCAGCGACGGCGGGGATTGAGATCAAAGAAAAGAAAAAGGCTAAATAGTGCCAGAGTAGAGAATAAAAGTTAGTACTATTCTTTTCTTGGTGCTAGTCTCAGCGTTTACGCTTCGCGTCATGAACTTTGTCTATACCTTTGGCTGGAAGCTTGCGTTGATGTTGATCATAGTTTGAATATTTAAATATAAACTTTTATTTCTAATACTAAAACTAATTCTATTTTTATTTGGATTTGCGTTTGCCACTGGCATTGGGCATTGGCATTGCGATTACCATCGTCGTCGTGCTTGACTTTTTGATTGCCTTTCCTTGAAGCTAGCAGTGAGCTTCGTCGGAAGGTGAAACTCATATACGCATGTTCATAAAAGTTTGATTTTAGGTATTGCATCTACATCTTGATCTGCGTTGTCACTTTCATCAGTTTTTCTTTTTGTTTTTCCGCTTGCAGTTGCGGCTTCAAGCGCAGCCTAAGCGTGTATCTACATCATCGAATTATCAACAATACCAATAGCATTAGCATTATCATACTCACCACCACGCTGCTGTTTTCCGTTTTGTTTTTGAGCTTTTTGTATACAAAGGAAAAGAGTGTAAAAGTGCTTGCCAATTCTAGATCTTATTGCAATCAGAGGCAAAAAAAAAACTCTCATTCTAATATCAAACCCCCAGCGCCGCGTCAGTTGAGTTCGAGCGGTAGTTACAGGAGCACGACGCGGCAGCTTCTTATCCATTAAAATTGTGAGCGTCGCTGGCGTTTTCAATTCTAATATCACAATATAAAACTAAAAGCTCAGGCTCACACATTCGCATGCGCATCCTAATGAGCATCACACATTTCTAATTCTAATGACGCGACGAAAAACACAGCTATCACTTGTTAGAGATTGCACTTATTTCCCATCTAGTTGTGGGCGTCGTTGTGCTTGCGCTACTACTAGAGGCTGCGAGTCCGCTTCTATTCAGTGCTTTTTCGAACCTTAAACGCAATGCAGAAAAGTTTGATAATGATAAAAAATACCCTGTCGCGACCACCCTGCTGTGACAAAATTAATCTCTTCAAGAAAAGAAAGTGACAAACTCCACTAGATTTTGCTGTATGTTTTTTCCTTTCATGCGTGACAAGTGGTTGTTTGGAAAGCACAGAAGTATTGCGAAATCAGAAGAAAATAGCCTATGTTGACTGTGTATAGTAGCACCACTGCGCAAAAAATCAAACAAAATATGTTGTAGTGGATTGTGCGCGGCATTGATTTTTAGCTATTTGTATTGCGTAAAGTGATGAGCTTGTGCCTGTGGCTGCGCGCAAAATCACCGCGAAAAGTGTTGAAGCAGATACCGGCGCTCACTGATCACGGACTCGTCAAGAAGCATTTCTACGAAGATCGAGGGTCGTTCTGGTCGAAGATCTTGAGGCTCGCATCATCCAAATCGTCGTCTTTTTCATTGATTTTACGTTGTGCGCAACCTCTTCGGCGATGAGTCCAAAAGTGGCGATTTTCAATTTAATTGATTTGCTAGTGCTCTCGAGCACTATGATAGGAGACCAGGTCTTCTAGTCTAGTGATGATGACTATGTATGCTAGTGACCAAAAGCACTAGGAAATCAATTAAATTGAAAATCGCCATTTTTGGATCATTGCGTTTTGTGCTCAAAATTGATGTTTTTGTCTGGTTCATGACACATTTTCACAATCAAATCCAATAGGAAAGTTGAGAGATTTAGCGAAAAACAACTGAGAAAAGATGAGTTTGTCCACTCTCCGGCACTTCAGCCGGCCCTCTGATGAGGAATGCCAGTCATTCCTCAACCTGGTTGACGCTGGGGAGGCAGGCGTCCCAGAGGCCGATCGTCTTTTGATGCGTTTTGCCAAAAACGGATATGATCCCGCTGATCCGGCGCGCAGCATCGAAAAGCTGAAGAAGCATCATGTCCAGAAATCCGGCCGCCACGACTGCAGCCGTCCGATTGTCCCCGACAACCTCGCCGTCATGCGGACCGCAGTCAAGGAGCGCGGGAAGGCGAACGGGTTGGATGGATCGAAGACGCGTGCCATATTTTTTTCTTCTAGTTAGCGCATTATAAGTATACTCTCAACCTCAAAAGCAACATCATTCACAAGAAAAAAGCTTGCGCGCAATCATATTCGTACGTGAAAAGCATGCTCGTGCGCTTGCGTTTTGATCTTTGTGTCATTCCCAAAAGCAGCACACTGAGCTGTCAAATCGTGCAAAATTCAACAACTTTTGTCGTACATGCATACACTTTTCGTTCACAAATCGTCTGATAAATCTTGTGTCATAGAAGCATGCTTTCGATTTCATACACACAAATACACATGTATACTCATGCATCAAATTCAAATAGAAATACTAAGATCTACACTTTCCCAGGTTTAATGGCCGTCGATTACTCCGGTGCGCACCAGGTCGGAAAAAGCTATGCCTATAGTTTTATTCATGGGGGACATACCTGCCTCGCATTCGAGTTAGAGGGCGTCGACCCGGAGCCCTTCAATGTCGAGATTGTACTACTCTCGCCGGAAGTGGACCGCCGTCCGGAGTTGATCCGCAAATACGTACTCTTGAAGAATAACACCCCCGAAGGTATGTGTAGCGGGTGGGTGGAAGCCTGTACTTTGGCGGGGGAGGTATTGAAAATTTTTTTTGTTCCAGTATTCATCTTAGTATGCGAAACCACGAGCCATGTCTTAGTCTTCACAACAAGCTTTCAATTTTTATCCAAGCGTGTAAGTGTAGCCATAGTGTCACCCACATAAACAAAGCTATGCTCGTTTTCGTTTCATTCTCTGCTGTATCATTAGCATTAAAATCAACAAACACAAATCATGATCGACACGGACATAGCATGAAAATCAAAATCATAATGATGCACTACGTAAAAAGTACAGAGCTGGCCCCTGTGCCAGCAGTACCGCGATACGATGGCCAAGTCCGGCCGCGTCCCGGCCGAGTTCCATGCGTGGATCGAGCTGCTTGCGGGCCCGAAATGGAAGGGACAGCTGCAATCGTATGGGAAGCATGCCGTGACCATGTTTAGTCGTGGTGTTGTCCATGAGTACACCCATTTTGGCCAGGCGGTCAACTCGCAGGTCCCCCGTCCGAAGCACAACGACCTGCGTTTAAAATTCTTCTCGTTCACAAACGTAAGCGCTTTTTGTTGTGGATTTGTATTTGTGCGTTGAAGCTCAAACTTCATTACAGCAAATCACGTTTCCCACTCTTCTAGTTCTACAGCTTCTATTTGTATTGCTATTCTTCAAATATTTGCTGAGATCATGCACTGGCGTTGTAGATTTAACTTGGAGTAGGACAAAATGTATGTAGGTCGTAAGTTTTTCTTTTTGACTTTTGAATTTGAATACATTAAAGCAAAACCAACTCTCAAACCCAACACAGAATGTGCTGGCGTCGATCAACCCGTACACGGACTCCCCCATTACGCCCGGTAGCTTGCAGCTTGACATGCACTACGCCGTGAGGACCATTTGCGGCTACGCTTCTGGTTGCCAAGCTGACCAGGTCCAATTCACCGAGAGCGAGGACATCATCCTGCAGAACTTATGCTCTGTAAAAGTATCGCCCTCAAACTCAAGGCAAAAGTTTTTGAAACTAACAGCGCATCAGAGATATTGATATTCTAATTTTTATCTTTCGCTTTTGTTCCCCCTTTTCAGAAGGGGGAGGACAAGGTGTCGAGCTCGAAGTTGCTGTATGCATTACAAATGTGATTGTCAGTCTTTGCGTGCATTACAAATATGAGCTTGCGTTTCGTTTTTGCAGTAAGAGTTAAAATTTAAATTTAAAGTTAAACTTGAGCCATAATCTGTCATGCAATAGTACGAGGGCGATGCTTTTATGTTTCATAAGACTTGATCAAAAGCAACATCCCGCCGCAGAAAATTCCGGATCGTTCCGCCGAGTCCAAAAAGTGCCGCCAGCAGAGCGAGATGGAGATGATCACCCCCATCAAAGAGCGGAACATCAAGAGCAGCATCGTGTCGCTCTTCCGGGCGATGAAAAAGGTGAAGGAATTTTATGCCAGCAAGAAGGACACCGGCCTCAGCGAAGCGACCGACATCGCGGAAGCGGCCGCGTTGGAGAAGAAGGCGAGTCCGGCGTTCTGGGGTTTGAAGTACGACGGTGCCTGGAAACTGGCCAAGGAGTTCAAGCGCACGAAGCAACAGCAGGACGATGAGCAGTTCTTGTTGAACAACATCGCAGCCATGATCAAGACCAAGTACAAGTTCGTTGCCGGGAACCTGGGATCTCAGGTCCAGGTCCATGTGGTCCCGTTCGACAAGGAAGTTCCGAAATCCACCATGATGGAGAGGCGCATGTACGTGAAAGGAAGCAAAGGCGAAAAGCTTTTCGTCCACCAGTTGAAGAACGCCTGCCCGAGCGACCACATCGAGCGGCTGACGGAGTGCGTCGAGGAAGGGTCGCTGCTGCTCCCCCTCGTCGCCACGACCGCCGACCCGACGATGGAAATTGGCTGCTTCGAGATCGACGAAAGCGTGGACGTGGCGCTGAACTGGAAAGGAAAAGCCGCCGCGGCTGCCGCGAACAACAACAAGCCGGGCGGGAAGAGGAAAGGTAAAGCCGCTGGTAAGGCGGAGGCGAAGGCTGGTGCCCCAGCTCCGGCGGAGGCGAAGGCTGGTGCCCCGGCAGCTTCGTCTGCGGTTGCGGCCGCCGCTCCGGCCCCGGCTGCCGGTGCCAACGGATCTTCGAGTGGAGCGAGCAATGTATTCTTTGATACGAGTTTCAAATCGCAGTTGCAACTTGAATCCGAGTAACAGTAAAAGTAAACGAAAATGTCAAAGAGATATTAAGATTTTAGATTTAGTTTAAAAGTAAAACCGCGGAGGTGGAAGTCAGCTTGTTGAAGCTGTAGGGAAAAAATAGGCGCGTGCGCGCGCGCACGCACACAGACATGTGCGCGCGCGAGCACGTGCGCGTGCGCACGCGTGTATATGCGTGCGCATGCGGGCGTGCGCACGTGTGCGCGCGCACGTGTGCGTGCGCACGTGTGCGTGCGCACGTGTGCATGCGTGCGTGTGCACGTGTGCGTGCGCACGTGTGCATGCGTGCGTGCGCACGTGTGCGTGTGCATGCGTGCGTGCGCACGTGTGCGTGCGCACGGGTGCGTGCGCACGGGCGCGTGCGCACGTGTGCGTGCGCACGTGTGCGTGCGCACGGGTGCGCGCCCGCACACATGCATGCGCGCGCACATACACGCGCGGGCGCGGGCGCACACTCTTGCACATTGAAAACTTGAATCGAGTTCAGATCTACCTTCGCCCTTCCACTTCTACGTTTACAGTGAGTGCTCAGATTGAGCTTGATTTCGAATTTGGATTTGACTTTGGTACCAAAGTCAAAATACAAAACGCAACTACCGATGTAATAAAACTGAAATTAAAAACCCCTCCCAGATACAGGCCGCCCCGGTTCTGCTGCCGGAGCCGATCCCGGAGAACCAGCTGGGCTTGGAGATCGAGACCGAGCAGGAGAAGCGCAACCGTGAAGCCAACAAGGCGAGGCTGGAAAAGGACCCCAAGAAGTGCTGTCTCGAATACTTATCGGACAAAAACTGTCAACCGTTGCGCTGGTGTATGTGCATTCCGTCCCAGTACAGTCACCTCTCCGACCAGGAACTCGATAAGCGTCGCGAGTTACTCAACAAGTTGAGAATTTTAGTGAAACCAGATGAAGAAATGTATGACGCACACACGATTGATGAGATGGTGGACTTCCAGTGCGACAAGCTCTTCTACAACGCCGGTGAGCGGCGCTTCAGCGGAGACTGGACCTTTCCCGTCGGCGACGGGCATCAGCTGTCGCTCTCGTACTTTAATTTGATGATGATCTGACTCTGACTGTAAATCTAAAAGTAAAACCAAAAAGTAAAGAGTTTTAGTTTTTTGAAAATCGACACTGGAGTTTCAATTTCATGCATGGCAGAGTATGAGTGAGATTCTCAGAATGAGGCTTCGACTTGAAATTGACATCAAAAATAAATCAGGCATGTGAAGTACTACTGGAAAGTCTGTGACCCCGCCAAATGTGACCGCGCCAAAGCCATTTTTTGGCGGGTCATAGAGGAGAAGATGCCGTGCTCCGCGGAGAAGAACGCCCCGATGAAGACCACCTCGTTCGTGATCCCGGTGATGTCCGGGGTCAAGGCCCTCGGCAACGCAAAAAAACAGAAATCCCGCTGCTGATTCTCTTCGTGCGAAAAAAAAGGAAAAAGTAAAAGAGGTGAAAGAAAAGAAAAAGTAAAAGAGAAGAAGAAGAAGAGGAGGAAGTGCTTTTTTATTTGATTGATTTTGTGTTTGTTATTCTAATTCTTATTTGATTATGATTTTCATTTTGATCTCTATTTGAGTTTTGACTTTGAGTTTGTAATTGTATTTGTTGCCTTCTTGCTACTTGCTGCTTCAGCAGCATGGTTCTTTCTCAGTAGTGCTACTTCGGCCGTGAATGAGAGTTGAGATTACTGATAGAACTAGAAGAGTAGGGATAGACTGAAATGACACGCAGTATCAAAATGGTAGTACGCAACCAATGCAAACGTCCATACCTCCAACAAAAAAAAACTCAGGCTTTTTGCTAGTCCGCTGCTCCGGGCAAGGGCTACTGTTTCGCGAAGCTGTATTTCAAGTCACAAGACCTCCGAGTCCGAGAACCAGCGCCAACTTGTTGTCCAACCTGTTGTAGTGAGGAGCTCCAATGTGGCAAAGACAAAGCGCGACTGAATGCGAAAACTGTTTTGTACTACGATTGTTTCACTTTTCCTTTCGTATTTGTTCTAGTTTCGGTTTCCCTTTCCAAGAAAAAGAAAACAAGAATAACGTCCCTGCGAATCCGCATAGAGGTAGACCTCCTTCTAGAATTAAACGCAGAAGCAAAAGTACAGCGAAAATTAGAATTACAGCGTGACTACAGCTTTGACCTCGGCAATTGCCACGAAGAATATCTCGCTCTTCAGATTCTGTGCCCTCGGATATTACGTACAACGATAGTAGGCCACCCCTATGCTTACTCATCTGATAACGTAATAGATTTTCGGCTCGTTCGTCCTGTGCCTGTAGTCCTTTCGTGCTGCGTGTCGTAGACGTAGACGCGGGCCTGCAGTATGTTCGTAACCGTTTCCGTAGTCATATGAAAAAGCACGCGTGCAGTTCTAACTCCGTGTTGAACTACAACTATCTTTGTTGTTTCATGCCGCACTAGTCGTACAACAACAACTAGAGCTACTACTTTTGGTCTTCCGTTTCGTGTCCATTTCCACCCTGCTTCTAGATGAGACGCATCGCAACTAGATCGGGCGGATGGAGAGACGTCGGATAGATAGAGCCTTGCGATGAAACAGAGCTTTTTTTGTCACTACAATTATTTGTGTTGCTGTTTTCCTTTTCGGTTTCGCTTCATGTTCTTGCTTCACTTTACACTTCGACAGACGTAGCCTGCAGAAGAGTAAGAAAAACTAAAACAAAGAAATCGAAGAAGAGAACAAGTAAGATGTTTCCGTCTGAGCTTGCACTTATCTGGAGCTACATTTGGGTTTCGCTTCTTTAGTTCGACGTGCATCAAAATTTCTACAATTTCAGAAGTCTCCGCGTCGTGATCAAAACGCCTGCGAGCGCATCCTTTAGCTTGTGCGCTGTGCTGTCTGTAGTGGCCAGAAAGTAGAAGATCGCACTCCCTGCCACTACTGCTACTAATGTTTTTCTTCTTGTTTTTGGCAAAAACGAAATCGAAACTTGCCGGCACTGTTTCTTACTTCAGGATAGTAGTTTGCTCGTGTTTTATGTCGGTCGTCCTGGTCGCGCAATGTTGCAAATCCGCCGGAGCTGCAGCGTTGTTGGACCTAGGCCAATTGTGATTATTTCTACCTCCACACGTATAATAACAAGCTCAAGTAGAAGTGCCAGAAATCGAAGCTGTTTTCTTTTTTCTTTCGACTGGAAGATAGCAAGAAAGTAATTTCCGCCACAACCGAAAGCAGAGCTTGTTTGCCTTCGAGTGGAAGCACGTATCTCTTCCGTAGAATAAAAGAACTCAGCTTCGAATCACTTCATGGTTGTTGTGTCGCGCGTATCTGCAGCTACTTCCTTCCGGTCGTATTGCAGTGCCGCGATTTTACGTATCTCTGCACAGTTAGCTGCCTGCTTGAATGTAGCAGCGAAAATTTCGATCTCTACACATAGACTACCCAGCTTTAAAATTAAAAATAGCGTTGAAATTATCACATTCTTTTTTCGGCCAACGCGAAGTTGTCGCTTGCCCCCATCTAATCATGCGGCATTGCTGCGTCTCCGTTTCTGAGCCAGCATAAACATCAACATTTCGCTGACTGGCATCAAGGTCTCACCTGTCCGGTGCGGTCCTTTTTGCACTTTCGGCAGCAACGTTTCGTTACCTAGTCCTGCTTGTATGTTGCTCGCATGCTACGCGGCATCCGCATTCCAAGAAACAGAGCCAGCACTTGAGCTACAGTGTGAACATCTGCCCCCGTTGAAATGAATTCGGGCGCATTGGCAGTGCTAACTCTAAGACGCGAGCAAATACAGCGTTTCTACAGTGACTATGCTTCTACTTCATGCGTGATCCGATTTTGATTTTCATAATCGCTTCGCTTGAGTACATGCGTTAGCGCCAGTAGTCGCGGCAGTGTGGGAGATATTGCGCGCTGGTCTCCACCTGGATCGCGATCCATGGTGAGGCCGTCACGTTGCGTTGATGTCGCAATCTCACCGAAGTGCAGTAGGATAAGGTGACGCTAACAATTATACTAGCACTACCCTAGACGTTGACGCTTTCGACTATCAAAGAATAACAAATGCTCCCCCGCGTTTTAGATACCACTCTGACACTTGTGTGCCACGCTGCGAGTGGTGTTGATGAATGGAAGCTGAGTCTGAAACTGATTTCGAATTGCACTACCCGAGCAAACGTTTCTTATTGCACAGAATGCGCGAGCGTCTGTGTCTGTAAAAATGCATCTCCTTGTGAATCAAAATCAAAAACAGAAAACAGCTGCTCGCTGCGAACGAGGCAGCAGACTGAATAGAATGCGTTAAGGGTGGCGGTCGCCCCCCTAAGATGTTCCAACTCGGGCGCATCTCCCTGCGTTGTCCTTGAGCCACATATCGTGAGCCTCAGCTTCACGCTCGCAGAGAAAGGCAAGCGCAAAAGTGAAGCAGAGTGATCGATTAGTGTGAGCGCTCTGAGGGAGTTGGGCGCTTCTTGCACTTGAGGGCTCCAAGGCTTTTGTGTTTTAGTATTTATGATTGTGCTTTTCATTTTCGTTTGCCTTTTTGTGGATATGAGTATGTGTACGACTATGAGGGTGAGGCGCGTTTTAGTTCCAGTGGGATTTACTTTTGGCTTTTGGACTGTGCGCGTGCTTCCCACCAACGAGTCTGATCCCCGCACGACCACAAAGACAAAACTAAAAGCAAAAGACGGGAGTGCTCTACATCTAGATCTAGAACTAAAGCCGAGTCGTAGTGTAAAGATAAAAAGCAGAATCTGCACCAAGATGGCTGAGAATGACTGAGATGCATCAGTCCCGTTTTGCGAGCCGCAGCATCCAGGTGAGAGGGAAGGACCGCGAGACCAAGCACTACTTCGGGGAGCCGCTCGGCAGCATGGTGCTGCAATACACTTGTGGGAATCGCCGGACATTGTTGCGTCGCTTATTCTCGCCTTGGTCTTATTCTTAACGTAAGCTAAAGCTTCCACTTCGTGGTGGTTTAGGATTAGGCTTCAAAGTGAAAACTCAGAGAGGAAGTCATGTGCCAACTCAAAACGAATGCGAAAGCTGAGACACAAGCTCGCTGTACTCTAGACATGGACTTCGCTCAAGAGTTAGACTTGCGACACAACTGCGTCTGTGATTCAGCATCAACAACAACGACAGCGCAGTCGCATTCGCTTTCAGTTTCACACCAAATAAGACGAGAATAAGCGCGATGGCAATGAATGCCCGGCGTTTTTGTTTCTGATACACTGTCCCGGCATGGTCTGTCGTACTACACGAAGGTCGCGACTCCTTTCTCTTCTCGGCCAAACCGGTACAAGGGCGAGGACTACACCACCTGGACTCTGCGCGACGGCGACACTCACTGGGAGAGTTTCCGCATCTTGCCCGCCCCCAACGAGAAGTGCTTTAGCATCGAGCGCGTGACGCGGGTATAGCAGTAATTTCAGTTTTTGTTTTTCTTATTCTTTTTCGCTTCTTTTTTTAACTGCGTCCTTTTCTATTTCTTTATCATTAACATTAGCATTTGCATCATCTCTAAGGGCCTTCCCCTTCGCCTTAATCGGAACAACGGCAGCACAGATGAAAAAGAAAACCACGCAGCATTGTGCCTGTTCCTGTTGCTGTGTCTTGGCGAAGACGCAAACTGATTGCAATTCTAAAACCAAACCCCATTGACACAGATCCCCAAGGAAGAGTGGGAGGGCACCGCGGATGGATTGATTACGCCGTGGGCCACGAACCCGGAGAAGAAGAGAAAAAAGGTAGCCGGAGTGTTCTAGTCCGACGAATCAAACACGGACCAGTCTTCTCTGTCGCGGCTCTGTCGCGCGTCGACTGGTGAAAAAGAAAACGGATGTGGCGAAGAGGGCGTTGCGACTGATGAAGAAATAAAAACAGCCACAGACACGAGCCTGATGTAGATGAGGAGCAAGACAAACACAGAGTTTGAAACTTCAAAGATAGGCGGCTTTACTTGATTAGGCTTTCCGCTTTGACAACCTAGATGATGCCATGCGATCAAAGAATGAAAAGCAACAGACGTCCTATCCGGATCAAAGATCAAAAAAAGAAGATGGGCAGAGCCACAAAGTCAAAGCCAGAATGTAAATGGGCATGATGATGAAGAAGGTGTCCGTAACCACATAGATCAACGCCACGCAGTGCCTGCTCCTGCTGCAGATGCAGTGCAATTTGAATTCCATTTCCGTCAGGCGGACACCTGCCGCCGGATTTTTCCGCTTAAATCAGGCTAAAGAATTGCTAAAAGCAAAAGACTAGGCCCCCGGCGGCGTTTCGCCAGTGCGCGCGCCGGGCCCTTGTTTTGTCCAATGCCTTGCGCCGTGGCCGCGCAGGCATTGGGCCGGCCACCTAGCACCCCCCGGGCTTTGTTTGCCCTCCCTCTTTCAGTTTTGCTCGTCGGTGGCGCTTGGGTTCTCCCTGTGGAGTTTCTGCTTTCTCATGGCTTGGCCGGGGCGTCGCCAAAGCAGTCCCGTTCCATCCGTTGGGGCCGCCGCTACGTCCGTTTCATGGTGGATCGCCAGCTGCGGCATTTGCCAGCCGCCCGGAGCAAGGAAAGTGCTCCAAGCAGAACAACGCCTGGGTGCGGCCCGGGGCGACCTTCTTTGGCGGTGGAGACGTCGTCTGGGGTGAAGGTGTTTGTTGTTCTGCTCGGGTTGTTTTCTTGCTTCGGACGGCAAGGTTGCGGCCCCTCCGGAAAGGGCCGGAGTTGGGTCCGGAGTTGGTAGTTTTCGGCACTGCTAAAATCGGGATTTGGACTGCTAAAGCGATTGCTAATTTGAATGCTAAAATGCCTGACCCTTGAAAATCGGAACGATTTTCAAGTTTTGGCATTTTAGCACAAAATTAGCAATTTTTTAGCAGACACTTTAGCACGGATTTTAGCAGACGAAAACTACCGCGGCGGGATGTGGTTCCAGGGGATTTAGCAGTGAATTAGCACTGAATTAGCAGACTTTTAGCAGAATTTTAGCAGACCGGCCGCCCCCCCAACATCTTGCGAAACGGGGGGAATCGTTGGTGTTGGGGGGCCGTTCGCAGGATCGGGTGTTCGGGAAGGTTCTGTGGGGAGAACCGCTGCTCAAGTCTGACTGGTCATTCGGGGTGCGAATGGCTGCCGCGCAAGTCCGCCGTCGGGGAGGTGTTTCGCTTTCTCCCGCCCCAGCCCGTCGTCCTTCCGCCGGCCGGCGCGCTTGCGAGGCCCGCAGGGGGGCCGGCGCGCAAGCAGGTCTGACCGGGTTTTTCTGAAGGGGCGCCTGCCTTCGCCTCCTTCTTCCGCCTCGCCTGTCTTCGGGCCCGGGACAAGGCGGCCATCTTCCCTTTTTTCCGGTTGTCGCGCGTGCTTCCCGTGTTGCTTTGGGGAAAAAATTTGTTTAGCACTTTTTCAGCAGCTTTTTAACGAAAAAGCCCGGCGCCCTTTGTCCGCCTGATTTCCGCGCGCGCGCTTAGAGTTAGATGCGTTCGCGTCCGCACCCGCAGTTCAACGCTCAGGCTCCACGTTGATGCTACACCTAGACCTAACGCGAAATGTCATCCCAATCTACAACCGGATCCCCTTCACATAACAAATGAATCAAAATTCAAATGGTCCCGGCGTTTTTGGCGGGGGATGCGAAAGCTTTTTTTACCAACTGCCGCCGTGTCTACGTCTCGCGGATCATAACTTTCATGCCCATTGATCAAAATGCTTCGCGATCATGGACCAGCTAACTCGTAGTCGCTAGATCCAAAGCAATCCATGCAAATGCTTCTTTTTTTTTTACGGGGGCGTGGGCATCCCATGTATTTCAACACCCACTGACTCGCATGCGTTCAATCAAAAAAATCGGGATTCGGAGATAGTATCTAGATTAGAAAACAAAGATTTGCAGTCGTTGAGCACAGCGGAGTCGGTGTTCCACCAAATTTGAAATCGTTAATTAATTGTTAAACCTAGCTATTTTTATCGCTAGCAAATTCGGAATTAAGCAACTCTGTCCGACCATAGAACATGTGTACAGAAAGTCAGAGGCTGATGAAACGACGAAAACTCCTATTACGCAGTTTAGTGTGCGACCATCAAGCAGCACTTATTCGGCGACGTCGAACAATATCCACGTATCCCCTTCTACGAAGTCCTCCTCCTCCCGCCGCCCTGCACAAGATAAAGACTCATCCTCTGGTGGCACTTCCACAGCTACTAGACCACTTTCACCGCAGCGAAAGCTCCAAAATGAAGATCCCTCGTCAACATCATCCCCCTTTCCCTTTCCCGCCGAAAAAAACTTTCCCCGGTCTCTCCCCACGGTATTCGACAGTGCGAGCGGTCACGACTTTGCACCAACCGCAGCCTTATCAAATGCAAAAATGTCTGGGTCTGGAAGGATGCAACTTGTGATGCATGTTGCGCATCATACAAAAATCTGTGTTGCGTGACTTGCAAAAGGTGCTCATTTCTGGCCATGCTGAGGGGGCATTTCTCATGCAGAACAGGCATCACAAAGGGGCTGCAGATCCTGTGATGCTAGGCCCTGCATTCCAGACTTGGTGGAGCTTGGACAAACTGCATGACAAATCTCGGAATCTTCCAGACCCAGACACTTTTCCATTTGATAAGCCTTTTCAGAAAGCGAAGTCTTCCGGGAAAAACGGCCACTGAACAATTCGGAGTTGCTCGCACACTTCCGGAGGAGGAAACGAAAACAGACCGCAGACAAGAGCAAACCCTCGCTTTCATCGCAAGAACGTAGTGCTCCAGGGATAGAACGACCACCTCGCCTGGAAGAAGATGCTTCTACTAGAACGGAGCTACAGGTGGAGCAGGAAACGACCGGCGCAAGAAGTACAACCTATCGCGATGTTGATGACCACACACCCACCGCTAGCACGAGTGCAACCACCGAGTCCTCCTTTTCCGAGCAGGAAGTGTGGCTCCCGGACGGCCTTCCCCTCTGCCTCTTCTTTCACCGGGCGGATTCCTGCCTCTTTGAGTATCAAAGTGTAACCTGGGAAGAGTTCTTCGAAAGCATGGAGTCCTGTTCCGGGATGAGCCTGTTTCCGCATTTGCCCCTCGTCCTGTTGCGGTTCGGCTACACAGAGGAGGTGAAGACGGGGGGTGGTCGCGAAGAAGATGGGCGTGTGCTGGTAAAGGCAGAGAGCAGCAACAGCCGGAACAGAAGAACGGAAGAAAGCGCTGATGTGACAGCTCGTTCCGCGGGGTACTTTGATTCTAACAAGTGGATGAGGTACATGGTGGAGGTTCTGAACATAGCCTTGGCATGAAGCATAGAGCCTGTCATCTAGATGTTCAATGCAGAGCAGACACGACACGGTCGGCGTTCTCGGCGAGCTTGAGTGACGTTGCCTCATCTTGCTTTAAAAATACTCGAAGTCGAACCATGGTGGCGGCCTTGGTGGTCGTTGTAGCTGAGTACTCTAGTACTGTTGCCAGCAGCTACATTGCTGTCTCGATGATCCGACTAGGAAAAGGTGTGCTGTCGAATTATTCCTAGTAATTGAAGCAGCAATCCCGGCAAAGAAGAACCGCTCTCGTAGTTGCTGCGCTGCATTTCACGGGCAGGAAGTGGAGTCTCTTTTTCTTCTTGTTAGATAGTGTATCAAATATCACATGGACGTAGTTAAGCTCCTTCAATTATCCGCGTGCCCATCTTTATGTATGGTGTTCTTCTGCTCCAGAGCCCATTAGTGCATCAGTAGGACACACAAAGCTCTTTAGTACTAGTACACACTCACATCAAGAGAGAAAAGCTATGGTGGACGATGCGACTCAGCAATGAGAAGGAGCTCGTCCTGAAAAGTTACATATGCGAGGTTGCTTTTGCATCAATTTTCCAAGAAGCTTCACGAAATTGCAACTTCCACCTACTGAGTAGCCACGTTGAGAGGATGAAGAAGAAGAAGCATAAATGTCGCCCAGCGGGGGGTGAATACCCCCAGCAAAAACTTTTCCACGAATCTTCAAAACTATGTGTCGCTTCTTCGAAAACTGATCAACAAAATCGTAATCGATCTGAATTATCTCCGTTGCAGAAGGGTCCGCTTGTTGTCGACCATCTTCATCGCGCCCCTGTGCCGCCCGCGACGGTGCTCATGGCGTCTCGCACGGCGGGTAAGGAATGCTGTAGTGTGGCTGCAGAAGAGGAACCAGAAATGCAGGGAGCACAGACAGATGATGTATGCGAAGTTGTTGTAGATGCTGCAACAGCTGCTGCAACCACAACTCGTGCGCGCCTTGCAGATGCAAAGGAGTCGGGACAGGAGACGCGGTGCGATGCGCAAGCTGACCAAAAAATGCGGAAGCGGAACCTGGAACAAAAGCGATATTTTCTCTGTAGCGGCACTGTCAGGCTCCGTGCTGCAAAAGTAAAGAAAAAAGATATCTATCCAAAGCATTTTGTTCCACTTACCCATGAATTTCTATTGTCCTCGCACGCAATCGCAAGTGCAACAACATGTCGCACGCCGCGCATAATCACAATCATTTCTGAATAAATGGCGCCAGCTTGTTCCTCTAAAATGCATTTTACTTGCATATGGACATCATCACGGCAGAAGTAGATGATGAAGGTGTTGTTACATGTGATGATGGTAATATAATTCATTTTCAGGCGGAGGTCAAGCGCAGCAAGACCGGTATCCTATCACCAGTGGTCTTTTTCCAGGACCTGTACCGACGCATCTTCCCATCAGGACAAGGGATTTTGAATAGAACTAGATTCTGTCCTGTCCGATTTTTACGTCGCCGCGAACAAGCTGAAGCTGGCACAAGCCACACTCTTGCAGGACGAGTGGGCCAAGAAGGTCATGCTCATGACCTGATGGTGGAGCTGGTGCCACAACACGACGCGAGTACTACAACCACGACACGCGACGCACCCAGTCCGTCTCGTCGTACAACTTGCTGTACGCGTGATCGCCGCGAGGAGCCCGAGGTGGGAAAAAGCGTACCAGTGGACTCCAAGAAGGTGCGTTCTATCATCAAGGACACGATGTTGAAGAAGAGAATCAAGAATAAGAAACAGCAAAACGGCAACTCCGCGGCGGCAGCGGCGAACACTGCTACCACGGCTTTCACGCTGCTCCTCGAGAGTGTCTGTGCCGTGTTTCGCCGCGTGATCTGGAAACCATCCGTGGCTGTGGTGATGTACTTATCCTTGCAGGTGCGAACGTCACAACCCCACCATCTGGTTGTATCCTGTGTGGAATCTTCGCCATCAGCAGCTGCATCTGCATGCGATCACTTTGCAGTGTGCGAATAGAAACATCAAGAGCGATCCTATTGATCTTGACCGACTTATTTGCAGAGATATTTCATGGGGAAGTAAACATGTAATTGCATGCACCAGTACAAATTGCCTCAGGAGATCAGCTTGCTGAGGATCGTGTTACACATGATATCATAGTCATACGACCTTCTGGCTCTTTGTAGGCTCCTTAACCGAGGAGCAGTTCCTACCCGGCTCGCTCGCTTACCGACGCAGCATATCCGAGATGCTACGAGCCTCACGAAGCGAGGGCAGTAGTGCCATGCGACAAGAGGGGTCTGTACTTATGCGGGGGATCGCTTTCACTGGCGCGCAGGCGCACCTCTTCACCACAGGAACAAAGTCACCGCCTGCAAGGCTAGTCATGCTCCTAATGCTGTAAATTCAGGAATGCAAAAGGCGAAAACGCATCGAGACATAACGCATGATGTCCTGTTTCTGTTGTTATGCCTCTTCGTGAGTTTCCGCGTTCGGATCCGATTTGAAAAAAAAGCTTCACAGCTGCAGGTGCGACCTGTCATCTGTACTTATGTGCGCGGGTACTTCGTAAATCGTTTTGCACCGAACAGGCAGTACTAGAACAAGATAATTAGAAAATATTAGAGGCATTCATAATTATATATGTGCAGTTTAACGAGCAACGAAGACTCTTGTGTAATTTTCGAAGAGTATTTGCGTCTACCTCTACCCTTTGTAAGTGGAAACCTGTTTCTCGCTACTTCTGCCTTGCTACTCAAAACCGCGCGGTGGTCATCTACTTCGTGACCTGTTCCCATAATGGTCGGTGCGGTTGACTTTTCCTTGGCGCGCCGGTGGTTTCTTTTCGCCCTCGATGCTGCAGCTAGATCCCGATGGGGCTGTGAAAAAGTCGCGAGAGTTATTTCATACATCATGCGTTTTCTTTTATAACCACTGGGCTTCGGCGGGCTGCTCAATTTGTATTGCGGAAAATGCCACAAACCACAATCAACTATTTCTATCATAAAAAAATGCTGTGAAAAAATGCAGATTGAGTTTATGTACAAAAATGCATCCTCGTCCATAAATCCTGGCTTAGCTGCCTCGACGACGCTGTAGCCAGGCATTTATATCTCTAAGCCGCAGCAAAGCCATGCGCATGATGATGAAGTAGTTTGTAGTGTATCCACACGCGGCTGAGCAGCGATGAGGTGCAGTGCGTATGAAGTTTGTAGGTAGAAGTGGAGTTTCGTGTGTCCTCACCGATGACCAAAGCTCACGGTCACGAAAAGGTCAGCTCAGATGACTACTGACAAGTTCAAGCTGTATTGAAGATTCGAAGACGTATGTACGTGTTGGTCTGATCTTGGCAGTCTTGCATGATTTCACCGAGCACCCTGAGCGGCCGCTAGACGACTACACGAGCGCTCCCTTTACACTGAAGGTGCACCACCTTGAGCACCTCCATGAAGGTTGTCAGAAACTACGCAAATTGAGCCCGACACTCGTCCTGTAGCTATCCTTATCCAACCACGCATGATGTTGAAATGCTTGCAACTGGATCCAAGTGGGAGGAGGATTTTCGGAAGCTGTATGGTCTCATCAAGTGTCGAGTTTTCATGTGTTGCTGTTTTTGCAACAATTTGGCAGACAATTTGAATTTCTCACTTCACGTTCACCTGCATGACCCTTTCAAACAACGCGGCTGCTCTGCAATACAAATGGTCATAGGAAGTGTGCGTGTGTCTAGCCGCATTTCTCACATTCTTGACCTGAAATTCTATACTTGTGATGGTTTTTCATGAACACGTAAGACAAAGATTGACATATTTATATAAAATTGAAATGCAAACTTAGAAATATAAAAATTTCCTGACGTTTATTCCCCTTTTCTTGCAGCAGAGTCACACAGACGCACGAACAGAAAGCGTATTTTTTTCCTTTACGCGCCGCATTGAAACGTCAGCCTGAGGAGCTACAATTGGTAACGTAACACTTGAGGAGGCCATAGAGTCGAGCCGTACATGATCAAATCAAAGGAGGGCCAACATCTGGTGGGCGAAAAGCAAACTACCCCCGCCGCGGCGCGGACCACGGGTACGCTGGAAGGACACACGATGGCGGACGAGATGAACGCGAATGGGAAAACGACAAACCAGAAGACTGCCCGGGGCCGCAAAAGCGGTCAGGATGCGCGCGGCGGAGGTGGCACCACCAACACTCCCGTGGCTGGTTCACCCCGTCGTGGCTCGAGAACAAGTTCTTCTACTAGCTCTACTGCCTCAAAAGTGCAGCTGGAGCGCTCCTCGTTGGAAGAAACGACGGATGAAACATCTGCCATTCAGATGAAACCCACTATCACCTCCGACGCCGCCTTGGGTGAGACGTCGCAGAAACCCAGAACTACGACGGGCTCTACAGCGGACAGCAAGGGAGCGGCGAGTGGCGAAACCGAAAACGGCGTTGAGAAAAAATATGAAATGCGAGAAAGAAACGAGAACAGCGAGCAATGTCATCCTTTTGCTTTTTTACTCCTTTGCATGTTTTTTCCAAAGTAGATCTGTCTCTTTTGTGATGACGAGAAAAAGTAGAACAATCTAGAACATCAAACATTCGCGCACGCCGGAACAGCACATTTGGGAGCGGTGCTCTCTTGGTTTTGCGTTTGCCGTCTTGGTATGACATGGAAAATAAGTAACCAAGAAGACCAATTGACACTGTAATTCCCGCCCCTGGAGGGAAGGGAAGTCGTGATAAGGGCCTGGCGCCCAGATGCGCTACCTACCTGAGGTAGACGCGTCAAGTCTCGCAAACTAAGCGGCAGCACGCCGCTGCTCCTGGTGAGTAATGTAGGGCGGCGCCCGCAGTCCAGCGCGCGCCCCCTCGACCCTGGTGGGCGTTCTCTTCTTGAGGACGAGCCCAGCTCTGGAAGCTGGTGCGCCCTGTACTATGCTCCTGGCGAGTGAGACGGCGGAGGGCCGTCCGCGTGCTTAACCTGAGCAGCACAGCGCCACACCGCGCCCGACCAGTCCGAGGCGGGCCCTTTAGTGTGTTGCCGCGTCGTGTGCAAGGAGGCCCGGCATGGCGTGCCCCTCCCGGCGGCCTTGTGCCGTATTGGTGGTTGGAGGCGCGCCGTCGTAAACCCTACTGCCCCACGTAGTGCGCAGCACGCAGCCGGCGGCACTTGCCGAAGATTGGCGAAAACGGTGGGGCCTGCGCTATTCTGGAAAGCCTCGGCTGGCACCTTACCCCCCTGGCGGGGCCGCAAGACCGTTCCCGGGAGGCGGCGCAAGAGGCGGCGGTGGCTCCGCCTGCGTGAGCCGCCACCGCCACAGCTTGCGCCCTACATTCTCCCCGTCCGGCAATTGCCGGATGTCCGTGGAGCCGCTCTGGAAGCGCACCTCCCTACGCACGTAGTGCAATTATTCTGTGTTAGTGCGCCCGGTGTGCACCCTCTGAATAATGCTGCTATAAGGAGCGAGTGCTCGAAGCAGGGCAGCACAGCGCGCCCATTTCCCTTCATGCGCGTTGCTCTCCTTCTGCTTCCACGACTTGAGGCCGTGTGTCGCGTTGAAGGGTTTTCGCACGTCCTGCTCCCACAGCCGTGTTGTCAGACGGATCATCGCAAGTATAGCCTGGTCAAAGAGCGAGCACCGCTTCTGTTTGAAACAAGAGCGGGTCAAATACAATACAATACAATTGACACTGTAATTTACCTTTGGTAGTCGCTCGCAACTTCACGGCTCTTTATAATTTCCGTTTGCGTACACAATGAACAAGTTTGGAGTTGTCACAACTGGACACACGCACAGTTGACAGCTTGTGTAGTGTAGTTTTGTCCTTTCTACTATCACCAAATCAAGCACAAAGTGCCACACCATGAAGAGCAGAGCGTGAGGTTGCTTCCCAGGTGATTGTCATGTCTACAGCTTCTGCCTGTGCAGTTCTACTTACAACGGGACGCACATTTCAAGGTTCGGAATCAAGAGCGTTAAGCGGCAAATTTGCATTTACAAAAATCGCGCACATCGAGAATCAGAACAGAGTAAATGAGCGCACATGTTTCTTTCTCGTACGAGGTACGTCCGTGCATAGTTAGACTCAGAGCTCGACGACGAGCACGGGCGGCGACGGGCAGCTAACACCAGCCGCTGAAACCGAGATAACGGCGCGCAATGGTGGGGTTGGTTCCTCCTCCACCCTGGAAGACGGTAGCAGGAGCGCAACGGATGGTGTGACGACGGATGGAAAAATGGATCTTGGTCCCCTTGGTGCACTGCATGACGTTGGTGACGGTATCTCATCTACAACGGGACGCGCCTCATCTACCACAAACGCTGGAACAACTTCTCCGTCAGGCACTGGACCTGGCGGCGTGACGCTGGAACATGAAGATGGTGCTGGTGCGCGGACCGCAGAGTCACAGGATACTGCAGCTGCAGATCGCTCCGTGACCGGGGACCGTGACCAGCATATGACGGACGCCGGCGCAGCGGAGGGTGCAAGAAGTGAAAAAGTTACAGGGCAAGGAAAGTCGAAGTCGTCAGAACCTAAAGCTGCATCTGCGACTCCTACAGATTTGCCGCGGATGGAAGCGAAAGGAGAAGAACAGGATAATCAGCACCAAAGCAGGTCCACGACAGAAAGCAGGAGTGCGTCGGGGGATAGTGGGCACGTAGCTCCTGCAGACAGCACCTCGTCTCACAGCACCGAAGAAGTAGCTGGCGCAGCATCTGAAAGAGGAGGTGGAGAGGCGAAGCTGGTGAGGCCGAGCCGGGGCTACTCGGCTGGTGGCGTTTCTACTTCCGCAACTGGTCGCGCGGCACCACCAGCGGTCGTAGATCCGAAAACGAAGAAAGTTAAATTCCCTGATCAAGATGCGGACCAAAGTGGTGGAGCTCCTTTGCAGGCAACTCCTGAAGAGCGCGAGCAACGCGAGCAGTTCGAGGCGGACGGAGGCTTGAGTTTCCTTTCCGAGGAGGATGTAGACGAAGCGTCGCTGCGTCGACCTTCTACGTCTACGTCTGCAGCTGCTTCCGTAACCTCCTCTACTCCAAGAAAGACCTCGCACGGGTATCACCAGGTGGAGCAGCAGGAGGAAGTAACTCCACCCTTTCCACTCACAGAAAAATTACCGGCCGCAAAAGCAGGGGAAAACCCGGGCCAGGGGTTGCCACGCGATCATGAAAATGATCACAACCATGCTGAGAATGATGAAGTCTTCGCGAGCACTTTCGAGGGTGGCACAGGTAGCCCGGCGGCGACCACCGCGACAAGAAGCAAATCGAAATCTTCTGAGTTTGATACAATTGCCGAAGATTTCGAACTCGAAGCGAAAGCAACAAGCCAAACACATGCCCCACAGCTGGCAGAAATTGCGACTCCTTCTTCGGCAATGGCGCTGCGAGACGAGCAGGTTGATCAGAAAACCCTCGCAAGCGGCAATGATCTTCATCACGCAACAGGAACTAGCACACGCCCCAGCGGTCCTGCAAACGGGTTGACGGACTTTCTTGAAGGTGATTCGCCTGCAACGACTGAAATAGTGGAAACCGGCGACATCGGTGGGCGCATGTCTAGTGAGGTTGCTGGCGGTGCGACGAGTGCAGGTGAGGAGCGGTCGCCGCACGTAGTGGAGGACAACGCTCTGAAGACGGATGCTGACGACGACGAAAACCAGCAGGAGGGACCTCCATGCACGTCGTCGCGGCATCTCGAGATTGCTACTCCTGCGCCAAAGGCTACACAAAAGCCACGGGGTGCTGCAGCGACTCCTGTGCCCTTAATGTCTCAAGATGTGGAACCGCCGGAAGCGATTTCCGCCACGGAATCGGGCGCCGCTGCGCAACCCGAAGCTCCCAGCAATCTTGATCCTGGCGCGTCGGTTTCTGCTCTTCCAGGAGGAGAGCCGCCACCGCAGCAAATTAGCGCAAAGGACGAAGAGAAGGGCCGGCCGGCTGTACTCGTAGGTTACAAGGACAGATACCCAACGAAATACAATGCTGGAGATATTGCAGCGGACGCGACGTGGAAAAAGCAAGCGACGTGGGATCTCATCAACGGCGCCTACGTCACAACGTTGGACCCGTGTACGGAAATGGATTTTCTTCGCTGTAGCGGCAGTGTCGAGCTGGGGCCTGCTTCGGTTCATTCCTCAGGCACCCCTGTGCCGGGAAAAGAAGGTGCGTCTGCACTGCCCATATCTGTGCGGCATACTTTTAGCAGTGCGGAACTAGTATCAGACATAGGGGAGCCGTCAATGACATGCGCGGTACTAACGAAAGATTGCGCGGCCGAAGAAACCGATGCAGGAATAGCACGCTTTCTCGCAGGGAGAAATAGGGAGTGGTACCATGACACACAGTGGATGTGCCAAGGTGAAAGTGGCGGTCTTGTTGCCTATTGCGGCGGGCTGCCACAAGAACCAGCCCAAGCGGCGTGGTGGTCGTGCTTGTCTTGTTCTCCCTTGACGAAGCCGGCGGTTGACGGTGGAGAAGATGCGGAGAGGGGAACTTGCCTGTGGAAGGAGACGCTCGTTGTACCACCAGGCCAGACGTCGACCCCGGCCACGAGGAGGTATTGTGGCCATGTCGCTAACGTTGAGCCGAGTGCCAAATTGCAGAACATCCCGGACTGTTTGGAATTGTCGCCCCAAACCCGGAGCATCATGCTGACGCTTCGGCCATCGGACGGAAGCAGCCAGAGCCCCCCAGCAGCAACTGATGCCAGCGCCAGGCAAGAATGCACCTCACCAGCAGAAGGCAGCAGCGGAGGTCAGGTCGATGTCATAAACCACTACAAAAAATCGGCACCGGGCGGCGGGCATGCGCGGGTATCGTTTGGGGCTTTTGAGGTAGCTGAAGCTGCGCACTTTTCTACACAAGAAGCCCCCGCGCGCGCGGCCGAGGCTGCCTCGGTACAACAAATAAAAGGAAGTGCCGCGGGCGCGGCGACGTCGCTCTTCTGCAAAATACTCCTTGACGGGGTTCAGTTCAAGCCCCCCGACCTCCCTTTGGGTTTGACCGACGTCGCGCGGGGGATCATCTTCCAACAGTCGAATACCGGCGAGTGCGAAGTTGGGAACTTTGTGCATGGATACCCCCCGCAAAATGGGAGAGTTTACTACCAGTTTTGCTGCGACGGGGGCTTTAGTGTGCGCGAGCCAATGATGCAGACACGGCACGAAAATGCCGACGCCGAGACGAGGACGCTCGGCCCCTTTGCTTGTCTCGCCGCTAGAGATGTTCTGGGCAAGGAGCGGATCGCCAGGCTCTTCTCGAAGCCCGACACCGCAAACTGGCGCGCCCTGTGTGGTGTCAAAATGCGTGGGGACCTGCTTGACTTCCTCCCGAGCTCTGCCTCGATCACTATCTCGAAAAGCCCAACAAGTGCGGGAGAGCAGGCTGTACGTGTACTGAATCTTTTGCTGGGAATCATGTTGCAGGTCTATTTGCAGTTGCTGAAGATGCATAGAGCTGGCCTGATGCACAGGGACGTGAAGGCCGAGAACATCCTTCTGTATTTCACGGAGGATGGCGTTTCGAACTTGTTCCAAATGGCGTCTGCATTTGCGCAGGAAAAAGGTGGTCGCGCCCCAACCTCAGTGACCGCAGTTCTGATGGATTTTGGCTTCGTGTGTCGTGCCTCTCAAAAAGCGTTTGTCGACAAAAGTTTGGCAACCAAGGTAAGGGAGTGCTCAGCAACCGGGGGTGACGTGGGGTCGGAGTTATCCGTGTCTCCGGATCATTGGTGGAACATCCGCCCTATAGGTTCTCCCATCGCAGGGGCGATCTGCTTTCCTGGGCAAGAACGACGGCAAGCCTCGTCCGCCTCATCTTTCTGCAGACGGATCCGTCGAGTGCTCCAAAGAACACAGAAAAGGTACAAGTGGGCGAACAAAGCTCGTTTGCCTGGCCAAGAAGCACTGAAAAATCTTTCAGGGATATTTTTCAACTGCGCAACAAGGATCTGGCGATGCTTCAAAATAAAGTACGATTGATCCCGGAGACCGAGACCGAGCAGAGGAAAATTATTTGGAGTGAAAAGACCGTGGTCGACCTCTGCAAGTCCCCAGAGCTGGCTTTTCTGAACGAGTCGGGCTGCAAGAAGGTTGCCAAGCTGAAATTTGACATGGAGCAATTCAGGGCAGAGGCTCGCAAGTTCAACATCAACATCCAGACGCTTGAGGATTTTGAGGGAACCGCGGTCGCCGAAAAGTCTCTTCTGCAGATCGTGTTCGAAGCCTTACTCGGGAAGCTCGACCGGAACTCGGACATCAAACCTGCGCCGAAAGATAGCTACGCGGATTACGATGAGTACGACTGGGGGCAGGAAAATCCAAAGAACTGATGAGTCGGGACGGAAATCATCATCTCGGCTACCTTTGCCTATCCACCAGGAGCTGACCAAAAGATCAGCACACTATGCCCCCGCACGCACATTTGATAACCATCTTATTGATCTTGAAAACAATACGGTTCTGTTTGGGTTGCAATAAAGATGAAAGTATCTGTAAGTTTGAGGTGTCTGTAAGTACAAGATGGATTGTCCCCGAGTGTTCTAACGTCCGGTCTTGTTAAGACGTGTCCTGTCGCTCCTCAGCGCGACTCTCTTGTCTTTCGTTCGCCCAGTCCCGACATCTCGTCAACATCTTCCCGTTGCGGATTTGCTCGTTCGTTGCGGCGTTGTGGAGAACATCGAACCCACGGGCAGCAGCATTGCGAAGTAAACGCATACGGAGGCGGGCTGGGGCAGACGCGGGCTGAGAGGATCACGCACTAAGCGGCCCGCACGTGACAGAACCGCCCAGTACCACGCGGCCACCGGTATCGCGACAAAGGAATACAACCAGGGATCCAGAGCAGGCCGTCATAGTCCGAGCAACCAGGATAGGGAGCTTGGGGACTGCTACTGGTGATTTTATGCACTTTCCTTTGAGTCGCAGCGACGTAGTGCTTGTCACGCGACCACGCGAGGAAGCCCCTCAGACAGACCACAACAATACCGCACACCACCGCGACAACGAGCAGTGCGACAAAAGAGTACGAGCAGGGATCCAAAGCAGGCCGACATAGTCCGGGTGACCGTGGCAAAGGAACCCGGGGCCTGCTTCTGGTGATTTTCCTCTGGGATCGCGACGGGCTGCTGTATTTGACGCACCCACACCAACAACACCTCCAAACAAACAGTAGCAACGAACCTTGACCAAGATCCGCCTGCGCCAGCCCCTCAGCGAAACCATCCATGAGCAACTTCCGCTGCAACTACTTACCGTTCCCCCAGACCCCAAGGAAACGATAAAAGGCCAGTACAGCTACGACGCGACGCGCCGAACAACACCGCACGACCACCAAACGCACCAGTGAGACCGCCAAGGCCGGTCGTCATAGTCCGGGCGCCCCTGGCAAGGACGCTCGGGACCAGCGGGCAGCACTCCTGACGGCGGGTCGGCAGCCGTGGAAGAAGCAGGTGGCTTCATCGAGGTGCAAATAGCACGTTGCAACTAGCAAGCAAGACCCCCACTTACAAGATCCCAAAAAAGTAAAAGACGGCAAAAAGGGACATCTATACACATAGCCGCAAATAAAAGACCCCGGAAAAAAGTAGAAGAGTGGCAAAGGGGCAAAATAAGAGAAAAGAACAGCCACCGGGGGTCTTGTATAAATATTTTTCTGGTTCTTAACCCTCGCCTCCGGGACGAGTCGCGGCACCGGTTTAGCCGGAAACCCCGCCCCGTCTGAAGACGAGCAGTAGTGTCGTTGCTCTTCAGACACGAGCGGAAGCCGATTTTTTCGAGACCGCAGCGGTGTCTTTTCCGGCTCCGGACGACCATGCCGTCGCGTCTGAAGACGAACAGTGGTGACGTTGCTCTCCAGACACGAGCGGAGACCGGCTTTTTCGAGTCCGCAGCGGCGCCTTTTCCGACTCCAGACGACCACACCGTCGCGTCTGAAGACGAACACTGTGCTTTTCAGGCTTGCAGCGCGGACACTTTGCCCTTCTGGTGATAAAGCTGCAGTGTCCGGATTCCCATCCTGTTTTGCGCCTCGCAGGAGCAGACTCCACAAAGGACCCGGCTGATAGCTCTACCCCCCCGATCCTGTAGTATCGCCGCGCTAGCCGGCGCGATGCACCGACGAGATGCCTGTTGTGATCCCGAGAAGGTGGCGACCGGCACTCACGCTTCTTGACGAACTGGAGCAGAAAGGCGTCGTCAGTGCCCGAGAACTTGCTGAACACCGAGAAAACACGACGGAGACCCGCGCTGCGTTAACCAACCTGGCCCACGTAGCAGTGCTGCTCCGGTACCTCTATTGCCCGACGGTCATCCTTCGAAAGGAGTTAGACGAGCAAGGTAGCTGGCAAACCTACATCTGCCAGTACTACAGGACCAGCGCAGTGCTGGAGCTCGCACACACGGCCCCGACTCCGCGTTTTACTGTGGGGGGACGAAAACTCCGCGACAGGCTCGCGGAATTGCTCGAGGAGCTGGACGAGAAGTGTGAGAGCTTCTTCATCCGCGTCGACCTGGTGCACGCCGCCTGGGCGGACATTCCGAAGCGGTTCGCCTGGGCGGACATTCCGAAGCGGTTCATCGTGTCGATCATCTACGATCCCTTCGGCGGTGATAACGACGCAGTGCGCCACCTGGTGGCGTCGTTAGCGCCACCTGGTGGAACAAGCAGAGAGGAAGGCGGCGGCCGCAGTGCGCGACCGCATCTTTGACGTCGAGGAAGAAAACAGGCAGCTCCGCGCGGAGAGCCAGCGCTTACGTTTCGAGAGCGACCTCCTGCGACACGTCGGGGACACTGGTGGCACGGCGAGACGGGTGGTGGACGAAGAGTAGGAACCGTAACTACGAATGAAAGGTGGAGGAAAAGGAGGCGCCGGCGACGCCCCAGCATGGGGCCACACAACTGGCCAGCTCCAGCATTGGGGGCAGTATCCCGCGAACCAACAGTACAGACCGGTAGCGGCGCAGACGGGGATGAGAACAGAGCAAGGACAACCCCCGCAGCACTGGCAGAACGGGAACAGCAGCTGGCAACCTGCGCAACAGCCCTCCAACGCTGCTGTGGCCCAATTTGGGACACAGCTAAGCAGTGCAACAGCTGAACAGCAAGCCGGCAACCTGTGCGGCTTTGGGAGCGCGATGAGAGCGGGAAACAGCAGTAGTCTTGGTGGGGGCGGGGGAAGCAGCAGCAGCTTCGGCGACATGGCCACGACGGCGTATGCCAGCTCCCACGCTGGCCCTAGCCTGAGCGCGCATTTCAACAACCCGATCCCGCGCCAGCAGTACAGCGGCCCCCCAGGCGGGGGCATGACCGGCTTCGGGGGGATGGGGAGCTACCACGCTGCGAACGGGGCGGGGCCGCCAACCATTGCAGACCACCTGCTCCTCCAAAACTTGCAACAGCAAAACAACCCAGCATACCACCAGCCCAGCAGCCCAGCCATACCTGTTCAACAACCACAGTTCCCTGCCGGAGGACCAGCGCCTCCGCTTTTCGGCCTCCCGGTGCAACAAACGCTCTTCGGGTGCCCGCAGCAACACCATGCTCTCCCAGCGCAACAAACGTTCACCGCGGAGGAAGTCCAGCGACTCCTCGCGGCGCAGCAGCAACAACTCCAGCCAATGAGACCAAGCGCGCCCATGCCTGTCAACATAGGCGGGCCCATGTCACAGCTTGCACAGTCAGGCGCCGACGCTTTGGGGGGTGCTGGAGGTGTTGTCCCCGCCCTCCAGCAAAACCACAAAGACATCTGCCAGCTCCTGGGCCAGCTGCAGGGCAGGGAGATAGCAGTGCCGCTGATCACCAGGAACGCGCTGACCGGGGAGGGGACTGACGTTGAACACCTGTTGACATTGTCGGAGCAGCTGCGGGAAGTCCGCAAGGCAGTAGAAGATCTTGCCAAGGCACGCGACGAAGCCGCACAGAACAGCACTGACACGTGCCTGCGGCAAGTTGTGCAGCAGAGCCACCCACAGTGCCCGGACGAACACCAGCAGCAGCAGCAGCGCCAGCAAGCTGCTGTACGAGCGTCCACGATCCCGACTTGTGCCCAACACCTGCCTACGCAGACGCAGCCGGCGAAAGCGCAAACAGGCGCGGAGGCACTTGCACCACAGCGGCCGGTCGTAGAACAGCAGAACCCCACCCCCAGGCAACATCCCGCGCTCGGACACCCCCCGCTCCCGCCGAGCCATCTTGCGCAGCCGATCCCGAATTGGCCCGCCACCGTAGAGCAACGTCCCACCCATCCCCGGACGGACACGTACTCACCGTGCGTCCGTGATGGAGCAGTCGCACTGGCCGCGGACGCCGGGAACTTCCTCTGGGAGCTGATCACGCAGCGCTGGGTGCTGGTGTTGTTTGGAGCAGTGCTGCTTGTGGCGCTCGGCATTGCGAACACGCAAGTGCACAGCCCGGGAGCCCTGGAGGTCGGTCCGAGCCCCTTCGCCGAAGTCGCCGCGATCCCCAACACCGCCTTGCTGCTACAGGAAGGAAACGCCGCTGCTTTTCGAACAATAAACACGGGCCGCGCGACGAAGGCGCGACGCGGTCTTGTGCCGCAAGATGAAGATGATGATCAAAATATTTTCACCTTTCCCAACGGGGAACCGCTCGACCTCCGCATCGAGCAGGCAAGGCGGCAGCGCCAGGCGTGCCGCCGGTGGTTGTCGGACCGGCACGACATAGAGCTGTCGCTGCCGATGGTAGTTCTAGGGGTGGCGCTCCTCTTCGCGGGGATAGCGGTGTGCCACAGCGCAGTGAGCACCGCCCTCAGCACGGCAGCGGACGCCTTGCGCAATGCGGCGGTGCGCAGGTACGGGGCGCTAGGGGCGAGGAAGGCGGGGGCGCACGAAAGCAAACCGCAACCGCAGCCCGGAGCACACCAAGGCAGAACGCCGGGAACACACCTAGACCAGGCGCAGCTGCAGGCACGCGCCCTGCCGCTGGGGAGCGACACACCAAGCGCCCAAAACGGGGCGGCACCACACCCCCCCGAACCGCCGCTAGCAGCACAGCCGGCGGGAACGAGCGGCGCGGGAGGTCAGGGCGGTGGAGAAGGGGAAAAAACACGAACCGGGCCCGGCGAGTCCGGGCGCGGCCCGACGGACGCGAGCCTACGCGAGCAGCTAGGCGCAGCACACGACAGACAGGTCGCACAAGTGCGGCGACGCACAATCCGCCCGCCCCCAGGTCTAGCGCCAACGCCACAGGCGAAGACATTCGCAGGATTTCCACCCTAACGCAAAAAGTTTCGGAAAATCCACATAGCGCAAAAACAAAATCCAAAAAAAAGCCAAAAAAAATTTTTTGAATTTTTTTGCTTCCCCGACGGTCTGGCCTATGTGAGGCATTTCCCGAGTCTGTTCTCGCCCCTGTTTGTCAGAGGAGGGCCGGGCGCAGGTGTCGCATACTTGCCCGCTTGGGTGGTCCACATCTCTTGGCCTCCACTGCTGGCGATGAGAACCCAGAGTGGCAAACCCGTGTGGGGTTGCGCCTTCTTCTGTCGGGGAGCAGAGGCGCCCTTGTGGCGCATTGCCGCCGTAGAAGATTTTTCTTTGGGTTTGGCAAGGAAAAATCGCAGAAAAAATTTGAAAAAAGTCCGGGAAAAATCAAGAGGCGCGCAAAAAAAATTTGAAAAAAATTCTAGAAAGTGGCCAATTTGCAAAAACCAATGGGATTTTGCTAATGTGGCCGATTTTCCGAAATTTTTTTTGGCCATTTTTCGCACCTCTTGAAATTTTATCCGGCCAAATTCAAATTTTTTTTGGGCAAATCGAAATTTTTTTAAAATTTTTCTTGGCCACACGCAAAGGAAATTCTGCACTTCAATTCGAACGCATCCGAGCGCCCGCGTTGTCGAGCAGCCACGTCCATCATGCCTGCGCGCCGCCTCCCGCGCGCTCCTGAGGCATACCGAGCCCGTGTGGCGTGGCGCCTTTGTGTTTTGCTTCATCCCATTGCGAAGCACCGAAGGCAGCGACCCAAATCCCGCCAGCCTTCTTGTGCAGCCTGCAGGACGGGCCCCAACCCGCCCCCGGCCCAAGAGCCACCCCGCTACCCTTCTCGGAAATTTTAAAAAATTTCAGGAAAAAAGTGGACTTTTCGGCCCAAAAGCGTTAGGGGCAAAATCCGGCAAAAAGACAGCTCCGAACACGCAAGAAAGAGGCGCTGCGAGTAGCAGTAACAGTAGTAGGAGCGGGGCACAAGACGCGGGCTCCCTGGCCCCCGCGTCACAGGAGCCACCGAGCCAGACCTGCGCACAGGAGTGCGAGATCGTGCCGGTGAACGAAGGACGCGGTCGACCACGTCAGCGACCTGTGCGTCCTGGCAGACGTGAAGGATACGTTGAAGAAAAACGCAAACGAAAGGCGCTTCAAGTGCACGGCGCCGGGGTGTGACTGGGCGAGCGGCTACCAGCACCGGGTGGACTCGTTTGGCAAGCACCTAGCGAAAGCTCACCCCGAGTGCACGCATTTCCTGATGCCGGAAATCAACCGGCAGAAGGAGATCACGCGCTACCAGAAACACCCGGCCCCGAAAAAGCCCCAACCAGAGGCAAGCCAGTACGACGCAAACCACAGGCGTCCACTGGTGCAGGGCGCGACGCGCGTTCTGCAGTGGAACGCGCAGTCGCTCAACGCGAGCAACGAAGAAGCAGCAGCGGCAAAGGGCGCCGCTTTGAGGGAGACGCTAGAATTCCAAGATGCGACGCTCTGCCATCTCCAGGAAATCTGGTGCGACGCGGAGTACCTGAAGTCGTTCGTAGATCGGCACCTTCCGGAGTGGGAGGTAGTAGATGTCTTCCCGTCGGACGGAGTAGGAGGTGGCGCCGCCACGATAAAGCACGAGAGCCTGCGGGGCGCCATGCGGTCGAACGAGGGCTGCAGGGTAACGGTCACCTCCGGAAGGAATGTCGCAGCAACGTGCGCGACAATCTTCGACTGCGAAACCGGAGAAGAGTGGGCAGTGTCCGCGGGAGTGTACACGCCCCCGGGGATCCCCGCGCTCCCGTACGTAGAGGCCCCGGCGAACGTAGAAGTAGCAATCTCCTGGGATGCGAACCACACCCAGGAGCCAAGAACCAGCGCAGTGCAGCACTGGGCAAGGGCGGAGGCGTTGGAGTTCTACACCGCGGCGGCGGCAACGCGGCCGTGCTCCCAAACGTCGCCAGATGTAGTCCTGCTCTCAGCAGGCCTGCACACCGCGGCGTCCGAGGTCGATCCGACCGGACCCAATGTTGTCCTCATAGGGGGGGACCACGCAGCACTGGTGTTCGACCTGATCCGCCCGGCGACAAAAGAGCACCAAGCAAAGGGCAAGACCTCCGTAGCGGTGGTAAAGGAGCACGAAGAAAGGGCGGCAAAAAAGGACGGAAACGCGACAAAAGCAGCGGGGACAAAGGACGACCCAAAAGCACCGAAAGAGACCCCCGAAGGTGGGGTGAAGCTGACAGGCAGTCAGAAAAGGGCGTTGCGAAAAGAAAAGCTCCAGCGGATCCGGGAGCTGCGCGCGGCCAAACACAGGCAAGCACGCGCCGCCGCCGAGGGGACAACGACGCCGCCAGCAAAGCAAGACCGACTCCGCTCGCTACCCGGCCTAGGGGCGGTGCTGTGCCTAGCGTCCGGCGCAGTAGCGGCACTGTGCGCAACAGCAACACAGGACACAGGCCTTCCGGGGGCCGTGGAGAGCACCAGCACAGAGAAGGGGACGAAGGCGGAGGTCGCGCGAGAGGCGAACAGCACCGGCGCCGCACAAGAGGGGGCGCCCCTACCGGAAGACCCGACGCGACTACCCTGGGACCCCGCGCTGTGGCGCGACCCCGCGCCGGTCGTGCAAAGACGCACACGACTGAACCTGAAGCGGGCGGACTGGACGTTATACCGGGAAGACCTCGGGCGCTTCCTAGCACAAAACGCACCCCCAGCAACCGTCGAGGGGAAGGTGGAGTACGTGAGGGCCGCGATCTTCGAAGCAGCACGCAGAAGCATTCCGCGCACAAACGTCGCGCGGAAAAGACACAAGCGCCCAAGGGGGTCGGCGCCCGGCGTCGGCACGGAGCTAGACCTCGCCTTGAGAGAGCGAGGGGAGTGCATGCGCAGGCTAGCACTCTGCCCGCCGGGACAGAAGCTGTTGTGGCGCACCGCGCTACGGCAAGCCACAAAGAGGGTCGCGCAGGCGGAGTACAGCAGGCAGGACGAACGCTTCGCGGACAAACTCGCGGAAGCAGAACAGAGCACAAGCGGCGCCTTCAAGCTCTTGCGCGAGCTGGAGGGGCGGCCCCCACCGAAACAGCACACCGGTGCGCTGCGCTACGCGGGGGGCTACGCGTTTAAGAAGCTCGCGTGTGTACCCGCGCACTTCTACGGCTCAAACCCAGCTCTCGACCCAGCATCAGAGCAAGGGGCGTGGGCAACGTACAGCAGCACCCTCGCGGCAGAGCTCGCACCGGGCACGGCGATGCGGCTGGACCTAGACGACGTGGAGTTCGCTCGACGGGGACAAAAACCAGCGGGGGCCGCGGGGCCGGACGACATCCTGGGCGGGCGCGATGTTGAAGAACTTCACACAGGACGGGAAGAAGCTCTTGCGGGACACGTTCTCACAGGGCATCACGGAAGGCGTCACGCCCGAAGCGTTGCGCCTGGAAGTGTGCGCGCCGGTGCCAAAACCCGGACGCCCCGGGGACTTACCCAAGTCGCTAAGGCCGGTAGCACTAACGTCCTGTCTCGCAAAAGTGTGGGAGCGCGCGGCGCTCCGGAGGCTGCGAGCAGTGTTCCAGGCCGAGGACCTATCCCTGTACGCACGAAACCAGTGTGGGGACACCCCGGGGAGGAGCGCGACCGACCACACGGCGACCCTAGCGGCGGCAGCCGCGGACTCGCTGCGGATGGAAGGGCAAGAGGCGCGCAGCGTGCTTCCTGGACTTGAGCTCTGCATTCGAAAGGGTGCCGATCCCGCTGTTCCTCAATGGGCTGCTACGCAGGAGCGCCGAGTTCAAAAACGCAGCGAGAAGGCAGGAGCTTCTGCTGCTCACGCGGTGGGTCCGCTCCTTTGTCACCGGGCGTTCGAGGGTCGTGCGGTTCAGCGAAGAAGTGTCGCAAGCGGTGCCACTCCGGCAAGGGGTGCCCCAGGGCACGTGCCTAGGGCCGTTCGTCTGGTGTAGTTTTGTAGACGTGCTACTCCAGGAACTGGCAGAGCGGTGCCCGAAGGTGCAGGTGCTGGCGTACGTGGACGACCTCGCGCTGACCTGCGAGTACGAAGAGAACACAAAGAGCGAAGCACAGGCACAGCTCCAGCACGCGTCGGACATCGTCTCAGACTTCTGCAAAGCGAGCAATGTGGAGCTCTCCCCCGGGAAGTGCGCGTATACGGTCTTCCAGACGGAGTTCGCGTGCGAACTCGACGAGTTGCGCCTCACAGGCTCCGGCGAATCACTGGTCTATGAGGCCTGCCCCAGATTCCTGGGAGTGTGGTTCGACCGGCGGCTTACCTTCAGCAAGCACTACCAGGTGATGAGCGAAACAATCACCAAGCGAATGGCTGCCGTGCGGATCCTCAGCAGATCCACGCACGCAGGAACCAAATCCGTGAGGATGTTCTATCAGCTTTTCGCCGAAAGTGTGCTGACCTATGGCTTGCCGACGTATTGGCATGGCCTCGGCGCGAAGGAAAAGGCGGCGCTCAACAGCGTGCAGCTGGAGGGGGCGACGGAGATCCTCGGGCTTCCCAAGTTCCGGCGGGTCAACCGCAGCTGCGCGTTGATGACCGCGGGGCTTTTGCCGTTGGAAGCACTGTACAAAGTCGAGTCCGTAGCACTGGCAGCGAGAGCGTTCGCCCGGCCCCCGGCGGATGGGCTGAGGCAAATCGCGGAAAGCACCGAAGCGGACTGGTTGACGACTGCGCTGGAGGTCATCGAGGCTTCAAACGCGGCGACGGCCACAGTCCTACCCGAAACCGGAGCCCTGCCGGGCATCGGCGCCAGCCTCCTCCACGAGGCGGAGGAACAGGGCCGGCTCCGCGCGGTCTGGCAGAGCGAGGGGCTGCCTTCGCTGGTGGACGCATTACAGCCCTCGGACCTGGTGTTCTATTGCGACGGCTCAGTGCGCGAGTTTCAAGGAGCGGCCGGAGTCTTTGTCCACGGCTTCGGCATCCAGGGCGGGGCAGCCTGGCCCGTGGGAGTGCACACGGACTCGCTCGAGACCGAGCGCATTGCGCTGATCGCAGCCCTCCGGGGGGTGGCAACCAAAGCACTGCGAACAGAGTGCGCCACCATCTGCGCCGACAGTCAGCCCAATGTGCGCGCACTACTCAGCCCGCGGCTGCGGGACGACCTGGGCACGGAGCTCTACACCGCGACACGCGACGCGCTCGCGTCCTGCAGGATGCTGGTAGTCCGGTACGTGCCCGGCCACGCAGGAATTGCGGGAAACGTGGTGGCCGACCACCTCGCAGGGTTGGTACGCCAACGAGCCAGACCTGCAGGAAGAAGGGGAGCCAATCACACACCGCCAGTGCAAAACCGAGGCCAGGAGAGTGGTGCGGAACGCATTGCGCCAGGACCTGGAGGACAAACAACACCAAGCAGAAACCCGGAGCAAAACCGCGACCACCCTCGCAACAGCAGGGGGGTGGGGTCAGGACCTCACCGCGGACGGAGTGGGCCGAACCGGCCAAGCGCTGTACTACGCTCTCCGCTTCGGCCTGTTAGCCGCGGAGGCATCGGGGGAGGACATGCCGCGCGCCCTGTGCGGGGCACCCTGCGCAACGACCGCGCACTTCGTCCAATCCTGCCCAGTAACCCGCCCACTCTTCGAAGCCTCCGGGGTGCAGGGTTTAGAAGAGTGCAAAAAGAAATGGAGCGGCGCAGCCCGCGCGCTAACGCAGGCCAGCGAACTCCTCACGCCCCTCGTGGGCCCGTTCCCGGCGGTGCGGCACCTCTGCTGGGCAGGAGGCCGGTCAGACAGCGCGGAGGCGTAGCACACAACAGAATCAAAACACAAGACAACTCTCTGACCATCAGAAACCCGCTGGCGCTGTAACAAATTAGTGATCCACCCTGCAGAAGCAACCAGACGCAGGCCATGGCGGTGATTTTACATTCGCGAAGTTCTATCGGACGTTGAAGGAGTACGAGCCTGCTGCTATGCTCCTGCACCACGCGCGAAATTTCGGAGCAGGGTTGCGCCCTCCTTCGGGGAGGCGTTGAAGGGGGCGCACCCCTCAGGTACTCTGTTATGCGTTCCGCTAAGTTTACGCCATGCTTCAGTAGTGGTCCGAAGTTGCAACCTCAAGATTCTTGCAGTAAGTGCGGCCCCGTTCCTGTTCTTTCCCTGCCGTTACAACGCAGGTTTTTCCCCGCCCACGACCGCTGCCCCGCGTAGCACACGCTGCTCCACACCCTCCCGTCCCCTACCGGCAACAACGACGCACTCTGCTCTACGACCTCCACTCCGTACCCAGCACACCAGGCCAGATGCGGGAGCCAGTACACCGTCGTGACCACACCCCACAGAAGACACCCGCACAAGCAAGGGGAGCGGGACCGGGTTGCATCTTTCCCCTGAGGGCGGGGAGAGGTGCACCCCTCAGGTACTCTGTTACGCGTTCCGGTTTCTCATCATGATGCGGTGTGAAAGATGTTACGACGATACTAGCGACATCCTGCATTACTCTCTCTGCCCGGTCTGCCCCCGCCCACACACAACCCACAGGTATGTGGGCCCAGAGCTGTCAAGCCCCCTGCAGTCGCTCGTGGAGATCCCAACATGCCCGGCGAGGCAACAGAAAGAAAGCTGATTGGGCTTGAAGTTGAAAGAAGAAAATTTGAAATGCGTAACTTTTTGATCTTTCGCAAAAAACTCTAATTCAGACCTTGAACCTTCTCCAGACATGTAGTTGACTTTCACGGAAAATCCAGAAACAGAAACACTCGATGCGAAAGATAGGAAATTAAGTTTTTATTTTGAAGACAAGCTCGTGCTCCGTATTTTGAAGATCGAAAGCTCAAAAACAGAAAACGATCAAAGCATCGTGATTCTCGGGGTAGCCAGACGCAATTTATTTCTTTTTACCAACGTAGTAGTAGTCGCAAGCAGGTGCAATTTTTCAGCGAAATCGCAAAGAGGCGTTTTTCAAAAAGTTTTTCTGTAGCGAAAAGTAGAAGTAGTCTAGGGCGTCTGTAGTTGTCTTTTTTTCAGAGCAAGCTCTCAAAGCAAGAGGTTTTTTGTTGAAATAGCTCTAGAGAAAAAGGTGCGTAAACGCGTTCCCACCTTCTCGCATGAACACAAACAAACAAACAGCAAGTCGATGACCTGTTGTTGCAAGTGGAAGTCTTATGATCGACGTATTTCATACAACAAAAAAAGATATGCAAAAAGAGCATCTGAACTCACTTCAGTGACGGCTGCTTGTTCGGTTCCCTAGTTTAGTCAGGGAGGCAGGTAATATCTTCCCACATTCATATCGCGAGCCATTTCAACAAAAGCGTGCTCAGCAGTTCCACGTCGCGAAGCACGCTGGCCCCACCTGGGGTTGGGAGACGTAATTTCGGTGAAGACCCGTTTGTCAAACTACATGCCTCCCTAGCTAGCTAGTGGAAGATAAAACTGAAGCAGCCGCTAGCTAGCTGCGTGTGCCTTGCCTGAAACATTCATCAGCCAAAGAATAAGCTTTCACAACCTTCACATCGAAAAACTTCTTTCTGCGCGATGCATCACAACATCAAACGTTATTTCCTTTGCAATGTGTAGCTGTAGCTGCAGCACTTTTTTTCTTCGATGCTTCTAGTTGTTTTTTTTTTCAAATCAACAACATTTTTTTTAGTTGTGATGGAGTATCACTTTTTTATTTTTCAAGTTCATGTTCAATCAAAAGAAAGTACGAATAATATGTACTAGACTACTACGCCGGCGTCCTTTCAAGTTCAAAAGAAAGTACGAATGATATGTAGAATGTTGATCTGGATAAAGGAAGGAACCTGTTAGTTTGTCGTCAAAGGAACACTTTGTAAATTGAAATTTGACAACTTGAGACTGGGGGAGCGTAATGACCGCCGCCGCTGTTGCTTTCAAAAGTTGTAAATGAAACCGAACATTTGGAACGAAAGAGAGAAGCACTTCCGTGATGTTGATGTGTCCAAAGAAAATCAAGGCGGTTCCCGAACCGACTGGAGCGGTTGTTTCTTCCGGGTGATGCGTCGGCTTCACCCACATCACCATAATCTTGAGCAGTTGGAAATAGAAGCGGTGCCATTATTTGGTGTGAGGAGAGGCAAACTGATTTCGAAGTCGAACGTCGAAAGACGACCAAAAGAAAGAGTAACGGACGCAAGCAACCCCGTGTGCGGTTTTTTTGCAGCCTAGCAAACTGGTGATGCTGAAGGTGCATTGATTTGTATTTTCTAGACTGTATGGTTGCCAGTATACCATGACGAGTGATGCCGCTTCACTCATGCGTCAGCAGCTTGTATGTGAACTCGCTCTCACTGGTGATCCGATAAACGTTTATCATTGATCATGCACTCGACTACGGCTGCTGGGGCTGCCGGCTCTATTGGCATCTTGTTTCCTTGTTCATGACTAGCGTGGAAGGGATACCCATTTTGCTCAGAAAGTCAGTAAACACAAAGTACTTATCATGGCGGGCTACAACTCCTATGCAGCGCAGCGTCGTATTGGCACGAGCGGCGCACCACCTGACAGAGGGTCTTTCCCCCTCGACCACTGGAACGATTGCACGTTTTTGAAAGACGACTATTTGTCCTGCCTCCGACGCAATAAAATGGACAACCTGTCCTGCCGATATTTGACGAAGCAATACCTGCAATGCCGCATGGAGCACAACCTCATGTCGCAAGAGGAGTATTGTTATACTTGGTGTTTTTGATGAACAAGGTCAAGAAGAAAAGACTGCATAGTCCAGATTTCACTTTGATTTTCGCCACCAGCGATACAGTGTAGAAATGTTTTTCACTGGAGACGATTTCTTCATGCTCCTCCTGCTGCGTTACTAGTGTTAGACTTTACACTTTTTTTAGATGATCTGTTTCCCACTTTCAGCCTTCCCTCCCTCGGTTTCCGGGAAAACGCGCAGGAAGTCGAGAGAGAGCCCCGTAGCCAGGAATCCGATGCGCAGAGACGACAACGAGACGGCTACATGCCAGGATACAACGCACTGGTGCTCGAGGATCGGGATAAGTGGCGAATTCTTCGGATTTTCAGCATGCCAGACGTCACGACAGCGAGGCAGTGGCTACAAGCGATGTTTCTGCTGGAGCCAGAAAGGCGGGATAAGGAGTTGTCTTCGGGGAAACCAAAAACATGACAGCCATTCGCATGATAGATAAGATTAAAACGTCATCAAGCGCTGGAATTTAATCCAACAGATACAGATAGCTTCATTCACTTCGCACGGACTTCAAAACCTCTGAACCGTGGCACGGACAGCGCCGCGTTTTCGTTTTCCTGTTCATGAGGAGCAGTGAGAGAGGACAATTACCATACTTAAAATTTACACTGTGACTGTGCGAGGAGAGGTATTGAACTGAACGGCACTCGACGTTCTTGTTGTGACGAGATGATCACGATTGCTGTTTACTTCTTGGCGAGCTAAGAAGAAGACCCGGACTAAATATACCAAAAACATCATCATCATCAAAATGTCCTCGTCCTCCAGTTCCTCCGGTCAGTCCCTGCAGTCCCGGCTGCTCGCCGGTGCGGGCGGTGGTTTTATTGCGGAGTCGATCACTTTACCCACTGATGTCATCAAGGTCCGCCTCCAGCTGCAGCAAGCCACGTCGAGCGCAGGCGCGAGCACGGCGGGCGGTGCGCCAGCAAACGGCGTGTACTACAATGGAATGTTGGATTGCGGGATGAAAATTGCCAAGGCCGAGGGCGTGGCGGGGTTATGGAAGGGCTACACGCCGGCGATTCTGCGCCAGGTGTCCTATTCCAGTTTGATGATGGTGCTGTATGAGCCGGTTCGCAACGGCTTGTCCAAAATGTCCGAGTACGCTTGCCCGTGTACTAGTGGTGGAGGGACAACAAGTGCAAAAAATGGTGCTCCGCAGAACTCATCGTCAAGAAACACCTCTTCGACATCCGGGTCAAGTTCGTCATCCTCTAATGCAACAGCAAACACCACCGCAAGAACCGGCGTTCAGTCATCCCCGCCCGCAACAGCAAAGCCATCGTTTCTTTTCCGCCTCTGTGCCGGGGGCATTGCCGGCGGCACCAGCATCGCCATTTTCAATCCCTTCGAGGTTGCGAAAACGAAAATCCAGGGGCACCTCGGCGGGCGGCTGTCGATTTTTTCCGTCTTCCGTGACGTGTACAAAGTGGACGGGATTCCGGGCTTCTGGAGCGGGGTGAAGCCGAATGTGATGCGGACCTTTCTCGTGAACGCGGCCGAGCTGGGAACCTACGACCAAGCCAAAACCGAGTACTTCGTCCCCTATTGTGGGGACGGCCTCGCGGCGCACGTGGGCGCGTCGGGCGTAGCGGTATGAAAGCCTCAGAATGGAAGTCCTCAGAGTGGAAATGATTTGCGATGCATGAAATGCGACGCAAAAAAGACTGCATTGCAGAGGACGCAACGGAGGCCGACTATTGTCCTCCTAGGGGTGAAAAATTGGAGTGCTGCTTAGCACGAGAGAAGGACACCACTTTGCCATAACCTGCATGACAGACATGCTTTGAGTGCCCGGAAAATTTGTCATGCGCCGACGACAAATGGCGCTTCAACTGGAGTCGTTTTTTTGCATTACAAATCATTTCCACATTGAGGATTTCCAACCTGAGGCCTTTATAAGCGGGATTCGTGTCGGCCTGTGTCAGTACGCCGGTAGACGTAGTGAAGACCAGGTTGATGAACTCGGCAGGTAGATCTTGATCTGCTACTTTCTTCATCATGTGTCATCATTACATACATGAACATCAACAGTCACAATTCGTATCGCATACGGAAAATAAGGCTGTTTGTGCTTCTGCTTCCCATGCTGTTTATCATCGTGCTGCAATAGGACTAAATCATATCGAAATGAACCACAGGTCTCGCCACGAAACAGTACTCCGGTGTCATTGACGCCACCGTGTCAATTGTGAAGGAAGAGGGCCTCGGAGCGCTGTACAAGGGCTTCACCCCGATCTGCGTGCGCAAGCTGATTTGGGTGACGGCGTTCTTCGTCTCGTACGAGAGGATACGGCTATTGGTTTGATCTTGGTAAAGATGGTGTAGGGTTGCTACGTCTAACTTAAGTATCCCGGCTGGTAGAACCGCTGACCGAAACTTTTAGTGCGTGATGAAGGACAAACAGCCGAGACAAACACGACCGCTCCGCGCTGGAAGTAGCGATCGCAAAGGAGGTGGAAGCAAACCTTGATTTGCTTTCGCTTTTGTCAATATTTGAGCGTGCACAGCAGATTCCCCATCGGATATGAATTCTTCGCAGGAGCATCTTGTGATCTACATGCTGCCCTTGATGAATGTTTCATGCCAGAACAAAACATGTAACATAAGCACTCGCCGACCTGACAAAGATATATCGTAATTGTAGGCGTATTAAAACTTCTTGTTGAAGTCTTTGTGACAGTCGATCGTCTGTCACTGTTCCTGTTGCTGTTCAGTAGTTTTGAATAAAGTGTCCTTCGACGAGGAGTAGCTACAGGCACTTACTTTACAAGAATGAAACAACGAGCGCATGAGAATGAGAGGACAGTACAGAGCGAGCGCGTATGTCTGTTTTTCTAGCACCCACCACCTGCAATTAACGTAAACGTACTTATCTTGAAAATTATTGGATTACCTGGTGCCCGAAAAAGGATCCGAAGAAAGTAAAAATTGTAAATACCAAAGATCATGTTGCAGCGAGCGCCATCTTCCCCCAAGCCCGGTGCAGTCAGCTCTCTCAGTGCGGGGGAGCGGCATCTGTTTACGTTGGCTGCACTGTGCCTGATTCTTTTCATTGTCTTGTTTTCGTTGTTCCGGCTTTCCTCCATCTTCATCCCTTTCCTCGTCGCGTTTTTCCTCGCCCAACTACTAGAGCCCGTCGCGCTTTACTTGGCGACGCCGCGGGGGTGGCTGGCAAAGTGGATCTGGAAGCGTGAGTACGACGAGCGAGTAGCCGCGAAGGAATTCTTGGCATTGCGGGACGCAGTGGAAGAACGACGCAGAAGTAGTACAACACACGACGCCGATAGTGATGGTCTTGGCAGTTGCGCGCAAGGAACTCGAAGAACATCAGAACCGCCAGGACCAAGACACGCTGCTCAAGATCGCGCCAGGAAGAACGGCGACCATTGCAGCTTGGCGATAATAGAGGATGCAGAAGGTGGGTGTGATCTCGGTAAGGTAAACACTCGCGACGGAGGTGTCGCAAATCCTGGTAATACGACGAGAAGGACATCATCTTCTACCTCTTCCTCCTCCACCAGTAGGCGCTCAAGAAGGAGTCTTCGAGGAAGCGGTGAGATAGCAAGACGAGAAGCTGCAAGTGCACACGACGAGGAAGATGCTGCGAGAAATAGCGATGTGGAGAAGGTGGAATACGACCGTGTAGTTCCGGACGTGCTTGCAGACACCCAAGATCATCTGCAGGAGGTGAACCTCGAACTACATGCTGGCAGAAAAGAGCAAAGTCGAAGAGGCAGAGCCTCTGCCCGCCCCCGACGTGCATCCAATACAACAAACCTAACGTACCAAGACCTCGATCCTGAGCGGTGCTGGGTGTGCCGGGAGGTGGGGCGCAAAACCTTTCTCGTCTTCACGGACGCACTGATCCTCATCTTCTGTCTGGGTCTGCTGTTCGGGTGCGTTATCTTCCTCTATGCATTGCAAAAGTATCGTACTCGTATAAATGCAATACAAATTTCCTAAGCAACAGCATGAGAAATACAATTTGTAATGCGGATTTGACTTGGAAACAAGATTTGTAAATGCATGACTGCAATACAACGAGTAAGATACTTTTGCACAGGATATCCTCGTCATGGGATTGACGAACGCGTTGCACGACGCCCCTGCGGTATGTTGGAAGCGTCAGGTTTGAAATCGTCAGAGTTGAAATGATTTGCCATGCATAAAATGCAAGGCATGAAGTGCCTGTCTTGCCGGGATGGCAAGTGAGGCCGCGCGTCAGCCTGTTTAGGGTTTGAAGTAGAGCTGCTAAAGGAGCATGACAAAAGCAGTCGCCTGTGCCGAAACAGCATGACAAATTGGATTCCGGTGCTCGGAAAATTTGTCATGCGCCGCTTGGAAATTGGGCTTCCAACTGGTATCCATTTTATGCATGACAAATCATTTCAACTTTGTCGATTTCAAAACTGACGCTTCCATACGCGGTGTTTCAGGAGTATCTGAAGGGCGAGAAACTGAAGTCTCTCATCGACTTCCTTGACAAGCACGGAATTCACAACATCACGCCGGAAACCATCATCCAGAAGATCGAGGGCCCGCTGGAAAACATCATCGGCGGACTGCTCAGCTTTCTCACCACCAGCATCTTGGCCATCATGATGCTGTGCTTTTTTCTGGTGGCGAGCCTCAGCGAGGCCCACCCGCCGTTGGCGGCGAGCTACGTGCAACTGGTGTCGCTGAAGTATGGCGCTCTCAACTGTTACATTCTCAACTGTTACATGATTTGTCATGCAAATTCACCACCAAGATCGCCACGATTAAGCTGCTTCGCATGACAAACATCCGAAGGGCTAAACAGGATCTAAATCTGTGCCAAATCTGTAATGCAAAAGGCGCATCCTTCCTCCTTTCACTTTCGCCGTTCTTGCATTACAAATCCATGTAACAGTTGAGAATGTAACGTTTGAGAACGCCATATGGAGCGGAAACTCTGCGAAGAGTGGAACTACCGCACTTCTTCGTCCTCTGGCGGAGGTGGGGACGGGTCGTATAGTTCATCTGGTGGAGCCGCAACGAGAACAAATAGAGGTGCCGGGGGCTTCGGCGTTGCCGGAGCCGCAAGTGGATTCATCCCCTTGGAACTGCGGCGTGGCCCCGGAAGCACGCCTCTGTTCGATTTGTACAACATGGCTGGGCGCAGCGACTGCTCTACCACCTCCCTCCCGCCGTTAGCCCGTGGCTCCTCGCTCTCCTCCGGCCGGAAAAGTGCGCCGCCGGTGCTCGCGGCGGCGGACGAAAATTTACAGGAATTGCAATTCATGGCCGAGCAACAGAAACAAGGTTCAAATTGTCCTCGGAAAAGCAATTTTGTGTCCGGCACTGGCGCAACCGCGTACTCACAACACGAACTCCAATCTGGAACAGCATCTGCTGGAGGAGTCTTTGCGCAGGATTATTTTGAAAAAACGACCATATCAACCGACGACGATTCCTCCACTGTTGCACCCTCAACGCTGGTTGAACAGCAGGGGGAGCTTCTGGACCACCAGCTACAGGTAATCACGTTGGAGGAAGTTGCTGGTGGTGCAGTTGCTGGCCCACCTTGTTATGCTCCTGCAGAACAACTCGGCTGCACCGCAGCCGGCGGGAACTGCAACGCTACAAAAGACCCTGCCGCGACGACCTTGCAGATGCATTCTAAGAATCGGGACCCGCCCGGCGCTACCACGACCAATAGCAAGCAGACGACCGCCCCTGCGAACAAGTCCTCTGCATCTTCTAGCGAAGAGGCCGCAAAGGTTTTCGCTGGCCAGTTTCTGAAGCAGGCCCGGCACACGATTCAGCTTTTTGTCGTGCTGAAAACCTTTCTCTCCGTGCTCGAGGGCGTGCTCGTCGGGATGCTGCTAGCCGCAGTGAAGGTCGATTTCTGGTTTGTCTTCAGCGTGATCACCTTTCTCATGAACTACATCCCTGCCATCGGTGGAGCCATTTCGCTGATCGGCCCCGGTGTGTTCTGCTTTTTGGATCCCAAAAAGACGTTCGCGGACCTAGTCTTAATCACCGCCGGCGGGGGCGTGTTGCACACCTTCGTCGGGAATATCATCGAGCCGATATGCACTGCAAAAGTATCGTACTAGTATAAATTGGATTACAAATTTTCCCAGGAACAAAAATGCAATTTGTCATGCTATCTCAGGTAGAAAGTTGGATTTGTCATGCATGTCTGCAATTAGTACGAGTGCGATACTTTTGCACAGGATAGCCGAGCATTTTTGGCAATGCGTTCGAGTTGGATCCGGTACGAAATGATGGTTTTGCTTTTCACGAGAACAGGAACGCCAACACATCAGTTTTGTATCGACCGCGAATCGTCCTGGTCTTAGAAATGAGTAAACCTGGAATGTAGTCGAGCGAAGATTCACTTAAAGTTGAAACACACGGCGACTGCTCACACATGATGAGTAATGCAAGATATAGAATTTCAAATCTTATCAGATCGTCGTCCTATTCGCTCTCGTAGTCTGGGGCGCCTTGTGGGGCGTGGTTGGTGCGATTCTCAGCGTGCCGCTGACCTGCTGCATCAAACTGGCGCTCGCGCCCTTCATCGACCGGCACGCGTACGCCCTGGTGTGTTTTTACGCCTTGGAATTCTCTTTGCCGCCACCCGCGGCGTGGAAAAGATTGGAGGACCGACAGAGAAGGGCGGAAATGGCGATAGGGTCTTGCAAGGTGTGACGACTGTGTTTTCTTTTCTCACCAACTACTGGCGAGTTAAGTACTTACTTTCTAATGGAGAAATACAAGTAAGCATGTCATCGTGTATACATAAATGGAAAATTCTTCCGAGACCAAGAGCTGATGTAGTCCGGTCTATGTTTTGCAACGACATTTTGCACCAACACCTAAGAAATGCAATTTTTTGCGTCTGGTAGATCCTCCTCTCCTGGAAATGAATGTGTAGAAGAAAGAGAAACAAAAGCAACGAGTGATAAAAGAGAAATAAGCAGACGAGGACATCTGCTACGCCACCAATTACTTTATATTACTTCTGTCTCGACAAGTAGTCAAATCTTGTGGTTGGCCACCGGATTTCGAATGTTGACCACATAAACTCGCTATCGCTTCTTCTTACCCGCCCAAGCATTGCAAACACCGTCCGAAACGTTCGACTTAAGTCTGGTTTTGCAAACACCTCAACGTGGATGCTTTGTGGTACTGAAAATCAAACACAAGCACATTTGACGCAGCTGCACTCGACGCGGCAGCAATATCCGTTGTTGCAATTCGTCTTTCGATACGTTGTCTGCTCGTGACTCCTGCTCTAGTACCTCGCAGTTTCGATAAGCTGGCCTCTTCTATCTGCCAATCGTGCCTAGTGCTTTCGTCCGTGCAGAGTGTTATATATGATCCGACTCCGAGTGAGTAGTACGACGCTTGGATAAGACAGATGAAGCGTGACGAGGACCACGAGCGAAGTTTCCCGAAGGGGGATCGCAGCTGCTTCGATGTTAATGTTGCGCTCTTTATTGAGATTGAGTGGCAGATGATATGATGAAGGAATTACTACTTCTACGCGACCTTATGATCCCGATACAAAAGCGCGAAGGCCCGGACTTCTTCTTTTCGGACAGAAGTAGAATCGCAAAGTTCGCCGGAAAACTGCCACAAAGTTAGAACACAAGTAAAACCAAACTTCCACAATGTCGAGCTCCTCTTCCTCCTCCGGCGGCAAAAAAGTGCCGCGCAGGGGGCGGCAGCGGCGGTCTCAAATCAACAAACCGCCCGAGCAGCGCTGCTTGAATTGCGATGAGGTCATCCCCGACCCGGATGCCTGTGCCCTGTACCGGGGCCGCCCCTGCTGTGTCCGCTGCTGGCAGCGCATCGAGAAACTCGCGGAACGCAACGACCCGGCGTTGCTCAAGTTGTCCGCGAACTTGCAGCAGACCGGAATGTTCAAGAATCACCAGGGTGGTCAACAACACGCCGGACCCTCGCGGTACTACAGCAGTCTGGTCGTGAGAGCCCCTCTGTACCTGGGTGGCACGTACTTTCTCTTCGCGACGGTTTTCCGCAACGCCTCAGACGCCTTCCAGCTCTTTATCCTCCGTGCCTACCTGGACTTGTCGGATTACTGGCTCGACAAGGGGAGCTGGATCCGCTTCCTCGGAATCGACGACTTTCGGAAGTGGTGGCTTGACATCCCCCCTCCGCCCAGCAACGAAAGAATCTACCGCGAGTTAACCGGTGAAGAACCGCCCTGGTCCCCGTACTTCAATAGCGCCGACGGGCGGGCGGTTACTGGAGAGCAAGAAGAAGGGGCTGGTCCGAGCAGTAGTACAACGTCGCCGGACGAGTACAGCAGCAACAGTACCAGCATCGGAACACAATTCCCACCGGCGTATCCACGTGCAGTGTAAAATGTTTTTGCGTGGTCTGTCGTGCTCGCGCTCAACGCAGCTGCTGTTCGACGATTTTTGTGTTACTAATTTGCGTCAGAATTATTGTTTGTTGTCATGATCTGATCATCTCGGCGCCTGGGTCTGGTGGCATGCTGTTTAATAGTACTTCTATCTAAATTCGAGACGAACCGACCTTCGCAAAACACGCAAAAACTCTTTTCCACCCTCCATATTCAAAACGCCATTCCAAACTTGAACCTCGGGGGTGGCGGACGGTACCCGTACGAGACCAACACTGGTCCGAAGTACTACCCGCCTGGCAACGCGCCGGCGAACATTTTCGACCTGCTCCCCAAGATGCCGCCGCCGCTGACGCCGCCGGGAATGAAGGCCGAAGCGAACAACGACGCCGCAGGACTGCTCAACACGGGAGATGCAACTGCAAATGCCGCTTCTGCAAAGGGCGTGGTGTCTTCGTTTGGGAGTTACGTATCGGGTTTGCTGAGTGGGGACATCACTGTGGAAGACACGCTGTCGCCCGTTTTGGATCAGGTGAAGGAGTTTATGTCAGGCTTCTCCGGAACATCCCGAAAAATGATGTACGCGTGATCGGGAAGACAGTAGAGTTCGAGGACTTAGAAAGTCGTGTGTCGTCGATCGCTTTCTGGTCTCGGGCGTTCCAGTTCTTGAAGGATGCGGGGTGATGCTCAAATTCGAGTTGTTCCTCTTCTATACAACTGTCTATAGCGTTTACGTTGGTAAAAACGCGTCGTGATGCAGAACTGCTTTTTGTTTCGAAGAAATTAGTGACTCATTCTGAAGTTGTGTGCGTGCCGTGCCATCAGCTCAGTGTCACTTCTTAGCTGTGATGAACAAAGTGTTTATGTTTGAAAATGACGAGAATGCGTTTCGTAGTGCCCGCAAGTAGCACCTCGACCTCCAGCAGTACGTACTTCTTCAGCAGTCAGGCTGATGAAGATGAAGACGATGAATATGCTTCATAACCGTAGGTACTTACTGCGACGAAAAGTATAGCTTGCTTCTACTTCCAGATCAAAGGGAAAGCAACCAATGGGACTGTTACCATGCCTGGGGGCCTGTTTCCACCGTTTCTTCGTTGATATCGAAGGGCGGATGATCCAAGTCCCCGTCTTCCTAGAAGTTGTTCCCTTCGTCTGATGTCCTGCGTTGTTTGATGGCCTGGATGAAGATCAAGATTCTACTCGGTTGGAATGTTGAAGTTGATAGGACGACTGTCGATGAACTCGAATATGCTGTTCGAAGTCAAGAAGTGTACACGCTCATCTCTTCTCGGTTGTTTCTCACATCAACATCATAAATATCCGAGTGGTTTATTTTCAGCACCACGGTCGTCCCTCCTCATGTAGTTCCTGTGAATCCCCATTGATGTTGGTCCGTATGGGACGCTTGCAAAGCAAAGCAATGTGTCACTCAAAAATCCTCGTAATGTAGCGAGGATCGACTACGTCTTCGTCGTGGACACCATAAATGAAAATCGAGGATCGTCTGCATATCACAAAGGAAAAATGAAATCTTCTCGCACCAAGATTCATTGTTTTTTGTCTCCATATTAGGACAGCATTGCTTAAATGTGATGATCATGTAAAAACAGTAGCTTTGCAAGGGAAAGAAAAAAAACCTTCTTCACGTAGTTCTCACTATCCACAGTTGCAATTTTGTATAAACGAAGAACAAATAATACAAAGTTGGATGACACAAGAAGGCCACTGCTGGAAGAACGAGTGAGGTAATGCTAATGTGCACCAAGCACCATACAAAAATTCTAAAGCAAAACAAAATCAAAAGTCTTCTACCAAGTTAGAAGCAAACACACACCTCCAATGCATGGTCGGTGGAACCGGTGCGGGCGGTGGCAGTAAAAAGCCCCTAAACAACAAGCAGCACCAGCGACACACAACTACTACTGCTTTCAAACCCGGCGACAAGTCACCTTCGTCCCCCCAAGGCAGTAGTACAGCAAGTGGAGTACTATCTCCAAGCCACCTGAACAAGGCGAAACACCGACCGTCAGCCATGCCTAGCTCCTCCACCTCCTCCACCAAGTTACCACTAAACTCCTCCACGGCCGCAAGTGCCACTTCGGCCACGACACCCAATAAAGCAGCGACAAGCAGCTCCTCCACCATGCCGCCTTCGCCGTCTAAAAACCGGCTGCGGGCCGTGGCGGCTACCTCCCAGGCGACGTACATTGGCGGCGGGGCAAGTTCGGACGAAGATGAAACAACCGCGAACAGCAAAAGAATGCCGGTAAAGCTGAAAAGACTGCTGCTCGGCGCCCTGGTGTTCGCCTCCGTTTTCGGCCAGATCTGGTTTGCCTACTACCTCAAGCGACGCTACCGGGCGGCGGCAATGGTAGCTGCCGCGGCGAAAAATGGAGCGGCAGCGACAACTTCTGATGGTACCAAAGCGATCCTACCAGAAGAAGAGGATGACACGAGCTTGCTCGCGCGGCCACCCCCAGGCTACACGGACGGCTACGCGTTCATCTACGATCTCGCCAAGTGGAGCTTGTTTTACACTGTAGTGCAAGTTCTGTTTTCCTACGTCGTCCGCCCGTTATTTTTCGCCATCATCCAGAAACAACGACACTGGTCGGAGGAAAGCTACGAGATGCGGGTCTCGCGGGCGACCTCGGCGTGCTTCAAATTCTTCTACCACTTGGCCTGCGTCACCTACTGGGTGTACCTGCTGACCAAAGAGTCCTGGAGTACGGACTGGCCAATGATCGCGTGCTTTCGGCAGAGCGACCCGCGCTGCTTCGTGACCGACGTGGCGCGGGGCATGTGGCGTTCGAACGGAAAGACGGGTAGGAACGAGCTGGAGGAGAGATTCTGGGCAAATTTTTGGAAGGAACCTGCCATGGTCGGGGACGAAGTGAAGTGGTAAATAGGTTGTGTTTTTTGTCGATTTGGAGGAAGCATCAGAAGAAGACTGTGCTTCTTCGCTCATTGATTTTGATGGTTTTTTTTGCTCATGGAAATGGTAATTTGGATTGTGGGATGGCGGAGAGTAATATCGTCCTGACCATTCTTCATCATGTTTATAATGATTTATGTCAACCTCAACATGAGCCTTAGTCAGTGACAACACAAATCTCAAATCATGAAACCATTTTTTCAGGTTTTACGTAGCGGCGACGGGCTATCTGATTTCAGAGATGATTCTCATTTTTCCGGAGCGTGCAAGATCAGACTTCCTCGAAATGTGTCTGCACCACACCATTGCTATCGGTCTGTCGCTCTTCAGCTACGGATGCGGGTATAGAAAGAAGACTTGTTTTGTTGAAAGTCTAGATCTAGTACGTACTTGTGCTTTTTTGCAAATCTAGTTGGCGCTGGAAACAGCTTCTGAGGAGGCCTTGTTGAAATTATTGTCGGCGATGAAGATTTTTTGATTTGCTTTTATCCCACAGAGTTGTAAGCCAGTACGTGACAATGATCGAATTATCCTTTTTTTATGTAGTATTTTATCTCGACGACAGCTTCATCCGAATCGGAAGCCTGGTGATGTTTGTGCACACCCTCTCCGACGTGTCCATTTACCTGAGCCGAACAACCGTTGACGTCCGGTCGACCGGCGTGGTCGCGGTCTGCTTTGTCGCCTTGTGCCTGTCCTTTTTCTGGCTCCGGCTCTGCGTCTTTCCGCTGGTGCTAGTCAGGAGTGCGTTTTTGGACGGCCCGAGGTATCTGGTGAACCCCGTGGACTCAGGTACGTACCTTCTGATGGAATGTTTGCTCTTCGGGAATGTGATGATGTTGCAGCTGTTTTTTCTTGTACTTGAAGATTTATTTACCACGCTGTTTATACTATGCTGCAAAGCACAAAGATATGATAAAATCTACGAAAATCATTATCATATCTCAAAACAGAACTGATCCGGCCATTTTGCCTGATGCTCTCGGTCCTCGTCATGCTACACTGGTACTGGTGGTGCATGATAGTCCGCTCAGGGTGGAACTTTGCCAGAACGGGGCAAGCCAGAGATCTGGCCTCGCAACTGTCCGTCTTCAACCTGAAACGACTTTCCTCCGCCCAGTTGCACGGCAGTAGCACGCGGAAAGGCAGCTACCCTTTTGCCGGCAGTGGCGGTGCAGGAGGAGGCGCCAGCAGTCCGGGCTCCCTCGCTGGCAGGAAGGTGAAGAGTAACTAGTTCTCTTGGGGCTAGCAGGGGTGTAGTCGAGGGCGGCAGCGCCGAAATTTATAACTAAAACCTTGTGAAGAAAAGTAGATGCTGCATCGTCTACACTTGCAGCTCTTTGTGTAACCAACGTGTCGACGTCCGCAACATCCGAATGCGAGTAGTTCTTGTTTTACCAGCAAACATAGTCACGACCTCCAGGTGGATCATCATCATGTGTGTCATACTCAAAGTACTGATGAGCATGCGAGCATTGGCACTCGGCAAAGCGAAAGCTGAGCAGGAGGATGCGGCTGTCATACCCCGACCGCATGAAGCAGCTGCGTCTTCCCGCGACTGGAGATCCAAATGACCGCGAAACGGTGGTGGAAAGCACGACTTTCTTTCCGCAGCTGGCATGAAAGCGGTGTTCTCGTTCCTAAACCCGCTCCAAGATATTTTTGTGTTCGATCGGATAATTATATGCCGACCTACAGAAAATGATACGGCATATGCCAGATTCGCCGCACCACTATCCACAAAGCGGGAGTAGAACAACATTATGTTTTCGAGACTTTCACTTGACACCTGCAGTCCAAGGCGTACGGTAGTAACAGTCTAGAGTAGAAAAGGAAGCACAGATCATCATCCCTAGATCACGTTCACATTTTTGATCGTCTTACTCGAAAGTGACAACTCGCAAAGTCGTAGTTTTTACCGCGCGCCCAGTAGGGCAACTTGCTTTACCAGCTTTTGATATGTGAAGTAAATTTTTGAGTTTATCAGTTTAGAATTTTTTGAAAAAAGCATGATCTTCGAACTCCAGCTTTTCTATTCCCTTTCCTGTCGCAAACAAAACCTCCAATTGGAGCAATGACCACCCGCCGTAAGTCAGCCAGCTTCTTTGGTTTCTTCTCGTGCAGCAGTGCAGCATAGCCCGACGCACACGGCACCTTCTACAACTAGGAGTTTCCACGACCCTGTCTGAAGCAAACACTCCGACGGAGACGACAATATAGGAAACGGAGCGTCGCAGCAAGAAGTACTACCTAGGAGCAAGGCCGGAGCGAGCTGTTGTGGGCGCTGTTTTCGACAAGAACACGAACGAACTGCCAAGTAGAAAGCTGTTTTCAGCACCAGGTCAATAAACTGAGCAGGGTTGCTCCGCAGATTCCGCGACTGAGCAGGGTTGCTCCGCACTAGAGCGCTGTTTTCATCACCAGGTCAAATTTAGCAGGGTTGCTCCGCAGATTCCGCGACTTCTTTTCGCGTCGAGATTGCGTCGAGCCGTTAGTACTCTGCAGTTTGGTGTAGTTAGAAGTTGTGGTGGGATTTTAAAACCGGTAGACGACGAAGATCAAGGACATCAATTTACTTTCGTCGAACACTATACTACCATAACCACCGACATTCTCGACCGCGACTACCCGACGAGGACTACACCGTTTTTCTACACGACAAAAACGCACGGACGAGGGCCTGGCTCGGTGTGTAAAATCTACCAGCAACGGTGGACGAGGCCCACACGACGTTGCGAGTGAACATAATCCATCCCAAAGGAGCCGCGCCCAAAACACGACAAGATGGTGGTCCTCTCCGCGGCAATATTGTCGAAAAAGAAGACCCTGCTTGCCAGGCAATTCGTCGACATGACCAGACTACGGGTCGACGGCTTGCTGTCGGCCTTCCCAAAATTAGTCGACTCAGGTACAGCGACCTTCTGGAGATATATGAACATGAACTTTTCATTTTCTTTTGTTCCTCACTCTTTTCGGTTGTTTAATCCCCCACTGCTTCTGCTGCATTTTCGAAAACAATAGGTCGAAGACTTTCCTCTCGAAGTTCTTCTGATGTGTGGAGACATTTGTGAATCTTTGTTTTTTCAAATAAATTATGATCATCCATGCATACCTAAAACAGAGAAGGGCAAGGACCATACGTACATCGAGACGGAGTCCGTTCGGTACGTTTACCAGCCCATGGAGAAGCTGTTTCTCCTTCTGATCACGAACAAAACCTCCAACATTCTCGAAGACATCGAGACCCTGCGACTCCTGGCAAAAACCGTGCAGGACGGGTGCAAAAACGTGGCGGTCAGCGAAGAAAGCGTGTTGCAGAATGCTTTCGACATCATCTTCGCCTTCGATGAAGTTATTTCCTTCGGGTACTATTTATCATACAGTTACAGACAGGATTCTGAAAACCTTTGAACAAGAAGATCAAGATGATACAACTGATGCGACTCGTGCATGTAGTACAAGGTCATGGCGCGGGGACAGAGTCCCCGCGCTGCGACCTTGCAGCGAAGAAGAGCCGCACGCGGTGGCTTTTCTTGTCCATGATGCAGAAGGTTTTTCTGTCCTGTGAGACAGAAAGGGGTGGGCCTGGCGCCCGTGGAGCCGGCGCCCTCAGTAGGGTAAGCGTGCGCCCCGTGGGCTCCGGCCCTATAGGCCATGGCCCGCCCGCCGGCGCTGTAGGCCACGGCCCGCACATAGGCTACGGCCCGCCATAGGCTACGCCCCGTAGGCTGCGGCCCGTCCATTGGCTGCGACTGGTAGCTCGGCAGGCTACGGCGCGGCCCCGTAGGCCCTTCGTTCTCCTGTGCCCCGTTGGCGGCCATACAGGAAAGGACCCACCCCGGCGGGGCTGGCGTGCGTACAGGAAAAGCAAGAGCCGACGCTTCTCGGGCTCCCTCGTCTTTTTGTTTTCTCCTCCCTGTGCCCCGTTGGCGGCCATACAGGAAAGGACCCTCCCCGGCGGGGCTTGTGAGTGTGGGCGCGCACAGGAAAACAACTGATGCGACTCGTGCATGTAGTATCTGCCATGCAGGACGAGCCAATGTATCAAATGCAAAAATGTCTGGGTCTGGAATGTTGCCGGCTTTGTCATGCATATTCTGCATGACCCAGGATGTCTGTAATGCACGACCTAGCATCACAGATTTTTGGCGGGCTTCCTGATGCCTACTCCGCATGACAAATGCCCTCCCCGCGTAGCACAAACTAGCCTCCTTCTGCTGGTCATGCAATACAGATTTTTTTAGAATCCAAAGTTAGCATCACAAGTTCCAACCTTCCAGACCCAGACACTTTTACACTTGATACAATGCCAAAGAGAGAAACTCACATCTCATCTCGCTGACCCTTCCTCAGGTACCGGGAGAGCGTCACTTTGTCGCAGATCAAGCAGTATTTGGAGATGGAATCAAACGATGAAATATCCAGAAAAAAACACCCATCCACATCCAATTTGTCATGCAAAACATACAGAAAGTTCTGTGTTTGTCATGCAAAAGATGGATGTGGATGGGTTTTTTTCTGTGGATATGAAAAGCTGGCGCAACGAATCGAACAGAGCAAGATAAACGAGGCGAAAGAGCTCGCAAAGAAGAAAGCGCTGGAGCTCAGCCCGGACAGGAAAGGCTTCGGCTCAGCCAACATGCCAAAACCCGTGGAAAACGAAATTCACAGTATAGCATCATGGAATTAATAAATGATGTTTTGTATCTCGAAGCCCTTGATTTGCGTTTGCGTCTTCTCGATTGTAGTTTTTGTGATACGCAATCACAAGATTCTTGGATGCTGCCAAGAAGCTTGATGATCTTCTACTTGTCATTTACAAACCTGAACTTTCTTTTGCCAACTTCTCGTCAGCGCAATTGGAGCAGATGAAGCCACCAGTGCAGGAGGTGGAGACAAATTTCGCTGCCGCTGCCGCCGCGGCAACACCAGGAGCGACGAACGCCATTCAGGCAAGCCTGCCAAAACGAGGTACTAGAAAAGAACTTAACAATTCGAAAAACTACCTGGATTTCATCAATTTCATCTGTTGAGTCACGTGCTCATTTGATGGCCTGTATTTTGGTTGTCTGGTGTTGCGTCGTGTGTCCAGCGTAAGAAAACGAAAAGCGTATGAATGCGTTAATAAAGTTCTTATTGCGCCGCAAAAAAATCTAGGTATGCAGCTCGGCCGAAAAAAGCCAGCACCCGCGGCAGACGCCTTCTCAACAGCAATGGCAACGAACGAGGTACCTGCGCAAGTCGCGGGAAATATGCCAGTTGCACCAGCAGGCGGGGCGGCAGCTGCGATGGCACCAGGTACACTGATCCCTCAGTACTTGATTTTATTGTGCGTGTTTACCCCCGTGTATAGGTAGATTCGCCTTGCTTAAGACAAGCACGTGAAAGCAAAACTGCTCGGCAAAAAAATGCATAAAAATTCCAGTTGAGCCACCAAGAGCGCCAGTAAACCCACTCCAAGAGCCAGTTTCCATTCTTGTGGAAGAAACAGTAGAAGCTGCGCTTGGGGCAGAAGGCGGCCTGCTCGGCGATTTGACGCTGCAAGGAAAGTTCGAGGTACAGGTTTTGTCTTGCAAAAAAAAATTTTCATGTCGTATCCAAAACTACGATTTATTTGACTTTCATCAAGCGATTGCGTAAGAACTTTCATTCAAGTACAACTGGATAGCATCTTCGCACCTCTTGCTCTTCGCAGCAAAACAATATTGTCTCCTCAACACTCAGATAACCGTCCACGACGACGCTAAGGCGGACCTTGCGTCCTTTAAACTGAAGCAGCTCAGTCCCAAGTTCAAGTACCGGCTGCATCCGAATCTCAACAAGGCGGCACAAGGGAACAATCTGCTGGAGATCCGCGACCCCACAAAGAAATACCGCCCCAACGCGGCAGCGGCGCTACTGAAGTGGCAATACAAAGCGGAAGAAGAGGACCTCGTGCCACTTTCGGTACGAAAAGTTTTTTTACGACGTAGCCAGCACCCCCCGCTGTCGCACCGATGGATCTGAGTAGCAAAAGCGAATCTGTAGTTAAGCGTGGCTTTCTTGCTGTATCATGCGAGAAAGCCTTGCTGTTTCGCAATTTTTCCATCAAACGAAACTCAGGTAACCTGTTGGCCAAGTCCAGAAGCCGATGGAGTGCAAATGATCATCCAGTACGAACTTACGGATGATAACGCCAAACTCGAGAACATTGTCATGCGAATCCCGACGTCAGGTGGTGTTCCGCAAATAAAGTCCGTCGAAACAGGCGAGGCGTCAATGGTCGGGGCGGAGTGGCTGCAGTGGTATATGACATACGATGTTGTTTGTTCTTCTATGTGCTTCTATCACAGGACAGTCGATGTGAAGAACACCGTCATGTGGTGGAGTTTCAACCGGTCATGCTCATGCAGTGGCTACACGACATTCCTTTTTTCTTTTGCGCGCACAGCATGAGAAATCGATACTTCAAGCTCGTAAATTATTCCATCCTCCCCCACATCAGGGCCATCCCCAGCATCGACGCGTCCTCGAACGCGGGCACGCTGGAGTTTTTCGCCCGCGTCGACGCCGCCAACATGCTCCCGGTGCAGGTCCGAGCGTACGCGAGCAAGAGCGTCTGCCCCATGGACATCGAGTCGGTGTACCACCAGTCCTCGCAAGAGGTACTGAAGTACGCGATGACGCAGCGCTGCGAGTACCAGCTCACCATTGGATAACGAACCGCGTACGCAGCTCCTGCTTGTGCAGCTTCCTGGTGGCAGTGATGGTGTTGCCTGTGCGCAGCACGACGAAGAATTGAATCGTGACGCGACAAATAAACAAGCGCTCATCAAAATGATGACTGGGATTCCAAGAAAGTTCCAACATAAAGGTACGAGTAACTGACCTCAGCGCGACCACGGTCTGTGTATCCCACAAGAAGTGTGCTGAAACTTCCCGCCATAGTTTCAGGTCTACCCCGCGACAAAAACGACCAATTGTGCTGCTCGTTCTCATGATGATCTGTAAGCAGCATCAGCATGGGTTGAGAAGTAGAAAACTACGAGCACCACCAGTGCCGAATGATCGCCCAGCACGATGAGAGCCACCGTGAGTGTCTATGTGGGCGCAGCTCTGCGACTTGCGCAGTGGTTGTCGAGGCAAGTTTCTTTTGTGTTCCTTCGCAGCTCTTTGGTTTTGTCCGCCTGATCAGGCTCTTCACCTTTTGCATGTGCCCACTTTCTGTTATTGGCGTCGGTCTCAATCGCATTTCGCTCTGGTCTATCAATTTACTCGTCATCTTCAACAACGCGAAGCGGCGGTGGAGAAGATTAGTTTATCTTTCCACCTACATCTTCATTTGTTCCTACTTTGTTTCATGAGCACGATTGTGGAGCACCTTGCAGGGGTGACGCCGAGGAACTTCTGCACCGTATTTAATTTTTTGAAGTTATCCAGATCCAGAATTTATTTAAGTCGACGTAACTTCTAAGAAGTTGAAGTGGTAGTACTAGTAGTTGTATTTGCATTACTGAATTTCGTCCCGCACCAGAGTTTTCATCTCCGTCGCAGCCCAGTATGTTACCGCTCCACCTGGAGGACCGCGAGCCGCCGGACTTCGGCGGCAGCCGCAATCTCACCGAGTATTTGAAGATGGCACTCCGGTACGCCCAACTAGACATCGAGTACACGTTCGCGCAGATGTGGTACATCCTCGCGAACCCGCGGAAAGTCTACCAGTTGACGAGTTACAGGTACAGGTCGCAGTTATCAGTGGGTGTGTGTGTGTCTTGATGATGTCGCTTTTTTCCTTACTCAAGAAATCTTTTCCGTCATTCCGAAATAGGTGGTGTCGTGTTATTGTTTTTCACTGATAAAGGTAAATAAAAATAAGCTGCAGAGAGGTGCAACAAAAATCCATCCTGAAAAAAATTATCAGGAAGCAAACGAAAAACCACTGGAGCCGGGACGACCCAGCTTTTGTGGTTCTCACCGTGCTTTTTCTCTTCGTCGCAAGCGTCGCCTACGCGTTGGCGTTTCGCGCAAACCTGTTTCGCGTTTTGTTCTACACCATCGGGGTGCACTACGTGCTGCTTGGGCTCGCAATCGCCTCGGCCTACACTTACGTCTGCAACAACCATTTGCGGGAAAGGGGCTACAGCCACCACGGCTCCATGGGGGGGCATTACGTAAGGCAGGTAAGGGAGGAGTCGGTTGTATTTTGAACATATCATCTACATCAATATGATTGGCGCCCTTGATCGAAATGTCTTTTCGTTACCATGAACAATGGCTGCGCCTGCGTAAGCGTAAGCGCATTCTTGAAATTCAAATTTCGTCATACCACAGAACTACGAGAGCCTGTTCTTATTTGTCTGTCTACATCACAGGAACTCGAATGGCAGTACGCGTGGGACGTGCATTGCAACGGATTCATTCACGTCCTGTTGATGGTCTATGTGTTGCAATTTCTGCTCCTCCCGATACTCTACGACGACCAGGGAATAGGCAGTTTGCTAGACGAGGCCCAGGAGCTCGCCGCAACGGGAACAGCTTCTGCGGTAGCAGGCGGCGCTGCAGCTGCCGGGGTCTCTAATAGTCCCGACGCGGCAGCAGCCGCGTCTTCCCCCGATCTCGCCGCCGCCGGGATTGGAGCACCAGCAGCCGCATCTGGGGGGACCGGCGCCACGCTGCGTGTTCTGTCTGCAGCTTCGTCCTCGGCCGTGCAGGCTGCTGCTGGATCGGCGATGGTGGTCGCGCAGAACTATTTCAAAACAGGAGATGGCGGTGCTAGCAGAAGCAGCAGCAGCTCAGTGCAATCCTCATCTGCTCGCGAAGCACCTTTATCTTCCGGCGATAGAAGCACACTTCAGAGCGAGTCCGGCGCCGGGATTGAACCAGGCACGGATTACCTCGTCGATTCTGAGGGCGGCATACCGAGAGAAGTTGGCGAATCTGCAGCGACGACGAAAGACGTAGCTGCTGCGTCCTCACGTGCAGGAGTCGGATCCTTTGCTACAATAGCAGCAAGTATCCGCAATCGCATATACCCCGAGGAAAGAATATCAAGACCACGTCGGAGATTACAAGAAGGAGCGGCAAGTAGTGGCGGAACTGTGCTCGTGGATGCAAGAAGCGATGCAGCTGCGCATTTCGACCCTACTAAGATACGGTCACCGTCCCTGGTATTGATCTGTTAGGTTTCTGCTAAATGGTTGCATCCAAAAAATATTGAGTGCTGTTTAGCTGAATCGTACTATTAAAAGTGTTGTCATCTTCTCCATCGTGCTCAGAGATTCAATATTTGGAAGCAGGCAACTTGATCGATGCGTGAAGATCGAATTTTTCATTTTCATGATCAGACCTCCTGTTTCCTCTCGAACCTGCTCTTCGGCTGCTCGCTGCTGGCGTATTTCTACGTGACAAGCATGGGGTACGCGATGCTGCCCTTCCTCGAGAAGACCGAAGTGCTGCTGTATCCCTGCATCCTATTAGCGCTCCTCATCGTGCTCTGCGTCTTTCTGCGGATAAACCTCACCGTCTGGTTCGTGTGGATGATATGCGGCTGAACAGCACAGCGGGACGAGGACGACGAGCTGTCCCCGAGAATAGAAGTTACTTAGACCAGGCATGCATCATGAAGCTGCTGCTGCTGCTGGGCAATGAAACAGCAATAAGGACAACGCAATCGCCGCAGCCGCTACTCCATGCGAGGTCCTCGTGCTGTCTGCTCCGTAGCTGCCCTTGGTCACGGACGCTGATCAGACCGCTTGCGCTTGTCGATCGCCAGGCAAGGATAAGAGATGCGGTTCGAGAATCATGCTGGCGTTCGAGGAAACCAAAACGGGAAACCGCCGCGCGACCAGGCCGAGACTCCGCGCAGCGCATAAAGCAGAAATCGCAGTTCGGTCACTTCTTGCCACGACAATTTCCTGCTTCCGAGAAGATGGTGATCGATGGCGCAAGCGAGAGGCGGTTGCTCGGGTCGGTGCGCTTCTCAACTTACTTAGTTGTATCTGTCTATGTAGTAATTGACCGCAAAAGCGCCGCAGTGGTCACACACACGCTCGATGGGACTACAGGTACGGAGAGTGGTCAATTGTTTGCGGCTGAGTGCAGGACCATATCATAATCATGCACGCACGACAGCTGAATATACCTATTTCTTCAACTTGAACTTCTGCAGCGGCATGCGCTTCTTTCACGTTCACCCCTGGCTGTAGTACTGCAGCTGCTGTTCCTTAGAGTAAACGTAGGCTGTATTGAATCATGAGACCATTTTCCTTCATTTTCATCTTTTTCTCGAGCGACAACGTTAACGACGAGGAAGTAAAACCAATGGACGGGGGCAAGAAAAGAAGCTAAAGCCCGGTTTGCGTCGGCGCGTTTTTCGACGGTGAACAGTTCGCACAAATAAATGCTGAAGATCATTATGATCAAGAGCCCCCAGTGCGCTGATCTAGGGACGGCGATGAATCCTTTTAGCGGAGTAGAGTGAAGAGAAATATTTCCAAGAAATAATACGAAGAGCTCAATCTCGTCGTCGTCCAGAAAATCCATTTCGTCACAGCCGAGACAGCGCGACAACTTCGACTTCCTCGCCAAACGACATGGCCGGCGCTGCAGGAGTAGTTGCAACGACAACGAAAATCGGTTGGGTCGGGCTCGGCCGCATGGGGCACCCAATGGCCGCGCATGTCGGTCGGAAAATTGGATGGGACCGGCTGAAGGTGTTCGACCCGTCTGAAGCAGCAAGGAAGCTGTTTCACGAGAAGCAGAGCGCTGCTCGCATAGAAGGCGGAGCTCCTGGTGGTGAAACAAACAGTGAAGCAGGAGGTGCGAGTAGAGCGTGTAGTTCTAGTTATGCTCCTGCATCATCGCCGTCTTCGTCGGGTTCCTCTTTTCAGCAGCACTGCAAAACGGTCATTGCAGATTCGTTGAAGGAGTTGGACGACTGCAAGGTCGTGTTTCTCTCCGTCCCTACCTCGAAAGAGGTCGCCCAAGTCGCCGCCGCACTCTACGGGTTGGGAAATAAAGAAGGTGGAGCGAATGCTTCTGGTGCATTCGACGGGCAAAAAGTCCCATCACGATCAGCGGGACAGCAGGAGTTACAGTCTGAAGCAGCCGACATTAATACCACAGGCAGCCACAAGATTCAGACTCTTCCCCCGCCAGACGCAAATACCAGATTTCTGATCGACTGTTCCTCGGGGGATTTCGCGGCTACCTGCCAGCTCGGCGCGCTTCTGAAAACTTCCAGAAACGTTCAGCTGATTGATTGCGCGGTGTCCGGGGGGCCGCGGGGCGCGGAGGCCGGAGAGCTGGCGTCAATGATCGGGGCACCGCGGTTTTCCACTGAGGACGAAAATTCCATCGTGGACGAACTGATTTCGTCTTTTTCGCCCGAGGCCAAAAAGCACTACTTGAACTGCCTCGGCGCCGGGCACGCGGTCAAATCGGTCAACAACGCGATGAACGCGACCAAACTCGTCATGGCCATGGAGGGTTTGGTTGCGCTCCAGAAGATTGGCGTCCCGTACGAAACCGCGGTGACGAGCATCAACAAGTCGAGCGGCCGATCGCTGCAGTCGGAAGTGCGAATCCCGGAGGAAGTCCTGACAAAGCGCTACAACTACGGCTTCGCGGCGGAGCTGATGCACAAAGACTGCCGGCAAGCCCGGTATCTATTTGAGAAAGCGGGGATGAGAAGTTACGACGTGTCTTTTCCGGTTGTAAAAACACCAGCGACTACTAGCGGCGAACATGTTGTTGACTGTGAAAAAACGACAGCAGCTGCAGCTTCGGAGCACGAAGAAGATGTGAAAAGTGTCAAGTTGAGAAGAGAGTACGTTTTACCGCAGATCGAGAAAGTCTACGATTCAGCGGTGGAAAAAACGAACGGGGAGATTTGCAAACAAGACTACACGAAGATCTGCGAATTTGTGGAAACGGAAGCTGCGGGCGAGAGGGATAAGTTTCAACAAAATCTTCAAAAGATGGCGAACAGTACTACCCGAGTTGCTCCTGCTGACAATACCGCTTGTGGTGTCAACAGAAACACTGACAGAATCGCGTCCTCCTCTGCTCAGGTGGCGTTGTGATTAAATGCAAGAGGCGAATTTGGACCTAAAAAGTGCCTAAAGACATCACGCAGCTGTTTGGACATGATATTAGAATCACTAGGATGTTAGCTTGTGCTCTGTAGAGCCTGTTCTGAAAGAACCGGCAACTGTTCATGTTCAACTTCAACAGACGATCCCGCATTACCATTGGAAGATCCAGCTGTGAAGAACGAATTGCAGGCAAACGCGCGGCCAATAGAATTAGTTGAGATTGAGCAGGGTTCGGGCTCCTAGAATTGGTTCTCAAAGATCTTTGCTGTTTTACTACTGCTCAACGCGGTGGTTTATACTTGATTTTTGTCTTTGAAATTTTGCACCCGTAAGTACAATGGTGAGATCCTCCCGATCTTCGCACACAGTTTCAGGGTCCTCAACATCACGACCAGCCGCAAATTATCGAATCAAAATAACATCCGTTCTTTTTTTAAAATCTCTTGGGCTTGTGTCATGTGGCTGTATTTCTATTTGATCCTTGTTTCTATCCAAATTGGTAGCTCGTCGAAATCGATTCATTAGATTCTCCTCTACGTTTTCAAGTTCCACAGAAGTAGATTGATCCGAGATACAAAAATGAAGTTGAAAACCGAAAACGATATAACAGGCACGAGCGCGACGGTATTAGGTTCTGTAGTTCCAAGAACATGATCATGAAGATTTAGTGAGATCTTAGATGTGTCATCGTCATGTATGAGCCCAAATAGTATCGTCCAACACCAACTAAACCGGGCCTGGAGTTGTACGACGTTGCCGTCGCTTGCAACAAGCACGACAGGTACGACGACGAGGACGACCACGACGACGCTCATACTACAAGAATTTGGTATCTTGACCGCTACTGACCATTCCAAATCTTCTATGCGACATTGCCTCATGTACATTCATGAATGCAGCGACAGCCACGAGCACGCGAAAAGCTCCCATGCGCCGCCGTCTACCGGGGAACACGAAGAACAACCGCCGACACACGACACGACAGCTGCGTCCCGATTGTACTACATGCTCCCTCGTGCAGTACGAGAATTAGGGGAAATTGCACTTCTACCTTGGAACAATTCAGAACCACACCACTGTGACTTCATCACCTACATTTTGCAGTAAACGACCACTTCTGCGACGAGGACCGTCTACCATCGCGTCACCATGGCGTCCTCTTCTTCCTCCTCCTCCTCTACGTCCTACCAGGCCAACCGGTTTGCCAATCTGCACGGGCGGCTGGCAAAGGTGTTGGCCGACGGGGAACAGGTAGACGACGACTTGCTGAGCGATTTGAAGCAGGCGCGCAGCTACTTCCTGAACGGGGTTCGGAACCAGAGGTCGCGGGAGTCCGCGCTGTCGCTCGAGAATTTGTACGAGCACGTGAAAAGCGCGAAAAGCCACGAACTACTCCACGCCCAAGTGCAGACCGGCGGGCAGGCGTTCGTGAAACGTATACATAGATTTATTTGTTGTAACTGCTTCTGCTTGAGGCTGAACCAGCCAGCGGCGCCCCTGTGCTTTACAACCTCTACCACATGGTATGGCGAGGATGAAAGATCGCGCCAACGATACTGTAGTTTTGATGTCCTGCAGCTGCAAGCGTGCTGAGCAAGAAGGAACAAATATAGGAAAACCGAAAGCGACCAACTTGTCTCTGGGTTCCGCAAGAGAGGCTTTATATTTCTATCTGTTTACCGCCTCTGGAATGGATATGCATGAGCATACTGCATCAAAAGATCCGAAATTATCTCCTTCCACAGGTCTCGTGTCCCAGATTGACGAACTAAGTCAAAAGCTGCGGCTGCACCAGCACGAGTGTTGCTTTCTGGTGGAAGAGTACCTGCAGAACTACCACCAGGGTGGTGCTTCTTCTAGTGCAGGATCCAATGCCGCAGCAACGAAAGATTTGGTGAAGGACTGCCAGAACCTGTTTTACAATGAGCAGCAGCACGCCGCCTGTGTCTTGCTCGACCTGGCGCAGCAGCTCTCGAGCTACATGCGCGCCAGGACCGCAGGGAACAGCTACAAGGGTGGTGCGAGCAGCTCCAGTTCGGGCAATATCAACAACTACCGCGACATATCCTCCGCGGTTTCTTCCCACGCTGGGGATTTTCCCGTCTACGGAACAGCGCACCCTTCCGGGGCCAGCACCGCCCGAGGCGGCGGTGCGCACAGCACCACCATGGCGCAGCAGCAACACGAGCTTGCAATGCAGCGGCAACAGGAGCTGTTTACCGAAGAGGTGAAGCTCGCGGCGACATTTTTCGACCATTTGGGTTCGCAGTTTGCGGCGAACCTGGTGGAGGGGCTGCGGTTGCAGCTGTTGTACCTGAGCGGGCAGGCGGAGGAAGTGGACCACGTCCGGAAAATCTTGCGCTTTTCCGTCGACACGCTGTTGCACTATTTTTCCTTCTACCAAGCAACCAGCGCGACATTGGATTTGTTCTTCTCGCTCGTGCCACAGGTATTAATATAATTGAGGATCTACTACTTCTTTTCAGCTTATTTCGCTGTGATTCTAGCCCACGACGCCTTGAGGTGTTTCCCGCACGCGTTCTTGCGCCTTTCATAGTCATACGCATGATTGTTCGCTGCATATCATGATGCAAGAACCGCACGATGAGTCACTCGTCTCGTCACTATGTCTGACAAAACATTGTACCAGGTCGTCATGCCCGCCGCCCTTGCGGAGCTCCTCCCAGCGGACGGAATACCGAATCGCTCCGTCACGCTCCAGGATTTCGACGTATACTTCCGGGAGGACACAGCCGACCTAACCTTCCGCATGGTGCTGCTCATCATTCTGGCCCTCCAGGACGAACACCACTTGAAGCGGCAAATCGGCACCGGGGCGGCAATCGCAAACAGCTTCGGCGAACTCGCCCCGACCTCACCAAGACCCATGGACAGTTCCGGTGGTGCAGCTTCGCAAGGCGTGCATCTCAGTGCCTCAGCCGGCGGAAGCAAGAAAGCTATACGTATAAATATGGAAGTTTTGATATAATTTGTGGTATCTTCGCTGTTTGTGTAGCTTGCTCCCTAAAAATGTGATGAAACAAGTGCAGAATCGGCCACGCAACACAATACAACATCCCCGCGGCCATGGACAACCGCACTACTAGTTGTCCTTGTCTTGATCTTTTTTGCATTCCTCCTCAGGTCCTTCCGCCCTTCTCCAGGAGTACAGGGAAAAGTTCCTGAAATACCCCACCACCACCACCTCCGCCGAGCACGAACACGGGCAAACGACCTTTTTCAACGAGCACATTGTGCTCGGGCAGTTTCTGGCGTTCGTCGTTCTTGGTGTGTACTGCGAAGAGCAACGGGCGTATTTGTTAGGCGTCTCCCAGTGGCACGTCTTCGACTTCGTCACCGCGGAGGCGCTGGGCAGCTACCACTCCTTGAACTTCGGAATTGACGACGGTCGCAGTGCGGTCGAGGCCAGACCTCTCAGCTCCTCGGCCGCAAACGCAAACTCGCTCTTCGGAGCGGGCGCGAGGGGACAGGTACTCGTTGGTCGTTACAAATCAAATTTACTACCCAAGAAGAACAAGAACACGCACGAAATGCACAAGCATGCGACTTGGACTTGTTGTACTGAATGAAAATAGAATGGTGTCGTGATTGATTTGTCTCGCATGGTCGTTGCCAACATGATGAGAACGAAATCATACTAAACAGCTTCCCGGTTTCGACTCCATAACGGGCCGCCCCCTGTACGGAACAAAATACGACCGCGATCTGTCCGCCGCCACCGCGACCGCCCAGGGCGAGAGCCTGTACCGGTACGGGGCTGCACCGTTCAATAACATGCTGAGTCAGCAGTACCCCATGACGTCCTCCAGCCTGAATTTCTCCACGACGATGGGCATCAAAAACCTGTCCAAGCACGGCTTCCCGGAAATCGTCCACTCGACGACGTGCGTAGCGGTTCTGAAGGACGTACTGATTCGCGCGCTCTCGCCGAAGCACTGGACTGTGATCAAAACCTACGAAGCGCAAACGCAAAGGAAGGAAAAGGAGCACTTGCAACGTACTAAACGGGTTGATGTGTTTTTTCTTTTGAGTTTTCCCTTGAAATCTGTTTCTATCTTCGTAGTTCTGTGTGTCTCTACTGCGCAGGTTGAAATTTGAATTTTTTGACTCCTAGTTTTCTACTTGTTGATCTGAACCGCTTGATGTGCTCTCCCTTCAACCACAGGCGCCGCAGCCACCTCCCAGTCGACCTCTTCCTCCAACAACGCACGGACTAACCGTCTGCGCGAGCGCCGGCTTGCCCTGCTAGAGGAGCACTGGATGCAGATCGCCGCCCTGCGCTGTGTCAACCGGCTCTGTCGCGTGGAGCCGAGTTACTGTGCGGAGTTCGCGTCTTTTGGGATCCAAGTCAGCGAGTCTTTCAACATGAACCCCATAACCACGTCGAATCCAGCAGCAAATAGCTTCGGTTCGTTTGGCGCCGGACAGCAGCCGCAAAACCTCTACTCGACTGGTCGCGGTGGTGGACTGCAGGGCGCAAACAGCCAGGCCCCCGCTGCAACGGTCTTGTATGCGGAAGTGCTGTTTTTGCTCGCGACTCTGATCTCCCGAGCACCCTACGCTACCACGATTCGGGTGATGCAGAGACTCAACGCGCATGCGAATCAATGGTATAAAAAATTTTGAGCAATGAATTACATACTTCTTTGCAACAGGAGAGCCAACGTGTTTGTTCTAGGTGAACGCGAGGCAGTTGATGTCATCGTGCAATAAACTACAGTACAAATTTCAGCAACTACACACGAAGCAAGTGTATTGCACTTCGTATGCTACATCCGGATGAAGGTCGAACGGTCAAGGATAGCATTTTCACCTCTGGGTCTGGTGTCCTCACGCAACAAGATTGCCAAATGTATCAAAAAACCAAATTCAGGTTCAATTTCGGGTATCTTTTCGAACTTCTTCCCCAGCATTTCGAGCACTACGTTCACATGAAAGCTCGGAATCCGGACCTGACTAGCGAAGAGTCCCTTATCCTGAGTAAAAACGTACCCACACCAGAGTCAGGATGGGGATTTTGCAACACAAACCTAGGAGTTTTGTGAGTGACGCATGACAAGTTGCACTCTGCAGTGTAGTGCAGGTTAGCAAGTGCAGCCGCATCACGGATTCATCTGCTCATCCTGTTCACAGCATCACAAATTCCAAACCACGACTGGAAATGGCTCTCATGAGGATGCGCATTACAAGTCTTCCTGTCTTTGCGAATCCGCATTACAACTCTGGCGTGGGTACGTTTTTACTCAGGATATCCCTCGACAGCATGACGGCGCAAGAGACCCGGGCCAGGGTTCTCGCGATGACCGCTTTGGTGAAGCTTATCGGAGCGGCCTACGGCGACAAACTCGCGTGCGCGGCCGTCTTCGCGGAATCACGGGGGACCACCACGGCGAGCAGCTTCGATTTGGGCGTTTCCGGGGATTCAAGTGCAAGCGTTGTATACGGGGAGCAACAGCAGCAGCAGCATCCTCTGCATTCCGCGCGGTTATCCACCGCAAGGGAACACCAGCATCAACATCAAACCGGGAATATGAACTCAAAATCCACATCTAATTTCTCTGGTGGAGCAGGCCATCATCATCATCACAATCACCTTCGGGGAGGACACCTCGACTCCCAGCCGCACATCACCAACCCCTACTGCGACACGCTACGATACGGCGACATTCTGTTCCCGGGGAGCATCAACCACGCGAAACTGATCCCCTCGAACACCCACCTGATGCAGGACCACCGCCCGGCCTTGATGGAGTACTCCGTCCAGCAGACGTGGCGACACACGCTGGTGTTTCCGACGAAAAATTTACTTCCGGCCGCCGCGATGGGCGAGGAGCAGCTGAACGCGAACCAGGGGGCGATGGGCAACAACACGACGCTGGTGCTGAACAACCCGGTGTTGCAAACCGTCTCGAGCATCCTCCCGGGCACGACGCCGTCGGTCTTGTCCTGGAACCAAAAGCTGCTGCTGGGCTACCGGCTGTTACTCATGCTGAAATCGGAAATTCCGACCCTGCTGAAGGCGGCCTGTGTGGGCTCCCTGGCGAACATGTGCGACTCGGATTGGTTCGCCTCTGAATTTTTCAATTCCGTGGCGCTGTTGTTACCTCAGTTGTGCGAGGTCGAGGGCACGGCGTACAGTGCGGTCATGCAAACGGCGAGCAGAATCGTGCAGAAGGAGAACGGAGTTGCAGGAAGTACAGTAACATCATCGTTGAACGGCGGGACAACCGCGACAACATTGAACGACGGCGCACACGATCCGACGCAGATTTTGTCTTTGCTTGTGGATGCCACGGGGTCGGTTAACGCCGAGGGGCTGCACTTGATCACGGAAATTCTCAACTTCGCGCTGGTCTGTCTGTACGCCGTGCCGTTGAAACGAAGGTTCAAGAACCTGCAGGTTTTGAAACTGACCCGGTTCGTCGTGGAGAAAGTGTACTTATCCATCTGCTGCTTGTCCCCGAAGCACTTCGTCGACGAAAAGCGGTACTGGAGAATCTGTCTACTGTGCTCGAAGATCCTGCGCGTCGTGATGCGGGGTCCGCTGGTGAACAAGGAAACTTCGCAAGTCGACGCCTTGGCAGTTGTGGGCCAGAGCGAAGTGTTTGACGAGGACGTTTACAACGAATTCACGAGTGGCGGGCGAGCCGGAGAGAGCCTTTATTCGGGTGGTGGTGGTCCTACTTCGGGGATTTATTACGGTGGAATGGCAAACAGCATGAACAACAGCACCTACCCAGGAGCAACTGGTGGTCGTGTTGCTACTAGTGGCGGAACTATGGCCGCGGACAACAACTACAACCCGTACACATCGACAACACCAAACTCGACAACATCCAGGATCCCCGGCGCCCCGCCAACCGAGGAGCTTTCCCTGCCTACCTCCTGGCTGTTTCGGTGTTTTCTCGTGCGGCCGAGCGGCATCTGCATCCGCGTGTTGATGCAGATGATCAGTTTGCACGGCCGGCTGCTGGATGAGAAAAAGGGGATTCTGTACCACCGCGACCTGGAAAAACATCGGACGAACGTGGTGGCGACCAGCTTGGATTTGTTGCGAATTCTCTTCCAAAGAGACCATTTGTTCCTGCAGCTGCACCAATCGCAGTCGCTGGTGGGTTCTGCATTGCAGCTCCCGGATTTTGGGAATTCCAACGCGGGGTCAATGTTTTACAACGGAATAAATACGCCGCAGAATCAACAGCAGTACGTGCGGGACGCGTATGGAAATCTCGTTCTCGTGAACGTCGCTGCAGACCTGCACCAAGATCATGTGAATAACGGTCTGGGAACTACTACTTCCAAGAAAAACGCCGCGCTCTCCTACTCCGGGCTGGAAATTGAGCACGTGACCGCGATTGACGAGCTTCTGAAGCAAGACTACGCACTCCAATGGCCGCCGGAAGATTTTCTGGGCAATAGTTCCGCCGGGGAACAAGGCAACGCGGAAGACCACGAAAACCCGAACAACACGAACAACAACGAGAACCCGTTTGTTCCCCGCACCGGCACGTTTGGGGACCGGTTGCGGAAGAATTACCAGCAGTTGCTGGAGTTGAGCAGGAACAGCAACAACGCGAATTCGAACAACATTATGGACAACAACATTTTGAACCAGAAACCCTCGAATTTGACCTTGATTCTCTTCTACATCTGCAGCATCAACCGGCTGTCCAGTGTGAGCAAAAAGGCGATGTTTGTTTTGTTGCAGATGATGAACCGGAATTCCTCCGTCGTGGCGGAAACTCTGGAACTCTGCCCCATGCTGAAGGAACTACTCAGTTACGGCTTGGCGCACAATCTCTTCGAGCTCAACGCCGCGGAGGAGATCGAAAACGTGTCCGGACAGCAGGAGTTCAGCAGGTATTTGGTGGAAAAGCTGTCGACAAACAACTTAGCGTTGGATTTCCTGGAGGAGTGCAAACAGCACTCCGACGCGGGCTTCGCGATGCAGGAGGCGTATTCAGTTTCCACCGGTTTTTCCATTCTCGCATCTCTCGAGCAGCAGCTGAACCTGCACGACGACAAAGCGGTGGAGTCCGTGGATATGCTGCTCGCACGGCTCTTAGCGGTGAACTCCTTGAAGAGTGTATCGGCGGTGGGCGGGGGAGGAGGTGGTGTACAACTGGGTGGATCAAGATCTACTTCCAACACGACGAGTTCTATGGGCAATAAACCACTTTTCTTCGCCCGGGAACGGTCGATCCGGACGGGTTACCTACAGGATTCCACCCTCACCGCGGAGAACTTCGGGTTTGAAACCGCGGGCGACGAGGAGATTTTCCAGCTGCTCCAGGACCAATACAAGGAAGAAGTCGTCCCCTTCGACCAGGCCGCGCTCGCCGCGGGCAGGACGCCGGGGGTGCTACCCGGCTCCGTTGCGGACGTGAACTTCGCGATGGGAGGAGGTGGAAGTGGAACTACATCAAACTACAAAAACAGCACGCAAAACTCCTCGTCGTCCGCGGGCAATATGCTGAACTACAACACGTCGCAGAACCATTTGGGGTCCTCCTTTCTGCAAAACACAATGGCAGACGTCTCCGGGCCCTACCGGTCCGTGCGCCAGATGCAAACCCCCCAGCACGTCGGGCCGAACGGCGAACTTTTAAATCTCGCCGGCGCTCAATCCAACCCGTATCCTGTGCAAAAGTATCGTACTCGTACAAATGCAAGTCTTGCATTACAAATCTTGTTTCCAAGGCAAATCTGCATTACAAATTTTATTTCTCATGCTGGGGAAATTTGTAATGCATTTATACGATTACGATACTTTTGCACTGCATAACCCGGGCAGTCAGCCCAACATCGGGTACAAGCCCTACTTGCCGGCGAACTCCACCGCCATGCCGGAGTTGACGAAAATACAGAGAATCATCCTCCACCGATTCCAGCAGGACCAGCCGACCAAGCTCTTCCCCCATGCGTACCGCGTGCCCGCGTTGAACAGAACACCTCTGCGGGAGCTGGTTCTCCTCGTTTTGAAAGAAGCGCTCGCAGTGTTACCGAAAGACCAGGACCACGCGGAAGCCCCGGCCAGCGACAAGCAGAACGAGAAGATCCGCTTGGCGATCGCGGTGTTAGGTTTGGCGAAAAACTACCAGGAGGAGCACATCGATTTGGACCCAGCGAGACAGGGCGGGACCTACTTGACGAACAGTTGCTTCCAGGGCTTGTACTTCCTGGCGGAGAACTACCCGGACAACCTGGACTCAGTTTCTGATTTGTACCAACGGTTGGATGAGGTCGCGCTCGCGCCGGTCGTGATATCATCAACCTCTTCAGGCGATGTAATTGGTGGAGGACGTAGCAGGACCACTGCGGGACAGCAACATCATCATGGCGCGATCCCACATTCCCGGTCGAAGTCTACCGCCGGTTCGCAGCACGAACCTCATAGTTCCGCCCGGTCAAGCGGGCGGAGGCACTCCGGAGACAGAACCGCACTGCAATCCGGAGGAGCCCAGCGCTCCGTTTCCGCCACTTCCGGGGCGGGTGGCGCTAACAAAAGCCGATCGCCCCGACTGTCCTCCGCGTCGCGCTCCGGGTCACCCAGACAGCCGCATCTTTCGCCGCGGTTGCAGGCTGCGGGCAGAGCAGGAGGACATTCTAGGAGTAAAACGACCAGACAGGAGAAGCGCACGAAGATCCACCCGTCCTGCCTCCCGTCGCGGGCGCAGCTGAGACAGTACAGCGACTTATCGATCGAAAGGAACCACAAAGAGTATTTACTCGTTCTGGAATTGATTCTCCAGTGCGTCCGGATTGCGGAGTTCCGCGAGGTGGGGTTGAGACTGCTCTCGACCAGCTTCAAATCTAGATACCGTGTGTTAGACTCCATCGCGGACAGCCGGACGGAGTCCTTCCGCTACCGCCCCGCCTTTCTGCACCGAATCCTTCTCTCCCAGGCAGTGACGCTGTTCAAACTGCAAACCTTGGAATTGTCTCTCGTCCACAAGCTCGCCGCGGAGTTCCGGACTAAAATGCTGCTCGGGATGAGAACGACGAACAGCGGAATCAATAGTAGGAAGAAGCTGTTGCACAAACAGTTCGGAATGGTGCAGGAGCACGAAGACTACATGGAATTGGAATCGGAAAACCTCTTCGAAGACCCGACTATCGATGGCACGAGCGCCACCGCCGGGCTGTTGCTCACGCCCGCGGAGCGGCAGCGCGGCGAGTTCTTCCAGGCGACCACGCAGAACCTTGCGGACGAACTGGTCAGCCGCGTGAACCAGGTGACAAGCAGCAACGAGCCGCTATTTGCGGCGAACATGCGGCATCTAATGGACGGGTTGGCGCAGCTGTCGCCGGCGGATATTGGAAGTGGTGGTCCTCGTGGGGGGTCAACAGCGTCCTCATCGAGCGCCGGCGTTGCTGGAATCAGGTCGTCCTCCTCCGCATCCCTACCCCTGGATCTCGAGCAGTACTTGAAGCTCGCCCTGGACGGCTCGCAAACGCGGTCGAAGTACTACGACGAGCCTGCGGACGCCGCGAAGAGGAGAAAAACAGGTTCTACTGCGAGGAATTTCGGTAGTGGGAGTAGCACCAGTCAGCACTTTTGTGCGGAGATCGCGGCGGAGCAGGGGATGTTTGTGGAAAATTCATCATCGACGCTGTTCAATGCGGGAGGTACAACTGCTGGTGGTCCTCCTCCTACCGACGCCGGTCGTGGTCCCGGGAATTATATGGCATCAAGCAATCCAGCGAATAATTCTTCACAGCTGGCGTTGATGGACTACGGGCAGCAGCAGATGAGCAATGTCCCCTTTAACCAACAAGCAATCAACACCAATTACACGGCCACCACCTCCAAAACCGCGACCTCCAATGCCCTTTTCTACGACACCTCCAGTTTCTACCAGCTCGCCGGGCTTCTGTTTCTCACCCCCTACTTCGAAAGCCAGCGGCAGGTGCAGTCCATGACCACGTACGGCACGTCCACCGGCTCCATGGGCTATTCTGAGTAAAAACGTCCCCACCCCAGAGTTGTCATGCAATTCTGCATGCCAAAAAAGTAAAAGTTTCTCATGCGGAGCCCTATGAGAAGCATTCTCTCTTCGTGTTTTGGGATTTGTGATGCTAGAATCAGCATGACATGCTAGATCTGTGATGCTTCTGAGCTAGCTAAACAGGATTACACTACGTGGACAAACTTGTCATGCCAAACAACCAAAGCTGTGTGATTTGTCTAGCAGATGACTCTGTTGTGGGGACGTTTTTAATCAGGATATGGCCATGCCCGTGAACAGTGTGTTGTCGACGAACCCGGGTACTCTGGCCTATCTGGATTTGCGAGCCCGGAACGTGTGCAACTTCCTCCACCAGCAGAACCGGCGGAAGATTGCCGCGGACTTGACGACCGAACTGGGACAAACCTTCACGGAATTTCTCTACTGGACCCTGATCTACACGAAGCCGGACCACGAGTCGCTCCGAAGTTCGTTCCGGAACCTGATCGACGCCGGGATTTTGTCGGCGGAAAAGGAGTTTTTCAAGCAAAAACTCCTCGCGGAGACCACCGCGACGGGGTCCAGCTCGAAGCAGTTCTTGATGGTGTACTCCAGTCAAAACGCGGCGCTGCAGATCCAACTGACAGAAGCCGCGCGGCAGGAGTTCTGTGCGAACTTGCTGTACTTGGTCACGAACAGCTTGTTGAAAGCGTCGGCTGAACTTCTTGCGGAGAGGACAGGAGCACGGGAAGAAATATCAAATCCTGAAGAGAAGACACAGAAGATTTTCGCCACGACCGCCACCATCGACAACGCGAACGGGTCGGTTCCCATGTCGTTCTTCCACAACTTGGCCCAGAAGCTGTTCAGCTTTTTACCCGTTTTGAATAGCGGGACCTCCTCCGCGTCAAAGTTGGCGATTTACAGTGCACTCATACAGCTGCTGGGGAAGATTTGCGGCACAGAAGTAGATCTTGCTGGAGATGAACCAAATTCAACTAGAGTAGAACAACGAGAGTCCTCTCAGACGAATCCTCACACGAGAAAATTCCTGGTTTCCTCTACCACCGAGCACGACCAGTCGGTGAGTATGCTGCTGCAGGATGCGTTGGCGAATGCGAAACTAGATTCGAACTCCATCAACATCGCGGTGTCCAGCCTGTCCGTGCTCCGTTTTTTGGTCGAGAGAGACGAGGTTTTGCTTTCCGCCAATTCCACCTACCTCTGGCAGTGCCTGAAGCAGATTCTGAACCAGGCCTTCCGGTTCGCGAAGCAGACGAAGGACATGCGGTTCGTCCGGGCGGTGCAGGCGTTGGTTGTGGCAATGAAACTGCAGGAGGAGAGGGGGGATAGCAGTGTAGCAGGCGACATGGACAACGACCAAGATGCACCATTTGCAGCAAGAACATCCGCAGGTAATACTAGCGACGACGGTCTATCAGGAGCATCAAGCTTCGTTACCGCCATGTACGAATCTGGTTTTCTTTCCCTCTGGTTCCAGGGCGCCGCCAGCATTTTCCTCTCAAGCGAAATCGCCGGAAGTGGGCTGGGCTTCGGCTCCTTGACCTCCGCCGCGGGAATTAATACTCATGGCGCCGGGGCCCCGGGTTACAACTTCAGCAGAGGCGCAGGAGGACGGGCGAATTCATCTTTGCAGAGAACAAGATCCGAAACCGCTGTGTTGGAAGCCACGGCGCTCACCCTGATCCAGTTTCTGGCGACCATGATAGTCGTGGAAACCGATGAGGGAACCAATGAAGGAACAAATCAGCCGTTTTACCTGTGTCAGGAGCAACTCTTTCAGGAGCTGGAGTCCTTTCTGGTCAACTGCGTCGAAAAATCCCAACTGGTCCAGGAATCCTGTACCAACGCCGTCCGAGATTTAACCACGATCTCCGCGCTCGGAGTCTCAGGGACGAGTGGCGGCGGATTTCTGTCCTACAATAGCGACGCGATGCCGAGTTTCAACAACCCGCCAAGAAGTAGGATGAATACCAGAACTGCACAACACCAGCAGCATTCAAACCTTCAGCGATCGATGCAGCGAGCAGCTTCGTCAAAGTCCGCCTCCTCCGTCTCGATTGCGTTGCTGTCCCAAATCCTGGCGCTTCTCAGCAGCTGCAGCACGCACTCGCACTTATCCTACGTGGAGACAGGGACGCAGGAGTTGAGTAGCTCCAGCGGAATTATGGCAGGAAGGAATCTATCGAACCTAGTAGCGCAGCAGACGACAACGCTCGCAATCAGGAATGACAACGGGAATGCATCGATGGGAGTCGACGTAAGTTCCGGCGCACCAGCACAACAAGTGGGGGTAGGAGCCGCAGGAACAACATCTGCGCCTTCCCAAGCAGTTCCGTCGATAAGCAAGCGATCGCTCCTCCTGTCGCAATTGGGTAAGGACCTGCTGATTGCGTGTTCCGCCTCTGCGGGCCTGAATCGGGACGCAAGCGACATGACCATGCATTTGTTGAACATTTTCCGCCTGGACCTGACAGCACTGATAACCGGGCCACGGGCGGCGAGAATACCGGACACGCGAAGTCTATTGCAGCAGACCGCGCCAGGTACGACTAAGTATATATAAGTAGAGTTGTCCTCGTGGTCGGTATACATAGTGCCTTACATCACGCGTTCGATTGCTACACACTTAAAACATTTTTGAGGGGGAATGCAGGCTAACTTAGCAAACCTCCAGTAGTTGTGATGCAGAAAAACCATGAATCAAATTCAAATTTTAATTTCAGGTAACCTCCCCTCTGGTTTTTCCGCGGGTGGAAGTCTGTTGGGTGCCGTGCGAAATTTCTTCACCGGCCAGAGACAATCGTCGCCCTACAGCAGGCCACAGCCAAGAGACACGACGGCGCAACCGCAGCAGAGCGGCGGTGTTTACAATGGTGCCGCAAGTAGAACTACAAGTAGCTTCCCCGCGAACCAACAAGACACCAGCACCTATAACCCGATGCTCGACGGCCAGCAGCTCGCAGAAGAGATTGACGCTTCCGGGCGGTTGCTCACCCTGGCCGAGGCCAGCCGACGCCTCAACACCACCGCTGCGGGGCTGCAGTACGCGATGATGCACCATGGTAGTGGAATGGATCATCAGACGGAAAAGGAAAATTTGCTGTCCGTCGTCCAGGCACTAAAAGAGAATTTGCTGTACACCTTGGTCCTCTACGCCGTCTTCCTGGGACGACCCATCCAGGAGGTGCTGGGGGCTGAGCAGCCTCTGGTCAGCTTTGAAGACCTGAAGGAAAGCCTGTTTTTGCGAGAATTACTGCTGGTGTAGCAGTATAATTCTTGAGATGTAGCAGGTGGCTCTCTGTAGCTGAAGCAGACTATTATTGAATAATCTTCGACAAAAGCCAGATGCAGGTGGTGCAATTACGCATTTACAATATTGGCACTTTTTGTCGCGATAAAGCATCGACTCGCGCAATGGGTTGGTGTGAGGTATTATGTGTAACGTTCTAAACTAAATCACGAGGTCCTGCTGTACCTCTAGGTGGAATGATTCGTATAGCTGATGATCTGCACGCAATTTACAAAAAATGTTCTACCACAACAAGCAACGCAGCACAGGTTGATCGAAAGCGACTGAATCAATTTTGACGCGCAGTGAAGCGCTAAGCAGGTGGTCAAGATGGTGCGTGTCAGCACCCTTCATCGTCTCGCGTACTAGGAGTGTTCGTTTCGCCGCCAAGGAATTTTTTGGGGCGATGCTGTACTCGCTGTGAGTTCGACTTCGACATTCACCGTGAGCAACAATTTGCACTTCTACTTCTACAGGAAAGGAAAATTATTGATGTAGCAGGAGAGATCATGATCATGATGTTGGTGTGCTTCAAATGTTGCAAATGTTGATTTGATCGTTCCGACGTGAAAATGAGCGGAGAGTATGAGATCCCATGCAGTTCCGGCAATTAATGAAAGCACTCAACTACTTTTCTTTGATGAATGCGACTGAAAGAAATTGCAGTGAGGATCGCGTATGTCGTAGGTGAAACTTCTAAATGTGTGGCTGTAAGAGAAAGCATCCGCGCGATAAAAATGTCGTGGGAGTGCCAACTAGCACCAAAAGCGATTGATGGCTTAATTAATTTCCAATTTGTGATGATCTATTGAACTGCGAATGGTCAGCACCAGCATCGTCACCGGCGTGGTCACTTCGCGGAAGAAGCTACGGACAGGAGTGGTTGTGTACGTAGAACCTACCGAATCAGAAGACGTCGATCATGGCTGCAAGAGACAGCGTGAATCGGTGGAGTCAAAAGCACCTGCCAACGCGAGCGACAGAGGGGTTGAGCTTTCATGCCGACTCGGACTCAACGTCAACACCACGAGTACAATCCGGCTCTTCATCGCTAGACCAAGTGCAACGACCGGTGAAAAAGTCGCTGTTGCCGAGATTTTCGATTTTGTGCCTCCCCAGGCAGCTGTCGAGGAACGCCAGGAGGGAGCAGAAGAGAAATTACGCAATACGGCCCGCATCGCACCAGAAGGTGAAGATGCCAAAACTTTTGAAGATCATTTCCGACTCTACCGTGAGAAAGTGGCACACACGCACGTTGGAAGCCGGTTGCGGATTCGAGTGGACCCGACGAATCCTGCAAAGCCGGCGGAACTAGTTTTCGGGGACGATGCTGTCTGTGATGACTGCCAAGTTGTGGGAGACGACCAGGCCAGCGGCAAAGCAGCTGGCGCTTCTCAACTTTCTTGCGGCGCCGACGCAGGAGCAACGCCGCGGCTAGTTATTGGGACCGAAATAAGCGGCCCACAGAGCAGGAACGAAGCAGACGGGCCTGAAACAACCCAATGCGTCGAAGATGAAAGTTGTTTCGATCATTCAGAGACATCATCAGACAGGCGCTTGTGCCCAGCTTTGCGACGAAAAGCGATCATGCAGCTCCTCTGCAGAAGAGGACACGATTCTTCCGACTCCGAAAAAGCCGAAGCCAGCGAAAGAGCAGACCGGATCACCAGCCTTGTTCGACGTATATTCAGCGAAGCCATGGCGCAAACGTGTTTTTTGAAGGATTCTTCAAGGTGCACTAAACCAAGAGCCATCAGTGGCAACACGCCTATCCTTCCTACTCCGAAGCCAAAGAAGTGCTTCCTGCAATTTCGACACGAGCCTACAGAGGCCGACTTGCAAGATATCCGAGCCGCAGCGTCTCAAAGTCGAGAAAGCCAAAGGATAAACCGACAAACAGTGGCGAGACAGGTTTTTTCTGCCAGTGGGTGCGCGAATGAAACGGACATGAATAGCCATGGAGAGAAAATTTCGCAGCCAGCATCAGCAACCGTCGCTGACGGGATCGAAGCCACTTCGAAGCACCGGCGCGCCCACTGTTTTGCGAAATGGATCGTGGAGACGTACCAGGAGAGGCTGAAGCTGCTAGATCGGAAAACTTCTATTATCCTAGACGTGGCGGGCGGTACGGGGGACTTGTCGGTGATCCTGCGGAGCGAATACGGCTTCGAAAATGTCTTCACCGTAGACCCCTGGAAACCGGAAAAGTGGAAAAAATGGCAACTGCGGAAAATCATGAACGTTTCTCGTCAAGACCAAGAGCATGGGCGAAGAACAAAAACGTGCGGCGAACTATCAAACAGGAACACTACGACCGAACTCACAAAAGAAAGTTATCAGGCCATTGATGAGTACACCGAAGCTGCAGCACTACTCGACCGGTTTTTCGTGCGGGAAAAGTTCGATTTTTCGTCTGCCCCTTCGCCAAAGCTATCCTCCCTGATCCAAAATTGCGACCTGATCGTGGGTCTGCATCCTGACCAAGCGACGGAGCCGATCGTGGCCGTAGCGGGAAAATTGAGGAAGCCAATGTGCGTCGTGCCGTGCTGCGTCTTTGCAGATCAGTTCCCGGAAAGGCGGCTGAAAGTCGTGGAAGCAGATCGGAAGGAAGAGCGACAGAGTAACCTCCTCTGCGACGACGATGAAGAAGGTGATTTTGGATTAGTGTGTGAAGAGGCCCCCGCCTCGGCTGCGAGTGTAGTGTCTGAAGAAGAGCCAATCGTTTGGCAGCCGGTCCGGGATTACCCGAGTTTTTTAAAGTACCTGCGACAGCGATACGCACCTACTACGGACGCATCCGACTCGGTCCATAAATCCGGTTTCGCGGCGGGAGACGGAGGCTTGGGCAACAGCATCGAGTGTGCCGCGTTGCCGATGCCAGGAAAAAGTCTGGTGCTGTACACGATGATCACGACATCAACAACTCACTGCTAGCCTGAGTAAATGTCTGTATACACATACGGTTTCGAGAATGTTAGCGACGATCTTTCTACTTAACATGCGACTTGGCGACAGATTTTCGTATTCCGCAGGTTGACGACAATGACGCCGGCTTTCCGCGCTGACTCTTTCCGACGTCGTGTCCATACATTGTGCTACACCTTGAAGATCTAAATCATAAGGTATCGCAAGCAATGGAAGGAGCTGTTCATCGCCGCCCATATGCGCACCGCCACCGGCACCTGTCGTCGTAGCAAAATAAAATACGTTTCGTAGTCATGTGTGTCCTCGTTCTTCGATTCATTTGCCTCGTTATTTCTCCAACTCCGAGACCGAGTCATCGTCATGTTTGATCGTTGCATCTCTTCGTAGACTTCAACATTTCGAGAGGCGGGCAAAAATACTGCAGAGAGGCTGGTGAGAGACGTCGACGCGTCGGTGTCGTCTGTGCTTGAGCGGCGAGAATACCAGGACCTAGCGCTAGGGTTTGTCTATCTTGTTTTTGACATGCATTTCTTGCGATTGTTCTTGCAGTTTAGAGAGTAAAGCCACTAGGGCTAAGTACGACCAAGCAGTCTCACTTCTACAAAGACAGTCATGTATGTGACTTTTCAATTATCATAACCACAACAAGGGTCATGCTTTGGCGCAGCATCTGTGGCTCTGCCTTCGTCCTCCAAAGGTAGAATCGAGGTCGAGCAGTCTCCGCGTTTTCGGCATAGCTTCTCCACGCGTGGCGCGCTCGACATGCGTTTTCTCTTTCTGCCGCCGATATCGTAACCAGCCGCGACCAATGGGCTCCGGTCGTGGTATCTCGTCCTGCATGTGAAGCAGGGGCACTGCAGGACGACGTAGTTCTAGTTGTTGGTAGAACTTCTAAATCCACTTCGAAATCAACAACATCATGTTTGGCAACAGCAAGAAGCTCGAAGAGCTGGAGAATCAGCTCAAGGAAACGCAGGAAAAGCTCACCGCTGCAAACTCCACCATCCAAGCCAACACTGGGGAGATCACAAAATTGAAGGCGGTAAACCTTTTTGGGTTGTAGTTGTATATGTATGCACTTCGAAATCTGCATATGTTACGACACGGCAGCCAGCTAGATGTTATAGAATGGTGACTAGTACGACACTGAGATTGATCAATTTCAATGCCAAAACATCACGATCACAAAACACAGGAGGAGAAGAAGACCAAAGACGCGCTGACCAAGAAGGAGCAGGATGCGAAAAAGCTGCAGCAGGACAAGGAGAAAGTAGACAAGGAAAAGCAAAGCCTCCAGAAGGAAATCAAAGATAAGTGGGAGAAGGACCTGAAAACTGCGAAGGACAAAGCGGCCGAGGATAAAAAGAAACTGAAGGAAAAGCACAACGATTTACAAAAGGAGAGGGATGAACTGCAGAAAGAGACGGACGAAAGGATAAAATCGCTTTCCCTGGAGAAGCAACTTCTCGAGCAGAGCAAGGCGGAGTTGGAGGAGAAAAAACAGGTTTTGGAGACAACTCTGGAGCGGAAAAACAACATCATCCAACTCCAGGAAGAGGATTCGCAGACGGCGAAGTTTTTTTTGGACGTCAGTATCGATGGGTGCGAGTTCGCCAAGCCCTTTCCGTATTTTTTGACCGTCCAGCTGGGCGACGAATTTACAAATCCGCGGAAAACGGAAACCTCCGCGTCCACACAGTACCCGGAGTTCGAAAACAGCTCGTTTTTGCTGCCCTTCCACGACGAGGACACGGAGAACCAGTTACTACTGAAGTGCTTTGTCGTGGTAAATCCGGAGCGCGGGGACGAGTCGACGGTGAAGCAACTAGGCGAAGCGGTGGTGTCCTTGCACGAGCTGGGCGCGTTGAAGTCCGAGCGGCAGGATCCGAGGTTACAGGAGTTGAGGCAGAAGACCATAGTGCAAAACGCGAGTTTTCTGCGCAGGATAGACGGGGCTGGTACTGGAGCTTCGAAATCATTTACTCATAGAAATCGATTTTCCACCTGTTCTTAAAAGTGATCTACGTCAGAAGTCACCCGGGTAGTATTAAGACGCGCCGTCGTGCGGATCTAAATCAAACCTTTACCTTTGTACACGTATCCAGGTAAAGAGGCCGACGTGGTTCTTGTCGGCAAGTCCATGTTGCGTATCGAGAAAAAGCTGCTAAAGCCGTCGGAGTCGCTGAAACTCCAGCTCCAAAGTGCCGATGGCGCCACGGAAATAGAGCGAGTGCGCGACAAAGCACTCGCTGAGGAGCTGAACCAGGGATTATGGTAGTAGATGTAGATTGCTTTGTGAAAAAGAACTTCGTTGATACTTTTCGACGAGAATGAGTTATGGCGCTTTTCATGCATTTGGAACTTGGGTTGCACTCCAACACAATCAGGACCATGATCTGCGTTCACATGTAACCAAAAACCCCATCCCCAGGCTCGTTACCCCGTTTCAGCACCGGCTCCGTATCCTTTGCCACTGCGCCAAGGACATTCTGTACCAACAGGGCGGGGGTTCCAGCTCCTCCTCAGCGCCAGCACCCGGTGCTGCAGAAAAGGTGGGCGTTCCAGCAGGAGGAGAAAATATTCGTAGTGCTGCAGGAGGTACAACAACTTCTATCGACAATAGCCTGATCACCGGCACCGAAGAGAAAAGCTCCTCCTCCACTGCAAATCATCCGTCCAACACAAAAGGCACCAAACTCGTTGTCACGGCCCGAATTTTGAAATTTGACGGCACTGTCCTCTACGAAGTTCCATCGACCGAACACGAATTGAGTTCCGCGCAGTTCGGCACGGCGAGTCGGGCAGACATTCTAGATTACTTGCTAGTGAATGAAGAACTTGTGCTGCCGTTACCCAACACAAATTCGCTCTACGACGACCCTGGCGGAACGAGTTCCTCAAACGTTTTACGGGACCAGCGGTGCGAACTTTCGATCACAGTGACAAATAGGAAGCATGTGCAGGAGATTTTTTCCGTCCAGTTTTTTTTGAACGTGTTGCCCGCGTTCGAGCCGGTCACGGTTCACTGCGCGCCAATATCAAATGTAAAAATGTCTGGGTCTGGAAGATTGCAACTTGTGATGCTGTCTCTGCATTATACAAAAATCTGTATTGCATGACCAGCAAGAGGGCTCCAGTTTGTGCTACATGGAGAGGGTATTTCTCATGCGCTATAGGCATCAGAAAGCCCGCTAAAAATCTGTGATGCCAGGTTCTGCATTACAGACGTCATGCGTCTTGTAAAATCTGCATGAGCATGACATCCAGACCCAGACATTTTTACATTTGATAGCCAAGCGGAAGCAGCACTTCAAATTTGTCCAGTGTGGTGATGATGGGCAACGGAAGAGAAGGAACGGCTTCACAATCGGAATTCTCGAACAATAAGCCACCCAAACCGCAGCTGTGCTTCACTGTCACTCGAGAAATCCCCCTGCCCGACATAGCGGAGACCTACCACGGTCTGGAATTTCGCTGCCACGGGATTCCGACAGCGAGGCCTTTGCCAGAAATGGCGAATCACGCGGTTCTGCTGGTCTCGCCAGATTTCCCCACGACCGCGGAGACAAATATGCCGTCGCCGCGGGTCACGGTTGTGAGGTATAGGAGGATATTATGCTGTTTCGAAGTCTTTAGTTGTGTTTGGAAGTCTTTCGTTGTTCCGAATGTTTTTTATTGCATGGCCGTAGTGGTTGCCATTTTGATTTTGCTACTTGAGCAAATAATAATAATTAAATCTGGTGCTCGTGCTGGTGCTCCTGGTGAATCCGAATACAAATTGAAATTGCCTCGTGAATCATCATGCACATAAAAAACGAAGTGCAAGAATAACTACGCCCCTCAGATACCAGTACGACACGCAGCGCGATCTGACGTCGATCCTCGAGGGCTACTTCAAGGAAAACCTAGCGACGTACCCCAGGCCGCCGAAGTACTTTATGACGCCCGTGTCCGTGTCGCGGTCCCGCGCCCCGCAATTTGACCAGTACGTCGTCAGACTGGCCGCTGCGGAACGGAATCTTCAGCACCTGTCCGTGTTTCTCTTCGAGCAGAACCTCCTCCGGTCGGAACCGACCGCGTTGCTCCCCGACTTTTTGCTCGGGTTCGCGTCGGTTGACAGTTCCACCTTGACGCCCCCCGAGGGCGCGAGGAATCCGCTGCATCGGGCCTACCACTTGGATCTCAGGCTACTGGAGGATCCGACGAGGCCGGCGAGCTTAGCGGTCGACGTGCGGGTGTGGGGGAGGAGTATTTTTGATGCTTCAACAACGTTGGAGGTCTTCTTCTTAATTATTTCACGAAGATGACGAGGCATCATTTTTGATTCCGCGGCTGCATCTTGTACATACAGTCCGCTACCGCTTCGCACGAAATCGAAAAGACATAAAACATTAAAACAGATATCCGTCCCGAAGCGCTACACGCGTCGGCCATGCTCGGGAGCGACATTGGCAACTACAACAATCCTTCAACCCGGTACCAATCGCCGCAAAAGTCGCTCAAATCCGTCTCCATCGCGCCACAGAGTCCGCAGAGCATGATCGCGCGCAGTCCGGATGTCATGATGCCAGCTGCAGGAGCCCAACAGCTTCACGGACAACTCCAACCCCGCGCGAACGCGACTTTGGTACACCAGCAGCAGAACCACAACCAGCACGTCCAGCCACTGGACAATCACCACTACGAGAAAGAGTTCACTTTGAACCAAGACCTGAGCATCCAGCTGATGCGGGAGTTTAACCTCCGTGCCCAGGCGCTGAAGTCCGCGGGTGAGGAGATTGTGGAATTGAGAAAGACCGTGCAGATTTTGCAGAACGAGAATGCGAAATTGAACACGCAGCTGGAGGAAGAACTGCAATTTAACGAGGAAGTAAAACTGAACCAACCGCTGAACACCGAGCTTCTCGACTCGCTCTCCACCGCGGAATTAGCGCAGAAACTCCAGACCACCGTCGCAAAATATCGCGATGAGAAGCAAAAGGTCCAGGACCTGAAGCTGCGCATGGAGTCGGGGATGCGGGAAATCGTAAAGAACCGGGGGCTGGAGCGGAAGCTAGAGGAGCTGGAGAAGGCGCACTTGGAGCAGGCGACGCTGCTGCAGAAATACCAGAAGGACAACAAAAAGATCGGGTTGTACAAAGAAACGGTGAAAAGCCAGGAGAAGGTAATCGCGAAATTGGAGAAAGTTTTGGAAACGTCGTTGGAAGACCTGCACAAGGCGCAGCAGAATCAAATCGACTTGGAGAAGGCCCGGCACGAAAACGCGCAACTGAAGCTCGAATACCAAAACGTGCAAAAGAAAAACGCGAGCTCGGCCAGTTCACACCAGGAACTGGCGGAAATGAAGAAGCAGCTGCACGGTATGATACAGAGGAAGGAGATGTCTTTTTCTTCTTTAGAAAATAATGAATGAGCCTGACATGATCAATCCAATACCAATCATGGAAATTTCCAAGAAGAGTAGAACGAAATCAAAGTCTTCATTTCACACAAAAACATCAGATAAGCAACTCGAGTATGACAAATTGCGAGAAATTTGCGAGCAATTGGAGCGCGAGCAGCAGAGTGGGAGGTTCCGGCGGAACAACGAGGACGAAAAACAGATGCTTCAGTACAAAATCAACCAGCTGGAAGCAAGGATACACGCGTCGGAGCAAGTCATACGGGACAATGGGAAAAAGACCTCGAAGGAACTGGCGACACTGAAATTGGAAATCGCGAAAAAGGACGCAAAGATAAAGGAATTAAATTCCAACTCGTCAGCCAGTGCGGGGGGAGCGGTCGGGGGAAGGGGCATGCGGTGAGAATGCGGTCGTGGGCTGCGCCGTTATGTGTTGGCGGGACACACAAAATTAGTGATCTTCATCGCTGGTACGTTGATTACGTTGCAAGTGCAAACAAACCAAAAATTTATTTAGAAACTAATTCTGTGCGACACGACGACTGTCGTGACAGTCACAGTGACTTTGTTTTACATTTCCTCGACAAATTCGTATGCGAAGCGGAGAATAGTGACATGTGATCATGTATGTTATGGTCACACGCGAGTGGCTAAGGACTGTCGCTGATATGCGACGGATCAGGCTGACAAGAAAAAGCAGATGGCCGTAAAGACCGCGAAAGTCAATGTGGCGGATTTCCCCCGCATATATGATGTGATGTGCTGCATCATGATGTTCATGTATTCCAATTACTCAGTTTGATTTTGTGCGGTTCCTGTGAGGATCCGCTTTCGAGGTGCAGAAGGCAGAGAACAATGATCATACTTAACCTCATCGGGAAGTCATTTACATTTTGAAAAAATTCATATTGCCTTTGCTTCCACGATCACTTCTGTTCCTTTTTCTTTTTGGTCCACGGGACTGTTTTAACTTCTGATTTTTTTGCTCTTTTACTTTTTGTAAGTACGGTACCTGACTCACTCTTTGTGTTATTTTTGTCGCTCGTTATTCATTCTTATTTCACATCCGATTAAAAAAGATCGTATGCCTGCTATTCATTTAGATCTAGTGAAAAAAGTTCAGTTATTTTCGTCTGTATTTTCAGCCCACCTACCCCAACCGTTATTCTCCGCGAGAGATGTTCGCAAACCTGTTCGACCAACAGCTTCCCGAGTTTCTCTACGACGCGCCGCCGCTCCCAGTTTTCGTTGCCTGTGTCGTGTTGCTGATCACGGTACTACCAACACTGTGGCGAACTTTATTCTCTGGAGGCGATGGCACCCTCGACAATCAGGACCATGACAGGAGCTCGTCGTCCAATGCAAACGCAGAAAACAAGCAGAATGGAAGACCACCAGCGGACTCATCATCATCTGTGGCTCCCACTCGAAAAACCACAGCTCCTGCAAAGAAATTCCGCGACGAGCGTGCCATCGTTGTCGTCATCGGTGACGTTGGACGGTCTCCGCGAACCATGACACACGCAGTGGAGTTTGCGAGAAATAACGTCTACGTCTCGCTGATCGGCTACTACCCAAAAGGAACGAAGAACAACGCTTTGCCGCAGGAACTCACGGATTTGGAAGACAAAATCGATTTTGTGCAGCTGCCGGCTTTTGTCTGTCCATTCCCGAAACTTCCCTACATTTTCTACCTCCTCTGGCGCGTGTTCCACGACCTGTGGCACTTCTGGTTCGCGCTGGGGAGCGTGTCCTTCACGACGTACTTCCGGAGAGCGCAGAAGATCAGCTGGATTCTAATCCAAAATCCGCCCATGGTCCCGCAGTTGTTCGCTTGTAAATTGGTACAGATGTTTTTGAAGGTGATGACCCTTGCCTGTCTGAAGCGAAAGCAGAGCCGAACAAGGCGCTTTCCAACCATCGCAGTGGATTTCCACAATTTCGGCTTCACGATTCTGTCACTGAAACTCGGGGAGCGATCTCCGATCACGAAAGTGTTGAAGTTCGCGGAGAAATTGCTAGCGAGGACCTGCGTCGACGTTGGCTTTACAGTAACACACGCGATGAAGGAGGAGCTGGTGAAGAACTGGAATTTGAAAACCATCCCAATCGGCGTTTTACACGACCGGGCACGGCCGCCCACCGAGGTTTTGCGGGATGTTGTGCTGTTTTGGGACTCGTTGGCGGACCGCGGATTTTTGAAGGAATTACACTCGTGTATCAAGTGTAAAAGTGTCTGGGTCTGGAAGATTCTAAACTTGTGATGCTGTCTCAGGATTCGAAAAAATTTTGTATTGCGTGACCAGTAAGAGGAGTAGATTTTGTGCTCCGCGGAGATGGCATTTTTCATGCCGAATAGGCATTAGGAAGTGCTCTAAAAATCAGTGATGCTAGGCCATGCATGACAGGCATTATGGATCATGCAAAATATGCATGACAAATCTTGCAATCTCCCAGACCCAGACATTTTTACACTTGATATCGTGGAACAAAGAAAAGCTGAGGCAGTTCTTCGAGGAAACAGCGGACGAACAGGGAAAACTGCAGGGTTCGACGCCGATGAGCTCGCCAGGTAGTAGTTGCGACCAGCGCGAGGACAATTCCGTCGGGGGAAGCCCCTGTCCGAGCAGTTCTGCTGAGGACGAAAATTTTCCGAAGAAGGGAGAGGCGGAGATCTCATCTCGCAGCAAAGCGACTCCGTCGTCGTTTTCAAAAAAGCAGTTTAATCTCTTCTTTAAATCACCACCTACAAGCGCAAGTCACAACTCCTCCTCTCCGTCTGACATCAGTGCAGAAAATTGCATCACCCTCGGAGATACAACTCCACATTCCGCCATTCCAAAACCGCTGCAGATGCGGTTGACAAACCGAGACTGGGACCCGATCTTGACGTCGCACTACGCCAAAGCGCGTAGGGAGTGCTGCAACGGCAAGAATGGTGGATCTTCGATATCTTCGACTTCTAGAAGCAGTGCTCCTTCATCACCGCCGAAAAAAGTCCTTCATCTACGAGTTGGGTCGGTGGAGGAGCAGCGCAACCCTCCAGTACCAACGTCCGTCGGAATGTTCGGTGTCTCCTCACCCATTATTTCCCCTTCACATTCTTCCGCCGCAACTTTTCTGGAAAACGACCCAGACACCGTGAAGGTCGTAAGCTCGACCAGCTGGACGGTGGATGAGGACTTCACGGACCTGTTTCACAGTCTCCCTGAGATCGCGAAACGGATGAAACCGAAGAAAAAGCTTGTGGTTTTCATCACGGGGCAGGGGGAACTCCGGGGGTTTTGGCAGAAACATTGGCAGGAGAAAAGGGAGATGGAGATTGGAAAGGACGACGCTACCGGAGTGGTTGTGAAGCTCAAAGACCGCATCCGCGTGCTGTTCCTTTTCCTCCCCTGGGCCGATTACCCGCAACTACTGCAAGCCTGCGACTACGGGCTCTGCATGCACCAGAGCTCCAGCGGGCTGGACTTACCGATGAAGGTATCATTCTTTTTTTTCCGTTTTTGCACAAAGAAGAGCTCCGGGCCGGATTCTTTTCCGGGTGGAATTTGTTCCTCAGTACCAGCAGCCGTCTACTTCTTGCGAAAACACATACAGGTCGTCGACATGTTTGGTTTCGCGGAACTGCCCGTGGTGGCAAAAAACTTCCAAGCGCTGCCGGAACTCGTTGTGGATATTCCCTGAAAATTAACCATCCCCATCCAATTTGTCATGCAGAACATGGAGGAAAGTCTGTGTGTGTCATGCAAAAAGTGGATGGGGATCCTTAATTTTGATTTTCAGGGGATAGTGGACCATGTGAACGGATTTACCTTCACGACCAGCGACGAACTGCGCGACCATTTGGTCTACTTGACGAACAACCACGCAGACGAGCAGTTTGCAAAACTCGGGAGAATGCGGGTTGCGATCCACGAGTCTTTCCACTCCCCGGAGACAACATGGCCGGCGGTCTGGAAACGGGAGGTGCTTGCGCGGTACTACAGCGGGTAGATGAAATAATGAGAACGCTGTTGACGAAATTTCGTGAAGATGGTAGTCGATCATTTTGATACAGGCTTTCTTAAGTTTAAGTAACCGTAAGCCTTCCTCACACATAGAGACGAAAAAAACTCCTCACGCAGCACATTTTTGCACGTGCTGGTGCTGGTGCGTTTTCATTTATCATTTTCCCTTGCAGCTGCGCAATTGCATGCAAGTGCAGAATCTCGATATAATCAAACAAATGAATGCTCCGCATGTTTTGCTTCGAGTACAGCTGCTCATGCTTTGGTTTTCCCGTCTTTGACGTTGACGATGGAGCAGCATTTCTCTATGTCCAGTTCGAAATTGCCTTGTCGTTGTCGTTGTGACTTTGTTTCGTTTTTTTCGTGAAGATACAACCGTATTTATCATTACATGTAAAACACCACTCCTTGAGCACAAAAAAAGTCTACTTTCGCCTCAATTGCTCCTAATCATGCGTCGCCCTCGTGCCCGAAAAAAGGGGCGCATAGATCAACTACCGTGGCTGTCGATCATTGCAGGAGCAGCCGCACTGCAACTTCTTCACGCCCTTCCCAGTGCGGGGGCGATTCAAGTCAAGAAAACAGCAGCCAGCAAAAATGGTAATGGAGCAACAGCGGCGCACCAGTTGAAGAAGCATAAGATCTTCACGAGAGCAACCGCCAACGAGAGCCCCCACGCTGCCCCAAACACACCCGTGCACGACAACCCCTACCCGGCCGTCCACGACCGGAATGAAGCGGACTTTGTCGAGGACACTGACATATCAAATGTAAAAATGTCTGGGTCTGGAAGGTTCTGACACTTGTCATGCACGTTTTGCATGAGCCCTGATGTCTGTGATGCATGCCCTAGCATCACAGATTTTTTGAGAGCTTCTTGATGCCTATTTCGCATGACAAATGCCCTCTCCACGTAGCAAAAATTACATTCCTTGTGGTACTCATGCAATACAGATTTTTCTGGAATCCAAATGCAGCATCACTAGTTGCATTCTTCCAGACCCAGACATTTTTACATTTGATACGACAAGGACGACGGCAGCTGGCAGGCCAACAACCGGTACGACACGCTGCGGCACAGCATCGCTATCAAATGTAAAAATGTCTGGGTCTGGAAGAATGCAACTTGTCATGCTGATTTTGGATTCTAAAAAAATCTGTATTGCATGGGCAGCAATAGGAGCCCAGTTTGTGCTACGCGGGGAGGGCATTTGTCATGCGGGATAGGCATCAGGAAGGCCTCTAAAAATATGTGATGCCAGATCATGCATTACAGACATCCTGAGTCATGTAAAATATGCATGACAAACCGGGGACGTTCTTATGCAGTCAGCTGGATGACTGTGACCTGGCTCGTACTGTGAACGCAGCTGGATGACTGTGACCTGGCTCGTCTTCGATGGGCAGGCGGATGACTGTGACCTGTCTCGCCCATCAAGATCCCTAATCCGTAGCTCCTAGACGTTGCCTGGCCCGCGAGTGACCTGGTTATAAAGGGCTTCGTCGATCGATTGCGCCACTAGGGCCTTGTGTTCTGGCTACTCCGGATCGCAATCGATGGAGGGCGGGACCTGCACCGGCGACAGGCGCTATCCAACCAACCAACCAACCAAACCTGGTAACCTTCCAGACCCAGACATTTTTACATCTGATAATCGCGCACGCCAAGGAACTCGCGGCCAAAGCCAAGGAAGATCTTCCGGGCTACACGCTCAGGTACGAAGAGTCGCAAAAGCATTTCGGGTCGTTTTCGGAGCGGAAAAAGAGTCTCGACGAGGAGGTGAAAGCGATCAAGGAGCTGGAAGACGCGGAGTTCGAAAAGCTCGTCGAGATCAAGAAGCAGAGCTACGAAGAGGAAATTCTGGTGAAGAAAAAGAAAAAGCTGCTCGAGCAGATGATCGAAAACCAGCGGAAGAGGGAGGCGGATTTTTTGAAACAGAAACAAGAGCTGGAACAAAAGTTGCAACAGGAAGAGAAGGACTTGCAAGCCCAAGTGGACAAAAGCTCGAAGGAATTGCAGCAGGCGGAGGACTATCAAATGCAAATATGTCTGGGTCTGGAAGGTTGCAACTTGTGACGCTGTCTCTGAATTCGAAAAAAATTCTGTATTGCATGACCAGCAACAGGGGTCCAGTCTGTGCTTCTACGCGGAGAGGCCATTTCTCATGCGGGAGAGGCATCAGGAAGCCCTCTAACAATCTGTGATGCTAGGTGATGCATTACAAGCATCATGGGACATACAAAATATGCATGACAAATGTGGCTTTCTTCCAGACCCAGACATTTTTACATTTGATAAGGAGAATTTCGAGGAGGTTGAGAGAATGATCAAATCCTCGGACGAATACGACAAAACTTCGAAAAGCGTCGACGTGCTAGCGGCGAAACGGAAGGAGTTGGTGAAAAGGCAGGAAGATTTTGAACGGGAGTACAAACAAGTCGTCGAAAATCACGAAGCGGCGGAAAAAGATTACAAGTTCGCCAAGCAGAACGTCTTGGATACGAAAGAAACGGAAGAGGCGCTAAACGTACTTCTGTTCTGATGATGTTTTTTGTATTGTGATGCGTACTTACCCTTACGCTACTGGAACTACTTACACCAGCTACATATTTTTACATTGCCATCATGATGCTGATGGATCTTCGCAATACAAATCTTATCAGGCCGACCTGGACGACGCCGCAGCCAAACTCTCCGAATACTCGACCAGCGATACCAACCCCTGGTCAGGTATGGAAGTGTCAGAATCGAAATTGGCAAAATCGAAAAACTTGTGATGCACAAAATCGATGTCAGTTGGAGCCTCAGTTTTTCAGTGGCGCATAACAAATTTCGGAAGCACCCAAACCCCGTCTGTCATGCTGTTTGGACAAAGAAGACTCCTCCTGTCATGCTGCTCTGGCAGCACATTGTATACTCCAAAACAGGCTTACAATCGGTCTCATTTGCCTGCCCCCCAATACAGGCCTTCGGTGTCGGTGTCCTACATTTTATGCATCACAAATTTTTGTTCGATTTTGTCGATTTCGCTTCTGACACTTCCATATCAGGCTTGATGGGCGGGGACGTGCAAGAGCCCGAAAAGGAGCCGAAAAACAGCTCTGGTCGCTTGTTTCACTTGAACCCAGCGGTGCTGATCTTGCTGTTGGCAGGTTTGATCGCGCTCAGCATGGTGTATGTGTCGGGTGCCAGCGTCTCAGTGCTGGTTTGGGGAAAGTAAGGATCTGCCTGAAGTAGATCATTGGATTTTCATCTAAGAAGATGTCGAGGACAAAAAATCGAGTTTCGTTTTTTCCAAATCGATCTTCATTTCGTTTCTTCATCTTTTCCATTTTTGAGCCCGGGAGAGCATATTTAGAGGTCCTGGCTGCTTCAGAAAAAACAAATTGATCTGCAGTATTTCAGCTGGAACACGTTCATGAGGCTCTGTTCAAAGGTCCTAGGCGTTTGTCGTAGTGTTGTTCCGTAGTTTTCGCTGTCGTCTCCTCAGTTTTCTTTTCTTTTGTAGGGCATGTAACTGCGGTAACGCGAAGGTTGGCGATCTCCAAAGGCTCTCTGTGTCTGTGATCTTACTTTCGAATCTAAACAGAATTTGAAACCTGGAATTGCGACGAAAAACAAAGCTTGCAAATTTTTTGACTTCGACAGTGGCCGGTACATAAGAGCCCCGGGCGAGCCGCCCGGGCGCCTCCTTGTGAAGACCAGGAGCAAGCACGCACAAGATATTGATTCTTTTACGCAAGCGACGTCACGCTCACGTCAACTGCATTTTACATTCGCCTTCATCATTTACATTTGATTTGCATCATACGTTGTTGAGCGCTAAAACCTCCACCTCCCCCCTTGCTCTTCTACTACCCCGATGTCTCTCTCCGCCCTGTATTGCGTGGTCTTTGACAACGCGCGTGGGCCTGTCGTGCGGGGCGGCTCGGAAACGAGTTTGCTGGTGAAGGGTGGCCACCCGCTAAACGATGCACAGGTCATCCTGGCCAAGCATGGCGAGCACGAAAAGGGATGGAAGCCGCCAGACGCGAAGAAGCAGGCTGTGGAGAGTAACAAATCCGTCGTGCGGGAAACAATTACAAGGCAAGCCGCCGCCGGCTCGGGTGGATCATCATCATCAGCATCATCGCGAGGAAATAAAGACGCGGCATCCACAGCAGTAGTAGGCCAGCCCTTGGCGGGAGACGAGGATTGCCACGCCGCCGTATCTGATGCAGCCGAACCTGCACAACCCGCGCAATCTCCGGTTGCCCCGCCCGAGACCGACAACAGCACAGCAGAGCGGAGATCTCCAACTAACGACGAGGACGAAACCTTTGACATGCAGCCCGAGCCCTCGTATTTTTGTCCCGACCAAAAGCTTATCAAATGTAAAAATGTCTGGGTCTGGAAGAATGCAAGATTTGTCATGCATATTTCTCATGACCCATGATGCCTGTAATGCATGCCCTAGCATCACAGGTTTTTTGAGGGATTCTTGATGCCCATTCCGCATGACAAATGCCCTCTCCGCGTAGCAAAAATTAGACTCTGTTTGCTGCTCATGCAACACAAATTTTTTAGTCATCGAAACGCAGCATCACAAGTTGCATTCTTCCAGACCCAGACATTTTTACATTTGATAAAGCTCTGCGGCCAGAGCATCCACATCGTGGACGACGCGAAGAACACGGAATGGTGCGGCGTACCCTTATACCTCGAGTCGGAAGCCTACGACCGGTCCTGCTTCCGCTTCTGCATCGTGGCGCAGGCGAAATTTGACGACAAGTGCTACGGCCTGGCCAGCATCCAGTCCGAACACGAGAAGCTGGAGTTGCTGGATTACTTCGAGCGGAGGTTTGCATTGTTGGCGGTGAACCTTGCGCGGCAGTTTGAGGCGCTGGAAACGGAGCTGCAGTTCGTCTCCACGTGCACCGAGGGCCAGATGTCCCTGGTGTTGCACGAGTGCGCGCGACAATTGAGGTCGGGCCAGGACTGTTTGACCCCGGTGTGGTGGCCGGTCTGGGTGGACAGGTGGATCCGAAGCGAGAACGAAAAGAAGATCGGGGGGAAGGTTAAAGAGGTGCTGAAAAAGGAGGAAAGGAGAAAGCGGGATAAGCATGTGGAGTATGTGCGAAAACAGGAGGCAATCAGGCTTGGAAGTAAACATAGAACGGGTACTAAGACCTCCAAGATGCCGAGAGGGCAACAGGCCAGCACCAATATGAGCACTGCAGGTGAGGGAGATGGCACCACCACGAGTGCCGCTGCAGCTGCCTCCGCCACTGCAGCTTCTAAAGGCTCCACACTTCTACCGCCAGGAAGCGCCACCGCTGCTTTTCCTGTTGACGAATACCCGCCAATGCAAAAAGCCATTTCTTTCGGTCTCCCGCCCGTCGGAAGCACCAGTGGCGACGAGCTAATACCAGCAGCAAGCTCCATGTCCTCCTCGTTGTCTAGTCAGCAGCAGCACCCAAAAAGCGCTGACGTTGACGGCGTTGCTACTAGAAACCTCGACGCCGCAACGGACTACAACCTGCCTCCGCAGGAGGCATTCTACCCCGTCCCAGAAGTATCGCAATCGGAGCTCGCCCGACAGCGCGCTTTGGTGGACAAGTTGGAGAAGTGGGTGCTGTACCAGATGGCCAAGATGCACAGCCGGCCGCTGGAAGGCATGTTTCACGAAAAGCACGTGCAGAGGTTTTTCATCGAGAGGGAAATCTCCGTACCGAAGTTCCGGATCCTGGATACTTGGCGCCCGCACTACGAGGCGTTCGGGCGGTTTCGATTTGACCGACGACCACCGCCCAGCTGGACATGGACGGCGATCCTGTCTCCGGTAGAATGATGACAAGATTGAGCTATTTTGATGTGCTTTATGTTCAATCGTGCAGACAGCAGAGAAAGTGAAAGTGCAAGAAGAAAACCAAAACCGGCACTGTATGTATTAATTTGTAGATGATCAGTACGAAGTCATCAAAAAATAGTATAGAGCATCCAAAGATTTATCACGACTCGACACAACTACAGGAAAACGCCTCCGTCCCGAACCTCCCCACTCAAGCCACAGGTCAGATCGATCAGCACCAAATGCAACTGCTCACCGCGAAGCGAGACGTGCCGCAGCACAGCCAGTACCTCGACAGGTACAGCACCCATACTACCAGCACGCCCCCGAGCGCCATGGCGGTAGCGGTGGAATCGGCACGGAGTGCAAGGGAGAACGAGCAATATAGCAACGTCGGGAAGGGTAAAGATCACAGCACAACACCTACGCATGCAAATGCCACCCCCGGAAATGAAGCCAATGCTTCTTCTAATGTCGGAAGAACTGCTGGCGCCAGCGCACCTTCTTCGCAAAAACCACCACTCGGCACCACCACCGCAGCAGCCGCATCTCCAACCGTGATAGACTCGTCAACCAAGCCCCCGCACCAGTACGATAAACCGGTTTACGCGATGACGGGGTCCACTCTCCCGATCCTCGACGCGTCTCGAGTCCCCGTGATGCTGCTGAGCCCGGAACGGCTGAATCGGAAATTCACAAGGTATGACGATGACCCGCTTTTCGCGGACGAACCGCAATTGGATCTGACTCTTTTCGAAGTCGTCCCCTTTATCAACGGTTTGCACAACATCTCCCAGATTGCGAAGCTTTCCGGCTGCGACTTGGAAAACGTCGACTTGGTCATCCGACACTTGGTGAAAAGCCGCTGGGTGTTCATGATTGACCCGATTCACGAATTTGCGCTGTACCGGTTGAAGCCCGAATTTTACGACTTCTTCCACCGGGAGTTCTACAAACTGCAAAAATTCTCCCACGCTTTCAAGCTCGCGATCGCCCGGGAGCAGAAATTGATGTGGAACGAAGCGCTTTTGCTCGAGAAGCGGAATAACCAGATCTTAGAGCGGATCCGGATGAGCACAACCATTCTGGATGGAACTACTGGTAAAGGTGCAGCGTTTCACTGCAGTGGCTATGGCGTCGGGATACCTGCTGTGGCGGGCGGTGCGTCGGCGGCTTTCTCCCAGCGCCAACTTCAGTTGCAGCAGCAGCTCTCGTCGCAAAACGGTGCGTACTATTCCCAGCAACTTCAAAACTCATCTGGTGTAGCCCAGCCAACTACTCGGTCGCGTGACCAGCACGGCTCTTTTGAGATCGAAATGAACATCCAGGGGGCGGAGGAAGGCGACGCGTTGATGTCGTCCCGCGGAGATGCGCTGATGACAGAACAAGTTGCAGCACACCAAGCCCAGCCAGTCTCAGACACCAACGACGGACGGCTGCGCGATTACCTATTACGGGACGAGTTGTTGGGGGGCCAAAGGCCTGCTACAACAGCGGGCGACCACGGTCAGTACCTGCTCGCGCCATCTCCTACTTCCTCAAGTGAAAAGGCTATCGCGATGCGGGTGTGCCGTCCCAGCCGCGCGAGTTCTTCCGGTTTCAGTCGGGCCAGCAGTAGTTCGAAGAAGCATGTTGACCTTGAACCGGAACTCACTCCTTCACCCCCGTCCGACCTTTCGAGTGTGGAATCTCTGATGCGCACACGCGACAACCAGCGCCGGATGAGCAACTGCTACGAAATGATCGGCTACATGTTTTTCACGCAGCCGCGGATTCTGCAGTACTCGAAAGCAGTCATGCGACGCCGGGAGATGACGCAAATCTTGCGTTTGAACGGGATAAAGCCAATCTTGTTGAAAAAACGAGTTTTTCATAAAAACAACGCGTTAATGCAAGTGCAACAAGGTCAAGCACAGACTGCTAGTGGTGCGCAAATGCTCGTGCAGCAAGGCAGGGTTCCTGATGGTGCTGGCGGTGCTCCAAATCAGTCGCAGTCTTCACTAAAACGTGACAAGACAGCGATAAAAAATACCATGAACCTGACAAGTGGCCAGCTGTATCAGGCCCAACCTCCCGGTGGCGGTGCCGTCGCAGAAGCCGCTCTGGGCCCGCCGCTCACCGAGCCTCAAGGAAATAACCAAAGCCAGCAACAACCGAACCTTGCTCACCAAGCCGGCAGCACCGTCCCGCGAACCAGCCCAGCGTTGTCTGCTGGCTCTGGGACAACTGGGACATCAGGCACAGCCTCTAGCAGGTCCTTAGCAACCACGACAACTTCCCTCTCCGGCAGCGCAACCACCACCAACGCGAATCTCCACCACGGAACAAGTAGTAATAGCAACAGCCGCAATCTGCGCCACCAGCAACAGCAAAACCGTATGTTCCACTCCCACCCGTTTCTCTACAGTTCGGACGCGGAAAAAGGGATCAATCGGGTGATTCCGGAGGAGGACGAGGAGGATTTGCTCCACCTAACGCCGATCGCCCAGCCCACCATCGTCCAAAACCTCCGCGCGTTGTCGCAATCGCCACGGGATGGGGAGGACGAAGCGACCAGAGGTGCTGGGGGTAGTACTACCAATACGTCTCGTGCTACGCCGGTGCAGCTGGTGGAGCCTCTGTCAAAATCCCCGGCGGTAGCGAATACAACGTCGGTAAAACTTCTACCAGGGACGAGAAGAAGCGAAACCGGCGGCGCGAGTGGCGGGTCCAGTGCTTCTAGTTTATCCTCCAGCGCATTGATTCATCCCAGCGGAGGAACAACCAAACCGGCTCGCGGTGGTGGTCCTACAAAAACTTTCGCGACCTCTATCTCCAGTCCGGTAATGCCGCCGGGCAGTTGCAGAGCAGTAGCTTCTGTTGCGGTTGTGGCTGCACCTACCGCCGGTGTAGTTTTGAAGTCTAGTCCGAGGGCGAGTTCGGTTTCGAGCAATTCAATCACCAGCACCAACTCGGACCCCGCCTCAAATCCGCGACGAACAAACGTGAATCTCTATGACATTCACAGTCCCGGTCCCGGCGTCGGCATGCCCTTTTCCCCGCCCGAACGGACCAGGCTGACAAGTCCGGTGGTGCCGAGTGGTCAACAACATCACGCAGCGCGTCAACTGAGACAAGAAGGCTCGGCAACCGATTCGGGAGCTACAGCGAGAGCTGGTCTCCCTGTTGCCGCACCAGTGTTGAAAGTTGAGCAAGTAGGATCATCATCTACTGTGGGGAAAATGAATGTAGTTGGCGGTGCGGGTAGTAGTAATACGGCCGCCACGACCTCCGTTGTAGAGACCAGAGGCGCAGCACGAGGAAATGATGCTTCTAACGAAATAAGCAACGAAAATTGCTTATCTCTCACCGAGGAGCTGCAGCGTTGCTTGTGCCTCATCTCCCGTGTGCAATTCTACTACTCGCAGATGTCACCGCACGAGTTCCTGGGGCAATTTCAGGCTAAGTGGCTGCCAGCGCAAGGATTAGATAGCGACCACAAAGTGCATGCCCGAAGGAAGCGCGAACTGAAAAAGAAGCAGATTGAGGAGCAAAAACTCGCGGAAGCTGTGGCTGCGGCGAAGAAAAAGTTGCAGGAGGCGAAAGAGAAGGAAGAAGCGGCTCTTAAGGAGGCGGAGGACACGGCAAAAGAGGAGGAAGGGAAGAAGTCTGACAGCGAGGAAAATTCCTGTTCAAAGGACAAAACTGAGGCCGCTGACGGTGTTGAAACTACAGAAACAACTTTGAAGAAGAACACCGAAGACACGCCAGCTTCGCCGAAAGCCGCGTCGACAACTTCTGAAAAACCTCCAGCCCCACAGGAGGAGCAGCTTCCCGCAGCAGAGACAGCGAAGGCGCCTCCTGGCCAAGGCATAGACAATCAAGGAGCAGCACAAGGTGGTCGTCCCCCTCAAGCTCGCAAACACGCAAGACTACTTCCAGCGACCATGCACGAGCAACTACTTGTCCTTGCGGTGAAAAAAGCCCGGGAGGTGGAAAACGAAAGGAAACAGCAGGTGGAGGCACGCCGGAATGCAAAAAGCGCGGCCGGCGGTGACGGTACTGAGGGGGCACAAGCAGAGAAGGGAGAAAACGCGGAAGCAGCAGGAGCGGCCGGTAGTTGTACGCCTGGTAATGCATCTGGATCCTCCACGGCGAAGAGTGAAATAAGTGCGGAACCGAAGATAAAGCGCGTGAACATCAAGGATGACATCACAGAGGCAGTTGTAGATATCAACATCTCAAACAAGTCCAAAAAGAAGGAGAAGCCGTCCGCTGGTGCGGATATGACCAGTAACGGTAGTACTCCGACGAACAAAGGCAAAACAAAACCTGAATTATCTTCAGCAGTCTTTACGAGGCTAGAGAAACTAAAGCGGAATCTCTTCCAGTCCATGGACGGGTGTTACGTGCACAAAACGATCAAAGACTCCTACGGGATGGGACTCCGCTACTTCAAAACGAATGGGAGGGACATGCTGCGGCAGGAGCGAAAGAGGCGGAGAAGGCTCCGGAGAAGTAGAAAGCGGGCGGAGAAAGCGGCAAAACAACGCTCCACGACCTGCGCGTCGACATTGAAAGACCAACGCGAGAAGCGGAAAGCAAAACGAGACAAAAAACTGCAGTCTGAAGACAAAGCTAAACTGTTGCTGCAACTAGACGCTGCTAGCGCTATCGAGAGCGGCGCGCAATTATCTTCACCGCCCGGAAAAATAAAGTCGAAATCTCCCTTCCGGCCCTCGTACCTCCCCTCCGGACCGAAAATCCGAAATTTCCAGCACGACACGCAGCACGTGGCGGAAAAAGTGCTCGGCGACAGTTCCTACCTGTCCCTGCGCCACTTCATTCTCTTCGGGTTAGCGCACAACTTCTTGACGCGCATCCTCGAGTACCCGTTGGTCCGGCTGAAAAAAAACCTGCACCTAGTCCAGCAGCGTCCCGCGCGGCCGGGCGAAGAATGTTTTGTCGACTTGGACCTGTTCGTGCAACTTTGTGATGGCACCATGCACTTGGAGCGGATTGCATTGCTGGCGTATCGGGACGTTTCCCAACTGCGGCACCTGTTGACGCACGTCCTCCCGAAGGACCCTCGCGTGGACCGGGTCACGTTTTTACGAAGGTAGAAGTAGTTGCGTCGTACTAGAATCAGAAAGAGTCGAAGCAGAAATGTCTCATATGTCTGAGACTGAGTCGCTCTGCTCGGACTGGTTAATTAAAGACGAAGGCAGTAGAGATCAATGAACTTGAGTCTCTGATATTTTACTGCGCAGCGTTGGTTTGTATGTGTTGAAAGCGGTTGCTCGCAAGGACAAGTTGTTGTTCAGATATTCAGACACAGAAACTTGTTTGCGTTCGAACATGAAGATCCGGCTTTATTTCGAAATCACTTCTACATCCAGAAAGAAGGAGACGAAAAGTAGGTGCAGCCGCATATTACGCGGCATTCTATTTCAAGCACAGTCTCCTGGTTCCAGCACCAGCTCTGCGTGATCATGATACAGCAACTCGAGCTCTAGCATCCTCCGCTGCCGATAAAACAAGAAGATCATGTTGCGACTGAAACCGGCAATACCAATGCCGCCGTGGAAGTACAATTGCAATTCAACGGCAGCACAAAGTGTGCTGATTCAATATTTTTGTTACCAATAATTGCTCCAACTACCCTACGACATATTTCACGATCTTCCATTTGCTTTTATCACAATTCAGGGACCAAGAAGGTGGTGGTTTTGAGTTTGACGCACTTCTGGGCGAACAAGCAGAGATCGTCTATATTGAGTAAAACAAGTATACAACAGTAGTAGAATATTAGGCGCATAAAGTGTCGTTAGTACTCCTTACCACACTTTCTTTTGGCAGCAGAAGTATCTCGAAAGACAAAAATCATACTGTTGTTTTGATTGCGTGTGCCTCTCATAGGATCTAGCGCGCGACCTCGCTTCTGAAACCGGCAGCGGCGCACTGAGCTGCTGCACTTATTTACCCTATCTTTTTGGCCGAAAGCTCCCACCTCTGCTACCTGCTGTAGTACTAGAAATAAAGCTGCAGCAACTGCGTTATAGTATCACGTGATTGGTTTTGCTTTCGATAATCACAAAGAGGCACATCAGATCAGCGTTTTACATGTATGCCCCCCTAACTTAGTCGCAAAGCATAGATATGCGGGAACGAAGAAGACGTCAGGGCCAAAACACCGCACATCACTTTCGTCCAGTAGAAGCTTGCTGCTGCGAAACTACAGAGCAGCTGCGATAATCGGCGAGTGAAGTGGTCGTGGCACACTTGCACCTCTTGGCCGTTGTTGCGGTTTCTGCTGGTTTTTCGAGTCCCCACTGGGCGTAGGAGGTGGAGGACGACTTGACATCGCTTAAGTTTAAGGCATCGCATCATCAGGACGACCGCTACAAATAAAGCAACTCGGTACAGTAGGCTGCCGTTTCTCGGAGCCACAAGCAGTTGTAGTGCGGAAATCGTCCGCGAAGCTTGTCCTATAACCACAGCAGCAATACACGAGCGACACAAGGACCTGCTTTGGACAACCCGACCCGCGGAAGGGAAGTTGAATTTCTGCTGCGTCGTCTACAGCGCCTCAGACGCGGGTGGTATCACACTCGTTCGTGATTAAGTAATTACTACACCCCACACGCTGACAAGAACGGGCAAGACCGAAGTAAAAAAAGCAGACCTCAAGAAGAGGCGACTTCCTGGCACTTGTAAGTCATCTTCGAGGGGGGGCGCAGCAGGTAGATCGACCAAGGCCTTCTCTTTGGCGTAACAAACGTCGAAAAAGAAGAAGTGCGACTCGTTCCGCCAGCCGGTTTCACAATTAGTAGCTTCTTCTTCCTCCATCTCCAAACAACCTCGGGACTAAAATAGAACGGAACATCAGCAAGCGAAAAAAACAACGACCGGTTGCTGGACGTTGAGGCTCAGGCCGGTGGCGTTCGCATTGGCGTTTCGTTTTCTATTGTTGTCGGGATCATATTAGCTTCGCAAGAACCATTTCAACAACAACCGTGCCTGGCAGAACAACACCAAGCGCCACCGCAAACTGAAACTGTGCGAACACAATCAATCAGCAACCATGTCGCACGGTACGCGGGAAAATTACCAGGACGTCTACGGCGAGGTCCTCGATTATGCAAAGGAGCTCTTCCGGGTCCTGTCCCAATCCGGCGGACCCTTCGCGCCGATCGACAACATAAACCCAAACGACATACACACGCTGGCTCACAGCGTTACAGGTATAGAAATTGCATATGAATTACTTTTGCAGCCAAGCTAGCACCATAAAAACAGCTCTAATTTTGTTTAGCAGTTTGTTCTGTAATATTTTTCGTCATGCTCCTCCATGGCTTTTGTCATGGAAAAGAATCAAGAACTTCAACTCACTTTTTCCACCCTAATCTTCAGGTATGCTCCTCCACATGAACTGGACCGAAATCGCTGGAGAGAAGCTTCCCGACCGATGCAACACCATCAAGGGGAAGATTCTCGAGGCACTGGGCGTCTTCCTGAAAATGAAGATGAAGGGCGTCGACGAGCTGATCCCGCAGGTCTGCCAGGAACTGGTAACGTCGCGGGCGGAGAACGTCGTAAGGCAGTATCAGCAGAGGATACAAAATATCGTCGGCAACCTGACGAAAGCGGTGGAACAGCAATTGGCGATCAACACGAGTGTTAGCAATATGAATTCGACAGGAGCTTCAGGGAGTGGAACAAATCTTACAAATAAGAACAGCGCAAACCTCCAAAACACGCCTTCGACCATGTCAAATAACAGTTCTACCCCCGAAATCGCACTTGGCCAAGCAGCAAACAGCGCGGGCGGTGCGAGTGGGAGCACCACGCCGAGTGCGGCTGCTGACGGGGGAACAACTGCAGCTGCGAATGGCACAACTGGTGCTGCGGCCAATGGAAATAATAGTACAGCGGATCAACCAGCAGCAGAATCAGGCACAGCAATAACATCTTCTAGTGCCGCGGTGGCATCAACAACACCTGCTGCGACAGAAGCGGAAGCCGGCGGGTCGACGTCGTCCACATCAAGTACATCACGGGCGAACAATCCAAACGCGGTGGATCATGTGAAGAGAGTTTTAGCGCAGTTCCTGTTCTCATTCTGGCTCGATGTGCAGCAGCAGATTTCGCAAAATGCGCAGCCACCGGCCGGAGAGATGCACACCATAGGAAGCATAATAGTGGGGAACATACTCCAGTCAATACCCGAGAAGGAAAACGACCTGACACCAAATACAGAATTCCAAATCAACCGGTGCAAGAACGTGGTAATTGATTTTCTTTTTTGGAAATAGTTGTTTTTTTCTATGTTTACCAGAATCAGAAAGGAATATTTCTATTTAGAACTCACGTCCGTGTCCGACACCAGCGTCGATAGGGTTTTGTGGGTCTAGAGTTTAGGATATTTGATTTAGAACTCACGCTTACCATTCCGCATGGATGACGGCGACCCACTGAACATCTCGCGACCCACACCAAAAAATGCAGGTCGAGCAGCTTTTCAGCACGCCCCAGGAGGTGCTCTGCTTGATGGCGGTTCGGCTAAATGAGTTAACTGCGCAGCTGATTCGACTATCCATGGAGCTTTATCACAGGACTGGGTATAATCTTTTTTTTGCGCTATGGCTTTATTGCTTCAGTGCCCTTAGTGCGCTAACGCGGTGATTTTTTCAAATTGAATTTGATTGCCGTGCTGCTACCTGCTCCTCGCACGCACCGGTGGTAAATTTCCAACGACGACCGAGAAGGAAGCTCCACCTCCATGATGAAAATCTCCTTCTACCCTTTTCAGATACATGGCCATCGAGACGTCGCGGCCAAAGATGCAGTCGTTTTTCCAGTACTACACAATCGACACGACGCAAGCGGAAATGACTTCCTCACTACTGTCCTCTCACGCCGGCGCAACAGACGCGGAGTTCATCAACAGTGTTTTCAGCATTCAGCTCATAGATTCCCACAGCGGCCTGCTAGACTTGCTGAACACGGTGGATAGGCTCAATGAGACGCTCGTAGCAGTGGATTTCGAAGGTATAGAGTCTGTGTGTACGTCGTGATTTTTTCATGCAGTAATCTTTATTTTGACGATGGTGTGTCACGAATCCGACTCGTCTCAGATCAGGCATGGAACAGAAACACGATAAAGCTCTCCGTTCATGGTCGGCAAAAAAAAAAACAGGCGTAAAGCTGTGCCGGAGCGGTCAGCTCTGCCTGATCCAGCTTACCTTGAGCTATCAAATGTAAAAATGTCTGGGTCTGGAAGATTGCCAGGTTTGACATGCATATTTTGAATCACCCATGATGTCTGTGATGCATGCCCTAGCATCACAGATTTTTAGAGGACTTCGTGATGCCTCTGCCGCATGAGAAATGCCCTCTCGACGTAGCACAAACTGGAGTCCTTTTTCTGGTCATGCAATACAAATGTTTTTAGAATCCAGAGACAGCATTACAAGTTTAGAATCTTCCAGACCCAGACATTTTTACACTTGATATGAGCCAGTCACCCACGATAGTGTACGTCATCGATGTTTTCCACCTGACAAATATTTGTGTCGCCGGGGTCTGCACAGCCAAGGGAACGTCATTAAAGACGATACTGGAGTCGGAAGCAATTGAGAAAGTCTGGTACTGAACTTTTGTTGCGGAAGCGGCGTTAATTAACACCGCATAAAGTTTGTGGTCATGCTATGTGTGCGTATCGCATGAAGCACAAGCCCCACAAACACGAAAACCAGGTTTGACCCACGGAACGACGCCGATGCTTTGTATCACCAATTCGGCGTGTATCCAAAAAACATTTTCGATCTCCAGCTGGCAGAGGTGGCTTCCCGACGGTCGCAGGGACTGAATGTAAGTAGAACTTGTTGTTCATTACTGGTGGGATTTGTCTTGATTACACGACTGTGAACGTTCGCAGTTATGATTTGCCAAGCCTACGTTAGAGCATGAGCAAGCAGTCGTCGCGCATGTCAAATTTATCAAAACCTTCAGGTGGCCTACGTCCAGGGCCTCAACAAGGTCCTTTTTCACTGCAGCGCACTCGACAATACGCAGAAGAAATTCAGCGAGCACATTGGCGCGCTCGGGAAAAACCTGTTCGAGCCCGCGTGCGGGGGGGACTACAACATCTTCACCAAGCGACCGCTGGACCCACAAATTCTGGTCTACAGCGCGCACGACGCAAGGTATGAGGAGTGTTGCGTACGCGTTCGGCGAAACCTACACATTTGATGTCTTTACTGGTACTCGAGTGGCATAAATCACTCAAAAAAAGAAATTGCTGAGCGCGCGAATTAAATCAGGTATATGCTGGAGCTGAGGACCCACTTAATCGAGAACATCAAGGACAAAGATAATTGGATTCCGCGGATCCTCCAGGCCGGCGGGCAGCGGGTGGAGTGGTGTTTGCTCCCAGAGTATTTCATCCCGAATTCCGACGCACCGATGTTTTGAAGAGCGGTGGCGATCTGGGATGACGAGGCGAGCAAATTTTTTCGATAAAGTACAAATACAATACATCACGATTACGACATCAACATCAACATGATCAACATATTCGCGACAAAAAAACGACGAGCTTTCTCACATTTTTCGCCGGAGACGAACGAATCCAACCGAATCCACTCTGCCTGTCCACGGTGAAACAATGCCTGTGATTTGCCTGCAGCTCTGGTATCACAATTCGGTTCGAGTTCATCTCGACGAGGAGCAGCGCAGAAATACTGTGAAGAGAAAGAAGCGCTCCCGGAAAATCAATCCAGCCTGCCCAGCCGCAGCGTACCACCGGCGGAAAGAAGCATAACAGAAACAAGGATGCAGACGCTTCTTGAATGGAGTCTTCCAGGACGATAAAAAGCGGCCGAGGGAAGAACATGAGCAGTTATCCTTTTCCCGAAGCGAGGCAACAACATCATGCGGGAGGTGGATCGTAAAAATGGTCAGTGGTTCGGAGGAGCAGATAGACGGGATTTGCACGGAGGTGAAACAGCGAGGGTTGCCGCGGCCAGGGAACAACTCGTCCACGTAAATTAGATCAGACGGCTTTCCCGCACGACATACCAATTGCCGGCCTGCTTTCCAGCAGCCTGCGCATTGTAGCAGGGCCCGCGGCTCCCAATTCTATCTGCTTGCTCCGTGGAAAAGTAAAACGCAAGCGCATCGGCGTGGTGCTGCGTTTACTAACAGCCAGGGCTGAAAATGACCGAGTACAGCCAAACTTACGCATCACCCGTGATCACATTCACGTCCTGCTTTACTCGCGAGATCTGCTCCTCCATCATGTAACAAAAATTTTGGCAACTGCTGCTGTGAACCACATACTTATCAACGCTAAAGAATCAACCAAAGTGGCTTCCTTGAAATACTTATTTCATACAGATTTGGTAACAGTATAATTCCTCACCGTATTTTTTTGAAAATAATTTATGCGATATGAATATCGTCTTCATCTCTACAACGTCATCTTTACACTTCTAGTGCTGGCGTCTTCTTCTGGCATGGTAAAGATTGCTAAACCTCCCCTCAGAAGTTTTTCAATTTTACGACCATCGCTCTTGCGCGAGCTATTCTAGGGCGCAGAACGAAAGCGACAGATGAGGCGACTCCGACTCTCAGTTCTGATGCAAGGATCGCGAATAGCATTTTTTAAAAGGGAACAGAAGCACGACTCACTGATATCCTTTTTGCGCTGCCGAACTCGTTATCAGTTTGTAGTGACCTCGTTCTCACTGGTTGGGAAACCCCTCTCTTGTATCGGAAGGAGCAGGAGCACCTCCTCTCTATCTCAACATCCGCGGGTCCCTACTAGAGACCTCTTGAATCCCGAAGGTGAAGCACGCCGGGCTGCCCTTGAAGTAATCATGGTGAAAGAAATGAACGAGAGTCAGCGGCGTTTTGAATTCGATGGGCGAACTTTGGTGTATGTACGCGACAGATTCCGAGAATTTCGCGATGTAAAAACAAAAAGCGACACGATAAGAAAACCAATAGCACAAAAATACTACTCCCCTCCTGTCTGACCAGCCACAGTGCTTCAAGACTCTATTTTTCGTTGGGCACTCTCAATAGTGCTGGTTCTGGGTTTTCGATTTGTTGTAGAAAGAAATCTTGTTCTGTTCAACTCTGGTCGTGAAGTCGTCATGTTACTTGACAAAACCGACGTCCTCGAGAGCAGAAGCAGAACTCGTTCCTCTGGAGAACTACTCGAGTGTGTGAGCGATCACGCAGAAAGGCATCGAGTAGTACCCGTTGTAAATTTAAGACAGCTCAAGAATACTTATTTAAATAAGTAGTATCTCTTGGTCCTGCTTCAAAAAGATAGAGAGAGTGAGAAAAGCGACTTTCATGGTTGGAGAGACAATGCGCATCCGCTCGTTGAGCTCTCAAATCCGCAAAGCGGTAGTCGTGGTCAATGCTGAGTCGGCAAATTATCCTTTTCATGTACTCTGGAAAATGAATAATTTCAAAATAGTAGGAGCTCCTCTTGTATGATTTTGATTTTCGGTCATGTTCTTGTTCTTCTTGTATGATGATGTCAAATTAACCTCCAAGAGGTAAAAGACACGACAACACAACATAAAAATGTCGCCGTTCGGCGGCGGGCGCGAGGAGCCGAACGTCCCTTGCGCCAGCGCCACGAATCATGGAACCTATGTCATAGCAAACTCTTCCGGATCCAGATCTTCGTCGCTTGGAGAAGCGGGCTTCTGCTCGGCGTCCTCCTCGTCGCCGGGTCGCAATTTAGACTGCATTTCGTCGCAGATCGACCACAAGACCGATGATAATGGTATTGTTTGAAGAAGTAGATGTCATCCCAAAGCTAATTTGTGCTGGATATTCATTTTACACGTCGATGAAAGATCAAAATCTACTCCTACAACAGCTCCAAGACAAAGACAGCCGGTTCCTGCCGAACAAACGCTGGGTCCATCGAGTAACAGACGCAGCCGCAGAGCTGCCGCTCGAGTAGCTCGGACGTCTCGGGCGGCCGCGGCACTGCTCGCCTTGACGGTGCGGGAGCAGATGGGGCGTTGCTCCGGCGCCCGCTTCAGGCAGTCGCTTGTCCTCGTTGCAGTGACTGCGACTTCGCAGCAGCTATCATTTGTAAAAACGACCTCACTCCAGCGTTGCTGCGCTGTGGATCGAAATTTCTCATTACTTTCTTTTTTATTGTGTTGCCCACATCACACGCACACCAGAATTGTTTATCTTGTCGACTATGGAAAACGATAACCATACTTTACTTATTGGAGATGGGGACGCTCTTACAGAGGATAGCAGGTTTTGGTCTGCGGACGGTACGGACGGTATCTACGACACACAAAAAACAAGGGAGGAGGTATGGTGGAAGCGGAAGGCGGAGGCTTTCGGGCAGCACCAGATCCTGTGGAACAATCAACTGATGCCAATGCCGGTACCTAGATGTTGTTGTTGATACTAGGGGATGATACTTGATGCCTCCCAGCAGAAATCTTTGCTCACCCTGACAAATTTCTTCCTCATCATCTTACTTCAAAATAGTACTAGATTTAGAAGATGCATAGAATGCGGCAACCGCAACCTAGTTCTATATAACAAGAATAACTGTCGAGTAGCTAAGAATTTTCAAAATCATTAGCTAGCTTTCAAAAAAGCATGCTGTAAATACCACCTCTTCAGGTGCGGAATAGATATTTAATTAGCTAGTAGGAATGCTGTCACGGATGCGTCAACGCATCCGTGACAGCATTCAGGCTAGCTAGTTCATCGTGCTAATAGCACCGTAAATAGAATGCAAACAAGTAGCTATTTTTGATAGCTAGCGAATGATTTTGAAAATAGCTAGCTACTCGACAGCTATTCTCGTTATATTCTACTACTTCAATTTCTATTCTACTACTATTTCTCATCTCTCAACAGGGGCCGGAGCGTCTTGGGCGAGTAGTCTCTACACAACGTTTTTCGGGACTTCAGGGGAAACGATCACAACGCCGGCGAACGAAAGTGAGATGGGGAAGGACGGGCCTGCGGCTGCTGCGTTCCAACAAAAGATAGGACCCGAAGGAACGATGAGAGTAGTAAAATGCCAATTTTACATGTGTGCCTAGGAACAAAGCAACTGCCTCTTCAAGGGAAATTCGAGCTCAAGAATTATTCTGTTTTATTTCAGTTTTATCTTCTCTTTGTTTCAACATGATGAACAACAGTGGCATACAAAAACAGGAGCCCGAGACTACTGCTGCAACGAATTTCATTCAAATCCACGAACAAGCGGATTTAGGCGTAACCTCGGGCAAGTCCGGCAAGAAGACCACTGCTGATGCAAGTACGGACATTGACATGGGTGGACCAGAAAAAACCCTGAAAACGACGTCTGGTGATGCCATGGAGCCACGTCAGGAGTCGAAAGGATTGAAGGCAGTTGAGATGAAGGACGCCGAGCAAGAAGCCAAGTCCAAGGGACAAGAGGAGGTATATGTGGTTCTTTGCGGTTGTTCGTGGTAAGAAAAGACATACATTCGCCAGGTACTCTGCTCCTATGTGTGTCTCTCTCGCTTGATCTTGAAGAACACTTTACTATATATTTTTCTGTTCTGATTGTTGACTGAGCGAGACCGAGACCGACTTGAGCGCATATCAATCACAACACACAGGTCAGCGCAACTGCGACGAACTTCGTTCAAATCAACCGAGCTGACTCAGCCATACCCACAGCATCGGATGGAACATCCGACAAGGCGATTGCAGCTGGCGCAGCTAGTACTGGTGCAAAAACAAGTTCAGAGGAAATTCCCGACAAGGCGGACATAAAAACAAGCCAGGAAGACTCGAAGCATTTGAGTGGTGTTAAAAAGGATGCCGAGAAACGCATCAAGGACGACGAGAAGCGGGTACTTACTTGTTTCTTTTCTCTGCCCCTAGCAGATCTCATTTCCTTCAGTAAAGGAGTTGCATCTGCCGGATTCGTGGTCGTGGTTTCCATGTGCCACAACAAGGAAGGAGCAAAGTTGCATTTCCATTTGCAATTCAATTTCTCAAACGTACTAAATCCCCAAACAGAGTCCGGCATCCGCATTGTCCCGAGCGGAGGAACCAATCCCGGGCGAAGAGGTCAATAATAGTAATGCCGCCGAGAAGAATACGCAAGTCAGGAGCCCACAAAAAACCGCACCGACAATAGCTACTTCAATGATTGCGGAGGAAGATAACGGCGTGAGGAAAGCTGTGCGAGAGTACGTCAGATCAGAACCGGAAAACAAAAACAAATATTCAAAACCACAGACCACATCAAAGGCTACGGAAATGAAAGAAGCAGAGAAAAGCTCCTCCGATCTTGACTTGGACTCAAACGAAAACTCTGCTGCTCCACCATCTTCTTCGATGGACAGAGGCGACGCATCTTCAAAGTCGTCAGGCAATCAGAACACCTGGCTGTCGAAAAAGCGAAAGAAGGCACAGCAGCATAAATTGGCAGTACCAACTGACAGGGACGAAGAGAGTGCTACGCAGTCACGCACTGGCACTTCCGCGAACATGAATGATGGCGAGGATGATGGCAATGGCTCATCGAAACTGGAATTGCAGCAGAACAGAGGGCAAGGAGCCCCTAAACAAGATGGGCGGAAAGGAGAGGACTTGACTGTCGTCATGTCCCAGGAGAAAACTGCAGCGGCGGGTAGTAAACATCACGGATCGACATCATCCACATCGCTGAAACAAAAGACGGCGCAAGGGGGAGTAAAAGTGGAGACGGGCACTCCCGGCTTCGCCACGGCAATACAACTTGAGCGACATGAATTAGCTGCAGTAGAAACAAAAAACGCAATCGCGCAACACTCGCTCTTGACCCCATCTACTTCTCCATCACTCGCGTCAGCATCTTCTGCTTCTGCCTTAGAAGCAAATAACGACAATCCACTAGACCCAACCGACGAGGAGTGGATGTTAGGTGCCTGGATCCTACCATTGGCCCTACACACAGTCTACCCCAGAGAAAAGCACTAGCACACCCATACCAGGTGCGCACCTTGCACGCACATAGCCCCTCCGTTATCTACGTCTTTTAGTTGTAGCCGGAAAACGGTGCTTCTATCTACTAAAACTGACGCATGTCTTTCGTACTTTCCAGCTGCCTTCTTATATATTCTTTTCGTACTTTCCAGCTGCCTTTCTGCATAAACAGCGACGACACGAGCAGCATGGCAAAACACAAGAACACGCGCCGGCGCGCGAAGTTTTTGCAATGGACCAACGAAGCGGTCGCGCGATTGCTTCAGTTCGCTGAAGCAGGGAAAAAGAAGGCCGCCCGCATCCTGCGCCTCGTTGAGGCCGAACAGCGCGAACCGGAGGCCCTTCGGGAACTCCAAAACAGCGCCGCCGACACGAGCAACGCGGACGACAAAAGCCAGGGGGTTGTGTACGTAGTATACGACAGCTCTTGGCGGTTCCACATTGGGTCGACCCTCCGTCACCCGGTAGAGCGATGGACCGAGCACCATGAGAACTGGAAAAAACGCGCCAAGTTCAATGGGGCCCGCCGTTTGTTCTTCCTGGTGATCCGAATCGGCCTGATCGCGGGCATGCGCGCGGTAGAGGGCCGCCTCATCTCCTCACGTTCTTTCACCCACGATGGAGAACAAGGCGCGCAACTACAGCGCCGCTGAGATCCCTCTCGTCCACGAAACAGCAGGAAACAACAACGACGCCACCAGCTGCCCCGGGCCGACCGCCAAGAGGAGGAGGCGGCGGCCCAGAAACAGAACGATGACACAGCACCAACAACAGCGAGAACAACAACTGCGACAAGCCGACGCAGTCAGCACCAGCAAGCTACATTTTAGAGCTTAGAAAAACGATGCGACACCAGGCCCAACAGGAAACGCGCGCGAGCACGTACAGCGAGGCGCATGACCTGCTGCGTAAAAAACAGCATGTCACCGCGCCCGTCAACATCTACGACCCCGACTCTTGCATATTGCTAGTCAAGTGGCTGTGTGTTCGGGACAGGGTCAGAAAAGGAGAGCGCCCGCATGGCCTAGATATCGTCTACCTATGATACCACGCGCGCGGACGAATGCGATTCCCGGAGTATGAGGCGCTGCGGCTTGTTTCGAATAACCTTTCGAACAGGCTGCGCATGCGAGTGCGCCGGAGGATCAAGCTTGTGACGAACTTGGCCGGAGTCCCAAACAGCGAAAGCGTGGGATTGTATTGGCGGCATCCGTTTGAGCTTACAGCGTTGCGCCGAGCACTCGGGGCGGCGTTGTCTTGCTCTTCGTATGGGTGCCAGAGGTTCATGAAGAAATCGGCAACGCTCATCCGGCTCCAGCGGCCAAGGCTGCGGGCCATGTTGCTCGCGTCCGTACAAGCAGCCACGGGCGCCCGCGTAAAAGGCGTGGAGCCCCGGGAGCCCCGCTACGAGTTAATCCGGCACAACACGAGCGGCGTCTTGAGCGCCCCACTACCAGCGATCGACCTCGCATTTGTAAGCGACCAGCTGAAAAAGCTCAAAAATGTGCGCAAACGGAGAATAGCAAAAATCAGCCGCAATCAGCTCAACGACCTGCAGGCCGCTGAGGTCCTAGGCCACGGACGCAAGGACTTCGAGTGGCTCTGCAAGCACCGCGCACCAAAAGGGGTGACCCCCATCGTCGCCGACAAGCCTCGGGACAACTTCTTCACCGCGCCAATTGAAGAGCTCCGGAGCATTTTGATACTGGCCGCGCGCGCTGATGTGGTATGTTGAAGTAAAAGAAGAGCGACCCGCGATCTTACAAAAGATCAGCAACACCATCACAGCCATGCCCATACCGCTCCAGCCACTAAAGGAGCTGCCCTACTTCTACCCATCGCTAAAGTCGCAGCGCATTGAAGACGGCCGACTAAAATGCGCCAAGTCGCTGGATTCGGGCCACAGCCATTGGAGAAAAATAATCTCCATGGTCTCGGCCGTCAAGGGTCCGAACAAGCGGCGGCTACGACAAATCAACGGGGAAACCATGGACATGGTCGACAGACACCTACACCATTCCGAGTTGAACGACTTAGCGAAAGCCAAAGACCGAGTGTTGGAAGCGTTCCGCGACCTAAAAAAGCAGGCCGCAAAAATGGGAGCGGAGCACAGTCCAGCAGTCTGCACATGTTGCGGACGACAAAAAGAGCCCGTAGCGCTACGCGTCGAGGACGCCGCGTCCTTCTTCGAGCGGATTCCGCGTGACGTCTTCCACGGCCATTGCGAGTATCTGCTAAGCCACGCCGAAGAGGACAAGGCCAAAAGATTTCCCAAGAAGAGCCCGGCCGACGTGCTGGGAACTTTGGAGGAGGCCACCAGCGCCCTCCGCTACTTCGCCACCGGATCCGATGCAGTTTTTGCGTTGCCCGAAGGCATGGGAAGTCCCATAGGCGCCTACAGTTCCAAAGTCGTCGCCAGCGTCGCCCTGTGTGTCGACGAAGATCGCCACCACCGCGCCAGCCGCAAGAGCAAGGGCATCACGATCCGCGTTCGCTATGTGGGCGATGTCCTGAGCATTAGCTTCAGCCTCAGCCTCTGTCTATCGAAGGAGGCGCGGGAGGTGTACCGTGTTCCGTTCGAAAACGAAGGCAAATCCTCTGCGCGCACCAACTGGCTAGATCTACTGATCGAGATAACGAGTGACGGCAGCACCCGCATCACCAACGCACAAAAGCCCACGGCCCTGCGCGTGCCGGCAAAGTTCGACTTTGAGTATGGCCGCTCGTGTTTCGTCGCGTGGTGACCAGGTTGGTACAAACCAACGGAGCGACGGCCGACGCACTACAGCAGCTGGCGAGAGAAGTGCCGCACTGGTTTCGCAACTACCCACCCAAAACCCTGAGGCGTTATCTACTAGCTTCAGTCGAGTTGAAAGCAAATCCTTCTGCACAGTTCATCATCAACGCGCTTACCATTTTGCAAAAGATGGGGGGCCCGGGCAAGGGAAGCAACAAGCAGGGAGGCGGGGGCAACAACAACTAGCATGACAGCGACGCCTTCACTCTACAAGAAAGCGACGTGAAAGACGCCCGCGGCCGCATCCAGTTCGAAGAATGGAAGGAGGAGAAGAAGCAGGCAGAACAGGAGAAACAAGCCCAGCAGAAATGGGAGCAGATTACGCAGCACACGCAGACCGGAACTTTGGCAGCGGTTGCTGCCACGACCGGAAAGCCCATCCCGCACATCAACTTGCGCGGATCGACGACGAGCAATTCTATTGCCCCCGCCTGAAGCCACCACTCCACACCAACAACAGCGAAGCCGCGGACGTGAGGGCCGCGATGATGAAAAAGCTTGACTCCCTCGAGCAACAAACTTCCGATGAGCGGACAGAGCGGGTCAAGCTTGCTTCCCGCATGGACGCCAGTGAGTCCGTGACGACGCAGCTCATGGACAGAATGGGGAAGGTCTTGGACAAGTGTGAAAACGGCAACAACTCGACAGGGGCGAGCATCCCGAACAACAAACCACCAGCCAGCCCGCTGATCCCGCCGGGACAGCAACAACAGCAGCAACAGCAGCAGCAGCGCTTCTGCAGTCACCACGTCGACGATTTTGCTGACAAGGAGAACACGCGCGCGATCATCCCGCCCGACATCGCCGACGACATCGACTGGGATGAAAATGACTTGACTGCGGAGGCGAAGCGGAACACCTTACCACTGGCGGAGTTGAAGGCCATGCGCAGCCTCATGCCGCAAGCCAAAAACGACGAGACGCGCGACCGCCTGGCCGCCGAGGGCCGGGAGAACGAGGCCAGCTTCGGCGTGAACAGCAGGGCCGGCTACGTCAGCTTCTTCCTCGAGGCCTACCGGGTTGCGTAACCGGATTAGCAACGTCGTGGCGTATTTCAGCTACAAAAACCCTCGCCATCTTGTCGCGCCAGGCAGCCCAGTAGCATGCGCGCAGTTTTGTGACGAACCAAAAACCACAGCAGAACTGACCGAGGGGATTTGCGAGAGGCAGCCTTCTTTCCACCCGCCCGGGATCTGGGGTTTCTTGGATTTGAGCGCAGCAGTTTCGAATTTAAAAAACCGGACTTGAAAGCAGGAGGAGATGATGGCGAGAAGAGGAGAAGCGCAGCGCACCGATGCCAAAGCGCGTCGCATTTAGGGACAAGATAAGTTGTAGTGTTGTTGTTCGCTGCACAGCCACCGGGTCCAGAAAAGCAGTCACCTTGCGACGTTCTAAAAAAATCGACAAATTTCTTCCTTTAAGGATCTGAGCATGCCAAGATACGTCGGCCCAAAGTGAAATCGTAGACGCAGGCAAGGATACAAAGTAAGACTGAAACACTTCTGGCGCGCCTTTGCTAATTCGTGGCCGGCGCAAGAATTGGCTACAGACGGCTCTGCTTGTGTTCACTCCCTAGCTAGTTCCTGAGGTCGCGTATGCTTTTTGTATCGGGGCAGGCAGCACAACTTTCACAGCGAAAGCTGAGGCGAGTTAGCGCACGCCGCCTCCCCTTTGCGAGTACCCCAAGGCCTGTAGAGTAGCTACTTAGATGGAAACAACACGACCGAGCCACTTGCCCGCAGAAAGGGCGTGGCTCCGCTGCAAGTTTTTGAAAAGACCCATCCGCCCCCTCCCTTTCAAAAGTTGCAAAGGGTTGGGCTTCCTTCAGGTGACGAGATTCGCTGTTGTTGTTAGTTCGTCGCTAGATAGCTAGAGTGCCGGCCAGGACTGCATCGCCCCGCAAAGGTGGTGGCTGAGTGGGCAGAGCCACTTGCATCCTTGCGCTGGTTCGATCAGAATGCGAGTTGGCGAATTTGCGATCTAGATCTCCGCCGTCGATCCACATTTCGCGCACGACGCGGGCCTGCGTAGGCGATACCGCCTCGCCGAGCTCTATATCATTGGACAGCGTCCGTCTCAGGCTCTGCACGTTGCGCCCTGGGGCAATCTTTGTCAAATGATAGCAGTCGGAGACTTCATCTCGTCTTCGCGTCTCTATTTGTTTTGCACGACATTACGATGCGCGCACGCTTGCTAAACCAAAAAATCTCCGATGTCTGTGAAAAACAAAGCTGCAACATCGCACGGAAAGATAGGGCTTTGAAGTTTTGGCGCGATGAAGCTGTAGAAAGATCTGCCGCTTAAAGACGCCCACGGTAGGGCAGTACATCAAACGACAACGATGTAGATTGAACCGCTGCGAAAGCTCTCAACGTCTTCACAGCAGCACAACCAGGAAAACCAAAAAAGCAAAAGTCACGCCCTTCCTTCTTTCGACTGCAGATGCATTTTTTCTTCTATTTGCGGCGTTGTTCGGGAATCAAAAACCATCTGCCAGCGATTCGCTAAGATCCTAACACTGTCGCACATTGATACTCTGCATCAAATGCACTTGGGTTGTTGTTTGGAAAAAGTAAAAACAAAGCGTCGCGCCGACACAAGTGGGCTGCACCAGCGTGCTCTAGAATAAAAGGCATGGCTAGTCCGTAAGTATCGGAACAAGAAAGCAATCCCAAGCACGGGCCGCGCTATGTGTGAGTGCGAAGTGAGAGAATTGCACGAGCGAGCGAAGACTTGGCCTCGGTCTGCCAAAAGTCGAAAAGTTAACAGGAGCGCGGTGCGAACTAATAAAACAGCCGCACTCCTTTAGGATAGGAAGAAGCTGGCCTATCTTGGCGCGATTTCTGAACACCACCCGGGGGCCCTACCAGAGGCCCTACGCAGCGCGATCCGGAATAACCTGGAAGCGGACACGAATGAGGAGGAGGAGCAAAAGCAGGAGCAGCGGAAGCGCGCCGCGGTCGTGCCGGACAGCAGCGCGCCAGAAAAACTAGCGCCGTGGGTGAACTTGGGCTAGGAGGTGCAAAATTTCAGCGAGGAGCACGCAGAGACACGTACCTCAGGGACTAGCGCCGGCCACAGCCCTGGACCCCGGGGCCGAGTTGCGGCTGGCATGGACAAAGGGAGGCAAGGTCAAGAGGTGGAGGCGTGCTCTAATATGATACGCCCCCACCTCAGGTGGCTCCTTCGTAGCATGGTCGTGCTATGGCCTAGTAGCTAGCACAGAGCTGCTCGCGGTGGCGGGTTCCTGCTTCACTGCAGAAAAGGCGGCTTCGATTGCGCAAAAGATTGCACTCACTGCAAAACAGATGGCCTCCATCGCAAAGAAGGCTGCCTCCACTGCAAAAAAGATTGGCCTCCACTGCAAAAAAAGACTCGCCCCACTGCAAAAAAGATGGGAAAGGGGTATCGTGGGGGCGTGGTGGGCAGGCCGTTCGCCGTTACTCTTTCTGAAATCCGCCAACCGCTACTCTTTCTCCCATCCGTTACTCTTTGAAGGCACCACTTTCCTGCAGTCCGTTCCATTTTTTCTTCAGTCGGGCAACACTTTTCTGCAGTCGCTGCCTTCAGCGTCGTCTTTTTTTCAGTGCAACTGCAAACAAGTTTAGCGCCCGACCTTTTCGGACACGCCGTTCGGAGGTGCTTTTCCTGCGTGCGACAAAAAATTTCATAATTTGCGACAAAACATCCTAAAAAATTAGAAAAAAATCGGAATTGTTGCGTCGCAACGAAATCGCTCCCGTTTTGCGCTATGTGCAAGAATTCTGCCACTTTTTTGCAGGCCTCGGGCATTTTTTTTGCAGGGTGGGCGTGTCGCAAGGATCGGGATTATTTGGCGCAAGATCTGGCGCCACATCTGACGCATGGAGCAACTCGGGCGCCGGCGTTGTGCGCCGCTGTTGGAGCCTGACGGCGGCGGCCGCTTGGGTGATTTGAACGTGGCCCGCGTTTGTGCTTCCCCGAGGGCCGGGGGCCGATCTGAATCTTTGTTGCCCATTTGCGTGGCGGCGCGTCCGCGGGCCAACCCGGAGCCAAAGGCCGGGCGCCGGTTGGGCTTCTGTGCGCCCGCCTTTTTTGCCCCCGGAAGCCTGGCCCCCGGCGGCCCGCGGTTGCCCGCCTGGCACACGACCGCGACATGGGTGGTCGGCGGGCTTGTGTGCCTTCGGTTTTGCCTCGGTTTCTTTTCGTTTTGGCCAATTTACTTCTTTCCTTTTTTTTCCAAAATTAAAAAGCGGAAGCGTTGTTTTTTGTTTTCCGGACCCACTTGGGCCCGATCCCCTCCCGTTGACCGACCGCGACCTGCCACGCCAGGGGTCGGGCCGCGAAAGCATAACTTCTGTGCGCTATTTTTCTACAGACGCCGCAAATGGCCCAGCTTTGCTATGTTTCTCTAGGCCCTCAGTTATAATGAAGCTGCCGCGCCGCTGTGCCAACGAACACGCCGGCGCGGGCGCAACGTATGCCCACTGCGTTCAGGCTTGGCGAGTTAGTTCGACTCTTGTCTCGCTACAAGACGACTTGCGGTGGCCCGTGCGCCCTGCATACACGCAGCGGGGAGCAGTAATCTTACTAGTAATAGTGTAGCTTGTGTTGTGGTGGAGGATAATGCTGCTCAGCAGAGCCCGAGTCTGTCGAGCACAAGGGCGCATATTTGGCACAAGTTTTAGGCGCTAGGCCACTTGTCACACCGCGCGCACCCGTGCCAACCCGTAGACCACTCTCTCAGTCGGAGGGCCCCGGGGCCATTTTGGGCGCTAAAACATTGCTAAACTTTGCGCGATTTTTAAAAAACCCGGAAGCCGGCGCGTGACGAAGGGCGCCGCCTTTTCCAAGCCGGCCCCGTTTGGGCATTGGTGGCGGGTGGTTGCCTGCCCCGCCCCGGTAGCTGCGCGCAGGGGGCCCGCGTAATATTTCGCGCGCTCTCGGGCCGCCTCCCCTCCGCCCCCGAGAGGCTTCGCGCGGGGCCGCGTTGGTTTTCGGGTTTCGCTGATTTTCCGCAGCCGCGAATTCCTTGCGTTGTCCGTTTCCTTTGTGGGCCACCGGGGCGCCCGGCCTTGGCAAGCATCACGCCGGCGGGCGGCCTGGCGAGCGCGGCCCCCCGTGTCTTTCCCGGCTCGGGCCCGATGGGTGCCCGATGTCGGTAGGAGGTTGCTCTGCCCCGGGTATTTGTTGGGTCCCGGCGCCGGGGATGTTTCGGCCCTTTGGTTAGCAGAAGGCGCGCGACCAGAGTCGCGCAAAAGGTCCGGGCACAAGCATTGTCGCATCCTTCGCGAACTGCTAAGACGGCCGCTAAATCCGGATCACAGGCGTTTTGGGAAGGATTTTGCGTTTTCGGCAGTTTTAAGGAAGGTCCCGGGCCCTTCGCGGACCGTACCGCCGCCCTTTTCCAGCAGAAATTCAGCAGGGTTTTTAGCAGGCATTTTTAGCACCCAAATTTAGCAGGATTTTTAGCAGGGATTTTTAGCGCCCAAATTTAGCAGGTTTTTTAGCAGGATACTTAGCACCCCAAAAATAGCAGCATACTTAGCAGCAAAAATAGCAGGAATTTTAGCAGGTCCTAAAATTTGCCGCGTATTCGGGACCTCGCGGTCGTGTTGTCTGCAATGGCCGAAAGAATGCCGGCTAAGGTTTTGCATCGGGGGCGTGGCTCCTTAATGAAAAAGGGGCGAGCCGGCTCCTTTGATTTTGGGGCCGCGGCAGTGGGTTATCTGGCTCGGGCCGCGGGGTGTGTCGTTCCTTGTGTTGCGCACCCAGTACCGAAACCCGGCGCCCCACCGCGCCCCCGCCGGGCGCCTCTTTTGCCGCCCTAGCGCCGTTCCTTGGGAAGGGTTCTGGCTTGGCACTTTGAAAAAATAAGACAAAAAATAGCGCGAATTTAGCAGGCCCAACCGCCCCGGGCCCTCCGACCGAACTCTCGGTGGCCCGGCCGCCCTGCAAATACGCGCGCGCCGGGAAGTGGTAGGCCTATCAGTGTAGTGCTTTGGCGGCGGTGCGTAACACCACCCGAGTCGGGTGCAACTAGTCACATTTGGCACAAAGCTTTGGCGCTATGTTACTCGCCACGCACGCCCATCCCATACTACACCAGTCGACCGCTTCCAGTGCTTGGGTGGCTTGTCCACAGCAAACAGATGCCCTATGGTTAGCTTACGAGAGAGGCGGCGCAGTGGGCAGAGGCTGTCTATGGAGGCTCCGCCATCTTTCCCCCTCCGACTAAAGAACAAGAGGCATTCTGGAACTGGCGGCATCCACTCGCGGACAGACGCGCCACCGAGGTCCGCCCCACCTGCAGCGTCTTGCCATATAGAACATCATACAAGAAGAGCAGTCGTCGGCAATGCCGCGCCTGCTTTTAGTGCTTGCCTGGTGGAATAGCCGCGCCGCGCCGCTGAGTGATCGGGAGCGAGGCGGCTTTTGCAGTGTGTGAGCCCGGCGGCTGTTCGCCGGGACATTGCGCGGCGCGCTGCACCTCCGCACGTCGAGACGGCCGGAGACGCTTTTGGTCTGTGGCCCTCCCGTTTTTTTTGTTTTTCCTTTCCCTGTAAAACCCTACCACCACCCCCACTACTTGCGGCCGCCTTACTCTTTACGGCGGGCCGGACAAACATCCTGCAGGGCGTTAGCGCGTGGGACGGCTTGAATCAGATTAGCTTGCGCGGCGACTCGCGACAGGTAATTGATGCGGGTTTCTTTCATCCGACCGGCCTTGGCGCAGGCTGGCTTGCTATTAAAAAGCGCGGCGGTAGATGCGGGGCGTTCTTGTTTTTGGCCTAGAGCGTCGCCCTGTGCCTGGCTTGAACAACAACGACACGAGGGCAGGGCGCAGGGAGGCACGAACAACATGAGCAGCATCCGCTCGCAGATTCCGACCAGAAAAAAGGTAGCCGTGCCATATTCAATCCGGTGGCGCTGCTACATCGGGGGAGAAGCATTACGCATATGCTGGCAGTTGGGCGGGGGCAAGGCTAGCGCCCTTCTGTAGGGTGTTCGTCGTGTAGTGCCCCGTCGGGTTTAGTACGTAGACCGTCCTCCTCCTCCTTTACAGCCAGCATAGAACTAAGACGCCCCAAAGTGCATGGCCATGCAGACACATCAGTGAACACGGTGCGCATGTGTTCGCTGCGCGTGCTTTTCTATGGGATATACAGGCCAAGGAGCCTGAGAATCGAATGAGGCGACGCTGAGCAAATTTCTGTCGACGTTAGTGAAATTGTCAGACGGCCTTCAAATCCCTTCGCAAGAAATTGCGAACTTCTGCAGCGAATATGCCCCGTATGCAAAAGAACAAAACGAACGCGAACTGTGCGACTTGCTTGGCGATTTCTTTAACAGGAACAGCGCCCCGATTGACGACGGAACAAAACCAGGCCAATTGCTTGCTCAGATGTCTCGCGACGACTGTGGCAAATTTGCGCAAGTGATTCTGTCGACCGCGAAGGACTTGATCGCGCAGAAAAACTGGGGCGCTGATCTGGTTCAAATCCAAAGGGGCGTGGAAGAGGAAAAGCGTGCGCTGACTATGCAGAAAAAGCAGCTGACTACGCAGAGTTAAGCGCTTTGGTGCCTTCGGTGTCAGTTGTCAGTCTTAGCACGAATTATCGTGGGCGGTCCTAGTTTTCTGTTGCGCTTCGATGCTTTCTTTTGATGGTCTTTAGTGAGCGCCAGCGGTACTATTTCATTGGGCCGACAGCCCGCTGATACATAAAGATCATGGACCACGATTATGCTTTTTATGCATCACTGGCACTGAACTAATATGATCGGCATATCACTTAATGAAATTTGATATCTCTCGTGCTCGCCACGATTCGGATTCATGACAAGCTTCGCGCTGAAGGGCGCAGTCAATTCATAAGTCAATAGGCCGCCTTGCTCTTGGCCGACATCAGCATCCCGAGCGAGGGGCCAGACTTTGCTGGGGTTGCAAGCCAAAAAAGGTCTGCGGAAAAAAATAATGGAAAAGTGCTATCATTGTAAATAAAGAAAAATAGAGAACCTCCCGGAAAATTTCGTCGCCTCGGCCCCGTCTTCGTTCTTTTTCTTTTTCCCCAACCAACCAAAATACGTTGACACTCCTTTCAGCCCTAGTCCTGCGCATAGTCATACGTCGTCGCGATCCTTGGAACAAGCACCTCGACCGTAGAGCGCTGCACCGCCTCAGGTCAGAGCGTTGCGTGCCTTTTTTCTAGATTTGCCTTTGCCTTGCCTTTTCATTCTCTCTGTGGTATCTATCTGGCGCCAAGCAGTTGTGTCTGTTTTGGGCTTTTGAGTGTTTTTTTCTTCGGGATCGAGGTGGATATAGCAATGCGCATGTGAAAATGTTTGCATCGGCCGAATGGTCTTCAGATCTGATGCAGCTACGTCAGCAGGCTAAGTAGCGACATTTTCCATCTGCCACGTTTTCGCTTCGACCCGCTCTCGTCGCGGCCGACGCAGATAGGGTTTCAGGGTCAGGGGTTCGTTTAATAGGGTTGCTCTTCCTATTTTGATCATCACATAAAGTGCCGACGATGACGCATGTCCACCTCTGCCCCTCCGTAGAGAGCACGAAACTTCTGGAGGGGCAGTGCTGCTATTTACCCTTGTTGCTTGTTGTACACATTCTTCCATTGGGGCTCGAAAACAAAAAAGCGCAAAGAATAGCTTGCTCTGCGCCGCCGCCTACTTGGAAGCCAGCGGGCTGGCTGCGCCGACAGAATAGAGTACCTCCCGAGAAAAAAAATGCTAGAAGTCCCAGCTGGCATTTCCGGGGGAAGCCCTCATATCCATGCCTCGCATGCACCCGCAGACTTTCGCTTCTTACTTTGGAAGTGACTTGCCGTAACATTGATCGTTCTTTTTATTTGTTCGTAGTAGACAAAAACAAAGTGTTGCGCTGCTGGATTCGCCCGGCAGGGTTGTAAATTCGCTGCTGCCCCCTCCTATTAATACCGCGAACGAGCAAACGCAAGGCAGCGGAGATGTTCTCTCGCTAAGACAGGGTGCGCGCAGGTATTACCTTCGCGCCAAGCATGCTCAGCACCCCCACAAACTCCATTTGTGGCCGGCGTATCAGAGTAAGAGAGAGCCCACCGGGGAAAAGAGGGCAGGCTTGGTAATGCTGAAAAAAACAACAACCGCAAACGTACCCAATTCTGCGTCTGTAGCAGCTGCTTTGCAATGCATAAACAGGGAGAAGCGTCAACGGGACGCATCGGAAGAAGCTTGGGCGAGCGTGAAAAACGAAAAGTCGTCGTGGAACCAAAACAGGAAACAATCGGAGAAAGACGACAAACGGCTACAAGAACTGCTGGAAAAACATGGACGGCTAAAGGAAGCAAAAGAGGCACTGAAACAGGAAAAAGAAGAAGAAGCCCGCCGGGCAAAAAAAACAAAAAGAGGAAGTTAAGAAGCGAACACCAGGGTGGCGGAGCCGCTACCGGAAGAACGTGAGAATGGCAAAAGTAAAAAAGGTTGCTCCAGGAAAAAACGGTGCGGAGATTCAAGAAGCTTCATGAAGCAGAAGGAGCTAAATAGTTTACGAAGCAGGATGGGGCGCATTCCGTAATAAAAAGTAGATGATGAGTAACTCACGTCTTGTACTTGAACTTGTTGCCCTGCACGTTGCAGAGAATCAGTGCTATTGCGCAGCTGGCTGGTGAGGAGCATCTTCATTTGCGTCAAATACTAGGAAGAAAAACAACTGCGGCACGTGACGGGGACCCCGAGCCAGCCCCAGAACTCAAGCGTATTTATACTCGTCTGATGTAGACACGAACATAGTACAATTACTTTTGTTCAAACCAAAACAGAACCTGTTTCCGTAGCTGACAAGAGAATTACTGTATCTGTAAGCGTATTTTATACTTCCGTGAAGTAGATGAGCCTGAACTTCTGCGCAACTAGTTGCAACTTCTGTACGATCACCATGAATACATCGCCCGAGTGCCATCACCCCAAAGCAAGACTCAGACTACCATGTTTCACTCCCAAGTTGTCTCTAATTCGACTACGAATGGATGAAAAATAAGTGTAATTAACGCTGCAGCGTCAGCGGTATGTGATAAAGATTGATTAGTTACCCTGTTGCGTGCGCCGCGCTGGCACCGTGCGCCAACTGCTTTCTGTTCATGACCCATCAAAGAACGACAATGAATACGGGGCACCAGCGGGTGGTGCAGGAGCAGAAGCTTCAGTAAATACGTGCTGAAAGGTTTCATGTTGTGACACCGTAGTGCCCAAGTCCAAGTGGATGATGATCGGTTTTATTCAACCAACGGATCCAGGCGGCATGACAGCGATCCAGCGCGAACAGTACTTAGCTTCAGACAATATTCAACGTGAGCCAGCGTTTGTTTTTTGAGTTTATGTGTGGTCGCGCAAGAAGAATAACGCTCCGTAGTGGTCGTTTGCATTTGCGGAGATGGACAGGGATTCCAGATTATGATCAGCATTGAATGCGATCCAAAAATGAGCCGCTCTATGGGGAAAACGAAAAGAATTCGCCCCAGTCTTCCAGTTTGCTCCTGCAAATGTGGTGCCCTTGGAAAAAAAACTTGACAAAGGAACGAAGTTCATTGCTGCCTCCAACATTTTCTTCATTGGTGCAAGAAACGAGCATCAACTCAGACTGAATGAAGAAGCCGATAAAAGTATGCTTGCAATTTTGGCTTTCGTAGTTCTCCTTCTCTGGCTCTGGTCGTTCTCGTTCAAGGGCGCAGGTCTCAAAGCAGCTAGTCCCAGCATTTCCGCTTGCAGTCCTGACGAGATAGGACCTGCGTTTTTAGCATCGAGTGTGGAGAGTGCCGGCATCTCTGTCTACTTGCAATCGGGCAGCCAACAACATCATGAAAAAAAACCTCAGTTAGCGATATGGTTTTTGCGTTTGGTACAAAGTCTGTTGTAGCTTGACCACTCACAGCAGACGACGGCAGCACGGACTTTCTTGGAGAATGAGAACGGCATTTTTAATTTTTGGATGGCAAAAATTACACAAGTGGACAGCTCACAGCTTGGTGTTGAATTTTACAACAGGGTGCTGCATACGACAGCAGCTGACGAGCACGGCGGTGCGGCGAACGCTGGAACACCCGGGTTGTGCTGCAGTTTTTTTGCCTAGACTAGCAAGACTTTTAAAGACGAGGAAGCTGCGTCGGAGGGACTGAGGTGGGCCGAGAGCGGAGGAATAAACGAGCCGCAGTATATCGAAGAAGAAGGCGGAGTGGCCAACTTCTACCTTCGCGGACGAATGTCCTCGACAGCTGTGATGAAGAATATCGAAAGGTTTTCGAAAATTGCACACAACATTTAGAGATACGGATAACTTCAGTTCAGAAAGTAGCAGAACATCCAAGAACAAGCGCGCAAGTACTTATTGTTATTGACGCGCTGCATCGGCAGCAGGCCGACGTACAGGGGGCGCCTTGTGTTGTTGTCGATTTGCTTGCACCACCGGGATTATGTACACGACTAGTGTTGTTTTGCGAATTTTCTCACGGCCCTTCGAGAACCATGTACATATTTATTGTTAACCGACCGTGACCTATCAAGTACCAAGTCCTGGTAGTATCTTGAGCGGTATTGTACCGTCACCCGACGACGGATGGAGTGGTCCTTAATTTCAGAACCCTTTCGGCTTCTGCCTTCCTCTGAAGGTGGTCAGGTACTCGGCGGTGGTGTTCCCATCTTCGTCCAATGGATTTCCGTTTGCTGTCCTTGCTGCGACCCCGAACCCGCCCGACAAGGTTCTGTGACACGATTGCTGTTGCGAGAGACACATCACGGAGCAGCATCTTAGTCGTCCGACGTCAATGACGTCGCGCACACAACTCGAAAAGGCACGTTTGGCCTTCACCAGAGTTTGAAGAGCTCCAGGTCCTGTTATAGGTAGACTGATCCCCTTCGGAAAGGGTTCCTTCGTCGTCACGTGGTCGTCTTTCTGCTGGCCAGAAGATCGTGTAAAAATTGCAGAGAAAGTTGAGTTTCGTACGCTATAGAATGAAGCAGGTTCTTCTTCTCAACACTACTCTTGCTCTGCTCCAAGCCGACATCGGAGCGATCGCATTGCAGGTCCTGACCGGGAAAAGCCAGAAAGCTGCCAACCAAGCTACCCTGAAGACGTGTGCCTGCGTGAACTGGAAGGGCAGCACAACGGACAAACAGGGCAAGGTCGGCACTGACCAAACGTGGTATACGCCCCAGGGCGACGACACGGAGTACGGAAAATTGTACGCCTCCGGGAAAGTATGGTTGTAAAAACGAAGGGCGTCTTCAGTGTAAAGCATGGTCACTGCATGCAAGGTAGACATCAACAACCTCCGCTACCATCATAGCTCCAACGTATGCGTGGCAGGTTTCTGCAGACGACATGAAAATTTGTGATGCTGTTAGTCGGAGACAGTACCATCACTGTGCGCACTTTCTCTAGCTGGATACGCGGCACCTTACCTCACGGGAGCTGAAGGAGGCGAAGAAAACTACGGGGAGTACTGCGCCGCCTGGGAAGACAGCCAGACGGCCATTGACGGCGGCAAGAAGGGCGTCGTGGGGCAGAACACCGACTGCGCGGATGTTGACACGCGGCCGGACTGGTGCAGCAAGAAGTGGTGCTACGTCCGGCTCGACGGGGAGGCCAACGGGAGCATCATGAGGGAGCCGCTGGACAAGAACGCGCCGGGAAAGCCGGACGGCCCGGGCTGTACCGAGTTGAGCGACGTCACTGTGTCGAAGCAACAGGACAGCTTCTTGTGGTACTCGTATCAGATCTGCGAAAATGCGCAATAAGGACAAGAATTAGAATGGCATGTACGCGAAATCGAAAATGACGAGGGAAAGAATCACTACATTATCGCGCTCTATTCATTGATCGCGCTGCTGTACAGATAGGTAAAATCAAAACTTTGCCGCCAACTGAATTCATAATAATGTTTTCTAGCCGTAATTATACCGTTTGATTTAAAAACCTTGCTTCTCTAAAGAGAGGCAGCCGCAAGACAGCACAGGAGGCTTAAAAGCTGAAGGTGATGAAACGCCTCACCTACTCACGCGCGCAAGACGAGAGACACAACGAAAGTGGAGACACAAGAGGGTACGTTTTCAATTGGTTGCCAAGCAACTAGGGTCATGCTCATTGAATAAATGCAACACGTTGATTTTGCACAGAGCGTCACATCATGGTGAAAAGAGCAGGCTCGCGACACACGGAGCACGTGGGGGCACCGTCTCATACATACAGCCATACCAACCAGCAACTGTGCCAATCTTCATCAAGTGCATCTGCAGCATATCGCAGGGACTCACTCCCCGGACTCCTACGCTCTTAAAATGATCAAATGTTGATTATGATCCACCTCCTCCATTCGCGTGGATTTAAAGATCGCAGGAGTGCCGGTACCGAATTTTAAAGAATCCCCATGTGCTTCGATGCAAAGAAAAAGAAGCAGGTTCGGTACTTAGCACTGAGCAGCAAAGTAGTAGTAGTACTCTGTGAGTGGCGAAGAAAAGCAAAAGTGCAGCAAAGTAGTACTCTGTGAGTGACGAAGAAAAGCAAAAGATCGAAGACGCAGACAATAATCTGAGTGACGATGACGCCTTTCATCTGACTGATGGAAAAGAAAGATCAGAAACCATTTGAAGAAGATCCAACTGATGAGTTTTTCGCTCTCCTGGCGAGGGGCGAAATTTAAAGATCCCGCAATTGAGATAAACGTTCCAACGCTTGATCGCCTGATGTAAGACATGGAAACCTAAAGATCCTGATCCAAAATTTGCTAAAGAGATAAGCAATGCGATTTCTCAAGATCGTGGTGTTAGGAAATAGAGTCGGATCCTGCAAGAGGAGACTTCACCAATGAATGTTGCTGCAAGAGCAAGTCGCGAGAGGATCACGTTCTTGTCGGATCAAAAATTTAAAGAACGGTCACAACTTGAATTTCTTGATGGAATCAAAACTATGTAGTTGGAAACTATGTTGTTGGCAAAAGCAAAAACCTTTCGTGAATGTCTTGAATTCTTTCCTCGACTCCTCAACCCCACAGGGACACCGAGCTATCAGATCGGTAGGTATTGTACGACGGAAGTACAACACACCACTAGCACACTCTAAAACACCCCAAACCCTTACCTCAAAATGGTGAAGAAGACTATGGGCAAAATCGAGCAGAACTCTCTGCAGGCTCGCGTGCACCACTACGAAATCGTCGGGCGCGCCGCCCCTACGCAGAAGAACCCGGTCCCGAAGATCTACAAGCTGAAGCTCTTCGCCAAGAACCAGGTCATCGCCCGCTCCAAGTTCTGGTAAAAGAAGGAGTTTTTTTCGTTTCAGCATCGCATTTTTTCTGCAGGGCAGATTTAGTTTTTTTTTCTGCGGAACGATATTCCTGCCGCTGTCTCAGTGTGCAGATTTAGGTATCTGAGCGCACGAGTTGCGCTGTAGTTGCGCGGAGTCTTTAAATGTCATTATCTTCCTGCTTTACCAAAATCCAACTCTTTCCCCGTCACCAACACAGGTACTTCATGAAGAAGATCAACAAGGCTAAGCGATCCGGTGGTCAGATCTTGCGTCAGACTGAATTGTTCGACCAGGCCCCGACCAAGGTCTCCAACTACGGCGTGTGGTTGCGTTACGAGTCCCGCACTGACACCCACAACATGTACAAGGAATACCGGGACACCACGGTATATTAGGATTTGTAGCCTTGCTGAAGTTGCATGTCGAGTGATTTTCTTTCTTGATGCTGAACCTGCGTGATACATGGATGTCTCGCATAAATTTAAAAGTGAAAAAGGGATATAGATATCCCCTGCAATATTCGAGAAAGCAAAGGCCGCGTCGGCAAGAACCGGAACTACTGTGTGCCTCTTCTAAATGTCACGTAGCTAAACAGCCCGCATGTCGTGTTATCATGAAGCATGCTTTAGATAGTCGACACAGAACAAATAAGCGTATCGAGCGATGGCTATTCGCATTGTCCGTCCCATGTCTTCAAACTTTTACTTTTCAACAACAACAAAACAGCTGAACGGCGCTATGTCCCAGATGGTCGCGGAGATGGCTGGTCGCCACCGTGCGCAGGCTTCCTCCATCCAGATCCTGAAGACCGCGGTCATCCACGACAAGTCCGCCATCCGCCGCCCGCACGTGCTGCAGATGCTGCCGCAGAACCTAAAGTTCCCGAATGTCCGCCGCATGCCGTTGATCCCGAAGGGCGAGAAGAAGACCTTCCGCGCCACTCGCCCGACCACCTTTGCGCAGTAAGTTGCTACGGGATAATTATGGGTCGTGACGTCGACGATGCGTTGAGCGGTTCTTTGAACTGCTCAGCTGAGTGAGATACTTGTACGTTTTAGAGTTGTCAGTAGAGAACCCGAGAAAACCAAGACGGAGAACTCATCATTCGATGATGACGAAAATACGTGTTGCTAGTGAAGTTCATTTGAAGTCGAGAGAAAAAGGAGGTACAGAGTACCGCCTCGGAAATTTTCGGAATCGATGAACTCCTGAACGCACCGAGAAATGGACGCTAGTGTAGAAGAACTTCCGTTTTTATCTACCCGATCAGATCTACTCGTGGAATCTGCTGTACCCGAAAGGTGCAGCGCAGCAAAGCACGCTGCTTTGCTAGACACAGGACAGAATTATGTGCTGTCGGCTGTTCACTTGTGATTTTCGGTAAGTTTCACACGCGTGCGTGTCCTTTGTGGTTTGTTGTTTTTTTTTTCGAAGATCAGTATCGACGACACCATTCGCGTGTAAGCAGAAGCAGCACATCCCGACGCGCATCAGATCATCTTGTGCAGCTCTTTTCCTTTTATTTATTTTCTCTCGCTCTTGCAAACGCTGAGGTCCAACATCGAAGCTCAGGCTTCATGGCAATCCCCTCTGATGCGACCCACTGCATATTAGGACTCCTCCTTTAGTTTATTTGTCTTGTTTCCTGCTCACCTTGAAAGTGCACTACCTAGGGAGAGGGACGAGAGCGATGATCACATTTTTTTCATCCTGTTGTGTGCGGCATTCTACTTCAGGTCCGTGTAGTGTATGCCTCTGTCTTACTATCGTATCGCGTGTTGAGCATCGTTCTCTTTTGTGATTGTGAAAGATCAAAATGATGGGTTCGTGTTTCCATCCAAGTTCCACCGGCACATGGTATGCTCAAATACGAAGGCAAGACTTCCACACCGCATCTCGAATTAGCCGCGCAATGGCGTCGCTTCCCAGGCTTGCGGCAGTGCTACACTATCTTCTTTACGACACCGGACAGCAGCACGCACTCGCAATGGACGCACCTATGGGCTTTGGAATCGGTCAGCAGCAGCGTGGGGTTGTGTCGGCGTCTACTTCAGAGAGGACATCCTCGGTAGAAACACACGACGGCGCGTCGGCGTCGGCGCTGCTCCAACCGCAGCAGAATCAGAACTCAGGAGAGCAGACCAACACGATTTTCGAAGTCTCGTCCGACCACTCGAAATTCGGTGTGTCACTGATCCCGGAAGAAACAAAAATCCAACTCACGCCTCCAAATCGGTATTTCCGGCAGCCGACAGCGGAAGAAAACATGGCGAGTCTCCGGTGCACGAGTAGTCAGGATCTTCAGGTGGATTTCCTTTACGTAAAAGACGTCCTGTTCGGGCTACTCGATTACGCGTTTGGTGGGGCGAATCAGAAACAAGACCCGGCGAAAAACGCATTCGCGCGGCAGCTGACCCGAGTCCAGCATTCGTGGCACAATGTGGCGACATTGCAGGTAAGCTATCGTGCTAGATCGCTGTGTAGTGTTTTGCCATTGCATTTCCTGCTTGATAGAGCTTTGTATCTTGAAGACCACAAAGAGTGTTACTGCAACTCTCGATGATGTTTTGTGGTTCTTACTTCCGCGAATACCATGCGAAAAAAATGTCAACACAACAGTAGGGTGGTTTCGACGACTGTGCGCTGGGCTTCATTGTGCTTCGGTATGAAATGCGAGAAGCAGCAACAAATAGACAGAGAAGCGCTTGGATTTCAGTAGTAAAACTTCCAAAGCTTTTGTATTGCGTTTTGAGGAGCTGGAGTGCGACGAAACATTTACTTTTACCTTTACGTTGGTCTTAACAATACTTCCTGCTAGTAGATAACTGCTTTCCGCTTTCCATACCCTCCTGTGGTCCGTTTCCCTGAAGCCGCCCGTGTATCGTTGGCACGAACTGACGCAGAACGCCTACCTCCCGGAATTTTTTGCGCTGCTGAACACCGCGATCTTGAAAGAGCCGCTCCCCTTCTCAACGCTGATGCAGACCGGTTGGGGCTTGCCGCTGTTTTACCAGATGTACCAGATCCAGGAGGGTCTATTTCCAAGGGAAAATCTGTTCAACGCCGGCCCCGGACAGGAGGAGGCAGCGCACGGGAAAGAGGAAACTATTGGCGTGCCATCGCACAATGAAAAACATTTACAGATGGGCGGAGAGGTGGACGAGGTTCAAGATACTGTGCGTGTTGAAACAGAAACCACAGCTAGTGTGTCTTTTTCGGCGAGTGGTGAGCTTGTGCGGGAAGGGACTCTGGAAAGAAGTGCGGAAAAAGCATTGTCCATATTCGACCTCGACGAAGCGGCGACGACCTTCGCAATTCTCGGCGAGGAGTACAAAATCCCCGGAGAGGAGGCGGAACCGCAGCAGCACAGCCAGGGTCCTTCGAACGAATCCCTCCTTCAAACAGTCCAGTGCGTTGACGATGTCGACCCGGCACAGCAACTTGTTGCTGACCAAGACGCAGCTCGTGTCAAAGTGGAAGAGCAGAACCCCATCTGCCTCGCCCGCCGTGCTGTGCGTGACGGCGACCCAAGTTTGCCGCGGGACTCGATGCCCCGCCAGTGGATCCATGTAGACACGGCGCGAGGGCATTTCCGCGCGCTGCGGAAACAGAAGAAGGAAGAGCAGATAAGTAGCGAAGATGTTGAAGAAAACAATGGAGATTATACGACACCACAGACCGCTGCGCCTTCGCCAAAACCATCAACCCGTCGTCGAGACAACTACTACAAGAATTTTCGCGCCAACTTCCCCGCCTGGCCCCGGGCGTTTTTCGAGCATCCAGGGTACCTTCGGCTGCTTTCTGAAAAACCGCTCGCGGAAGAAGGACTTGCGATTGCGCAGGACATCCTGGACGCGACGGACGGGGCGCCGACGGTCGAGGACCCGGTCGAATTTCTTCACCAATTTGACCTGCGGGAACACCAGGTGGTCCAAACCGGCGCGCACTTTGACGAGTGGCGGGCTCTGCTCGCCGCGCCGATTCACAAGGAGAAGCTATTGCAGAACAAACGCCTGATCCTCTCGCCCCACGGCCACCTGACGCACGAGACAGATTTGCATTTTGTCCGGCACCTGGTCGACGTGGCCGAAGCGGTTTTGGACATTGGCGATTCCCTCGTGTCCGAGTCCTACGCGCAGCAGTACCTGCAGCGGCTGCTGTGTTTGCACGATAACAGCGGGGATAAAGGAAAGTGCAGCACGATGGAAGATCTGGAGGTGTACGAAACGCTGTCCCCTTCTGATGTTAAAATGGACGAGGAGAGCATGCGGAAACGCGGTTTGGAAAACGGGTTGGTCACCGATAAAAGTATGGCGTTCTCAAACGTTACATTCTCAACTATTACATGAATTTGTAATGCAAGAACGGCGAAAGTGAAAGGGACAAGATTGCGCCTTGTGCATCACAGATTTGGCACAGATTTACATGCTGATTAGCCCTTCGGATGTTTGTCATGCGAAGCAGCTTAATCGTGGCGATCTTGGTGGTAAATTTGCATGACAAATCATGTAACAGTTGAGAATGTAACAGTTGAGAACGCCATAAAAAGCTACTACTGGTTCGAACCCGGGTCGCTACTGATCCCCGAAGCGCGGTTGTTACTCATGCTGCGCGCCAGGGGGGAGATTTACCGTCGGGTTTCTCTAGACATTTTCAACCTGCGCTGGGACCCGGTCGCGTTCGCGTTTTTCGCAATGGAACTCGCGTTCCAATTTGCGCCCGACAACGACGACCGAATGGCGAAGCTGAATTTGGTGCAGCGGTTGATGGCCGGGTTCGAGGGACGGAGGAGATGTTTCGGCTTCCGGGAATCGATTGTGGATGATTTGGTCCGCGAAAAGAGAGCAGCAAGTCGTGATAAGGACCTATCACAGCACCAAAATCTCCCCGCCCGCCCCCTGCGCCTGAAACTCGCGTCCCCGTTCTGGGACGTGCTCGCCTTCGCTTGGGGTTTGCCAATGTACTTTGTCGAGGTTGCTCTCGATTGGCAACGGGAGGAAGTTGCAAAGATCGACGAGGTCGAAAGGCGAATCGCGGATACCCCGGGAGCGTTAGTGAGCAAGAAAAGCGTACGGCTGCTGGAAAAGAGGTGCAATTTGGTCTTTTGCAAGACGTTCCAAACGCCAAACAACGAGAACTGCAAGTGCGAAACCTGGTTTCCGAGCATATTAGCGGGAAGGAAATGGGCGTCGACGTCGGCGTCGCACTCAACACAGCTCGCAACAACAGCAGCGCAGGCACAACTGATAACGCCAAACAAAATCTGCATCTTCGTGACCGATACACGCCCGATCAACGTAGACCTTCGGTACATCACATCAGTTACCTCGACCGACGAGTGGTGGAGCTTGGCCTACGGTATCAATTTCCTCTACGCGAAGGAGCACGACTACCGGATAGAAAGGCATCTACGCAAGAGAAATTTACTGCACATGCACAAGAAAGTGCATCACAAGATATGGCAACGACCTCTACGAGAGCGAATCTGTAGGTGTAATGCGGAATGAGGTTGAAGTAAATAAATTAAAAAAAAGTTTTGTCATGCCATTGCCACCATGTCTATCTCTATGTACATGCTGGAGTGCAGAAAAATATCCTGTGGATAGCACCGGGCGGAGTTGCACAAGGAAGTAGCGGACGGGAACGGGGAGACGGACAGCCTGAACCGCTGGAAAAACGACCCGAGCCGGAAGGTGGGCTGGGCGAAAATGAACATCATGCTCAGGCGGCTGCAGGAAATGGGCGAAAGCACGTGCGAGTACGGGGTTTCGATGGATAGCGACGCGTGGTTCAAGACGAATGAACCTCTGTCCAACATTGTGGACTACTTCATGAGGTTTTACTCGAAGCCGAGAACTAGTGGTGGTCCAGTCACGCGAGGGACGCCGGCAGAACATCAAAACCAAAATGTTCCACCCTCCGGTGAAAGTGAAATCGAAAAGCCTTCTGCTGGTCTTCCAAATCTCGTGCTGACCCCGATGCACGGCAACGTCCAGTTCGTGAAGGACACCTATGCAGCACAACATGTTGCGGGAACATTTTCTACTACTCAACAAGAAAATCTTCATCCGAAATTATACGATTTCGTGAAAGCGGACCACGAGATCAAGTTTTTTATCGCTCAGGAGCTGGATGCGCACGCACCCGCGAAGGACCAGGTTGTTTGGAATGTGGACAAGAAAGACCCGCGGAACCGAAAGATTCTCTCCTTCGACGTGGAGTTGCAGGAGGAAGTGAAGGGCTTTGTTCCGAGAGAACAGGTGGAGCTGACGAAGGCACAGGAATATGTTGCTACGTCTATCGCGGAGGAACAAACGGTAACAACCGGATCAGCGGAGGAATCGTCGGGAGGAAGGACGAGGGGTTCTTCCGTAGAGGATGCTCTCTCAGGGGACCGGCAAGGCGAAGAACCCCGACGTGCAGAAGAAGATGAACAGGTACCGACTTTTCAACAAGCGCAGTCTTCGCCCTACCACCCGCAGTCGCAGTCTTCCTTCAAATCCCACGGCAGCCGGCGGGGTAACGGCGGGTTTTTCGTTGTGAAAAACGTTACAAACGGCCACCCCTGTTAACACAATCGGGGGGAAATGCTTCCAATAATCCTCCGAAATCCTTCCAGCACCCGGCAAAGTTCGCGGCGCCCCAGCCCTGAGTGCAGCCGGGCGGCCTTCTTGTTTTTCTGCCCTGGGACAGGCAGCCCACCGCGGCAGGGTGGCGTAGACAGTCACAGTAGCCCGAGGCGTGGAGCGCAGCCGCTCGCTGTAGGGCTTGCGCCCCTTTGCCACCTTAAACCAGGGCCGGAAATCGGGCGAGTTGCGCCCCCTTGCCCCCTGTGTTGTGCACTACAGCGGAACGAACTTAACGAAAGGCCGAGGCAGGCTTCCCAGCAAGCCTGCCGCGCCCGGAGGGGGCCGGCCCGCGGCCTGAGAAGATGCTGCCGCCGGGCCGTAATGGGTTGCTTGTGGAAGGACCCGCGGCTCGCGGAGTGCGTCGCCAGCCGACAGCTGTCCCTGAAGAGGGCCAACAGAAAATCCTTCCGAAGGGACCGCCGGAAGGGCTTCCGGAATGCCCTCGAAAATCCTTCCCGAGGCTTCCGGAAATCCTTCCGGAATCCTTCCGAAATGCTTCCGAAATCCTTCCGAGATCCTTCCGCCGGCGGTATGGTCGACCCACCCTCCTGGGCGAAAGGGAAATCGAAAACTTTTTTTTTCTGAAAAAAGCAATTTGTAATGCGGCAAATGCTTCCGAAATGCTTCCGAAATCCTTCCCAAATCCTTCCGAAATCCTTCCCCTTATCCTGTTTCGCGGTCACAACTTTTTTGCTTCTCTTTTGCTTTTTTTTTTCGCCAAAAAAGCAGCTTCGCCTGGAAGGATTTCGGAAGGATTTGGGAAGGACTTTTCAGCCAAGGCGCCACTTTTTCGCCAGGCAGCGCGCGGCCTACCTCGCACACCTGCACCCGGCCGCCCGTCCGGCACCTGGCTACCTGCCTGGCCCGGAGTTCATTCTGGTTGTGCCCTTCCCCTCTGGTGTCCCAGCAGGCCACCTACAGGGCGCCGCCGAATGTGGGCAAGTTGCTTGGTGGGGCGGCGCATCTCGATAGGCATCGCCTCGCTTGCGATGTTTGATTGGCGCTTTTTGCGGTTCGTAGTGCCATGCGGCTCAAAAATTGAGCCCGGCGCTACGGCGCTCTTAAGTCTGTTCTCCGCCTGCAAATCGATGTGGCCGCAGCCACAATTGGCCCGACATAGATAGATGGCCCCACAGCTTCCAGGCTGTGGGCGCATTGAAAAGCTGGGGCGTTGAAAACATTTCGGAAGATTTTTGGAAGAATTTCCGCCGGCGGGGGAACGGCGGGTTTTTCATTGTGAAAAACGACGAGGAGGGGCGGGAAATTCTGAAGGCGTGGTACGATTCCGTGGACGAGTTCCCGGAGGAGCTCGGCGTATACAAAAACCGGCACTCGCAGGGCCTCAACCGGTGCTTCGATACGGCGGTGCGGGAAAAATACCAGCTATGCAATACAAATTTCCCGTACAACATGTACAAGATGCATCACAAATTTCGCCAGTTTGGGCGGATCTAACACTTGTCATGCTAAACTAGTTATCGAAGAACTGAACAGCTTTGATGTTATGCTGAGACTGCATCTGTACGAACGTGTACCTACGGAAAATTTGCTGTGGATACCAGTCGAAAATCGCCTACGGGCCCCCGGAGTTTTTCACGGGGCCAAGGGCGAAGTTGGTAGAGCACAATTGGTTCAAGAAGCAGGACAAAATCCTGCCGGACTTGAAGGAGAGGTTTCTGCAAAGGGTGCAGGCAAAGCTGGACTGCATCGTGTGCCACGAAAATTTTGGGGAGGCACTGGAAAAGATAGAATTCACGTATTTTGATGCGTGATTTTATTTATGTGATTGTCGTCCCAGCATCTAGCGTTGGGTTGAAGAATAAAAAGCTGCTGCACCAGCGGCAAAGTCAACGGACGTATTGTTCAATGGCTAGGGGGGACCGTTTCCTATCCGTGTGAGGCTACACCTGTATCCCTCCGCGCGGGGGGATGAAGGCGATGCGGGGAGCGTAGGCTTCAGCTCCCATAGACAAGCATCACTGTTCGTTATCGTTGTGCACTTCCGCCGTGGTGTCTTTGTTCTCAGTTGCTTTTTTCCTGCAGTGGCGCTTTACTTTTCAAATTTGTAATTCTAGTCTCGTACCACCTAGCAAGTATTTCTTCACAAACACCAAAGTCGTCTTCGTTCCTTATCAACTCGCCAATTATGCAGCCTCCCAGAAGAAAATGTGCGTGCCTGTTTCTCCTCCTCGTCTCTGCTTTTCCCTCGTCGGCGGTTTCGGATGCTGCATTTGCGAGCCGGCGTAACGGCGACGACCGTCACGTGACTCTCTCCGTGGCGGCGAAAGCGAAGTGGGTCCATCCGGCTTTCGAGCGACACACCACGCATCAGTGTCCTGTGGTTTCATCCGGCCGTCGTGCACCAGCATCAGCCAAAAACTTCTTGACCTGCGAGTACGTACCGTTGAAAACAAACGGAAGCAAGAAACTACCCGATCTATCGTCGCCTGCTTCGAATAAAACGGCTTTCTTCGGGGAACTAGCAACCCGGGATATCCTGATCTTCAGTTGCGGGGACGCGTTCGATGTATCTGAGTACCAAGAATACGTCGCTCAAAAGGAGAAAGATGAGAAAAAGGAACCGCAACTCTGGGCAGTTGCCCATCGAGAGAATTCTATGCGGCCGAACAACCTGCTGGAGAAGTTTTTTGCACCGCCGGAAAAATTCAAGCGCGTTGTCTCCATTTTCAGCGACCCGCGAGCGACCGTCTTGTGGAGCGACCTGTACTTCTTGCCGCGCCCAAAAAATCCCGCGAAGCAGAAAATGGTAGAACTGCAATTAGCGCATTCTGTTGGTGGTCATGCTAGTACATCAACATCATCACAGGAGGAGTTGTTGTCAGAGATGTTGACTACGACCACTACGAGAGACTACGTTCCCTTGCCGAGCTTCTTGACTTTCCTGGACACTCCGACGTACGAAGAAATAGAGCAAAGACTCGCACGACAAAAGGAAGCCAAATTGCAAGCTGCAGGGGAGGACCACCACGACGACCAGGATCACCAGCAAGAACTCCCCGTGCTCTACATCTCTCGCAAGTTCGGGATGTCTTCGAACCGGGACTACTGGGCCCGCGGTCTGCAAAAACAGAAGCGTCTGCACTCGCGGGGAGAGTGTTTTTTGCGGAGCGAAAAAGACTACATGGACCCCGTCATCCGGCGGAAAAACTCGCTGAAAATGGACTGGCTCGAGCGCTACAGAGATCCAAGGTACTACAAACAAGTCGACGTGAGTGGCCGGAGCCTGGTGGCGGAAGATGCTGATAATGATCTTCAAGAGTTTGCTCTTTCTGATGCTTCTTCAGCCAGCAGTACAACCACATTTTCTTCCAGCAAAAAAAACGCAACGACCACCGCATTCCGCGCTCCGCTCTACAAATTCTACCTCTCCGGCCACAACACGAATTGCCGCCACTATGCGGACGAGAAACTGGTGAAGCCGTTTTTTCACGGGTTGGTACCTGTGGTCGTTGGTGTAAGCAGGGAAGATTTGGTACTTGTCACGCCCCAAAACAGCTTTATTCACGTGGACGATTTCGAAAACGTGGAAGTTTTGGGACAGTATTTGGACTACTTGAGCCAAAACGACACGGCCTATCTGGAGTACCATCAGTGGAGGAAAGTGGTCGACTTGGTCGACTACAAAAACGACAAATTCCCCTGCGCATTCTGCCAGGCGGTAGTCGCCAGTCGGGAGGGCGGTGCGAACCAGGAGCTCAACCCCTGGGCGGTGCATCACGAAATGTTGCGGGAAAGACTAAGACAGACGGCAGCTACTGCATCAACCTCGGTAGGTGGAGTTGTTGACAATCTGGACGCGAACTTGCACTGTATGGTTGACGGATTGCTGAGAAACGGATCTTTCTCCCACTGCCCTGCAGGAGGGCGCAGGCGACCTATGGATCCTTTCGTCCGGGGAAGCGACAATGAGCAGAAAGCGGAAAATGAAAAAGCTTCTGAACCAAGCACAGAAATCGATACGGAGCGCTACTGGAGTGAGCTCGACTTTGCCCGCCAGGCAAACGACGAGATCCGCCCGGACGAAACCCGACCGGACTGGGAGTGGAGAAGACAAAGGCAAAGCACAACCGCCGCTACACAAGAAGAAGAACGACCAATAAAGTCTTCTGAACCATCGAGCAGCGGAGTGGTACAGAACAGCAGTAGGTTACGAGCCCAGCAAGAGCGGTTTGACCGGGCGTTCTCGACAAAAGACGCCCGCTTCCCGCAGGGTTACGCGGTGTATGAAGATGACAAGGATGAAGAGCCCGAGTTTGCACGAGAATGGGCGGTGATGCGGGATGATGACTGCGTGCCGGCGGCGTGGGATGGGGTCGAAGGGCAGGAGGACGCGGAGATGAAGAGGGAAAATCGTCTTAGTAGCCAGAACGAAGATTCATCAGAATTGCATGTTGATGATGTTGAGTATCAGGCTACACCACTTCCAAGGAACAAACCTGATGAGCAAGCGGGTGCTACGGGACAACAAGAAATCAAGCGCGTATCTTCACAAGACGAGGACGAAGAAGCAAATTTCTATGAAGTAGATCAAAATCAATTTCCCTTTGCAGTTCCAAAGTCCACAACTTCGACCAAAATCTGTTTCCCGCTTCTACCGATTTGTTCTATTCGAGCCTCCCTTCGGTCGTGGTCTTCAAGCACATCACGCAACTCTGCTGGCGGACAAAGCGCGGGAAAAGCACTGCGGCTATGAAATGACGATCGCTCATTCTCACGATCGACATTTATTTCCGATCACCTTTTTCGAAAGTTTTTTGCAAAGATGAAGAAAGAGCCTGCGTTCTTCCCTCATTCACTCTCACATACAACCACGGAAATCACACATTTAGTACTTGACGAGTATGAGCAAATAGAGTACAAGCGCTACTAAGTAGATGTAGATCCGTGCCTACCGGGCCAATTTTTTTTTGTGTAGTGGGTCGACGTAAGTTCAAGTCGCAATAGTTTGTCCGATCAAGTCCAAACGGTTCTTGTTTAGATGCCGGCGTGCGCTGTAAGGGTAACTGCTTAACTGGGACAGGGACTTATTGCGTTTCATAAGAACCGAGTGTAAGAAAAGACCACCTCCTGGCGCAGCTGGCTTATCGTATACATACGAGCTTGACTCGAGTTTAGGCGTTGGTACGTAGGTACAAAATGAGCAACCAGAGCGGTACCTCGCCCCTCGTTGGAACTTCAAGTTCTACTTCCTCCACGTCTCGGCCGCGAAACACAACAAGAAAGGACGATGGTTCTAAGAACCTCACGGCCTCTGAAGGAGACACCGCTGGTGCATCCAAAGATCCTCCTATTCAGTACCACGCGTCGCGAACCAGCACCATCACCGCCGTTTCCGAGACCAGTCCCCGGCAGGACTCGGCGGAAGCGGAGACCGAGGCGATCCTGCACGACTTGCAGAGCGAGGATTTGCGAAGCTTCCACATAAGACTCAAGGGAAACGAGAACGAGAGATTCGAGGTGGGTTCCTCCTCCGCGACGAGTGGACTGACCTCGTCCATCGAAAGCTCGGAGAAGAGCGACGTGTTGTCTTCCCCCGGCTTGCTGTCGCCGCAGGACGACCAGAATATGGGCGGAGGCGGTTCTCGGTTGCTGGTGGAGAAAAACGGTAAAGAGACCGTGGTCACCGCGTTTCATACAACTGGCCGCGTTGTTGAGGGCGGGACAAAATCACCTCGTCCAGGACATCAGCCGGATCTATTGGACGATAACCACACAGCGATATTCGACCGCGAACGCGCCGACCGCGAAGTCGCAGCGGAGTTGCAGAGACAGAAGAACAGTGAGGACAGAGCAATTTCCGGGTCACCCCAGCAGGAGCCGCCTGAGCGCAACCCGAAAGTGGACAGCCAACTACCAGGAGAGCCACAATCCACACCTGTCGTCGCTGAAGACGACCCGCACGCGCCGCCCGAGTCAGAATTGCGAAAAAGGCGCGGCATTAGGAGCACAACAGCAGGCAGCTCGAACCGCCCCGCATCGCCCACGAACTCTGCGGTGGAGAAGGAGAAGATAAAGCAGAGCCTCTTCCATCCCTTGCAACAAACCCCCCTTCCGGTGAGGAGACGCAGCAGTACGCACGAGCATCAGCATTTGGACAGATCTTCCGGCTCCGATAATTTGAAGCCCAGGATCAGATCCGCCTCGAAAGACTCCGTGCAGCAAAATCATGCTGTCGGGCCCCAAATAACCAGCGCCCGTGCCCGCTCTGCGACGAAGGATTTCAGCTCTTTGAAAACTCAGCCGAAGCCGCATTTAGCACCCGCGCCCAGTCCGACAGGCGGGCTGTTTCCGACGGAGAGGGGGTCCAGGGCGTTCTGGCTCCTTTGGCTCGCTCTGGGATTGTCCTCGACGTTGCAGGCGTTTGGGTTCTCCACGTTGACGTGTCAGTTGTCGGGGTGTTTCTGCGTCTTGCTGTGGATACAACGGAATATTGAGTTAACCGTCATCGCGGTGGAACTGTTTCTCCACGTGCCGGGCATCTTCTTCCGCGAATTCCAGTCCCGGGGCGCGCACAAAATTCCGCAAGACGCATGCATTTTGTGCATCGCGCCGCACAACAACCAGGTATAGAGGATGTTTTTCTGCAAATAGTCCAGGTTTTCCAATTCTGTCTTGGTGCAGCGCGCTGGATACTTAGCCTTGTATCGATCTAGGTGGTTGAAGCCGAAAATCAGATTCTCGACATGGTTCTTGAATTGTCTTTATCGACACGAACACAAAAGTTTAAATAATGCTCTTTTCACAGTTCCTCGACCCGCTTGTAGTCGGCCGCGCCTGCCAAGGCCGCATCGCCGACCCGATTGGGTACGTCATCGCCGCCCATACGCTCCGCCGCCCGTACCTCGGTCACGTCGCGAAGCTGTTCGACCCCATACCCGTGGAGCGGCCGCAAGACAACGCTACAAAGCACTCGGTGAAGATAAAAGTGCAGGGGGATAGGGTTTTACTGCATCGAGAAGTTGACGAAGTTACGAAAACAACCGGCGACGAGGAAGATATAGCGAAAACGAAAGCCAAAACTTCTACCTCTTTCCACGACATTCTGTCCCCGGGCTGGATGGTTATGTTTGGGCAGAAAAACCTCCAGAACGGCGTTGTCACGGAAGTCCTGGGCGAAACCGAGTTGAAACTGAAATTTCCAGTAACGCAGCAAACGGACGACGTCGTCGAGCTAAATTCCTTCAAAGTCGCCCCGGCGTCGGATTCCCGCGCGCTTCTCGACGCGTGCATCGATCGGTTGGACAAGCACCGGGTGGTTGGGATTTTTCCCGAAGGCGGGTCGCACGACAGGACGAGTCTGTTGGAGTTCAAGCCGGGTGTGTCCTTGCTGGCTTTGCAGGCCAGTGTGGAGCTGAAAAGACCAATTCCGGTTGTCCCGGTGGGGCTGAATTACTTCAAGGGGCATCAGGTAATGAGGTTGAAAAGAATTTTTTTTTTTCAGGTTGAATTATCGTAGAGATGGATGAAAACGTGCAGCAGCAGGTTTCATCTTCTAATCCTGCTTTTCCTGCACAGAGTCGCATAGCCGACTGTCATTGTTGATCCACATTAATTATTCACTGCCCTCTCACCCACCACAGTTTCGCAGCCGTGTTTTTGTGGACATTGAGGACGCGATTTACCCCTCCGAAAACCTGCTCCAAGATTATCTCGACCCGGATAAGCGCCGCAGCGCGGTGGCCACCTTTCTCAAGCAGATCACGAAATCGTTGAGGAACGTCACGACGGAGACAGACGATTTCGAAACGCTGAAGCTCTACTGGGCCCTCCGGCGACTCTACCTGCCCCCGGGGCATCAGAAACTTTCTTTCGAACAGAAGCAAAAAATGACCCGCGCCTTCGCGGAGGGCTGGCCGCAGTTCAAGGAGATGCCGGAGATCCAGGAATTGTGTGCGCGGGTGAAGAAATACACGAGTCTCTTGCAGGACTACGGGATCCACGACTACATGGTGGCGAAACTTTTCCCGAGGCATGCGGTAGTATCTTCTTCCGCAGCGGCGGACCAAGATGGAGAAGGCGGCACAGTATTTGAAAGCAACTCCGTGGGCTCTGGCTCTGCTTCCCCCCCTTCCGATAGCGACAGAGGCAGTGCGATAAAAGAGCAGGATTTTCACTCTCATGCTCGCCGCGCAGCTGCTCCCGGTAGTAGTACTTCTACCGCTTCATCTTCATCATCTACCTCTAGCAACAACTCAGCCAACATTCGAGCCGGGTTGAGGTACACGTTAATCCACCGAGCGTTATTGTTACTCTCTTTCTCCCTGATCTGCATCCCCACCACGGTCCTCGCGTCCCCGGTGCTGCTGCTCTCCAACTACGTCGCGAAATCGAAGGCGAAGGAAGCGTTGTCGCGGTCCAACGTGAAAATCGCCGCCAGGGACGTGATGGGCAGCTGGAAGGTCTTGACCGCAATCGCCTTGGTGCCGGCTTTGCACTTTCTCTACACGTATTTCGTGTACACCACGGTGAACGAGGCGTATGGATTACTGTATCAAAAGGAAAAATCCCCCCTCCCCACATCAAAAGGAAGTTTCTGATGCTGGAGTTGTGTACACAAATCAGGTCTGTCTTGCAGTAGAGGACTGCAAGCCCATTATATCAAACCTAAGTAGAAGGGTTTTGCCGTAGGCGCGGAGCATGGCAAATGTGTACTCTGTAGGCCCCATGCATGCACTCTGCAGAAACCGCCTGCATAGTGCGGCGGAGTCGCTGGATTGGCCTTCTTGCAATACAGAGGCGATTTGTGTCCACGAATCAGCATCGCAAATTTTCAGAAGTGTCCCTTTTTGGTATGGGGAGGTGGGATTTTTCCTCACGATATACTGTTCTTCTTCTTCATGCCGTTCGTCTACTTCTGGAGCCTGCTGATCGGAGAGAACGTTTTGCGGATCGCCAGGTCCATGAAGCCGCTGTTCTTGATTCTGTCCTCGCCCAGTTTGGTCGAGGAGCTGTACTTTTTGCGGAAAGATTGCGTGAAGCGGACGGTTCATGCGGTCGACGAACTCGGGTGGGGCTTGAAGGTGATCAACAGCGCTAGCCCGAATGTGAGTCTGATACAGGAATAGAGAAAGAAGTGAAGCAGACCAAATAAACTTAAACCTTTTCTTTCAGTCAGACCCTGGCGCGTCTCTCTCAGTCATGAACGAGTCTGCCTTCGCAGCTGTAGCCGCGAAGCACAAGAGTACAAAAGCACGATAAGTGGCGGCGCCACTGCCCCCACAAAAAGAACATGACCGAATTGAAATTTTCAGTCGGATCTGGTGGCTGCGGTTTTACATGTGCAGTATCGGCACATTTTTTGTTCCTTCATGCTGCAAAACAGGCTCGCTAATATTCGATCTTTCCTCACGCGCCGTATCGAACGATTGGTCATCCTCATCGTCTTTTCGTAGACAATTTTCGTTACCACACAATCACGATCTCCAGTCGATTCGGTTCTTATTCGTGGGTCTATGTTCTAACTCGGCTTCACTATCGCACAGAGATCCTCCTCTTGATCTTCATTCGTCTATAGCAGTTTGGTTTCCGTTCGGGCTCGTCGGGGCGGGAAGATTGTGATAGCATTATCAGACGAAAGAGAAATGGGACATCGACGACGAAGCGAATCTCGGTAATTTTCAGCAACAAAATGGGGCTAAAATAGGTGAGAATGCCAACTCAAGTCAAGTGGATCATGATCAAAATGCGCAGTTCCCGGCGCAACATTTTGTGGCTGTTGTCATATTTCATGCGAAAAAGAACTCTAAATATAGCTCGACGAGTATCGAAATCGATCTAAGCCTCCCTCCTGTGGTCGTATGTCCTGTTTTTTCGTCAGTGTCTCGTCGTCACCCACCATGATGGACATGTTCCCCTCGGCCCGGTATACTAGAAATTCTCATTTGTATTGCCACATGATGTGTAGAAGTTTCCAGCGACGGGCCCTCCTGCTCTCCATCGGTGCCGCGCTCCTCACCATTTGTTCCAACCCGGCCTCGGCTCGTCTGGAGTTTACCGCGCTAGCACCATCCGAGGAGGAACATCATGCTTCGCACCGAGCCGCCCCCACACCCGGCACGAAGGAGAGTCTGCTCCAGCAACAGGAGGAGCTCCAGGAGCAGCAGGAGAAAGAAGCCGAGGTGGAGGAAATCGAGCAGCAGCACACCTATCTCACCTCCGAACAGATTTCTGCTGAAATAAGGAAAATCGTCGATCAAGATCCGGAAAAGCGATTTACCGTCGAACGACTTTCCGACGAAGCCTGGACGTCAACGAGCGAAAACCAAAACGTCGGCATTGACGTAGTCCATTTCCAACCGAACGCAGTAAACTCTTCTCCAAACGGTAAGAAAGCGTTTTTCCTGTTCGGGTTACACGCACGAGAATTGATTTCCTCGGAGACGGGGCTGCAGTTCCTGAAGTCGCTGCAGCAAAACGGGTCGCCGTTCGAGGTAAAGCTGATTATCGACGTCAACCCGCTCGGGAGGCGACAAGTGCTGAACAAGCAAGGGTGTCAACGCTACAACGAGAACGACATCGATTTAAACCGGAATTTCGACTCGGGCTTCGGCCAATCGGACGACGATGTGAATCCGACAGGGAGCTCGGCGTTTTCCGAACCAGAAGCGAGGATTTTGAGAAAGGTGCTTTCTAAAATTTTTTTATTCATTGCCTGGCATGGTGACACAGAAATGCATGGCAGAAATGATTTCAATTTCTTGGTATACCTCTTTATTTGCGCATGTTGACAAGTTTGTGAAAAGCACTAGCATTTCAACATTCTCGTTCTTTGTCAGGTCCTGGAAACATTCGACTACGATATCTGGATCGACAGCCACACGGGCGAGTACAGCATGCTCCTCCCCCTGGCTTACACGCAGGACCTTCTGCCCGAGTACGATGCAAAGTTGCTTCCCTTAGGGCAGTACCTCAATCAGGTTGACCCGGATTTGCAACTCAACTACGGCTCCATGCCACGACTGACGCGGACCACGGTGGGTGGCAGCTGCCTCGACTTCGCCACGGGGCTGATGCGGAAGCGGGGGAAGGTATTGAGATATCTGGGTCGTAGTTTTTGTTTTAGCGAGATCAATGATCTTCACGAGATGGCTGTTCTTGCTGTTGCTGCATCATGACACATGACAGACACAAGAACTCCCTTTCCTTGTATTGAGCCTAAGCGTCGACAAGCAACATCATGACCATAAACAAACTCTTTAGGTTCCCTATGCCATGGCGTTCGAGATGTACGGTCGCTCTCCGTCGGACAAGAACTCGATCTACTACCAAATATCAAATGCAAATATGTCTGGGAATGGAAGGATCCAACTTGTCATGCTGTTTTTGGACTCTAAAAAAATTTGTATTGCATGACCAGCAAGAGGGGTACAGTTTGTGCTACACGGGCAGGGCGTTTCTCATGCGGAAGGTGCATCAGGAAGCCCTCTAAAAGTCTGCGAAGATGCTAGGTCATGCATTACAGGCATCATGGGTCATCAGAAATATGCATGACAAATTTTGCATTCTTCCAGACCCAGACACATTTGCATTTGATACCACATCTTCAACGACAAAGACTACGTGGAGAGCCAGGGAAAAAACATCCACTTCTACGACAACCCAGGCAAAAACGCCTGGGTCCGAGCGGAAAGAAGCGGAGATCAGGAATGCATGCACAACATGTATATAGTTTTAAGTTGTTGTTCTCTGGATATTCGTGCTCCATCTTTCTGCATTGCTTTGCATGCGCCGCATGGCAGGTAGTATTTCTTGTGCTACGTCAGCATGACAATGTTAGTGTCAATATCACCTTCCCGTAAATTGATTATCATTCCTCAGGTTTTCCCCTACCTACGAGCAGGATTGTGGCAAAGTGTGGTCGACGTTCGTGCCGGTTTACTACAACATCCTTGAAAAAATCTGTGCACAGGAAGGCTGGAGCTACAAAACAAATCAAGCTACTACACCGGTGGCCCTGACCAAGGACCAGGAGGACGAAAATTACCGAAAACAGTTGAACGCCGAGTATGTGAAGAGCATGCGGGAAAAACGAACAAAACGGCTTGGAGCTGCCTCGAAGGAGGGAGAACCGGCGTACAGTCCAAGCCTAGAGGAGGACGACGAGTTGTTGGACGGAGCAGAAGAGAAGGGCGAGGACCTGGTGTTGCAAGACAACAGAAACAGAGAAGAAGACGGCACTAGTACTTCTTCGAACGGGAACGCCGCGCCATTCTCTAATGGAGCTGCTGCCGGCGATTCTACAAGTGGTGCCAGTGCGACCGTGCGAGCAGCCACCAGCTGGTCCGCGATGATGCGTGTGTACACGGCCGCCTTGTCCCTCTGCCTCCTGCTGCTCATCGTCGGGCACTTCCTCGGGTGGCTGCAGCCGTTCGCGAAAAAACTCGCCCGGGTGCGGAACTACTACCAGCAGCGGATGGACTTTTACAAAAAGAAGAACGGCTTCAGCAACTTCAATGACGAGAGCCACGCGATCGCCACCGGTCTGCAGGACTTGTCCACCGGCTACTGGTCGGACGAAGACCACAACCGGCACCACGGTGGGGATCAGCACGAGCGGAGCAGCTTGCTTGGCAGCGGCGGTGGGTTGTACAAAAAGTCCTTTTTGCAGTCTTCTACCCCGACGACGCAGTCCTTCCACTCCTCGCAGCATCTGTAGCGAAAGATTTTTTCGTTTTCGAGGACGAGAAATCAAATGATTTTCGAGACGACAATTTTCTCTCTGTACTAACTTGTAATGGTGTATAATGTGGACGGAGGTGATCATGTAACTGTATGGATATCATGTGTACGAATGTGAATTTCAGCAGTTCCACGAACAGAAAAAGTTTCAGTTGATTTACAATCGTATCTATGCTTCTAAGATCTTGTCCAACAAAAGTCGGAGCATTACTCAGGTAATGGGGGGGGAGGGGGGGATGCATCCATGCTTTTTGGGCATTACTCAAACCGGCGACAACTTGCGCCGAGCCGTCCTATCGTCCTCGTCGCTCTCCTCCATCACCGGCCGCCGATCCGCCAGGCCACCCCGTCTCCGTGTCCCTCCATCAATCGCCGATCGTCTCCGCGGCCAGCCACGCGGCACGCGCGGCCGCGGGCCCGCCCGCCACCCAGCGAGCGCAGACCTGCGGCCATGTGGCCGGGAGGCAGCCACGATTGGCAATGTGTAATGCTAATGCAGAAACCAACGAAGGACAAACTGCTGACGTGGCTCTTTCAATTTTCCTCCATCGGAGGAACGTAAGCGTTGAGATGGCCACTCCAACTACTTACTTATTTTGACTCTCTGTTGTCCTAGTGGTCCTCGTCCTTCACTTCTGCGTTACAATTTTCCAAAGTTGGAAACTTGTGTTTCAGAAATGAGGGACAAGAAAAGAAGCACGAAGCTATTGCAGTGGCCATTTCAACTGTCTTCCATCTGAGGAAAGTTGACGTGGCCCCTGTTATGTTTTTTCCTGCATTCCTGCATTAGAAACGAGGGGCGAAGGAGACACGACCTGAGTAGAAGTTTTATTCAGGCCGCCGGACCTGAGCAACGTCGGCGAGAGAAGACAAACCGCCTTGGAAATTCAAAACTTTTCGGATTCCCAACCGGGCTTCTCTCCATGGACTGGGTCGAGAAGAATCTTTCCCGAGCAAGTCTTTCGAGAAAATCCCGCTCCGACAGTTTCTAATTGGGTTTTTCTCCACGGACAAAATACAATTTGACCCCAATAATAGCATATAGCGCCACGAGAATGAAACGAGCGACCTACGAGAATGACGCAGCAAATGGGGCTCCACCCGCTTCCAACTTTTCCCGCTCCGGACGGGGTAGAGGTTGCGTTTTTTACAGGGCTTTTGCCCGTTTTTTCGCGCAGAGCTGCTTGCTTTACACACGGTTTTTCTCCACTCGAGCGGTCGGGTGGAGAAAAACTGCATTACAAATTCGCAAAACCGGACGGATTTAGATGCGGTTTTTCTCCCCGCAGGAGAAAAGCCGCGTCACAAATTCGCAAACTTCGATGGGATCTTTCTCTCCCCGGGACCTCGGGTAGAGAAAGCCCGTATTACAAAAGACCCGAGCTCCGGTTCTCCGCGTTACAAATGCGGAAAGGTCGGGCGCTCCGCATTACAAATGCGGAAATTTACATGCGGCTTCCCAGAGCTCGGGACTGTGGGTAATGCGGAAAGCCCGGAGCTCGGGTTGTCCGCATTACAAATGCGGAAAACCCGGGCTCTCCACATTACAAATCCTCCTTTCGCCACAAGCGGCTGCCGCCGCACCGTCGTGCGTAACCTTTTGCGCGATGCTATCACCAACCTACAAAATTCCCATTCCCCCACACACGCATCGATAGCATCCGGCATTAGGTTATGCTGCATGGTATCGCCGCGTGCGAATTTCCCTCGCAGCGATACCATGCAGCATTAGGCTACGCCCGAACTGTGGCTGTCTTTTTCTGCCCAGTTGGGCGCTGGGCAGCTTCTTTTCCCCCCCAAACACGAGCGCGCGGAACCCGGGAAAAGTTGTGGTTGTACAAAAAGTCCTTTTTGCAGTCGACCCCAACGACACAGTCCTTCCACTCCTCGCAGCATCTGTAAAGAAAGATTTTTGGTTGACAAGGTGAAATCTCAACTACTCAAAAAAAGCTCAACGTTTAGAAAAAAAACATCAACTATTCAAAACAATATTTATTTATTTCTTTATCTCTCTCTCTCTCCCTCTCTCTGTCTCTCCTCCTCCTCTCTGGTATTCTCCTCTACTCCTCTCTTCCAGACGTTCCTTTCTCCCTCTCTCTGAACTCCCGCCGCGCACTGCTCGTCATCCCTCTGGCCCCCGCCGATTCCTGCTCTGCATGATTGTTCCGTGTGTCGTTCTTCATTTATTTGTGTTGTTTCTTCTCCTGTTCTTGGCGTCGTTTATATTTCTCCGCTTCAGACAGTTCAAAAACAAAATCTAGATGTGCACACTAACTATGTTGAAAGGGGCCGGCTATCATGTTTCGCCAGAATATCGCAGCCACTATTTGGCGCGCCGTATTGACGGGCCAGATGTAATGTGACACGCGATGGATATCTCGGTGAAGACGCGTCGAATGAAAGCAGCGCGTAGCCCCAGGGGTGGCATGTTGGCTGAGCAGCTTCGTCCAGAACGGTCGAACGCATTTGGAAAACCAAAAAGCGCGAAATCGCGTTGCTTTGTCCGACCGGAATTGTCAGACTTCAACGAAAATCAGCCAATTTTTCAGATTTTTGCGAAAAAATAGGGGGGGAACTCTCGCAAAATTTTGAAAATCAGCCCTATTTTTTGCGTTTTTACTTGGCGGAATCCGGCGAAACCACCGGCGAGCAACCACAAGCGCCTTGCCACGAGCAGCGGCGTCGAGGCATGTGCCGTTCCCTGCTAAGCTTTCGCCGGGCCGCCTCGAGGATGGAAATTCAGAAGCTGCTCCGCAGGCCGCAGGAATTTTTGTATGATATTCCCCAGATATCCGGCAAAATTTGCGTTGTCAGGCTTACAGAGCACGCTCCAGCAGTGCCAGAGAGGTGCCTTGTCGACAAGGTCTTGCGACGGCATTGCGCACATCTCTCACCTTTCGCTTCGTCACTTCATGGAAAATCTCAAAGCATGGCAACTGGGGGGTGGTGACGTTTTCAAACGGGATACGCAGCGCCACAAAAACACGCGAAACCGAACGGCAGCAAGGGGAGGGGGACACAGAACAACAACGGAAAAAAGGCATCGCAGCATAAGTGCCTGACGAACACAACGGAAAAAGTTCCTGACGACGACACAGAACAACAACGGAAAAAGTTCCTGACGACGAACTTTTTCCGCTGTGTTCTGTCGTACGAACAACGGACGCAGTCCTTCCACTCCTCGCAGCATCTGTAAAGAAAGATTTTGGATTTAGTGTGGGGTGAATTTTTTCGACGAGGAATTGGATGATTTTCGAGATGATAACTTTCATCTCGAAAACAACACTTGTAATTAATATCAAATCATGTGGACGATGATCACGATTCCCGTAGCTGTTACTGTATAAAGAAACCTGGACGATAAAGTGCTTTTCAGTAGTTCCACGAACACCAGAAGATTTCAGTTTATTCACAATCGTATGCTTTTATATGCAAATTGACATCGGCAAAGTATGGTGGGGATTGTGGTGGTCTTGTTTCCTTGTATGATAATGAGACGCGGCGATTGCGGCTGCGCATCACCACGAAAGCCATCCAGCTATTAAAGAACTCCTCAAATGCAAACTGTAAATGCGCTGACTAGAATGCTGTACAAAAAACCTGAAGATAACCCGCATATAAATCCGTATCCGAATTGTGATCCCTGGTGTTGCGAGATTGATGTGGCGGAAGTCGGTGAAATTCATGAAAGTCGTGTTCTGTTTTCACGTGCAGTAGTGAGAGACCACTAGAACAGAATTTGAGCAGCGGTGAGTGTCGGTAGAACACATTTCAGCTTCTATGCAGCAAGCAAATTACCATACTTACGTGGACCCCTTGGATATTTTGATATTCTATTTGGAAGGCGCGTGAACATAACAAAGCCACTTCATTGCGGCAGCAATCAAGTACAAAAAGACTCCTCCTCAATTTACCACCTCCCATGTACATTATGTTTGTTTTCAACCGGAATCGACGCCATTCAAAGTTTGCTTCTGACTTTCTAACATTCTCGCGACCACCTTGAGCTTCTTCTTGTTGACGAGAAGCATTTTACTGAACAATTTCAACTTGTACTCGCCGCTTTTCATACATCATGCTGCGCGCCTTTATTTCCGCCCTGTGGCGGCTGTTGGTCCGGGCCTGGGACTTGTGGAAGCGGTTGGTTTTGAAGAACCAAATCATCAACACTTTACTCCTGGCAACCCTATCCACGTGTGTCTTCACCGTCGCGACGCTGGTCTTGTTCTGGTTCGCCTACAACGTTTTCGTTCCGGGAGACCTAGTTCTACCGCTCCACGCAACCTACTCATCTTCTGTGGACGAGCCGGCTGGTGGTGCAAGTGGACCACAACAAGTTACGCGCGGAGTTCAAGCCGCTAGTACTACACCAAGTTCGAGTAGTACAAGCAGCGGTCGCGTTTGTGCGGAGTTCGGCTTTCTCGACCAAAAAGAGCCGTTTCAAGCCCCGATAATAGCAGCGACGAAAATACCTTCAGCCACTGGGGGAGCTGCGTCTGAAGGGTGGTCTAGTACTTCGTCCGACGAGTCCGCAATGGAAGAGAGAGAAATAGCAAGCGCCACCGTCGAGGAACAGGAAGTAATAGACAAGACTTTTTACTCGCAGGGGTTTGAGAAAACCGTTTTCTCCACCGTCTCCTCCAGTTTCCTCCGTTTCACCAGCAGAACGCTAACGAAGGCGAAGTCGGTATTCCGCCTGAGACTAGCCGCAAGGCTCCCGCCGATAAATTCTGCACGGAACTTCAACGACGAGCTCGGGCCGATAGGTGTGGCGCTCACATTGCTGTCAAGTACACAAGCAATAAAACACAGCTCTGGTGGCACAAGCGCCGTGAACGATAGTGCTACGAAAGCAAATAAAGCTGCATCGTCGAAAAAGGAGAAAGATAAAGAAGCAAAAAACGTACATTCTTCTCCAATAGTACCGCAAAGAAAGACCTTGTCTCGGCGCTCCTTTTTCGTGCCGGCGACTTCGGACCCGAATGCGCAGAGTGTCTTCAGCTTCCTGATCTTGAACCCGCTGCGGATGGTGCTTTCCAGGCTGTTGCACGCGGATCAGGACCCCTACTGGGACTCGGATTTTCACATCAGCCTGGCGGAGAATTTCAGCTTGAAATCGGTATAGTTAGTTTGATGTTCCGTTTGCGCTTGCAGTGTCTCTCCACTTGCAGCTCAGTCGTGGTAGCGCACTGTAATAGATAAGCAGCCCAAATGTTTCGTCGCATTCACTCATCATGCTGCAGCGCAAGAACGAGATGAATGAAGATTTTGACTTTTGGAAAACATCGCACATAAAAGCAAAAGCAAATTTTCAACCGCCCATGAACATGATTAGGTCCTTCCCTCCGATCGTCTTGAGCTCTGCCTCTCCCCTGCCGTCCGCATGGAGAACCTTTTTCTCATCCTGGAACCAGAACTGGACGGGTTTAAGCGCTGGATCCGGATGTACCCGTACCTTTTCGCGCTAACCGCACTGGCGGTGGCCTTCACCATCGGTTGCGGGGTCACGTTGTTCCTTTTCATTCTCTCCAGCACAGTATTGCAGGAGGACGTGGAGAACGAGGAAACAGAGCTCGACGAAAGTGCACTCGAGGGTGGAGGTGCTGCGTCAAATTATAACGGCACAGGAAATAACAACTATGGCGACGAGCAAAACGGGAAGAACGCCAATGGTAGAAGCTCGGAAGTAGATATAAACCCGAGCCAACACTCCTCCCCCACATGCAGCACTACACGGAGTCCAAACAACGCCGGGTTCGGCCATAACACAACGCGAACGAGGCTTGTGCAGTCTCCCGGAGCCGCGGGCGGGGGTTTGGATAGTCCGACCAGCTCGCCCGCGTCGAGTATGGTGAAAAACAGAAAGAAAAACGGAGGTGGCGGGCAGTTCAATTTAGATTCAAGTCCGGTCAACAATCAACAGAGCAATAGCGGCGCTGGGCTGTTCAGCGATACGACTGCAAGCCCGATGTCGGAGAAGAACCTCGCGAGTGGCAGGGTCTCCGTGGATACAAATGATGGTACTAGAACTCTTGAATTCCGATTCGTATGAAGTTTTTGGTTGTAGGGGCATAGGCTGCTGGTTTTAGTCCACGGTCATGTAAAAAAATTCCATCTATCACACGAAAACTTCACATACAGGCACTGCACCACGGCGGCGCAAGAATAAACGAAGCAGCAACAACCAAGCAGACGCAAACACGGTGAGGCACCTCGCGAATCAAAATTCATCGCAGGCTTGACACGGTTGCGAGTAGAAGCGACGGACCGACTGCGTCTGCGACGGCACGGCAGCGAGTGGCTAGCATGGCGGAACTGGCGATCACGCAACGTCGGAAAAAAGCATTTTGGCCTGCTGCTGCGTCTTCGTTGCTTGCCCCCGCAACACGACGAGCCTTCAGCGGTGCACGCTGGAGGCTCCTTGTGGCCGTGCTCTACTTTCCGGAATTTCGTCTGTGTGTGTGTGTGTGTGTGTGTCAAGAGAAAGATGGCAGGCCAGAAACCACCGGCTGCAGGAGGAGGTGCGGTCTATTTCAGGTTGTAGCCCGTCGTGCCCCTGCAGCTGCGGGTAGTACAGCTGGGCCGCACGCGGATGATTTTCCACCTGGCGACACCGAGCACAGATTGACAACGCTTGCTTTCGTTTTCAAAGAAATAATGAACGACTTTCGCATACAACATGTACATGATGCTATGATCGCGACAGCCACAGTAGAAATCATATCCTCACTCGCCTCCGCATTTTGATTTTGGAAGCGCAACTTCATCGAAGTGCTAGTATCGCTACAGAAGTTTTCCAAGTAGTGATAGACCTGCTCCCCTCCGCTTTGGAGGTCCTAGGGTTAATACTGGCTGTTCGACTACATTGACGCACAAACACCTACACGCGGGACGGTATGGCAGGTCAAGTGACTCTTTGTCGACTGAATGGACGAACCTAGGCGGTCAACCTCTTTCCCCTTCGGTAAAGATGAAGATCTTGTCAAGGATGTGTAGGGTTCATGGAGATCAAAACAAAGAAGATGAAGATCTTCAACGACTCATTGTCGTTGCCACAGCCGCCACCTGCAGGAGTTGTGTTTATTTCTAGACTAGCAAGATGTCGAGGATCTGGTTCTTCTTCTCGCGTGTCAACCATAGCGCGGACACATGAAGCCCGAGGATGACCCTCCTGCACCTTTATGGCCAAGCTATTGCGCTCCTGCTGATACATAATCAACATACTAAGATGAAAGTCCACACGGCCGCTTCAAGTTTTTTGCAGCTTTTGCTCTCCGTTTCTTTCACAATGAAGCTGCTTTTCGTCACGATGTTTTGCGTTTCCGTTTCGCCAGACTTCAATACTCACGTGGACTCCACGACAAGGTCAGGTTCCCTGGTGTTTGTTTCCGGCGCATTTCTGCAGCAACCACCCTCACCCAAGCTAGCCAACACACCCAATCCCTGGGCGCTGATGCCATCGGCAGGAGTGGCGCAGCACCATCACGGTAACCCAGCCTCATCGTCTGGCGCTCCTGCCCAGAATGAAAGAAACCCGCAGCACCACCTGAAACACGCCCATCCCCAATCGACCAGCAGCGGGCACCAAGCTAAGTCCACGACCTCCTCTTCTCGCTCTTTACGAGGACATCAGCATCACCATTCCCACAAAAAGCAGGAGTCCAAGCGCGGTTTGACCGGTTGGCAGTTGAAATTTTGGAACTACAGTATGAACTGCAATAAATATGTCTGGGTCTGGAAGAATGCAAGGTTTGTCATGCACATTTTGCATGACTCCTGATGTCTGTGATGCTTGCCCTAGCATCACAGATTTTGTGAGGGCTTCCTGATGCCTATATCGCATGAGAAATGCCCTCTCGCCCTGGCAAAAACTGAACCTCTTTTGCTGTTCATGCAATGCAGATTTTGGTAGAATTCAGACGCAGCATCACAAGTTTGAATCCTTCCAGGAGACCCAGACATATTTGCAATGCATATACAGGAATGGAGAGCAAAAAGTTCACACGGACGAGGTCCAGGATGCTGGACAGTTGTATCCTGTGCAAAAGTATCGTACTCGTATTGCAGTCATGCATTACAAATCTTGTTCTTAAGCTAAATCCGCATGACAAATTCCATTTCACATGCTAAGGAAATTTGTAATGCGATTTATACTAGTACGATACTTTTGCAGTTCATAAGTTGGAGTTGGAGACGATTCTCCAGTTTTTGGACAAGGGTGCGGAAGAGAAGGTGAAGAACTTTGCGCAGATGCGGGACCAGTTTCTGCGCATCACCCGGCACAGTCTCGTCCCGCTGGAGGACGATTATGTCTTGGGGAAGACGATAGAAACCGGGATGAACGGGGCCGTGCTGAAAGTGAAGCGAAAGCCGAAACCACCACTAGTACCCTGGCAGGAGGAGGAAAACAGAAGGGTCAAAGAGATCGATTTGATCAACGCGCGGGGGAAGCAGGCGGAGAAAGCTGGCGAGGATCAACTGCTGTCGTCCTCATCTCCAAGTCAGCTTGTGCAGCGGCGGCCGGCTGGCGCCGGAGCAGGCATTGCGTCTTCTTCTAGAAGCCCCGGTGGGGGCGTCGGTTTTTACACTAGTAGAGACCAGCAGTCCGCTCATCTAGACTGTTCGAATTACCGCAGCATCTCATGCGTTGCGAAAATATGCAGCAGGTTCAGTCGCGATGGAGTTCTTGCCGAATCTTCGAGCGAACAAGTTGGTGTTTCGGCGTCGTGCCAGCAACAGCAGCAGGAGCACGGCATTGGTCATGCGTATGCAACGCAGCAGCATAATAATAATTCCACCGAGGGTTACCGCCCCCTTGCGCAGTCGTCCCAGCAAAACAGCCCCTGCTCAGGACCCGGAATTGCACCTAAAGAGGAGATATGGATTGCAAAAATGTCTGGGTCTGGAAGATTGCCAGATTTGTCATGCATGTTGTGCATTGGCCATGATGTCTGTGATGCATGCCCTAGCATCACAGATTTTTTGAGGGTTTCGCGATGCCTATTCCGCATGACAAATGCCCTCTCCGCGTAGCAAAAATTGCATTCCCTTTGCTGCTCATGCAATACAGATTTTTTTGGAATGCAAATTCAGCATCACAAGTTGCATTCTTCCAGACCCAGACATTTTTACATTTGATAGGAGATGGAGGAGCGGGAGTTGGAAGACCTTTCAAGCCTCTGCCACAGCCTCCTATGGCGTTCTCAAATGTTACATTCTCAACTGTTGCATGAATTTGTAATGCAAGAATAGCACAGGCCAGAGGGAAAACCCTGCGCGTCTTGCATTACAGATTTGGTGCGGATTCTAGTGCTATTTAGCCCTCCGAGAATTTGTCATGCGAAGCACCTTCGTCGTTTGGTGGCTCGTGGTCATTTTGCATGACAAATCATGTAACAGTTCAGAATGTAACGTTTGAGAACCCCATACCTCCAGGACATGTCATTTGTGGATGCTGGCGGTGCCAAAAACGACCATCAAACTCAAATGGCCAACGCCATCACCAGCGCGTCAAATTATACAAGGAATCAAACTCAAACACCTTGTGGAGGACAGCACGCGACCCTAGAATCTTCCTGCGCATCAAGCTCCACCTCGCCGTTGGCGCTACTCGGCGCCGGCCTGGGTGCCTCAACATGCAGCAAGATGAATCATTCCCCCGATAATTCAACCTCGAGTGCGGCCTCTACGATCTTGACCGGAAGCGCTTCGGGTAAAATCCAACATCCTGCTCCCATGCAGCCAAGCAACACAATAAACTCTGCTCCTCTTGTCGCGCGCCACGTGGGAAAGCATCGGAAGGTTTACGATCGGGAGAAATACCGGTCCGCCCCGGCGGATCCAGGACGAGAGGAGCTAGATTTTGCGGAGGACGAGGTAGCGGAGGGCGAAAACGAGAATATAATTTCCTGCAGCGGTTCTCGTGAACAAGCAGCTGCGCTGCAGCAATCATATCCCTCGCAGCACATCGACATCATTGCGGGGAGTCTCGACGGCAGTGATAGTTTATTGATGGAAGAAGAAACCCAACATTCCTCTTTGTGTACTAGTTCATCTTCATCTTCCGGCACAACTACAGGAGCAGCTGGTGGTCCTCCACATTGTGGTACTGTTAACACTCAAAACACTTCGCGTGCGGTTGACAGCACGTCGGAAGAGTCCGAGCAGGAATTCGCGATGAAGACTTTGAAATTGAAAATCAGCCGGAAACAGGAGCGAAAGTGGATGATGGAGCGGGACCCCAGGACGAACTGGCCGAAGCACCTATCCTACCGACAAACGGTGGTCCGAAGCTTTATGGCGTCCGCAAACGTTACATTCTCAACTGTTACAAACATGATTTGTCATGCAAAATGACCATGAGCCGCAGGACAATCAAGCTGCTTCGCATGACAAATTATCGAAGGGCTAAACAGCATCTAAATCCGTGCCAGATTTGTGATGCAAGACTTGCAAGCCGTCCCCTTTCCCTATTGCTGTTTTTGCATGACAGATTCGTGTAACGACTGAAGAATGTAATGGCTGAGAACGCCATAAGCTTGTGGGCGGAGTTGCTGAGTAACTTGAAGGTCGCGGTGCACATATGAATTGCAAATATGTCTGGGTCTGGAAGGATGCGAACTTGTCATGCGGATTCTGGAACAAGCAAAAATCTGTATTGCGTAGTCAGCAAAAGGTACGCGATTTTTGTCTCCAGAAGAGGGCATTTGTCATGCGGAATAGGTATGGAGAAGCCTCCACAGAGTTTGTCATGCTCTGTGTGCATTTCAGACCTTTTTGTAGATGTAGAAAATGCATGACAAATGTCTGATTTCCTCCAAACCCAGACATTTTTTGATTTGATAGCACATGTCGGAGTGCGATCGAGAATTCGAAGAGGAGGAAAGATTGCAGAGACAAGCGGAGGCGGTGAAACGAGAACAGCTGTTAGGGGCGTCGACGGGAAGCAGTTCTTCTTGCGCGTCCGCGTCAGGCGGTGGAGGTGGCGCGGCTTGCGTCAACACTCCTGCTGGTAGCTCTCATCCAAGCAGCTCCGGAGGACAGCTAGGTTTGTTGAGCGGGACCACCAGCAGCACCGCCCTACTAGGCAGTACAACTTCGAGCACTTCTACTGGAACAGCGGGCGCGTCGACATCCAGTACTTCGTTTCTAAAAATCCCGAAGGTTGGCTCCGCCGCTTCTCTTTCCACCATGGCGAGCTACTGGAACCACGGGTCCTCGTCGCGCGACCAGCTGAGCGGAGCCGCAGGCGATCTCGAGCAGGATTTTCCCTCCCCTGCGTCCACCATCGGCGGAACGTCCCCGTTCGGAGGACCACCACCTCCGGGTGGAAGCAGTGGCTATCGAAGATACGGTTCCCCCGATCGGCACTCCGCGTCACCAACCGGGACGACCGACGAGCAGGCTTTGGACGAGGTGGAGGAGGAAGCCGCTGAAATGGGGGCTGGTGCTAGTACTGCAGCAGGAGCTGCCCGACGGGCGTTCCAACTAGTACACGCGGCAAGAGGATCGGCGTCGTCTTCTCCGAAAAAGAATTATGCTGCAGGAGGCGTAGGTCTAGACAAAGACAAACCTCCGCGACCTCCAACTGCTTCGGGAATGACGCATCTTCAAAGTCACCAGCAACTGTCGTCCTCCCAAGCTGAACTGCAGCAAGCGGCCACCAAAACAACGACCACCGGCGCAGGTATTGAAATGAGCCCGACCACAGTAACCGACGGGCGAGACGCAGACCCCAGCATTGCTAGCATTATTGCCCAACCACCCTCAGCCTTGTTAACACCAGAAGACACAAAGACAAACGCACGAAATAATAAAAGTCTCCGAAATATGAAACGAAGAACCACGCTCCGCGGGCGCATTCCGGACCTCGTGGATATCCGCGTGACGAACGACCGCGTGCACTTGATCTTCACGCTGTGCAAAGGTGGCGAGGCCGTGAAGACCCCCATCCCGGAGATCGCCAGCGACGTCTGTGCCGCGAAATTTGCGAAACACTTCCTGGAAACGCTGGAGGTGTTGCACGACGAATTGGACATTATGCACCGGGACGTCAAGCCGGAAAACATCCTTTTCACCGAAAAAGACCGGAAACCCGACACGGCACAGCTGATCGATTTTGGGCTCGCGTGCCCCATCGCGAAGGGGCTGGGCTGCAAGGGTGCGGCGGGCACGATAGACTACGTCTCGCCGCAGCAGTTGTGGAACATTCCCGGGTTTGCAGAGTTCAGGCGGATTTTGGAAGACAGTACAACTTCTACATGCATTTTTGTTTCAAATTGTATCCTCGTATGTGCAGGTACTAGCATGAGCATGACGAGACTCTGCCTGCCTAGTCCTCCTGTGCTCTGCAACTACGCAGCTTGTGGCTTTTCTCATTCCATAGTACTACTTAACACATACAACAGAGCCACCAGTTCAATCTCTCGACGACGATCCAGCTTTGCACCCGGACCTCCTTCCCGAGGACACCACCAACAGCAAAACCACCCAACAAGACGCCACACACCAGCTCGAGGAGCAGCGGCACTGGCACTATAGCGAGAAATATCACGAGAAAAAAGTGTTAGAGTTAAGTACACATTTGTTGGAGTCTCTGCATCACAAATTTTCTCTGTGTGGCAAAACAGTAAGGAAACGAGGCTCCGAAGCATTTCCTGCATGGGAAAGGTTGTCTCTGTTGCCAGTCTTGCATCACAATGTGTAACTGTAGCAATTTTTTCCTGTGATAAGAAAGGGGATCTCTTCGCGCTCGGCGCGGTTTTGCACCTCCTGCTCGAAGGCCGGTCCGCCTGGGACCGCACCTCCCGAATGCCGGCCCGCGCGGGAAGCACTTACGACCCGGCGGACAGGCTGCGCGAAAACTGCAAGAAGATTCAAACCTTCAAGGCGGACCGCCGACAGTACCACGAGATGGCCAGTTGCTTCGCGTGGACGAAGCGCTTGAGAAAAGCGCTGTCGAGCTTCCCGCTGGCGGGGGGGTGTGCGGGCGAGAAAACTGGTGCTGGTGGTGGAGGAGGCGGCGCAGCCGGGCGGGGGCTGCTGTCCGGATTGTCTTCTTCTTCCGCACGTGGTCCTCGCGGTGGATCATGTGGAATGAACATCATGAATAAACCTGGAAGTAGTAGAACCTCCGTCGATATCAAATGCAAAAATGTCTGGGTCTGGAAGATTGCTAGGTTTGTCATGCAGTTCTTCCATGACCCACGCGGTCTGGCATGCACGGCCTAGCATGCCAGGTTCTGTGAGATCTCTATCATGCCTTTCCTGCATGAGAAACTGCCTCTACTAACTTGTTAAAAAGTGGACCTCTTTTGGTAATCATGCAACACAAATTTTTCCACGATCCAGCTCGCTGCAGCATGACAAGTTACACTCTTCCAGACCCAGACATTTTTGCATTTGATAGTCGAAGATTGCGGGGAGTCGACGAGCACCTCTGTACAAATCGCGGAAGATGAAGCAGCGTGCTCTTTATCCAGGAAAAAACACCCCTCCACATCCAATTTGTCATGCATAACATACATAAAGTTCTGTGTTTGTCATGCAAAAAATGGATGTGGATGGGTTTTTTTTCTGTGGATACTCTTCCCTCCTCTCCTACTCAGCTTCGGCCACGGATGCGGCAAGTCGGGGTGGACAGCGCGCAGCTGGCGACGCAGCATCAAGAGCGAGAGCAGCAGCTGCTTCCTGTGCCGGAGCAGTGCCCTTGCCTCACCCACCAACCTGCCAGCTGTTTGGAGGTGCTGGGGTAGAAATGCAGCACGGAAGTACAACCAACGCATCCTCTCCCTGCAACGACTGCCACACTGAGGAAGTGATCGGGAACCTGCACAATACTGAGTATAATCATGCACCCTCTACGCACGGAACCATGCCAGTCCTGGATGAAAGGGACATTTCGTCCGTTTTCGAGATCACAAAGAAACAGCAGGAAAAGGAAGACGAAAAGCAAGTGATCGTGGAAGAACTTCTTCTGCATGAGAAGCAGCCCAGCCGGGCCACCGCCGAGAGCGACGGTAGTTTTTTCACACCCTGCACGTCTCCACAACACTTTGCGAAATTTATCGAGCAAAAATCTGTTATCGTTATCGAATTTGAAATTGCTGGCAAAGGCCAAATTTTTTTAAGTTTAGCTAGAGTGGGGTAGCAATGAAATCCTTATCCGCCCCCGCGGCGGATAAGCCGGGGGGGGGGCCCCCCCCGCCTTATCCGCCGGCGGGCGGTACCGGTATAGCCGCGACAAAGTGGCCGGGCGCCACCATCGCCTGGAGGACCCGGACATGCCGAGAGCATCCGGCGTGTTGTGGGTAGATTTTGAAACACCACAAAGATCCATCGACGGCATGGCGCCGCCGGTCTTTGTGGTGTTTGTTTCTTTGAAAGTGGCAGGCGCAGCCCCTGAAGACTCCGCACTGCCGGGAGTACTTTGGACTCAAAAAAACTCGCCAACAGATATTTGCCACGCAAAAGGCGAAAAAGCTTGGGAAATTCGCCACGCAAGCAACGGCCCAACAAATAATAGCAAGCAACGGGCACACAGGGCCAGGGCCAGAACAAACCTGCCCCACAGAATTAAACTCCTACCGTGTGCAGCGCGAGGGCCGCCGAGCTTCCTCGCTTATTTCCTTCGGGCTATGTACTTACTCGCCAGGCCATGCCGCCCTGCTCTTGGGCCGGCGCCCATGCCTGCAGGTAGCGACTTAGGGCCCGAAGCGAGAAGCGCAGCTGGCTAAAGGTTTTATCTTGCGCGCGCCCGCCTTCGGAGGAAGTGTGTCTGTGCAGACCCAAGCCGGCCGCCCGCTAGTATGGATTCCACCGCCTGCCTTTGCAATGGGCCCACGCACCCAAACAAGCCGCAACAGCGCCTAAGGCTGCGCACCCAGAGTCCGCCTCCTTTAAATGTTGGGCGCCATCGGCGGTAAAATTCCCCCCGGTGGCGTGCTTGACTTATATTCCACGGCGACAGGGCGAAGGCCTAGGCCGGGCAGCCATTAACTTCCTGGGCCCCGGGCCGGGCCGTGTCTGTTGGTGACATCTTTGCCGCAGCGCGAATAGTTAGCTTGCTTCCGCCGCGGCCATGTTTAAGGACTTGGGCCGCGTGGGCGGCAGCCTCGCGCGCTCTACTTTTGTTCGCCTGCTTTTTTCCTTGCCGCCGCCAGCCAATCAATGCGCCCTATCTTTCCGGCGTGGCACAAACGCCCGCCCGAAGTGATATGCGAAACAGGTCTCGGGGCCCAGTGCGTGCGGTTTTCTCGGTTCCCACTGCAGGCCCTCCCACTTCCCATCTCCCTCGGGCCCCAGTGGGGTTTCCCAACTGCACAGGCCCCGGGGCGGGCCCAGTGCGGCGGGCTGTGGCTCTGGGCAAGCCGCAGCCCGATTGCTACCCTACCAGCTACCGTCGCCGCGCTGGCTCACACACTCTCGACACCCCGGCCGCCACGCCACGCGGCACGCATTGCGCCAAGGCGCCGGGGCAGCAGCGCCGGGGCCCTGCGTGGGGCTGCGGGCTTGGTTGCTTGGGATTCCTTGCGTGGCGTGCTTTCGGCGCGAATTGGTAGCCGCTGGGGCCTGTGGGCAGCTTACAAACCCGGCGAGGTGCTTGCGCCTGCGACCAGACCCCGGCGGGCCTGTACGCGTGAAGCCTGGCGCCCTTGTTTGCGGGGCACGCTGCCGGGCTCGGTCTGTGTGTCTGCATCTATTGTTTGCAAGCAACGTGATGAAGCCCAGCCGGGCTCCTGTTGACAAACCTCCCAGACAGGCCCCGACATGCAAGGCCCGGGCTTCTATTGACAACCCCCCCCGCCAGCGAATTAAAATCCAGCGGGCGCATGCTAAACGAAAGCAAGAGGAAAATTGAAGTATTGGGGACGACAGGAACGCTGCTGCTATGCCGTTTTTCGGACTTTTCTATGCCTTTTGTCAGGGAAATTCAGTAAAAAAGAAAAACGCTTTTTATTTTCTTTGTGTGAATTCCCAAACCCAAAGCCACGGCTTTCCGCCTCGTTTTGCTCGCATGACAAAAACTGGCATGCCGTGTTTCTTTCCAATCCCGACGGTGCGACGTTTGGCAGCTTCCTGCGTATTACTTAAACCATAACCATAAGCACCAGCGGCGTGCTGTGTGTCGGCCCGGGGTCCCTCGGGCTCACCCAAAGGGCGCCGGGGCCGGGCCAGTTCATAGGGCCTATTGCGGGATGGCCCGCCGGCGGATAAGCCGGGGGGGGGCGCCCCCCGGCTTATCCGCCACGGGGGCGGATAAGGATTTCATTGTTACCCCACTCCTACTGACTTAGCTACCTCAACTAGCTATGATTTTGAACTACTTGTGTGCATTTGGTCAAGCGCCGCGCCGAAGCCTGGATCATGTCGAGCCCATTCTGCCGAACCGTTTTGAGCTGCGCGCCAACCCTCCCAGGTGGATGCGATTTGCTCAGCTTCCGGCAGTGCAAGCTGGAAGCTTGTTTTGGGCTCATAAAGATCGATTTGTAATGCGGACCTGCGTCTCAGGCGCGTCATGTTTTTGACATGGGAAAAGTGCTGCCGCGCCCACTGCATCACGCAGATAGATGCCCAGAAGTGAGGCAGTTTAGGTGTGCTCTGGTTACCGGCCAGGGCCTCGGAAATCTGGCCAATTTGGCCAGCAAAAATGACCACTTTTCCGAAGCCTCCGGGCAAACCGATAACAAGCACCCTCTTTGCTCACTTTTATAGTCCGCGTGCCCCCGTGCTACGTCTCTGTTATCGGTTTCGGCTTGGCCACCCCACCGAAACCGATAACAAGGCAGGGATTTGCTCAGTTTATCGTGCCCATGCCACCGTGATAAAAATCTGTTATCGGTTGCGCTTTTGGCATCGCGCCAAATCCAACCTTCGCAAAGTAGACCCATAAACTTGAGCTAGCCACGACCTGAGTCGGACTGTAAAAGTGGCCAAAAATGGTGCTTGTTATCGGTTTGGCCTTCTGAACCGATAACAGACACCTAAGCACGGTGGCACGCGGACTATAAAAGTGCCCAAAAATGGTGCTTGTTATCGGTTTTGCCGGAGGTCCGGCAAAACGAGGGCACTTTTGCCCCCCAGAAAGGAGGTCCGGAGGGCCTCCGGACAACAAGCATCCCCCTTGCCCAAGAACATCCCCAAAGACACTAGGAAACAAGGACGCTTACAGCTCTGCAAGCACTCCAAAAAGGAGTCCTTGTCAGCGCGCCGCCTCGCCAGCTTGGCGAGCGGATCGTCCTCGTCGATCTGCTTCTTCTTTGCCATGTCTATCAGCTCGCTCTTACACTCAAACCACCCTCCCCTCGCACTGACAGAAGACGCGTCGCCGCCTATCAGCTCGCGGACGTGCTTTGCAAGCACTCGCAGCCACACTGTTTTGTTGGCGCAGTTGGCAAGACAGTATCGAGATCGGACGCGGAGTCTGGCCTGGGATGACTGCGCGACACCGAACCGGAACGCCGCCACCTCGAGATCCGCCGCGTCAAGTCTGCCGTCTCGTGCCCCAGAAGGATGACCAAATGCACACAATTAGGTCAAAATCATCATGACCGACGATAGCTACCTCACTAGATAATTTTAAAAAAATTTTCGCTTTCGTTTCAAATTCTTAATTCGATAACGATAACAGATTTTTTTTCACCCCCTGCACGTCTCCGCAACACTTTGCGAAACTATTGCAGGAAAATCATCTTAGCGATGTCACTGGAGCGGACTGCAGTGTAGGTCCGGTAAATTTGTCAAACAGTGCAGGTGCTGGAGGAGCTTCTTGCATTTCTGCGTCTGCAACTGGTGCTTCTGGTTCTGCTGGTACAAGCAGAAGTCATCCAGGTGCTCCTGCTGCGTCCTCTTCAGCAACGACACTACAGCAGAATCAACAGCTCGACAAAAGAACGCAGGAGCAGTCACGACAGTCTTTTCTGAACCGACAGAAAAACACGAAGGTGGATCAGATGGCGCAGTTCTCAGACGATTCAGCATCTTCGGACTACGAGGCAATCGAGACCATGTATGGCGGGGGGCGACGTCGCGCTGGTATTAAAGGCGATAGGAACAAACGCAAAACCGATAGCAGGAATCCAGCAAATGAAATGACCGACACAAAAATGGAAGAGGCCGCGGCGCCGTCTTGCTCTACTACCGGCGAAACTGCAGCCCAAGGACCCACAACATTGAAATTGATCCAGAACGACAACGATGATGAAAATATACAAGAGGTCTGCGAAGTAGACAACACCGACCCGCAGCAGCAATTGTGCAGTTACGTCGCTGGAACTACTACAAATGCGCCCGACGACCAATCCGACTCTGACAGTGAAGAACGCGAAAAACTCCGGATTCAGAACAAGGTCCTTGACGAATCCCACCGGTACGCGCGGGAGCTGTTCGGGTTTCCGGGGGATCGGCGGCGAGACCACAACTTAACCCGTGGCGGCCGGAAACTTTGCCCGACCATGGCAAACCGGCAGGTCGCGTGCAGCATCGTGGAATTCTACGCCTGCGGCGGCGTTCTGAGGTATCCCTACGAAAACGCGACACCCCTCGCGCAGGACTTCCTGGCCAAGTTGCTCACCGCGTTGGAGCAAGATCGGTTTTCAGCGAAGGAAGCGCTGCAACACCCCTGGATCACAACGATCGACTTCCGCGATCAGCAGTACCAGCGAAGCAAGAAGTTGCGGAAAAAATTCTCGAAGTTGAGGACAGTGTATGGCAGTAGAACGTCCTGATTGGTCGTGTATCTTTCCGTGCATACTATTCGTGGCCTCGATTTTTTCTTGATGAAGATGAAGTTGTAGTTGGCATGAAGATGGGTGAGCGCATTCACGCAGTGGCATTTTTCGTTTACGATTATTTGGCGCGCTTTTGAAAAATAAAGGGCCGATGCGTCGGTTTTGATGTTGCATAGCAGAAAGAAACGAAAGTTCCATTACGCGTACGAAACAAAATCGAGCATCACGAAATGCATGGACGACAAATTTTTCAGCTATATAAAGTGGTGAGTCCATTGTCGCGACGATTCTGATGGTTCTGCGTGAGCTTTATGCAATAGCAATACCATATTTTCCGCGCACGTGCAAAATGCGACAGTTTTACTCAGGCTGGAACGCTTGTCATGCTGACTTCTAGGACCGGAGGGCAGGCAAGTTTTGTTATGCAGCGATTCCGCATTTGTACGTGTACAGGAAATTATTCAAGTTTCCTGTGGATAAGCTTGCCAGCAATTACATACACGCGCCGCCGGATGATCACTATTTGGCTTCTGGCACTGAAATTTGAAAACATTTTCCGATGCATAATGGTGGCTATCTGTTTAGGCGAACAAGGCTGCAACTCTTTGCTTTTAGCACTTTCGAGTGCACCCTTCGGCGCTTTGTTTTATCCACGTAAAGGCTCCTAATACTCAACTACTCGCCCCACGTTATTTTGGATGTTTCGCCGTCGAGTACTCCTCCTTGATGCAGACGCGTTTTTTTTTTTTACTTTCCGCTCGACGACACACTAACACCACTACGCCTAAAGCCACGACTCAGTGTAGTCGTCTTCACATTGACTTACGCACGACACACATCTGAGAATAGAAAATTTTAGTTGATATCTGTCATTTCTAATTTTCTGAGAATTCAAAAAAAAATTGCATCTGCAGCTACCTATCTGCATATGTTCTCCAATGATTTCAGCCTGCCATGTATTGAACAAGAGCTGAAAATGATTGTTTGTTCGGGCCTACTTTGGTGGTGGAACGCGACGCTACTGCTCACCGTTTTGTTAGTGCTACAACTTTAAAGAATTAGGACATTGTAAATGTTCAACAAGTTGAGATATATTTTTCTTTTTCCACATTGGACGCGGCACTTATCGTATTGTAGAAGCGTTTCGCGGTCCATCGTTGACTCAGTCACCATGGGCATGAATCTTCTCTGCGATAAAGATAATTCGTGCAATTTGTTCCAATCCTTTTGACGATTTTTTTCTAGCATCTGTTTCTAGGTCTAGCTTTGTAATTGTAATATGTTGGATTTTTGAAACGTCAGGTGTTCCTATTCTGGCTTATCCCACGTTTTTACTTTTTGTGAAACGCAACTGCAAGCATGCCATGCTAAGGGCATTTCATCATCCAATTTTCCGTATTCTATGTCGAAAAATGTCCGCAAAATCAAAAGCAAAAATGAAACCCAGAGCTCGTTGTCGTTTGAAAGAATGTGAATGAAAATTTGATTTATTTGTAAACGATAGATAGTGACTCTGTGGCTCGTCTTCCTGCGAATCGTGGATTGATGATGAAGCTTGTGTTTACTAACTGCAGGCAAGAACAGAGTGATCCATCCTGTCTGTTGTGTTGTCTTCGTCTTGCCCCTGCTTGTAATTGAACGTGATTGCGCTCTTCAGAGAGAAATTTTCGAAGATCCTCGTTCTTGGAGATCAGCAGATTGTCGTGGTTTTTTGATCTTGGAAGTTGCCGCTTCAGAAGATCCCGTCTTGCTAGTATTGTGTTATTGCCAATTTTATGCGAGTTATTCGTCCCGTTCCAATCTGCTTCGGCTCGGAGTCATGGTCTATTTTTTGCTGGATTGATTTTCCCCCGCCTGCACCTGCAATTGCATTCGGTCGTGCTCCGTGCACGCAGTAAAATAATGTCATGATTCGTAAACATTGAGTCAGTTCAACATGGAGCCCCTAGAGGTACGATATTTTCGTGCAGGTTGCAAAAGCCTGCGCGACTTTTTTCTGGCATTTTTCTATTGTCTTTTTCCTACGCAAGAAGGTTCTGACAAATTTTCAGAAAGAAGAGGATGCGCAGGTCGCCGCAAGTCCAAAGCACATCAACCGTGTGCTGCTGCTGCTCGGGCGGTACTCGTCTACAAACGACGGTCGAGGACCAAAAGCGGGGTCGGGGACGCAAGAGTGATGTCATACCGCAAAGAAATCCTCCTCGTGCTTCCCATCGTAGTGTGCTCGCGATCAAGAGTTTATGTTTTAAACGGTCGTTAGCATACAGAAGGGTGAATTCCCAGTGAATTTGTATTGCGTGGCATGATGCATGAATTAATCAGGTGCATGCGAAGAACACGGGGACAACATACAAGAAGCCAGCGCGCCGTGTTGATGGGCTGCTTGGCTGGTGGCGCTTCCCTCCTGTGGACGCTTGCCGCTTGTTGCCCAAAGTGGCGCACCTGGTGGACTGCGAAGCAACGCAGGTGGCTTGTGGCGGTCTTACAACACGACGCTGCATGATCCGCCGACTCGATAGTGGCGGATCGACCGGGACGAGGGCCATGCCTGAAAAGGTGGCCAAATGTACTAGCTCAACATGTCAAAATAGAGAAGTCGCGTCACGGGTTGTGGCTGCCTCGGCTTGGATATCTGGAGACAGGTTGCTACGGATGCTAGCATCGCCTGCTTTGCTCTGTAAGTAACNGTACCGGTATAGCCGCGACAAAGTGGCCGGGCGCCACCATCGCCTGGAGGACCCGGACATGCCGAGAGCATCCGGCGTGTTGTGGGTAGATTTTGAAACACCACAAAGATCCATCGACGGCATGGCGCCGCCGGTCTTTGTGGTGTTTGTTTCTTTGAAAGTGGCAGGCGCAGCCCCTGAAGACTCCGCACTGCCGGGAGTACTTTGGACTCAAAAAAACTCGCCAACAGATATTTGCCACGCAAAAGGCGAAAAAGCTTGGGAAATTCGCCACGCAAGCAACGGCCCAACAAATAATAGCAAGCAACGGGCACACAGGGCCAGGGCCAGAACAAACCTGCCCCACAGAATTAAACTCCTACCGTGTGCAGCGCGAGGGCCGCCGAGCTTCCTCGCTTATTTCCTTCGGGCTATGTACTTACTCGCCAGGCCATGCCGCCCTGCTCTTGGGCCGGCGCCCATGCCTGCAGGTAGCGACTTAGGGCCCGAAGCGAGAAGCGCAGCTGGCTAAAGGTTTTATCTTGCGCGCGCCCGCCTTCGGAGGAAGTGTGTCTGTGCAGACCCAAGCCGGCCGCCCGCTAGTATGGATTCCACCGCCTGCCTTTGCAATGGGCCCACGCACCCAAACAAGCCGCAACAGCGCCTAAGGCTGCGCACCCAGAGTCCGCCTCCTTTAAATGTTGGGCGCCATCGGCGGTAAAATTCCCCCCGGTGGCGTGCTTGACTTATATTCCACGGCGACAGGGCGAAGGCCTAGGCCGGGCAGCCATTAACTTCCTGGGCCCCGGGCCGGGCCGTGTCTGTTGGTGACATCTTTGCCGCAGCGCGAATAGTTAGCTTGCTTCCGCCGCGGCCATGTTTAAGGACTTGGGCCGCGTGGGCGGCAGCCTCGCGCGCTCTACTTTTGTTCGCCTGCTTTTTTCCTTGCCGCCGCCAGCCAATCAATGCGCCCTATCTTTCCGGCGTGGCACAAACGCCCGCCCGAAGTGATATGCGAAACAGGTCTCGGGGCCCAGTGCGTGCGGTTTTCTCGGTTCCCACTGCAGGCCCTCCCACTTCCCATCTCCCTCGGGCCCCAGTGGGGTTTCCCAACTGCACAGGCCCCGGGGCGGGCCCAGTGCGGCGGGCTGTGGCTCTGGGCAAGCCGCAGCCCGATTGCTACCCTACCAGCTACCGTCGCCGCGCTGGCTCACACACTCTCGACACCCCGGCCGCCACGCCACGCGGCACGCATTGCGCCAAGGCGCCGGGGCAGCAGCGCCGGGGCCCTGCGTGGGGCTGCGGGCTTGGTTGCTTGGGATTCCTTGCGTGGCGTGCTTTCGGCGCGAATTGGTAGCCGCTGGGGCCTGTGGGCAGCTTACAAACCCGGCGAGGTGCTTGCGCCTGCGACCAGACCCCGGCGGGCCTGTACGCGTGAAGCCTGGCGCCCTTGTTTGCGGGGCACGCTGCCGGGCTCGGTCTGTGTGTCTGCATCTATTGTTTGCAAGCAACGTGATGAAGCCCAGCCGGGCTCCTGTTGACAAACCTCCCAGACAGGCCCCGACATGCAAGGCCCGGGCTTCTATTGACAACCCCCCCCGCCAGCGAATTAAAATCCAGCGGGCGCATGCTAAACGAAAGCAAGAGGAAAATTGAAGTATTGGGGACGACAGGAACGCTGCTGCTATGCCGTTTTTCGGACTTTTCTATGCCTTTTGTCAGGGAAATTCAGTAAAAAAGAAAAACGCTTTTTATTTTCTTTGTGTGAATTCCCAAACCCAAAGCCACGGCTTTCCGCCTCGTTTTGCTCGCATGACAAAAACTGGCATGCCGTGTTTCTTTCCAATCCCGACGGTGCGACGTTTGGCAGCTTCCTGCGTATTACTTAAACCATAACCATAAGCACCAGCGGCGTGCTGTGTGTCGGCCCGGGGTCCCTCGGGCTCACCCAAAGGGCGCCGGGGCCGGGCCAGTTCATAGGGCCTATTGCGGGATGGCCCGCCGGCGGATAAGCCGGGGGGGGGCGCCCCCCGGCTTATCCGCCACGGGGGCGGATAAGGATTTCATTGTTACCCCACTCCTACTGACTTAGCTACCTCAACTAGCTATGATTTTGAACTACTTGTGTGCATTTGGTCAAGCGCCGCGCCGAAGCCTGGATCATGTCGAGCCCATTCTGCCGAACCGTTTTGAGCTGCGCGCCAACCCTCCCAGGTGGATGCGATTTGCTCAGCTTCCGGCAGTGCAAGCTGGAAGCTTGTTTTGGGCTCATAAAGATCGATTTGTAATGCGGACCTGCGTCTCAGGCGCGTCATGTTTTTGACATGGGAAAAGTGCTGCCGCGCCCACTGCATCACGCAGATAGATGCCCAGAAGTGAGGCAGTTTAGGTGTGCTCTGGTTACCGGCCAGGGCCTCGGAAATCTGGCCAATTTGGCCAGCAAAAATGACCACTTTTCCGAAGCCTCCGGGCAAACCGATAACAAGCACCCTCTTTGCTCACTTTTATAGTCCGCGTGCCCCCGTGCTACGTCTCTGTTATCGGTTTCGGCTTGGCCACCCCACCGAAACCGATAACAAGGCAGGGATTTGCTCAGTTTATCGTGCCCATGCCACCGTGATAAAAATCTGTTATCGGTTGCGCTTTTGGCATCGCGCCAAATCCAACCTTCGCAAAGTAGACCCATAAACTTGAGCTAGCCACGACCTGAGTCGGACTGTAAAAGTGGCCAAAAATGGTGCTTGTTATCGGTTTGGCCTTCTGAACCGATAACAGACACCTAAGCACGGTGGCACGCGGACTATAAAAGTGCCCAAAAATGGTGCTTGTTATCGGTTTTGCCGGAGGTCCGGCAAAACGAGGGCACTTTTGCCCCCCAGAAAGGAGGTCCGGAGGGCCTCCGGACAACAAGCATCCCCCTTGCCCAAGAACATCCCCAAAGACACTAGGAAACAAGGACGCTTACAGCTCTGCAAGCACTCCAAAAAGGAGTCCTTGTCAGCGCGCCGCCTCGCCAGCTTGGCGAGCGGATCGTCCTCGTCGATCTGCTTCTTCTTTGCCATGTCTATCAGCTCGCTCTTACACTCAAACCACCCTCCCCTCGCACTGACAGAAGACGCGTCGCCGCCTATCAGCTCGCGGACGTGCTTTGCAAGCACTCGCAGCCACACTGTTTTGTTGGCGCAGTTGGCAAGACAGTATCGAGATCGGACGCGGAGTCTGGCCTGGGATGACTGCGCGACACCGAACCGGAACGCCGCCACCTCGAGATCCGCCGCGTCAAGTCTGCCGTCTCGTGCCCCAGAAGGATGACCAAATGCACACAATTAGGTCAAAATCATCATGACCGACGATAGCTACCTCACTAGATAATTTTAAAAAAATTTTCGCTTTCGTTTCAAATTCTTAATTCGATAACGATAACAGATTTTTTTTCACCCCCTGCACGTCTCCGCAACACTTTGCGAAACTATTGCAGGAAAATCATCTTAGCGATGTCACTGGAGCGGACTGCAGTGTAGGTCCGGTAAATTTGTCAAACAGTGCAGGTGCTGGAGGAGCTTCTTGCATTTCTGCGTCTGCAACTGGTGCTTCTGGTTCTGCTGGTACAAGCAGAAGTCATCCAGGTGCTCCTGCTGCGTCCTCTTCAGCAACGACACTACAGCAGAATCAACAGCTCGACAAAAGAACGCAGGAGCAGTCACGACAGTCTTTTCTGAACCGACAGAAAAACACGAAGGTGGATCAGATGGCGCAGTTCTCAGACGATTCAGCATCTTCGGACTACGAGGCAATCGAGACCATGTATGGCGGGGGGCGACGTCGCGCTGGTATTAAAGGCGATAGGAACAAACGCAAAACCGATAGCAGGAATCCAGCAAATGAAATGACCGACACAAAAATGGAAGAGGCCGCGGCGCCGTCTTGCTCTACTACCGGCGAAACTGCAGCCCAAGGACCCACAACATTGAAATTGATCCAGAACGACAACGATGATGAAAATATACAAGAGGTCTGCGAAGTAGACAACACCGACCCGCAGCAGCAATTGTGCAGTTACGTCGCTGGAACTACTACAAATGCGCCCGACGACCAATCCGACTCTGACAGTGAAGAACGCGAAAAACTCCGGATTCAGAACAAGGTCCTTGACGAATCCCACCGGTACGCGCGGGAGCTGTTCGGGTTTCCGGGGGATCGGCGGCGAGACCACAACTTAACCCGTGGCGGCCGGAAACTTTGCCCGACCATGGCAAACCGGCAGGTCGCGTGCAGCATCGTGGAATTCTACGCCTGCGGCGGCGTTCTGAGGTATCCCTACGAAAACGCGACACCCCTCGCGCAGGACTTCCTGGCCAAGTTGCTCACCGCGTTGGAGCAAGATCGGTTTTCAGCGAAGGAAGCGCTGCAACACCCCTGGATCACAACGATCGACTTCCGCGATCAGCAGTACCAGCGAAGCAAGAAGTTGCGGAAAAAATTCTCGAAGTTGAGGACAGTGTATGGCAGTAGAACGTCCTGATTGGTCGTGTATCTTTCCGTGCATACTATTCGTGGCCTCGATTTTTTCTTGATGAAGATGAAGTTGTAGTTGGCATGAAGATGGGTGAGCGCATTCACGCAGTGGCATTTTTCGTTTACGATTATTTGGCGCGCTTTTGAAAAATAAAGGGCCGATGCGTCGGTTTTGATGTTGCATAGCAGAAAGAAACGAAAGTTCCATTACGCGTACGAAACAAAATCGAGCATCACGAAATGCATGGACGACAAATTTTTCAGCTATATAAAGTGGTGAGTCCATTGTCGCGACGATTCTGATGGTTCTGCGTGAGCTTTATGCAATAGCAATACCATATTTTCCGCGCACGTGCAAAATGCGACAGTTTTACTCAGGCTGGAACGCTTGTCATGCTGACTTCTAGGACCGGAGGGCAGGCAAGTTTTGTTATGCAGCGATTCCGCATTTGTACGTGTACAGGAAATTATTCAAGTTTCCTGTGGATAAGCTTGCCAGCAATTACATACACGCGCCGCCGGATGATCACTATTTGGCTTCTGGCACTGAAATTTGAAAACATTTTCCGATGCATAATGGTGGCTATCTGTTTAGGCGAACAAGGCTGCAACTCTTTGCTTTTAGCACTTTCGAGTGCACCCTTCGGCGCTTTGTTTTATCCACGTAAAGGCTCCTAATACTCAACTACTCGCCCCACGTTATTTTGGATGTTTCGCCGTCGAGTACTCCTCCTTGATGCAGACGCGTTTTTTTTTTTTACTTTCCGCTCGACGACACACTAACACCACTACGCCTAAAGCCACGACTCAGTGTAGTCGTCTTCACATTGACTTACGCACGACACACATCTGAGAATAGAAAATTTTAGTTGATATCTGTCATTTCTAATTTTCTGAGAATTCAAAAAAAAATTGCATCTGCAGCTACCTATCTGCATATGTTCTCCAATGATTTCAGCCTGCCATGTATTGAACAAGAGCTGAAAATGATTGTTTGTTCGGGCCTACTTTGGTGGTGGAACGCGACGCTACTGCTCACCGTTTTGTTAGTGCTACAACTTTAAAGAATTAGGACATTGTAAATGTTCAACAAGTTGAGATATATTTTTCTTTTTCCACATTGGACGCGGCACTTATCGTATTGTAGAAGCGTTTCGCGGTCCATCGTTGACTCAGTCACCATGGGCATGAATCTTCTCTGCGATAAAGATAATTCGTGCAATTTGTTCCAATCCTTTTGACGATTTTTTTCTAGCATCTGTTTCTAGGTCTAGCTTTGTAATTGTAATATGTTGGATTTTTGAAACGTCAGGTGTTCCTATTCTGGCTTATCCCACGTTTTTACTTTTTGTGAAACGCAACTGCAAGCATGCCATGCTAAGGGCATTTCATCATCCAATTTTCCGTATTCTATGTCGAAAAATGTCCGCAAAATCAAAAGCAAAAATGAAACCCAGAGCTCGTTGTCGTTTGAAAGAATGTGAATGAAAATTTGATTTATTTGTAAACGATAGATAGTGACTCTGTGGCTCGTCTTCCTGCGAATCGTGGATTGATGATGAAGCTTGTGTTTACTAACTGCAGGCAAGAACAGAGTGATCCATCCTGTCTGTTGTGTTGTCTTCGTCTTGCCCCTGCTTGTAATTGAACGTGATTGCGCTCTTCAGAGAGAAATTTTCGAAGATCCTCGTTCTTGGAGATCAGCAGATTGTCGTGGTTTTTTGATCTTGGAAGTTGCCGCTTCAGAAGATCCCGTCTTGCTAGTATTGTGTTATTGCCAATTTTATGCGAGTTATTCGTCCCGTTCCAATCTGCTTCGGCTCGGAGTCATGGTCTATTTTTTGCTGGATTGATTTTCCCCCGCCTGCACCTGCAATTGCATTCGGTCGTGCTCCGTGCACGCAGTAAAATAATGTCATGATTCGTAAACATTGAGTCAGTTCAACATGGAGCCCCTAGAGGTACGATATTTTCGTGCAGGTTGCAAAAGCCTGCGCGACTTTTTTCTGGCATTTTTCTATTGTCTTTTTCCTACGCAAGAAGGTTCTGACAAATTTTCAGAAAGAAGAGGATGCGCAGGTCGCCGCAAGTCCAAAGCACATCAACCGTGTGCTGCTGCTGCTCGGGCGGTACTCGTCTACAAACGACGGTCGAGGACCAAAAGCGGGGTCGGGGACGCAAGAGTGATGTCATACCGCAAAGAAATCCTCCTCGTGCTTCCCATCGTAGTGTGCTCGCGATCAAGAGTTTATGTTTTAAACGGTCGTTAGCATACAGAAGGGTGAATTCCCAGTGAATTTGTATTGCGTGGCATGATGCATGAATTAATCAGGTGCATGCGAAGAACACGGGGACAACATACAAGAAGCCAGCGCGCCGTGTTGATGGGCTGCTTGGCTGGTGGCGCTTCCCTCCTGTGGACGCTTGCCGCTTGTTGCCCAAAGTGGCGCACCTGGTGGACTGCGAAGCAACGCAGGTGGCTTGTGGCGGTCTTACAACACGACGCTGCATGATCCGCCGACTCGATAGTGGCGGATCGACCGGGACGAGGGCCATGCCTGAAAAGGTGGCCAAATGTACTAGCTCAACATGTCAAAATAGAGAAGTCGCGTCACGGGTTGTGGCTGCCTCGGCTTGGATATCTGAAGACAGGTTGCTACGGATGCTAGCATCGCCTGCTTTGCTCTGTAAGTAACCTCTTCCCAGCTGTGTTCCTGCCTCATCTTGGTCGGTTCCTCTAGTAGTCTTCTTTGACGTGACCCCCAGGTCAGGAATTCTCTTGGTGAATTTTGGGGCTTTTTCTTTTTGTTAAACTTTTTGGAAGCCCCAAAACCCGGAGTTTCTCACGCGCTAGCGAATTTTGAAAATGAGCCGGAGGCCAAAATTCACCGGCGCCCTTTTCAAAATTCACCCCAAAACTCACCGGGCGCCCCTTTTCGACCGTGATACGCAAACTTTAGCGCAGAAAAGTGCTCAAAAAAGTGCACAGATAGGCCATGAGAAGGAACGCAAAGGGGGGAAAAGCGGAGTCCTCTGCTGCCCTAAGCCCGTCTGTGTTCTGCTGAAAATGCCGCAAGATTTCACGCGCCTGCCGGAAAAATGCTTCAAAGCTCTCGGTCGGGTCCTTTCGTCCTTGCCTGCCTTCTTGCTTAGTTGTATGCGCTTCGCAGCCTTTATTTCTGGCGTCCTTGCCGCGGCTGCTGCAGTGCTCTTCTGCGAGAACGGGGAGGCGCAAAAATCTGCCCAAAGAACGGCGCCCGGGCCATGTCCTCTGGCTGCCCACTGCACAAAAGCCCGCGGCTGCTGCGCGGTGCAGGGCCTTCTACTTCCCAGAACAGGGCCAAGAGGGACAATGTCCCGGCGGGCTCATCTGCAATTTGGCATGCAAAATCCACTACAAATTCACCACTTCTCATGCTAACGGGTGTTAAAGCTCTAGGCAAGAGTGATGTCATACCGCAAAGAAATCCTCCTCGTGCTTCCCATCGTGTGCTCGCTTATTTAGAGCTTTAACGCCCGTTAGCATGAGAAGTTGCGAATTTGTAGCGAATTTTGCATGACAAATTGCAGGTGGGTCCGCCGGTACATTGTCCCTCTTGCCCTTCTGGGAAGTGGGTTCTGCACACCGCAGAAGTCAAGGCTTATGCGGCGGGCAGCTTCTAGACATGGCCTGGGTGCCGTTCTATGGCCATGCCCATTCGTCTCCCTGTGCTCGCATAAGAGCACTGCAGCAGCCGCGGCAAAGACGCCAAAAAGAAAGGCTGCGAAGCGCATGCAATTAGGCAGGAAGGCGCAAAAAAAAGGGTGAAAGGACCAGGCCGAGAGCTTTGACGCGTCTATCCGGCAGGCGCGTGAACTTTCCAGGCCTCTTCGGCAGAATATAGAGGCGCTGAGGGCAACAGAGGGCGCTTGTCTTTTCCCCTGCTCGGCCCCACTTCCCAGGGCCTATGTGCGGACATTCTTAAGCACTTTGCTGCGCTGAAGTTTGCTTATCACGGTGGAAAAGGGGAGCCCGGTGAATTTTGGGGTGAATTTTGAAAAAAGTGCCGGCGAATTTTGGCCTACGGCACTTGTTCAAAATTCGCTGGCGCATGAGAAACTCCGGGTTTTGGAGCTTCAAAAAATTTTCGCAAAAAGAAGAAGCCTCAAAATTCACCAAGAAAATTCCTGACCTGGAGGTCTCGCCAAAGAAGACTAGAGGACCCGACCAAGATGAGGCAGGAACACAGCTGGGAAGAAGTTACAGAGCAAAGCAGGCGAAGCTAGCATCCATTGCAACGCGTCTCCAGCTATCCAAGCCGAGACAGCAACAACCCGTGACGCGACTTCTCTATTTTGAGATATTGAGCTACTGCCCCTGCCCCCCTTTCCAGGCATGGCCCTCCCTATCGATCTGCCACCATCGCGTCTGCGGATCAACATGCAGCATCGTGCTGTAAAACCGGCGCCACAAGCCACCTGTGTTGCCTCGCAGTCGCTAGGTGCGCCCCGGTGGGCAACAGGCGGCAAGCGTCCACAGGAGGGCAGCGTCACCAGCCAGGCGGCCCATCAACACGGCGCGCTGGCTGCTTGTTTTCCTCGTGTTCTTCGCATGATGCACGTGATAGATTAGTTCATGATGCATTGCCACGCAATACAAATTCACTGCAAAATCACCCTTCTGTATGCTAACGCCCGTCCAAGGCATAAGGTGGGGACGCAAGAGTGATGTCATACCGCAGAGAAATCCTCCTCGTGCTTCCCATCGTGTGCTCGCTTATCACTTCAGAATTTCTCGTCCCCGCACAAGTTCACCTCTCGTCCCCGTCAGAAGCCGGGATATTAAAAACCCCAACCCCGCCCAACGAGACCCTCCTCCTCCGCCCTTCCGGCACCCCGAAGCAGCGGCCGGTGCAATGTTTTGCGCATTCGGAGTTGACGTACCGTATCAAATGCAAAAATGTCTGGGTCTGGAAGGTTGGAACTTGTGATGCTAACTTTGGATATATAAAAAAATCTGTATTGCATGACCAGCAGGAGGAGTCCTGTTTGTGCTACGCGGGGAGGGCATTTGTCATGCGGGATGGGCATCAGGAAGGCCTCTAAAAATATGTGATGCTAGATCATGCATTACAGACATCCCGAGTCATGCAAAATATGCATGACAAACCTGGTAACCTTCCAGACCCAGACATTTTTACATTTGATATACCAACGGTGCTGTCAACAGCGGCAGGAGCACTGCGTCTCCACGCTGTCCGACCCTGCGTTTTTCTACAAGGCCTGCTGCGAAGACCGGTACCTATCAAATGTAAAAATGTCTGGGTCTGGAAGATTTTGAGGTTTGTCATGCATATTTTGGAAGACTCATGATGTCTGTGATGCATGCGCTAGCATGACAGATTTTTGGAGGCCTTTGTGATGCCTCTACCGCATGAGAAATGCCCTCCCCGGGTAGCACAAACTGGAGTTCTGTTGCCGGTCATGCCATGCAAATTTTTTTAGAGTCCAGAGACAGCATCACAAGTTTAGAATCTTCCAGACCCAGACACTTTTGCATTTGATAGTACCTCGCGGTCAACGACGTTCCCGCGCACCTGGGAAATCTCGTCATATCCTGTGCAAAAGTGTCGTACTCGTATAAATGCAAGTCTTGCATTACAAATCTTTATCGTAAGGGAAATCCGCATTACAAATTTTCTCTCTTATGCTGAGAAAATTTGTAATGCATTTATACGAGTACGATACTTTTGCAGTTCACACGTCACCGCGCTGGTCGATATGGCATACATCGCGAAGCAAACAGACAGGATACTGTTGGCGCCAGTGGACAAAAAACTCTTTGGCCCGGTGTTCAGCGATTTACGAGACTGGTATAATCGCAACGGGGGCGCGCCGGATCTTCATGCTGGTAGTTCGCATTCTGTCGGCAGCGACAAGGGTAAAAATAATATCAACGTCGAAAGGCTGATAGATGACGGTCTCTCCGAAAGCGATCCTGCAGCGCTGTGGCAGTTTCTGCGAAAAGCTAAAACATCATTGCAAAAGGGAACTGCAGCAACCGAGCACGGAGCAAACCAAGAGCAGGAGCGTCAGGAGGCCCTTTATTGGGCGAAGCGACTGTATAGGAAGCGATTTCGAGAGCGGGCTGATGTGAACCCCTTGGTGAGCCTGGTCGGTCAGAGACCAAAAACTAGCGAACAGGCGCATCATAATAATCATCCTGCCGGTGCAAACAGGACGGCAGAAGGCAGACTTGAGGCAGCACAAGCAGCACGCTCGTCGACCAGCGGCCGTGGTCCTCGAGGAACCTACAGAGAAGCGGCACCCCTTCATTATCAAGCTCTCAAGGATCTCCCCGTGACCGCAAGCAATCTGAGAAAGCTCGCCCTCGCCTACGAGCAGAAAACCCAGAGGTTCCGTGCGGTGATTGGCCGGTCTTTTTTCAAGCTCGGCTGCCCGCAACTCCCCGTGGTCGACATCGCGGGCGGGGGTCGGGAGGGTCCGTTTCGCTTCGCCTTAGATCAACAGGGCGCCGAAACCAGTCCGGCGAAGCTGATTTTGATTTATCAGGGTTTGTACCACGATCACTCGCTGGACACGATCATGCAGCTGCACGGTAAAAAACAAATTCTCGCGGACAAAAAGACCAAAACCATGCTGGAGAATTTTCCGACGAAAATCTCCAGCAAGAGAAGTAGAGGCTCTACTACTTCAAAGAGGACTACTGGAGATCATGTTGAAGTAGACGTCGACCCGGATGAAGATGATTTTAATTCCTCAGACGAAGACACGGAAACGCAAAAGATTTCCTTCTCCGGCCACTTTCCGGATAACTACCCCGTGGGCGGAAGGGAGGAGATATCCACTGCAAAAGTATCTCACGACTGGCATCGGTTGCATACATACTGTATGAACCAGTTGCAATACAGCAATACAAATTTCATTTTTCCTAAATGTAAATCTGCAACCACCACGCAAACCATAGCTAGTACAACGGCACTTTTGCAATGCATAGGAGACCATTGCACGCATGGAGAAGAAGATGGAGGAGGAGCAGAAGCTCGCGGAGAAGGATACTGAATACGACAGGACGATGAAGTCGCGGATTGACGAGATGGAGCTCCACTACATGCTCTTACGGGACCGGTGGGTCGCGAGATTTCCGCAAGTCGTCAGATTAACCGGCGAGGACGCAATTACTTTCTGGGATGAGATGGAGAAACCGATCCGATATCCTCGCGGAAATGACCAGAGCGGCGGCAATGAAAACGTGCAATTCCTGAAAAGAGCGATACTACGGAAGTACGAAGCGCTGTATACTTCGCAAATAAATGCTTCATCAGCAGAGGCAAGACAAAAGTTCTATCACCTACTCTTCCACTCCAACCCCCCTGTTTCTCAGCTGAGAAATCTCTACCGCTTTCTGTACCACGACGACGCCGCGCCGTCGAGATTGTTACCTCCTGGGTTGGTCAAACCATTTCTGGTTTCCGAGTGCGGGAGTCCGGATTACGGAGAGAGTGGAAACTCGGTCGCTTTACTGAAATACGCGGAACGGCAGAACGAGTTTCTTTTTGGACATCAAGCAAATTTTCTGCAAACCGCTGCAGAAGAAGACGCGAGCAGAAATCACATGAAACGAGTGCGACACCGCGAACACGGAGCAAGTAAAAGCCGGCTTCTCGATCGGCTCAACAAGCAGCGCGTGAACCACCTGCACGCGCACCATCGCCCCTGTTTGGTCGACCGGTTCCTGCAGAGCAGCTACATGAAGGACCACAAGTGCGCGATGCTGCACCAAGTCTTTCATTTTGTCGACTGGACCGTGGAAGACGCGGACTTCAAAAGAATTTTCCTCGCCAGTCTGTGGATCCATGTCGTGGAGGAGAACGCGATCAGGCCGTATATTGGATTGATACAGCCGGCGGACCGTGAAGATGTTCTTCCCCGAAGAACAGACGCAAATGTGGTCCAACCGAATGATCGAAGTTCCTCTTCTCTCCGGCTAACCGAGCTTCTCCATTTCCTCGCCACGAACCGCATCATCGCGGTGCATTTCCGCGGGGCTTGGGGCTACCAGGGCGTGGGGCTGCAGATCCTGGAATTGGTGAAAAAAACCGGAATTCAACTCGTCTACATAGCGACCGACAACATCCGCTTCGAGCCGTTTCGGGAACTGGTCACGACGTTGCGAGACGAGTTTCAACTTACCGTGCTTTCCTCAGAACTCTCGGAAGCGATTGCGGCTGGAATCGGAAAGGAAATCAGCGGGGTAGCAGATCATGCCACCACTGCTGCTCAAGGCCAGACTGAAGATGACAGCCGCTCCTTCGGCGAAAAATTGCCGACGTTTCAAAGTGCTTGCACTGGCACTGGCGTGTTGAGTTGTATCGTCGAAGCAGGAAGTGCTTCTCCAACATCGTCACTACCGGCCGAAGCTGTGGTGGAACCGACTGCTAGCACCCCTGAACGAAAAGAACCTTTATCAGAAGAAGACGCGGAAGCCGCTGCGTTTCTTCGGGGTGATGAAGAAGCAGAAACTACTGGCAGCACTGCCGCCCATAATATAATCCCCACCCCAGACGAGCCCGTTTTTAACAGCGCAATCCCATGGCACAAGCACCACTTGGAATCTCACCGGGGCAAACTGCCTAATCTGGCGCTGCACATCGACTTGTGCATCTGCACCCTGGCAAGCAGTTTCCTGGGACAGCCGTTATCCAGCCTGTCCGAGCTGATCATGAATTTCAGGACCGTCGTGCGGCAAATGCACGGACGAGGTGATGATATTGAAGATGCCGGAAAAACCACCACTTCTAGTACCGGCAAAAGTGCCAGCAGCGAAGTAGATGCAACAGAAACTACAGTCTTGTCGTCGCAGAAATGGAAAAGATTTATTCTGAAGAGGCACTACAGAAGTAGTCACAAGGGAAAAAGTGAGACCAAGAACCGCGGTAAGGACGTAAGCCCAACCTGGCAGACTTCCACACACCCGGTGCTGGCGTTTTACAGAAAAGTGTTTCAGCAGGTGCAGCAGTCGCCATCGTCTTCCACCCTGCCGCGCGGGGCTGCACCAAATCCGACCGCATCTTCGTCCTCACCCGCTTCCTCGTATGCAGTATCTACTAGCCCCCGCCGGACGGATATCGCAAGAAAAAAGTGTTACAGTTACACATTGTCATGCAAGACTGGCAACAGAGACAACCTTTCTCATGCAGGAAATGCTTCGGAGCTTCGTTTTCTTCCTGCTTTCCCTTGTGATCTTCGCATTACAAGTTTTCTCTACCACCCAGAGAAAATTTGTGATGCAGAAACTCCAGCAAGTGTGTAACTGTAACACTTTTTTCCGTGGATAACGGAAGCCTTTCTGCACCTACCGCGCGATGTCCTTCCTGTGGATCAGATTTTCCCCATCAGCTTCTACAGCGCCGATGAAATCGTCAAAGCAGATTGGATGCAGAACTTGATTGACGCGTTTCACATTTTGCAGAAGCAAGAAGCACAGAAGTCGACGGACAGCACGACAGACGCACGAGGACAAGGAAGTGAAAACAAGAAAAGCCCAGAACAGAAGATCAGCAGCCTTGTTGCGAGTTCCGGCGCATCGAGTGCTACAACTACTTCGCTATCGCTTTCGACCTACTACATTCCCGCCGTGTTCACGGACCCGCTACCGCAACCGCAAGCCCCCGGGGGACACAACTACAGTCACCTTCTGTACAGCAAATTTGTGATGCGATTGACCCAGTACTACCTCGCCTACAACGAAGAGACAAACGAGTACGAGCGCGCGGAAAATTCCAGATACGAGGACTTACTCCGTCCCTTACACAAGAACCCGAAAAATCATGACGACCTCCAGCACGACTTTGACCTAACAAAAGACTGGACGCAGGCCACGGTGTTCGCCGCCACCTTCTACCACGACTTGGGACGGAGAAAGTGCCACTCCATGGGGCTGTTGCTCCGCTTACGGTTTGTGGTGTTGTTTGTGTTGTTTGGAAACTACAACAAATTTGAATGCGTCCGGGAGTTGAGCATTTTCGGCTACTTGTTGTACACAGAGATTTTCAACCAGGGGCTCGGCGTGTGGCGGTTTCTGCGAAATTTTGTCCGGTTGCCGGAGGAAGAACCGGCAGGAAATGCTGTTGAAGATGGAACTGCAGCAAAGGAGGAATTATTATTTCCAGAAACCACAACAGCAAACATCTCTTCCAAATCCCGGCAGCAAGAGTGGATTTCGCTTCTCAACCTCCTCCGCTTATTCCTGCAAAGAACCAAATGCCGCGGGCAGTACTTGCAAACGTTTTCCGACAAAGTCACCGAAGACGATGACTACCTGCACGCGTTTTACCGCCCGGAGGCCCCGTTCTTCCAGAAAACACCGATCCGGCAAAAAGCGCTGCTAAACAAATTTGTGAAAGAAGAGGGGGAGACACTGTACATTGCGCCAAGTGTCGAGTTGGTTCTGCCGAAGAAGTGCAGAAGTAGGGCCGCGCAAGAGGATTTCGTTGTTGGTGGCAGCAGCAGAAATGTTGAAGCAGGTCTGAGTCATCAAGAAGACGAAGAAATCGCGCAAAGAACTCTGGAAGAAGATTCGAAAGCGAAGCAGACCGTGCTTTCCTACTTCGCCGGGCCGGATAAGTTTGAACTCTCTTTCCTGTTTCCCGGCCTGCGGGCCCCGTCGCGGGAGTTCGACGACCGGCACACGTATCGCGTGCCGGATGCGGCTTGGGGCGACGGGTTGGGACACAAGGACATGTTTGGCGGGCCGGTGCGAAAGTTTCGACCGGGTGAGCATTGCGAGGGCTTGGGGGAGGACGATGTGCGGGCGGGAGTCTATCTCGAGCTGCAACGGTTGCAGGATGACGTGGCGGGGAAGGTTCAGGGAATGACGCAGATCGCTCCATCTGAAGCAGCAGTTGTACATAAAAAAAAGCAGCAGGAGGACCACTACCCAGGTTGCGATCTGCAGCTTCTTGCAAACTGCGGGTTGGTTGAATCGATGAAAGAAGAAAGTGGTTCTTCGACGTCGCGCGAAGGTGGGAACAAAAAGAAAAAAAGGTCGTGGACGGAAATTACGCTGAACTTTCTCAATGTGCAGAAAGTGTTCGAGATTGTGATCAGAGAAGACGATCCGGAGCCTCATCATCCAAACCACGTAGTTAAAAACAATGATGTTCCTTCTAATGACGCGGAAAGCCAAAGAGCGCATCATGACGCTCCATATTTTGCGCCCTGCCCCTCTACGAACCCCTCGCTTCTGCAGCAGACGGTGCTCTCTTGTTTCCAGACGGGCGACATGCAGGTCAAGAACGCCTCCGGGTATCTCCGATTTCTGGAAATCTGGAATGACAACACGTTTACAAGGGAAGGCGCCACCACCGCGGCAAGCGTGCAGTGCGTGCATGAGAAGGAATGATAATGAACAGCCACGGAATTATCGACTATGTTAGGCAGCACTGAGACTAAAACTCAGTACTTCTTTCCATTTCTTCAACCCAGTACTTGCTGTAGACTTGTCATCTTTCGGTTCTCGTACACCAATGCGTGCAACAGAATCAGAAGAACGAAATTTGCAGTATAATCCTGAAGATCCAGGCCTCCAGAGGGCTAAGGCACTGTAGCTGATGCATTCAGTTATATCAAATCCGCCCGGGAACTAATTTGATTTCAAATCAATTTCAAACTAACTTCAAAGATTTTGAATTTTCGGATTTTTGACCTGTAGTGTGATGTTTGATTTTGACAAAATTAGTCCATGGCATGAGAAGTACTTACCCTACTTTGCGCTGCCGGTTGTCCATTTTCCACAACGCCGACGATTGTCCACGCTGCTCCCAATGCTGCTTGTTCATCTCCTTTCCCTTCGGCGTGTCGCCCCGTTCTGCGAGCGTTACCGATCTATTGCCCCCTGCTCTCGCGCTTCACCACAAAAAAACACCGACCTGCTGCTGCTGTGCGCAGTATTGACCTCCGTGAACATCGACTGGAAACGGCGGCCGGCTGCGACTGGCGATCGTCCATTCCCCCGCCAGGTGACCTCGACGCGCTTTTTTTTTCTCTACTTCCAGCGCAGGCCACGCAATGAATTTCGATAGAATTTGTTTTTTGAAAAGATAAGTTCTAGGACCGCTAAAGGATAAACAGTCTTTTGAGGTTTTGCTCGCTCATCCGAAGAAGAACGGGTAGCAATGTGCTCCTGTACTGTCACGTCAGACATAAGGTGGCTGAAAGTAAGTCTGCGCGCAGCTTGATGATGACCAAGCCACGCGTCGAGTCGTAGTGCCATTCATCACCCGTGAGAAACAGCAGCACTAGAACCAACCTCGAAATAATATAAAAGTTCATTAATTTGCAGGCACGGCTGCTATTTGCATTCTGAATCTCACCACAACATCATAAGACAAATAATCAAGTTCGAGAAAAGTAGTGTTGCCGTTGCCGAGTAAATTTCTAAATTGCTTTCACGCCCACAAGCACCACCAGGCAAAGAGGCCGGAGCCAGATCATCTGGGGCCTAGCGAGGCGA